GCAGAAGCCTGATTCGCTCTGCAGCTTCTGGCAGGGTCTGGAGGGGCCTTGGCAGGCCAGGAGTCCTGCAAGGACAGGAGAGGCAAGCCAGGACTGGGGAGGGGAGAGCAGGGACTGCCCCAGAGGAGGAGGGGGCAAGCAGGGGGGAGCAACTTTCTGGGTGAGGGTTTGGCAGACTCCAGAGGGAGGGAAAGGAGTTGCAGCCGCCTGGACCGAGTTGGTGGACCCCATCCCGCTCCTGTCTCTCCTGGGGCATCTGGTCCCTAGGTAACAGGTCACCTCCAGGGACTAAGTTGCCAAGGCAGGCCAGAGGAAGAGGTCGGTGTGTTTGGGTGAAACAGAAGCTGCTGTGTCAAGCTTGTGAGGAATAAACATATCGCCTCAGTTCTCTCGCAACAGCCCTCCTGAGGCTTCCTGGCCTGCTTCCTCACAGGGACAAGAGAAGCTGCCTTCTGCTGAGTCATAAGAACATGCGAAGCGCAGGCTGGATCAGGCCAGTGGTCCATCTGCTCCAGCATCCTGTCACCAACCAGGTGCCTAAATGGGGAACCCGCAAGCGGGACCTGAGCGCAAGAGCCCTCGCCCCTCCTGCAGTTTCTAGCAACCAGGATTCAGAAGCATTTACTGCCTCCCAACTCTGCAGAGCAGAGTCATTGTAGTTAGTGGCCACCTCCATCAGGAGAGGACGCAGGTGGCGCTGTGGGTTAAACCACAGAGCCTAGGACTTGCCGATCAGAAGGTCGGTGGTTTGAATCCCCGTGATGGGGTGAGCTCCCGTTGCTCAGTCCCTCCTCCTGCCAACCTAGCAGTTCGAAAGCACATCGAAGTGCAAGTAGATAAATAGGTAAGGAAGGTAAATGGTGTTTCCGTGCGCTGCTCTGGTTCGCCAGAAGCGGCTTAGTCCTGCTGGCCACATGACCCGGAAGCTGTATGCCGGCTCCCTCGGCCAATAAAGCGAGATGAGCGCCGCAACCCCAGAGTCGGCCACGACTGGACCTAATGGTCAGGGGTCCCTTTACCTTTACCATCAGAAGACTCTTGTGCTCCACCCGGACCGGCAGCAGTGGCTCTCCCAGGGCTTCGGGCCTACCTGGAGATGCCGCCAGTGGGGACAGAGCCACCTGCATGCCAAGCAGGGCCTCTGTGCCCATGCACTTGGCCTCTTGGCCTCCTGAGACCCTCCCAAGCCTCCTGTGCCTTAGATCCTGACCCTCACAGGCAGTAGCCCCCACAGCTCTCCCAAAGTGCCTCCCCTTGAACCTGACCAAAGAGGCAGAATGATAGAATAATAAAAGCATAGAATTGTATTTTTTTTAAAAATAATTTTTATTAAGGTTTTAAACAAAGAAAAAAGAAAAACAACACACACAAAGAACAATAACAATAAAAACACAAAACATAACAATTAAAAACAAACTCTCTTTTCCATTTCCAATTTTAAATTACTTATTTTCTGGACTTCCTCATACCTCCCTCTTTTGTATTCCAATCCACATTATTTATCCAGCAGTTTCTTTTCCACTTTTTTAATCCCCATCTTTAATTTAATAAAATATTAAAATATATAACTTCACTTTTTAAACCTAATCCTTACTCTTAATGTCATATAACTTCAAATTTTTCCCTTTTATTATCAAATTTCCATTTCTTTAAACATCTTTAATCTTAATCTTTAATCTTAATCTATCCTTATCTTTAACCTGTACAACTGGAAACCACTTATTTTCAGTCCAACATCACTCTAACATTCCTTAATTTTGCAGTGTTTCTGAAGATAGTCTTTGAATTTCTTCCAGTCTTCCTCCATCGACTCTTCTCCTGGTCACGGATTCTGCCAGTCATTTCCGCCAATTCCATGTAGTCCATAAGTTTCATCTGCCATTCCTCCAGCGTGGGAAGTTCTTGTGTCTTCCAATACTTTGCGATGAGTATTCTTGCTGCTGTAGTTGCATACATAAAGAAAGTTCTATCCTTTTTTAACACCATTTGGCCCACTATGCCCAGGAGAAAGGCCTCTGGTTTCTTGGGAAAGGTATACTTAAATACCTTTTTTAATTCATTATATATCATTTCCCAGAAAACCTTAATCTTTGGGCACGTCCACCAAAGGTGAAAAATGTACCTTCAGTTTCTTTACATTTCCAACATTTGTTATCGGGCAAGTGATAAATTTTCGCAAGCTTGACTGGGGTTATGTACCACCTGTATATCATTTTCATAATATTCTCTCTTAAGGCATTACATGCCGTAAATTTCATACCAGTGGTCCATAACTGTTCCCAGTCAGCAAACATAATGTTGTGTCCTACGTCCTGTGCCCATTTAATCATAGCCGATTTTACCGTTTCATCTTGAGTATTCCATTTCAGCAGCAAGTTATACATTCTTGACAGATTCTTAGTATTGGGTTCTAACAATTCTGTTTCTAATTTCGATTTTTCCACCTGGAAGCCAATTTTCCTGTCTAATTTAAATGCCTCCATTATTTGATAATAATGAAGCCAGTCTCGCACTTTGTTTTTTAATTTTTCAAAACTCTGCAATTTCAGTCTATCTCCGTAAAAGCATAGAATTGTAGTGGTGGAAGCGACCCCCAAGCGCCATCTATTCCAACCCGCTGAACTGCAGAAATCATGGCTAGAGAATCCCAGACAGGTGGCCTTGCTCAAAAAACCTCTGCCTCCCTATGGGCCCTTTTGGCCTCCTTGCCAGAGGCTGACGACTAGGAAGCCACCTCCAAAAGCCGCTTAGGCTAATTAGGGCTTAGCAAAGTCTCCCTCCAGCCAATCGGCCTCCTCCTCCTCCTCCTCCTTCTCAGAAGCCTTCGCAATATGCATCTATCATATCTAGAGTTCTCATTTGCCTCCCCCGCCATCCTTCCACCCTCCAACATTAGCCTGCTTCCTCCATGCTGGCTGGGCTTCTGCTCAGCCTCCTGGCCGATTCCGTGGCCAGGATTTGGCAAGGGGCCTCTTCCCTCTCCCTCCCCAGCCTCTCAGGCTGCAGTCCTCTTTGGGCACGATGTGTCCATTTGCGCCTGGCCAGCGTCAGAGGAGCAAAAGAGCAGGAGGGGAAGGCCTAGGCTGCACCAGGGCGGCCTCTGTGCCCCACTCCCAACACGAGCAGCTAGCCAGGGGGCTCAGCATGGATTGGCAGCAACAGTTCTCCAGGTTTGGGGCAAAGTCTCTCCTCCCGGCTCTGCCTGGACCTTCTGCATGTGGCTCTTTGGGCATGGAGGGGAGGACTCTTGATGGCTCCCAGCCACTGTGGCCACGCTCTGCTTCCACACCGACATGCAGCAGTGCTTTGATTTCTACCCTTGCACCTGGATCCTGCTTGCTGCTTTCTCACTGTTCAGCCACTGGGAGAACAGGGCACTCCCTGGACTATTGTGGGCTAGCTGTGGCCTGAGCCAGCAGGGCTCGCCTTGTCCTTATGATGAGCCCTTGCTCCAAAGGAGGAAACTTCGCCAATGCCGTCTACACGTGCAAAAAATCGTAACTCGCAACGCGGTGCTTCGCGCTTTTCCACCGCTGAGAGCAAGGGGGCTTCCCTCGGAGTGGGGGGCGGGAGTATGCGGGCGGCGGCCCCTTTAAGATCCAGTTTCGGGGAAGTGGCGCACGTGGGCTGCCCCCCCCTCCGGTTGATTGCACGGCCGCCGCTGCGGCTCCTCAGGCGCGTGGTAATCACGTGGGCGGGATGTGGAAACAGCTGATTGGCCCCCTGAGGTCCCGGTTGCTGCTTTGCATCCATCAGCTGTTACTGGGGCGAAGGGCGGCCAAACTTTCTTAAAGCGGCAGAAGCTTCACTGAGGGTGTTCGTGTGAATGCAATGCATTGGTTCATAGGCTTCAAAAGGGGGCTTCTGGCCGGGAAGTGGGGCGGCAGTTGGAATAGGTCCTGGAGGTCAGGGCTCTCGCGAGAGCTCCGCCTTCATTCTGGAAAACTCTCCTCCGGAGGGCAGAGACGGGCCTCTGCGGCTATGGGGAATGGGCGAGCACTCTGCATGTGCTCAGAGACTGCCTCCCGTTTAGCGCGAACCACAATTCCCCCGCCCCCACCAGCTGAGCAGCTAGAACGGGTTTGCCAGGGAGAATTGGTTCGCACGTGTATGGCGAGCGCATCTGGGCAGGTGGGGGGCGGCGACCCAGGTGGGGAGCAGGTGAATCCCCCTGACTCATCCTCACATTGGCAGCGATCGGTAGCCCTTAAAGGCAAGAGCCGTCAAACGTGGTGCGTTCACACGGCGCCTCTGTCCAGAAGCCTCTTCGTCCTCCCGCCAATGACGCATCCCCCAGAGGCGCCCCACTCTCGCCCAGACCAGGGCACCCCGCCCAGACCAGGGCACCCCGCCCCGCCCGAGCCGTGGATGCGAGGAAACTGGGCCTGCGCTCCCATCAGGGCTTTAAAATAGGCTCCGAGAGGAGTCCTCTGCACATGCTCCGGGGCGCTCTTGTTTCGCCCTTCTTCCCCCGCCCCGATTCCCGGCACTTCTCTCCCGAGTTCTCCCGCGGAGCTCCCCACCCCCACCCGCGCCTTCCCACGTCGGGAGGCGCAGCAGGGCAGAGCGGGCGTCTGTCTCTTTAAACAATTTGCGCAGTCATCGTCCGCCCTGCCCGGATTGCCAAGTCACCGGGTTCAACTGAGTTCCCTGGGCCACGCCCCCTCGGCGGGCTCCGATTGGCGAGCGGCGGCGAAGGACGAGAGAGGCGCTTCCGATTGGCTCCCGCAGTTTGCAACATCTCGGAATCTTTGCCTGCGTCATTGAGCTGGAACTCTCGTTAAAGCTGCAGTGCGCGCGACCCCGGGAGCAAAGAAACGGGGGCGGGGGGCGGGGGAGCTGGCTTGCAAAGCGAAAGCGGGCGAGCCAGACAGAAAGTCTTGCAAGTCAGCATGAATGGCATCAGTTGCCATGGATGACCCCCCCCCCGCGGCTTCCCCCTATTGCATTCATTAGAGGGCCCCCTCCGAGTCTAGAGAGCCTCTTTCCCGGCCTCCCAGATGGGCTCGCCCCGCCGCAGCTTTTCCTCCCCTCGAAAATGCCAACTCACAGCGGCGGCGGCGCCGGGCATGCCGGGAGGGTGCCGGAGCCGGTGCTCCCCAAACTACATTTCCCGGCAGCCCCTGGCGCGGCCGCGGGGTCTCCCTGGGCCAGCCAGCCGGGCCCCCTCTCCCCTCCCCTCCCCGGCTCAGCCCCTGTCAATCACGGCCGGCTTGGCTCGCACGTTGCAGCGAGACGGGGCGGGGCGAGGGAGGACGCCGCCGGCGCTGATTGGCTGGGCCCGCTTGCCAATCGGGGGGCGGCGACGGCTGGGCGGCAGGCGAGGCCGCCAGCTGATCAGAGGCAGCGGGAGCCGGTGAGTGCGGCGGGGCGGGCGGGCAGGCAGGCGGCCGGCGGGGGGAGAGGGAGAGGGGAAGGGGCGCCGAGTCGCAAGCCCGGCCCCGCCCCTTGAGCCGGGGTCCCTTCGGCCAGCTGCGGGGTTCCTACCCCGGAATGACAGAGGTGGCGGGGGGTTCCTCCCTCGACGGAGGTGGCCGCCCAGGGGTCCCGCTGACTCCCCCTCGCCCCCCTGCTGCTCCCCCGCTCCCGGGCCAAGCGGGGTCCCTGCGCTACTTCGGGGTGGGGGCGAAAGGGTTACTCGGCGGGGCTGCGGCCGGCGCCGCTTATGCAACCAGAGGCCGGTTATAGGGTTTCCAGTGGGTGGCACCCGCCCCACCGCCGCCCCCGCCGGAGGTCACCTTCCCTTGTGCCCGGCCGGGGAGGGACGGCTCGCTGCCCCGCGCCCGACCTGTGCGGAGACCCGGCTGGGGGTGTCTCGGGTGGCTGTCCCCCGACCCCGAGGGGGAGTCCCGAGACCAGCCGCCTTGTTCCCCTCTTCCCACTCCGCGAAAGTTTGGCTGGCCCTGCCGGGGAGGCGTCCGGGCAGCACCCCATGGACGGCACGGGGCCCCTTCCTCCGCCGCGCCGTCGGAGCGCGCCCGGGCCGCAGCCTTGGCCCGGGCCGGCTGCTGATTCATGCCTCGGAGCCCCCGGCAGGAGGGGGTGGAGTCCGGCCGGGCCGCCCTCGGGCCGAAGTTCAGCGCGGCAGACGGGCTGGAATGCGGAGCATCCGGAGCAAACGCGCGTGGAATGCGCGTCGCGCCCCTCGGCGGGGTAAGTGGCGGCCCCGGAGCCGGGCTTGCTGCTGCCCGGCGTTGGCGAGGGTCCCCGCGGTGGAGGTGCTGCCTTTGGCCGGGCCGGGGGGCGTGCCGCGCCGGGGCCCCGAGGGGGGCGGGAGGGCGACTGTGGCCGAGCGGCGCTCCAGCGGGGATGAGTCAGAGCTGCTCTGGCGGAAGCTGCTGGTTCCTTCGGCATCCAGCCGGAGGCCAGAGGGCGCCGCCGCCGCCGCCTGGGGATAAGGCAGGCGGGGAGGCTGCGCAGGGCTTTCGTTCGCCGGGCCAGGGCGGCGGCGGCGGCTGCGCGCCCGTGTCTGCCCGCCTGGGGTCCGTGCGCGCCGTCTAACGTGTCCCCGCTCGCTCCGCAGGCTCTGCGCCTGGTGGGCCCGCCTGGCTACCGCGCAGCAGTTCTTCAGTGGCATGCTTTACGTCTCCCCTCTCGCAACTAAAGCTGCCAGTTGAAGAACTGTTGGCCGTGGCTGCTCCTCTCCTGCCCCGACGGCGCCTCCGGATGGGTGTGGACGCGCCTCGCTGCGGCCTCCGGGTAAGTCGGACGTCTCTTCCGCGGGCTCTGGCCTTGGCTGGGGGTCCGCGGGCAACGTGGCAGCCCCAGCTGGGAGCTGCTGTTGGGGGGCAGCCAGACAGAGGACTTTCTCAGCAGCTCCGCTTAGCCGTTTCCCCCACCCACTCCGGTTCCAGCCCTGCTGGTGCTCCCACCACCGTAGAGACAGACAGCCACAGGATGAAAGGGTGTGTGCTTGCGAGAGAGAAAAATGGCAGCTCCAGGAGGGTTAAGGGAGGAGCTCCACTCCTCTCCCTCCCCAGGAAAGGAGACCCTCCTTGGGGCCTCTAGCCTGTTGGGGGAATTCCTCTGTGGAGCAGAGGGCCACAGAGGCTTGGCAAGCGAGGACAGGTGGGCACCCAGCCACCTCCACCTGAGACCCTCACAGATACTTTCATCCGCAAGTGCAGTTGTGTGGGGTGGGGGCCCAGCAGTAGCGGAATGCAGAATGGGAGCCCCACCACCACAGCTTGGGGGGGTAGGGGGTCTGGCCTTCTCACTGTCTAGTGAAGGGGCCCAGTGTATCTCCCATGACTACCCTTAGCAGCTGAGACATAAGAGGGAGAATATTTGGCGTGAGGGGTGTCTCTGGCAGGGGAACAGGTGAAAGGACAAGCTAGCCTCCCCCCCCCGCCCTCTTCTCAGCAAGGATCCTGTGTCAGCTTATTTGATCCAGTTCTGCTTTCCTGCTGGGAGCCTCTTTTAAGGGGACCTCTTGTCTGCTTTAGCTAAATGAACTTGGTCTGTGTTTTTAGAAATGGTTATTGTGGGGGGGGGGCAGGGTCCTTCCTACAGCTAAAAGAGAGACTCTCTTGCTGCAGAAGCAGGGGAACACCCCTCCCCCCTGCCTGGCCCTCAAAGGTCTGTCCTAGGAAGAACTCCCTGGAGTTTTATACCTGGGACCTTTATTGCATGCAAAGCTGCTGTTCTGTCTCTGAGCTCAGGGTTCTCTCCTTGGAAGCTGCCTGGCAGGGATTCAGCCTTTGCCCCACCAGAGTGCCCCCCCAGCTCCCCTCCTGTGCAATACTGATGCCGAGCCGCTCTTTGCGAGGTGTCATTCCTCTCCTCCCTCCTTAAGATGGTTCTGTAGCAGAGGCTCCCCCACCCCCAAACTGGTTGGAAGGTATCCCCAAAGGTCATTTAGTCCAATCCCCTGCAATGCAACAAAATCTCACCTTCCCGCAAGTCTTTCTGCCTTGAAAGGCCCAACCCTGCCTGACACTTGCCTGACTGGTGATGCAGCTGAGAAACTGGGGAGCCAAGGGGGGCAGGGCCTGCCTTGGGCTGCTTTCCCCTCTGCCCTGGTCCCAGGGAACCCCCAGTCAATGAGGAAGTGAGCTGACCAGAGTGCAGCCAGAGCTGGGGCAAGGGCACCCTCTGCTGGCCAAGAGTGGAACTCCCTGCCTCTCGCCATCTGAGGAGGTGGGGGCTTAGTGGGGGCGTCTGTCTCTCAAATCTCCTTAAGGGGGATCCACCTGCAAAAATCCTATTACATTAAAGGCTCTCACCTGGAGTTCTTTTGGACAAACTGTTTATGAACGCTGCTACAGTGAATTCAGAACAAAAGTGGCAAAGCCCTTCATCATATCAGAGTAAATATTACATTTTGCAAGACCAACTAGGCAGCTCCACAGAATCTAGTGTTGTCTGCACAGGCTGGCAGCCCCTTCTCCCCCCCCCCCCAAAAACACATGGTATGGGGCCCTGCTTGGAAGGAGGGTGGGACATCTGGAGGCAGCTCAGCTCAGGCACTTTTTCTTGGCCTTCAACACAAGCAGAGAGGGCAGCTGGGATCGGAATTTCAAAAGTTTGTGAGAAATCTTGGCAAAAATTAGAAGCTTCAGTGCCTGTTGGGATCAAATCCAGCCTCTTTTTTCTCAGCAGGGGTAGGAGCCTCATGGCCTCTCCCTGGCCCCGATCCTGGCATGGGGTGGGGAGAGAGGTTAGGCCTTCTCTGGTGGGGCTTCTTCATTCATCGCCCTGAAAGGAAACAAGATGGCTGGGGTCACCCAAACAGAGGAAGCATGGCCCTGGTGGGGGTCAGCACCTGTGTTGGGGGGGGGGACCCCTGACGCAACTTACTCTGCCTCATCCTTGGTGATGATCTTCCCCGAGTACAGGACCTCAGCCACCATGGCCACCATGGGGTCAAAGTTCAGGCTGGCCACTGCAGTCACAATGCCATCCCTGCGCAAGGAAGAGAGAGAGCTGGGTCAGGATGGGCCCCCCCCCAGGATCTTTCCCATCAGCCCCCGCTGCCTGACCTGCCTTTAAGGAGAGATTCTGAGGAATGAACCTGGGACTTGCCAGCAGCAATGTCCCCCCGCCCCCAGTGACGGGTGCCACTCTGACAAGCCTCTGCCCCGCCCCACCCAGAGCGGAATGAGTCCTGCATGGCAGGGGGTTGGCCAAGATGACTCTTGGGATCTTTCCAGTTCTACAGTTCTATGTTTCTGTCGGCAGAGGTGCTCTTTCTGAAACTGTCAGGCCCAACGTAAGAGGGCAGGGTTGCCACCCCTCCCCCGCAAGGTGGCAATGGACTCCCATCATCCCTGACCACTAACCAATAGCATTTAGGGGACCCCCCCTTGCTGTCTCCCCTTCCATGCAGTAGGAGTTAGAAAGCACATCAGCCTGAGGGGTGGGGGGGGGAGAGAAAAGGGATCTATCTGCCCCTGCCTTAAGACAGTTTGGAGCGTCACCAGCATTAACGCTCTATCCTTAACCCCCACCCAAAGAAAATACTGTTTTATCAATCAGAAAATGCTATATTGTCGATTTAGAAATACGAAATGCCTTATGCTGTAATTCTGATGTTCAGCTTATTTTTTAGGTTCCGTTTTGCTGACCGAATTTCATAAATTGCAGTTGTTTTACTGATTATTAATTAAATGGTTTGTGCTGTACTTGTTCTGTTATTGTTGTTCATTGTTTTGTGAGCCGCTTTGGGTTTCATCTGAATGGAAAGCAGCCCAGAAAGGCAACCAATCCAATCCAGAGCACGGCAGTTGCTTCTCTGCAGCGCTGGGCATAGGGGCTTCTGCACTGGCAACTGGGGCCCCTGCTCGGCTCCCCCCATGACCAAGCGGAGCTCTTGACTCACCTGATGTAGAAGATGAGGAACTTCTCCTGGCTCAGATCTCCCTTGAGCACCGTCTCGGTGTAGCCGATCCCGCAGCCTGTCAGGCAAGAGGGAGCAAAGTTTTGGGATCTGACAGGATAGTTGGCAGGCAGCTGGCAGAGGATTGAGACCCCTCTTGGACATGAGGCTCACAGCTCTAGGATGGCATTCTCTAGGTGGTTTATGCAGATATTATGTTTTTATATTTTGCTGGAATCCGCCCAGAGTGGCTGGGGAAACCCAGCCAGATGGGTGGGGTATAAATAAGAAAACTACTATTATATTTCATAAAATTCATACAGCGCTAGACTAAAAAAACCCAGACAAACTGCCAAGTAGATTTACTGAAAGATAAAAATGAGGAAATGAAGAAAAAAATGTGGCAGTACTTTAAAACATACAAAAGTTAAAATGTTAAAACAGGTTAAAAATCACCTCAACTCTCTAAGCACCTGGACAAGCTTTTCTAAACAAGAATGCTTTTAGCAGGTGCCAGAATGAGTACAGCGAAGGCTCCCGCTTGATATCAATGGGCAGGGAGGTCCAAAGTGTAGGCGCTGCCACACTAAGTGACTGGGCTCTTACAGATGAAGGGCTGGGATTATGGGGCACCGCCAGCTGGTTGGCTCCTCTGCCTCCTGGCGGCTTTGGGGTGTGTGCCCCGCCCCCCTCGCCTACCTGCGTAACGGATGCTCTTGGCCTGCAGCTTGGTCCAGAAGAAAGGCACCGTGTGCAGCTCCTCCTGCCTCTGCAGCATGTTGAGGGCAGCCACGCGGCCTGGGGGGGAGAAGTGGGGAACAGCCCTCAGAGGAAGGATAGGGGGGCTGTGGTCAGTCCTCTAGGGATCACTCTGAGGACACAGCGACTGAGCAGGGATAGCTGCCCCCACCCCTTTCTGGCTTTTTCTTTTCCTGCCCGCCCCTTCCTCAAGAAAGCAATCCTCTATTCTCTGCGGTCAGTAAGGACTAGAAACCTGGTGTTTCTTTAAGAAGAAACACATGCAAGCTCTAGGCTCTGGGCAACTAATTCTGCAAACGCTGTACTTGGGCCGAGGGGACTGCACATGCCTTCCCCACTCCTGCAGTGCCTACCGTGGGCTTGGGCGATTTGCCAGTGGCAGATGTCGATGTTTTTCCCTCCGAGCAGAGCCACGGGGAAGGAGGCCACGTCCCCAGCAGCGAAGACAGAGGGGGCACTGGTTTGCATGAACTGAGGAGGCAAAGGAGATAGATGGTGGTCAGAGATGGGGAGGGGACAGAGGGAGGGGGGGTCCTCTGCATCTTCCACCTACCAAATCCACGACGACGGCACCTCTGCGGTCCAGCACAATGGAGCTGTCCTGAAGGAAGCTGGAATTGGGGGTCACTCCTGGGGGGGGTGAGAGGGGGGAGTGAGGTGGTGGCCTTGCCCAGCTGGCACCAAAGTGCTTTGCCCTGGCCTCTAGCCTGGCATTGCTGAAGCCCTGCCTGATCCCTCCTTGCCAAGCCATGTGACTTACAAATTATTTTCTCTGTGTGTGTGTGTGTGCGCTTATTTATTTGCTTGTTTGAGGGGAACACTAAGCTCCCCCTTTCAGAGCAAGATTGTGACCCTGCTGGGCTCTGAACAACTGGCATGACATGCTAGAAATCATTGTAGCTAAAATAGCAAAGGATATGTAATAATAATAATAATTTATTATTTATACCCCGCCCATCTAGCTGGGTTTCCCCAGCTACTCTGGGCGGCTTCCAACCAAATATTAAAAACAACACAGCATCAAACATTAAAAACTTCCCTAAACAGGGCCGCCTTCAGTTGTCTTTTAAAAGTAAAATAGTTGCTTATCGCCTTGACATCTGTTGTACTGCTGAAGACATTTTTTTTATTCTGTGCCTAGATATTATTCTTGAAAAATAAATAGAAACATACAGAGAAAGAAAGAAATCATTCCAGTTCTGCAATGGGTGGGTGGCAAGAGCACCATACCTTGTTGCCAGAGAGTGCAAAGGGCTTCCACCTTTTTTGGGTGTGGGGGGAGGAGAAAACACCACCATCCCCGTATGTGGGGTACAGAGCCCAGGCTGCCTGCCCTGCTGCTCATGGGGGATAGCGCTCCCTCCCTACAGCCCAACCCTTCAACTCACCTATTCCCACCACCACCACATCTGTGAGGATCACCTGCCCGCTGCTCAGAAGGACCTGCGTGACCTGGGGGTGGGGAAGGAAGAAGAGGAAGGCAGCTGTGATTTGAGGACCTGCCAAGCCCTCAGCCTCCCACTTTTGTGGTCGCTGAGCTCAGCCCCTGCCCCCCCCCCCCACAGACCTTTCCTCCTTCGCCTTGCAGTTCTGTCACCTCTGCCTGCAGGTGGAACTTCACTCCCTGCACCTGAAGCATCTGCAGAGGTGGAAGGAGACACAGGTGTTGGCCTTGGAGCACCCAGGGAGGGCAGGCAGCCGGCACCTTCTCCTGGGATGCAGCTACACTGGGAGGCTTGGGTGGGCATCACAGGTGCCAGAAAATGCCCACAAGAAATTACCCTCCACTTTCTCTTTCCAAGAGGTCGCCCCATAACCCAGCCTGGAGCTGTTCCAAGACCACCTCCTAGTCAAGCCTCGGGGTGTGGGGGGGAGGAAGGTCCGATCCACCCTCAGAGCATGCCAAGCAGGCACTCTGGCCCTGAGCTGCCACCTCGTCCCTCTCTAGAAACCCCTCTGGCTCCACGCCTGGGCTGCTCACCTTCATGGCCACGTGGCCCACCTGGCAGCCCAGGGCTACGTGGTATGGGCACTCTGCCCTCTCAATCACCTCGATGCAAGCGGCTTTGCCCACGAGGCTGGCGGCCACTTCCATGCCTGCAAGGAGGAGAGGAGGTGCCTCACTCGGGGTGCAGGGGGGAGAGGCCAGCTGCGTCTCTTTGCTCCTAGGGACCTGCTTCGCAGAAGGTTCCTTAGAGCCAGGCTTCTGCAGCTGCTCTGTCCCTGCCTTCCCCCCTGCTGCTTGCCGGGCCCACCCAAACTGAGCGTGCCTGGTTTCCATACCGATGAAGGACGCTCCCACAATCGCCACCCTCTTGCCCGTTGCCAAGCGCAGGATCCGGCTGGAATCTTCAGGGGTGAGGAGGACGCAGACGTTCTGGAGGTTGGCGCCTGGGCACTGGAGACGCCTGGGGCTGAAACGGGGGCAAGAGGAGAGGGGGCTGAGCAGGATGGCTTGGCTTATGGTAGGGGCAGTGTTCAAAACTCCCATTGTTCTAGGCACGTTTTGCGACAGGGAATTTCAGTAGCACGAGCAGTTTCTGAGCTCTGGGCGCAGTACAGTACCCTTATGCCTGGGAGGGGGCAGTGCCTACCTGCTGCCCGTGGCAATCAGCAGGTGGTCGTAGGTCTGCCAGGTCCCGTCACTGAACTCTGCCCTTTTGCCATTCAGGTCCAGAGACGCCACCTGCAGCCAGGCCAAAGAGAGGACCCGAAGTGGGACTGTGATGAAGGGATGGGGGATAGACAGAGTCCTAGAGCAGCAGAGTTGGAAGGGACCCCAAGAGTCATCTAGTCCACCCCCATGAACTAAATCTGCCCTTAACATCCTCCTCAGTTGACCCTTTGACCACAGTCCTTAAATGGCCTGGGGAAGAGCTTGGGCTTAAGAAAAGCCTCATCCTGCAGGACAAGGGTCAGCACTGCTAGCTCCTCATCCTGCCTTTCTGTTTGTCCTTTCCATTGTTCTGAAGTGGGGGCACCCCATTTTGCATGGCATGAGACCCCTTCCTTATGCAAAGGTGCAGGGGTTTGTGTGGCATCATCCATGTTAGTGGGGGGGGTCTCCTTTCGGTGTCCTGATCTCCCCCCACCACCACTCACCTCTTTCTCCATCCAGACTTCGATGTTGTGAGCATCCAGGAAGCTCTGAGACCGCAGGTAGATGTCTGTTGCTTTGGTACCCAATGCCTATGAACAGCAAAGGAAGGAGACCTGCTTTATACCAGTGTTATTTTTGTTGTTTTATATTTATTTATACTCTGCCTTTCCCCCTGACATGGAATCAAGGCAGCTTACAGCTAAAAACACTGGGGGGAAACAATAATTTAAAAACTCTTAATTTTAGTTTTTTTCATTTAATTCTAATCTATAGAATTAAAACTATGCCTATCGATGGATCTATATAATCTATTAAAAGATACAAATTACTGCAATAAAAACTTCACAGCACCAGCCCTTTCATTAAAAAGCAACCAAAGGACGTCACCTGCTGGTGGAAAGACAGCAAAGAGGGAGCCTGTCTGGCTTCAATAGGCAGGGAGTTCCAAAGCTGCCTGGGAGAAGATCCCTTTGAAGACTGGGAGCACCCAGCTCATCTCTCCCCAGCCCAGCAGTCTTCTAAAGCAGGGGATTTAAAAAGTGGTGGGGTTCCTGCTAAAGGGCAGTATAAAAATGCCATCATGTGGCAGAGGGGGTGCCCATCTTTTTGGGCAAGTGGGCACAGGTAGTGCCTTGGGCACCAGCCACAAAACGGCTGCCATGCAGAATGTGGCATCGTACACCATTAAACAACTGTCATGCCTACCCTGCCCCCGGGCAACCTTATGCCTGCCCAGAGAAGGCCAGTGCTTCCTGCTGGTCCTGGGTGGGCAGATCCCACCATACTGATCCTCTGTGCCAGGAAAAATGGGCAAGGCAGCCACACCACCCTCTCAGTTCTCAGAAATCACTTCCAAGGTGCCTCCACCTCTTGCCCCGTAACTTTCCTTCTACGGAAGCTAGAGACATCCTCATTGTAAAAAACAAAAGCTGAAAGTCTGGGCCCCCTGAAAACCTTGGGTGTTCCCTGGTGTAATGAATGAGGGGCAAAGATGTCCCACCCTCAGCGTTTTCAGGTATTATGAGCCCCACTGCTCATGCCCCAGGCCCCCCAGAGACCTTGCTCAGCTTCGTCTTGTCGTAGGGCAGGTGGTTCTCCCGGGTCACCATGACGATTCTGCCAGTAAAGCCCTCCTGGCGAAGGATCTCAGCACAAGTCAGGGCTGCGGGGCCTAGGAAGGAGAGGGCAGCCTGGTGAGCAGTGATGACTCTTTGGCACTCTGGGGGACACCCCCCCAGCCTCGGCCCTCCTGGACTCACCTGCCCCCAGGAGCAGCGCCATCTGGCTGTTGAGCGGGTTCCGTTTGCTCATGGGCTTCACCCTGTGGCTGCTCTCCAGGTCCTGCCAGAAAGTGGGGGGGAGGGGCAGATGGGGAGAAGAAGGGTGTGAGCCTGGGCTGTGGCCGGGCAGGAGGAAGGACCGGTAGCCAACAACATGGCCTCCCTGACATCCAGCCTTGAGAAGGGGAGGGGAGTCAGAGTTCCTTACCTTAATCTTGGCCGTGACGTACACATGCCCACCGTCCACAGTCACCTGCAGAGACCCAAAGGATACTGACTGGAGCTTGGACAGCAGAGGGTTAATGGGGCTGCAAATATCCCTTGATGCTCTGTAGGAATTGGGCACAGACATCTTTTGGTGGCTCTCTAACTCCCCCCACCCTGCACCAAGGAAAATATGAGGTAGCTGAGGGCGTGGGGTGTCTCTGGGGCAGGAAGCCAGGGGGGAGCAGGAACTTTTCAAGGGAGACCCAGAGAGAGACGAGGATTCTGGGTCTCTGGGGAGCCACCTCCCTCCGGGGATCTGATGGGGAGCAGTGCATTTTGGGTGTGTGAAGCTGTGCCTGCCGACTCCACCTGTGCTCAGCCTGTATATTGGTAAGTGAATGCAACAGCCACAAAATGCTCGTAAGTCTCCTGTGACTTTTCCTTCCAGAGGAAATCAAAGCCCAGGCGAGTCCTGCGTTTGTGGGACTTCTCACCCCCAAGGGAAGTAAGTGGGGCCACGTGGAGCCATCCTCTTTCCCACTGCAGCATTTGTGGACTGGCTTCCCTCTACTGAGGTTGACCAAAGGCCAGGATTCCAGCTGCCACAGGCATTAAAACACACACTGATTTATATGCTCATTTTGACGCCTTCACAGCTGACTCAGTTGAGGCTGACTTTGGTTGTGGCCACCAAAGGCAGCTTATAGCCGTAATAATTCACATGGCACAACTGAGTCAGACCCTTGGTCTATTGAGCTTAGTATCCTCTACTCTGACATGCAGCAATGGCTCTCTGGGATTTCTGGCAAGGAATCCAAACCTCTCCTGGGGTTGAACGGGCCTGAAGAAGTCATCCCTTCCACAGCCTGCCTAAGGGCCTTGAGAGAAGAAGGCAAGCCAGCCGCTCTCGAAAGGGAGCACCACAAGCTCAGGTGCCACAGGCGAAAAGGCCCCGCCATCCGTCTGAAGGGGCAACAAGATAAGCAGCAGGGCCTGGGCAGGGAGGCTGTCCTTCCAAGATCCTGGCCCTGAATTGGGCATGCAGTGGAGCACAGGCACCCTTAGCAGCCCCTTCCACCCAGGCAGGGAAGCTGCGCAGCAGGACCACAGCGGAGGCCTCCCCCTCCCTCTCAGGACGCAAAAGGCCCCTTGGCTCTCTGTGCAAGGAAGCCCCAGCAGATGGGGCAGTCAGAATCAGAGCGCACCTTGAAGGATGTGAGGCAGTCCAGGGTGGGGTATTCCTCAATGTCCCCCGTCTTGAGGCTGAAGCAAGCCCCGTGCCAGGGGCAGCGGATCCGTCCCCGTCCCAAGTAGCCTGGAATTCAGAAGGAGAGACCAGCTGAGCAGGAGAGAGAGAAACAGGCAGGGAGGAAGAGAGATGGGAGAGAGGCACTCCCTTACCTTTGCTGAGGGGGGCTCCGGCATGGGTGCACCTGCTCCCCAGAGCGCTGAACTGCAGGTGGTCCCTCACGAGCAACACCGGGTGCCCAGCCACCTCCACCTCTCGCATCCTGCAAGCGGAAGGGAGACAGGGGGCCCTTGAGAAGCAGAGGCTCCTTCTCCCTCCAGAAGCCTATTTTTGGGAGGGTTCAGTGGTGCTCTCCAGAGGAGTTTCCTAGGAACTGGACTCCCCCAGCCCACCCACCCAAGGGAGCCAGGGACTCCAGGGTTCAGGGTCCAAAGGAGTCCGGCAGGCAGGCAGGCAGGGATTGTCCTGCTGCCAGTTGCCCTCCCCCCCCGTGCAATCTCCTGCCTCCACAACAGCGAAGGCCAGAGGACCAGGACAGATGCTCCAATCTCTTTGTTGACTCGGAGGTCCAAGTGCACCAGGTCTGCAGGGTGGATGGTTCTGCACCGTTTGCAAATGACAACATGTCTAGCTCGCTGTGAAACAAGCTAATGTGAAAGCAGGAAAAGAAGCCTTTGCTGAACCTGAGCTGCCAAACAACTCTGCAAGGCCTTGGAGACATGTGCAGATGGGTGGGGAGGCTTGTATAAGACCCGAGCGGGAATTATGCAAAGGCCTTTGCATAACATGCAGGCTCGTAACATGCCGCCTGGCTCAGCTCCTGTTCTGGGCAGCCCGATGGCTTAAGAAACCGTAATGGAAAAGAAAGCAGCCCATGCACAAGGCCAGGAGACATATATTGTAAAAGTGGGGAGGGAGGAGGGGAACCTGGCAGCCTTAAAAATGTGTCCTACCCCCCCCCCCCCATCCAGACAGTCTGCAGGTCTATAAAAGGGCAGAACTGGGAGGGGCTGGGTAGCCAAGCAGAAACCGGAGGAAGAGGAGGCAGAAGTTAGAAGCAGGAGGGCTGGGTGGGGGGAGCAGGGAAGGAAGGAAGGAAGGAAGTCTTCCTTCAGGAGTGGGGGAGGGGGAGAGAGAGAACGCTTCCCTGTGTGTGTATCTATATCTGGATCTATATATATCTGGATCAGCTCACAGCTTTCAAAGGCTAGACAGATCCATGCAGGAAAGAGAAGTCAATCATTGGCTATTAGCCTCAGGAGCTTCATGTGGAACCTCCAGGGACAGAGGCAGTCTATCCCTGAGCAGCTGGGGAGAAGCGGCAGGAAAGGGCTGTTCCCTCCGTGTCTTGCTTGGTGGTCTTCCATGGTGGCACTGCTTCTGTTCACACAGCCAAAACAAACGCAGCAATGCTTTTACCGCTTCCCTGCCATCTATACTCACTCTCCGTCATACATGTCATCCACCTGGCAGACCTGCTGCGTGACGACCGTGTCTCCCCCTTCCATGGCTCCTGCTGGAGGCCCAGAAGAAACAAGGTCAGGCAGAGAAAACAAGGGCAGACCCTCCCTCCCTGAGCAGCCTCTCTTGTCTGCCCCCCACCCTGGGACCTCTCTCAGCAGAATGAGCAGCGAGATGAGTGGGCGGAAGCACCTGAATCCACCTGGGCCACACCCCAGTTCATTAAGTCTGGATTAACATTGCCCAGCTGCACATTCCAGCAGACCAGGGAGTGAGTTCCACAGGGCAGGACTCAGTCAGAAGGAAAGGGAGCGAAGCTTGCTTTTTTCTGACATCAAAGGCATTACGTGAAACATTATCTCTGACAATGATGACACCAGATTCCCTCATGTTGCGTTTGTAAAAGAAGAGAGCCCAGGGCAAATCAACACCTAATTCCTTGCCAGTAGTCGGCTGGCAATGCAGAGAAAGCACTCCACACACTCTCAGGGGCACTCTCTTCTTTATTAGCACACACTATCCTTTCAGCTGCCAAGCACCTTGTGGTGGCTCAGCCCTCAGCAGTTTCTGATAACACCCAGCTGACAGCCCTGAGTTGAGAGGGGGGGCTCAGCTCCGGGGCAGAGCTCACTGTTCCGCATGCAGAAGACCCCAGGCCAGCTCCGGGAAGTGTCTCCTGCTGAGAAATGAGCCAGCAGCTGGTGATGGCGAGGCAGGCCCAGTCCTCCTTTGCCTGGGACCAGAGACAGAAGACACTCATTGCAAAGTATTGGAAGACACTCATTGCAAAGTATTGGAAGACACAAGATCTACCCACACTGGAGGAATGGCAGATGAAAATGATGGAATACATGGAATTGGCGGAAATGACTGGCAGAATCCGTGACCAGGGAGAAGAGTCGGTGGAAGAAGATTGGAAGAAATTCAAAGACTATTTACAGAAATACTGCAAAATTAATGAATGTTAGAATGATGTTGGATTGAAGTTAAGGGGTTTCTAGCTGTACATGCTAAAAGAATATGGAAAAATTGGTTTTAATATGTAAAATCTAAAATTTAAAGCTATATTATATCAAGATTAAAGATTAGGATTAAAAAGGAGGGAAAGGAACTGTTGTACTAACATATTTAATTAGAATACAAAAGAGGGAGGTAAGAGGAGGTCCGAGAAACAAGTAAATGTAAAAGAAGTGAGGAAAAGATGAAATTGTTTTTAATTGTTTTTTCCTTTTTTCCTTTGTATTTTTTCTTTTTATTGTTAATTTTTTCTTCGTTAATGTGGTGTTTTTTTCTTGTGAAATTTTAATAAATATTATTTAAAAAAAAGAGAGAGAGCCAGAGAGGCAGGCTGCCTGGCAGAGGGAGGCAGGCCAAGCTGAGATGAGGGCTGGGCAGACCTCACTCTTGTGGGACCTACTTTGTGCCCTCTGACTAGGACCCCCAAGCTCTACCAATCAGAGTCAGGTGCAAGAGACAGGCAGCTATGGCATGAGAGAGACAGAGAGGGCAGGGGAGCCTCCAAGCACCTTCTGAGCTAAGGGCCTTTGTTCTCAGTGGCAGAACCGTTTAATTTAATTTTATAAAATGTATACACGACTTTGTAAAAAACAAACCAACCTCAGAACAGTTAACAAACAGAATATGATGTGACCTCACAGCCCTCTCCCATAAATCCACTTTGAGGTTGGCTGCTTCTTACAATCAAGCAGTATATTTTTCATGAAATAAGCATGATGTACGAACAAAGCCCCACTCCTGATCAGCATCTCCCCCCTCCCAATTCAGGAGCCTAACTTAGCACACCCAATGCTGTTCCCCAGTTTCATTTTACTGCAGGGCAGTTGGGAGCCCCTCACCCCAGCTTCTCTCCTCCCGGCTCCTGGGGTGCGTCTTTCCCAGTGTCACCTCCCTCAGTGCTCTTACCCAGCCGCAGCTGGAGTGGCCAGTGTCCTTCTACATCTCAGGCACCTTCTGGTGTGCTGCTTGCGTGTGGGAAGGCAAGAGGATGTGCCTGGGGGAGGGAAGCCACTGGGCCGGAAGAGGCAGAACCAGGTGCTTCGGGTGCCATCTATTTATTTTTTGTGAAATTATTCCTGAGCCTTCAATGGCAGCTCATCAAATACAACTTTTTATCAAGGGACCCTTTCCCTGACACAGAAACAAATGGCACCATGACAGAGTTTGCAAGCCTGGCGCCCAACGCATGTTTTGGACTACAACTCCCATCAGCCCCTAGGTCATCACCACTGGATAGGCTAACAATTGGGCTTGGATTGGAGGGATCTGGGTTCAAATGTCTATCCGTTGATTGGAGAACCTTCAGCCAGCCAGCCTCTCTCTCTCTCAGCCTACCTCAAAGGAGCGTTGTGAGGGTTCAATGGCTGCTGTTACAAGACAGAGAGACAGTGCATAGGAACATAGGAAGCGGCCTTATACCAAGTCAGACCATTGGCCCATCTTGCTCAATAGTGTCTCCAGTGACTGGCAGCTGCTCTCCAGGGCTTCAGGCAGGGGGTCTCTCCCAGCCCCACTTGGAAATGCCATTGGGGATTGAACCTGGGACCTTCCATTTGCAGGGCGACATTCTACCCCCGAGTACTTGGGATGCTGCCTTCTAACAATCGGCCTGATCACCTAAGCTAGGATTGTGGCAGGCAGGGAAAGGTCTTCCTCACTGCCAGAGACCCTTCCAACAGAGCACAGGGAAACATCGGTGGCCGCCCTCCAGATCCCCTCAGCATCCTCCTCACCCCTAGCTATGAGCCCAGGCTGGCTGTGGAGAGCCCAGCAGGCAAGGCCAGGGAGGAAGCAGCAGCCTCCCAAAGGCAAGACAGGTTCTCTGTCCCCAGGGGGGGAATCAGATGTTGGCCAGCCACCCTTCAAACTTGGAGGGAAGCCCCATCCCTTGTACCTCCTTCAGCCTGTACTGCCAGGGAGGTGGCCTGTGGTAGTGCCAGCGAGGCAAAAGCAAGTACTCACGGCCTTCGATTCGGTTTCCCTGGAGCTCAGCTGATCCGCCTGTGGCTCCCTCCCTCCCGGCTTCTCCTGGGAGAGAAGGTGGGTGTGAAGAGAGGCAGCCGGCCTGCTTCAACCAGTTCCTCCTCTCACCTCCTGCCGCCAATGCACAGCTCCTCCACGGCTGTTGCTCTGCTGGAAACTGGGGCCCCCAGGGGCACCCCTGTTGCTCCGGAGGGCTGAGACCTGGAGAGGAGCTTCTGGATCTCCTTAATCAAGGTGTCAGAAAGGGAGTGTGCAGACTGCCCATGGGGTAATGAGCAGCTGGGCCTGGGTGTGGCAGAGGCTTGGCAACTCCTACATCACATGCAATGAGGCAGGAGTTGCTCCATCCATTTCAGGACTGTCTACGCTGACAGAAAGAGAGCCATTCCTAGCCCTCCCAGGAGATGCCACTGGGGACTGAGCCCAGGCCTTCTGCATGCCAAGCAGGTGCTCTGCCCCTGAGCTACGAGGACCCTTCCCAAAGCCAGCCCAGCCAAGGATACTTCTTCTTGGACTTGCAGCCTCAATCCTCTTCCTCTCCAAGTTGGGGGAGGCGAACAGTAATACTCAAGCCCAGGCTGTTGGGGCCTAACTGCAAACCATCTCTCCGCTGCCCCTACAATCTTTGGAACTCCCTGCCTATTGACACCGGGCAGGTGCCTTCGCTGCACTCTTTTCGGCACCTGCTAGAAGTGCTTTTGCTTCGACAAGCCTACCCAGATGTTTGGAAAGTTGATGTGAGTTTTGATCCGTTTTTAATCCCTTGTTATTTTAGCTTTTCAAATTTCTTAACTTATTGCTGCTATATTTTCTTAGTAATAATTTCATTGTTTTATCTCTTCTGTAAACCAGCTTTGAGGTGTTTTGTTTTTTTAATAATCAAGTGGCGGATAAATTTTATGAAACAACCAGCAAAACTTTCATTTGTATAGACAAGCAGATGTGAAGAAGGTGGACAGGATGGAGGATGCGGAGGGGACCCAGCAGGCAGATAGGGATATGGGCAAGATCCTGCTCTCTGGTGAGAACAGCCTCTGAGTCAGCAGGAAAAAGGGAGAGGCAAGTCCTGGGCAGGGGAGCAAAGATGCAACAGGTTGGTCCTCTAATGAATGATGAGTCCTTTATTGACTGAGTCCTTTATTAGAGCAAAGTCTGCAAGTCTGATGTTGCAACAGTGACTTGACTGGCTCTGGTATCGCTTGCAGAAGCACAAGAGTGTGCATAAAATTAGCGTTGCCAGAGGTTGGGTGTCAGTTTAGAAAGAAAGGCATAGCTTAATAAACATTGGCAGAAAATTTCTGGCACGGCCTCCCCTACAAGTTGTAGAGTAAACGATTGGGGGGGGGGGAACCCAAGAGAAAGCATGGCCATGGGGCAAAGCAATAGCAAAGGATGGCGCCCAAGACTACGGAATGAGTTTGCTGTGTCAGTGGACAAAGATTAGGCAGGCATTCTCTGGAGGGCTGTTAGCCTTAGGAATGTAGGAAGTTGCTTTCTACCTCAGAACATTGATTCATCTAGCTCTGTACTTACACACTCACAGGCAGCAGTGGCTCTCCAGGGTCTCAGACAGGGAGCCCTTCCTGGAGATGCTCTCTGATGGGAACCTCTGCATGCTCTCTGGGGAACCTCTGCATGCAAAGCAGATGCTCTGTCACTAAGCTCTGGCCCTCTGACCCTTGGCCAAGCCTGTGGGGAAGAGCGCATACTCAAAGTGTGCCCTCCCACTTTCTCATATGCACACACAGGCTGGTGGCATCCCCAGTATTTGATGACTGGAGGTAGGTCTGAATCCCCTTAAGAGCCCTGGGCTCCCTCACCCCAAGCTTTGTGCTGATTTTATTTCTTCTTTTTCACCTTTTCTTCTGCCACCAACATTGTCTAAGTCTGGGAGAGGGCAGACAAATTTGCCTGTTTTCCCCCAAACAGAGCGTTTTGCGCTGGCTGGGAGTGATGGGGGTTGTGGTCCAAAGCATGTGGGGGATTGGCACCAGATTGGCACAGGCTGGCATGGTGTCTGCTTTAGCAACGCTTCCCATGCAGTTTGGTGCCTGAGGGAATTTACATGCGCCTTTGCTCAGTCAAAACAACGCAGATTTTTCTCAATCTGTTACAGGCTGTACTCAGTGTCAAAGTAATGAATGGGCGTTATGTCCTGAGGTCCGTTAATTTCAAGGTATCTACTCTTAGATGGGAGTGAGAGATTTTACTTTCTTGGGCTCCATGATCACTGCAGATGGTGACAGCAGTCACGAAATTAAAAGATGCCTGCTTCTTGGGAGGAAAGCAATGACAAACCTAGACAGCATCTTAAAAATCAGAGACATCACCTTGCCAACAAAGGTCCGTATAGTTAAAGCTATGGTTTTCCCAGTAGTGATGTATGGAAGTGAGAGCTGGACCATAAAGAAGGCTGATCGCCAAAAAACTGATGCTTTTGAATTATGGTGCTGGAGGAGACTCTTGACTCATGGACTGCAAGACGATCAAACCTGTCCATTCTGAAGGAAATCAGCCCTGAGTGCTCACTGGAAGGACAGATCCTGAAGCTGAGGCTCCAAGACTTTGGCCACCTCATGAGAAGAGTAGACTCCCTGGAAAAGACCCTGATGTTGGGAAAGATGGAGGGCACAAGGAGAAGGGGATGACAGAGGACGAGATGGTGGGACAGTGTTCTCTAAGCTACCAGCATGAGTTTGACCAAACTGCGGGAGGCAGTGGAAGACAGGAGTGCCTGGTGTGCTCTGGTCCCAGGGGGCCACGAAGAGTCGGACATGACCAAACAACAACACTCTTAGATGGAGAGAACGACCCATATCTACAAATTAGACATGAATATTATTATGTTGGTAGGTTGTTAATCATTTTCAAAATGATTAGGTGGGCAGACCCCTCCCCTCCCCGCGTCCACTTTTCCGGAGGCCCCTCGCCCCGCTCCCGGGGGGCTCTCTGCGTGGCCCACCCGAGCCACCCTAGCGGTGGCGCTCTGTGCGCGCGCCGGAGGAGCGCCTAGCTGACCCTGCCCATTCCTGACCGGTTGGGTCCTTGCTGGCGAGGAATGGGACCACGGCATCCAACGCGGCTGACGCTGCTGCTCCAGGGCGTGCCTCCCTGCCCCAGTTTCCCCGCTGGAAAGGGATCCCCGTGTAGTCCTGCCGCTGCCCAGCCGCGCTTTGCTGCTTGTGGGCGGCGAGCTCCGCGCAGCCCTCCCGTTGCTCTTTGCCGGGAACCGGACCCTACAGGACCAAGTCGCTCCGGCCGCGTCACTTCTGCCGCCGCTGATCCCGCCCGCAGCGCCCCCTCCCGTCCCGTCGGGGCGTGCCCGTCGCCATGGAGACGGGCTGGCCGAGGAGCCAATGGGAGGCGCGCCCGGGGGCCCGCTTCGTCCGGCGGCTCCTGCTCCTGCTGCTGTGCCCGGGCGCAAAGGGAGCTAGAGGCGCCGCCGTCGGGGGCACTTCTCTGGGGCGCGGCCGGGCGAGATCGGCGGGGCCCGCGGCCCGCGGGCAGCCCCTCGATGGATCTGCTGGTCCTGGGGGGGTCGGTGGTCGCCTTCCGGCTGCTCAACGGCGGCCTGGAGCGCCTCGTGCCGCCGCCGCCCTCGGCGCAGCGCAACCGCTGGAAGTGGCGGAACATTTGGACCTCGCTGGCGCACAGTCTGCTTAGTGGCTCGTGGGCGCTGCTCGGGTGAGTCGGGGGGCCGAGAGAGACTGGGCGGAGTTGGGGGAAAACCGGACAGCGCGCGCTCAGGGGTCTCACGGCTGTCTCTCTCCTTTTCCAGCTTCTACTTCCACCCGCAGATGGCGGAGGACCTCATCGACACCCACTTGCCCGCCGCGCACCACCTGCTCGGGATCTCCGTGGGTGAGTGGCCGCCAGAAGGGGCAACAACAGGAGGAGGGGTCCCCGCCGCAGCCGACCCCCGCTCCTCCTAGACGCTGACCATAAAAGACGGGCGAGAGGGAGTGTGTGAAGCCGCACATGGTGGGCACAGTGGCTGGCACTCTGTGCGCACCCAGAGGCACTTTGCCCACGATTCCCCGGCCCAGAGCTGAAGTGGGATTGAAAATGGGCCCTGGAAGCTGAACACAGCGCTCTGGACCCAAGGAAGCCACAGAAGGACGCGTGTGGGAAAGATTGCCTCGGTGCCCCCAGAGCCTTCCCTTTCAATGGCTGCTCTGCTTGCCTGCCTTTGTCCCCTGGGGCTGCAGCCTCAGCAGCTGACCCAGGGGGCGGGAAGCGGCTGGTGCCAGGCTATCTCCTGGGTGCGCCTCTCGCCACTTCCCTCTGGCAGGCACGTGACCTGGGGGCAAACAAACGAGCCCATTCTCATCCCTTGCTGCTGCCGCCACAGCAAATTCCTCTCCGCAGAGTTCAGCCTCGCTGCCCTCCCCCAAGAGATAGAGAGTCATTGAAGCGCATGCAAAGCCCCCCTTGGGCCACGCCCCAGCCTCAGCCCATGCAGCAGACCCGTTTCAGGGCTATGTCTGGCTATGTCTCCCCACCACTGACAGTATATAGCATGGTAAGCTTCCTCTAGATAGCAGGGAAACGGGGAAAGTCACTGGGACATTTGCTTTGGTTCACTTTCCACAACAGAAGCCTGCAAAGCAAGGCACAGAGAGGTGGCAAGCCTCGCCTGCTGTTTCTCCCCAGCGGTTCAGTGGTAGACTGCCTCTGACCCTGGAGGTTCCGCGCAACACTCTTGAGCGCATAGCCAGTGAGTGCCTTCTCACTCCTCCTTTTCAAAGCAGGCTCCAGAACTGTACCTGACCGCAGGTCCCTGAGGATGGGGCCTGGGAGAGATGCGAGTGGCCCAAGGGGCTTGGGGGGAGGCCTTCCAGAGCTGGGCCACGTGGCCTCTTTCTCTCCCCACACTCCGGTCTTTTGCTCCAACAGACATTCTTCCGGATCAGGAGAGAGCAGGGCACCCGCCTGGGGGAATTAGATTCCTGGATGTGGAGATGCCCCACCCAGCACAATGAGATTTCTTTGCCAGATACTCTTGAGGCAGGGGATGCCACGAGGAGGAACAGGAACGCTTCTCATGTGACTTTTAAAATAGTCGGCGGGGGTGGGGTGTTGTTATTCCAAGTCCCAGAGTCCTAGCCAAAGGGGCATGGAAATGCCTTGCGGTTGCCAGCCTTGCTGAGGCTGCTGCCTTCCCCTATTGGCAAAAAAACTCTTTTTATTTTTTGGCTGTGTGTCTTCACCTGCCTTGATCCCTCTGGTGGCACTCAGGACTGGGCTCTTGGCACTCGTGCCCATGTCGACGAGGAGAAGGACGTCCCAGTGAACAATTTGGGGGCCTGGAGGGGTTTCATCTTCTTAGCATTTGACAGAAGTGGGTGGAGAATCCTGTGTTTCCATAGATCATTTATTTGATGCATGGGATTCTGTCTTAAAACATGCCCAAAGCAGCTTAGGAAGATCACCTTTGAAGCAACATATAAGCACAGCAGCCGGCAGTTAAAATTATGCCGCAACCAGAGACTCAGTTTTCGTAAATTATAACTAAAGGCCGTAAGAGCAGGCAGGTCCAATCTATCAGAGTGGATCCCTTGTGTGAGTGATCCTGCAGGCTCTGCTGGTGGGGTTTGTCCTTGAGCTGTGAGAGGGCTGGGGCAGCTATGGCTTCAACCTGGATCATGAGCTTAAATCCCAGGACTCAGTCACAGAATACAGGCAAGAGCGTCTCTGAACCTGTGCAGGTGCTGAGGCAGTATTCAGGTGGCATGGTGCCACTGCCGGTTGACCATGCTGATCAGGACAGCGTTTGCCAGCCTGGCCGGGGCTGATGAATGTTAAGACATCTGGAGGGCACCAGGTTGGTGAAGTCTGCTTGAGGAAAGTGGCTTTGAGCTGCCAGCCCCCGGGACAGGCTGCTGGGATCACAGGCTGTCACCTTGGAGAGAAGGGGAAGCGAGAGGCCTTCTCTAGACTTGTCCCGAAGAGGCCCTGTTGTTGTTTTTTTTACAAGGGGGGCAAAGTGCAAGGCTGGGAGCTTTTGAGGAAACGGCATTGTCAGGGAAACGTGGGCAAACAGCCCTTGCCAGCCCCGTTCCCTGCCACTGGCCCTGAATGGAGACGTTAGAACTAGGAGGGGGGATCTTTATCTATCGGGTTAGAGGGGGAAACGCCCAGGCATCTGCTTGCCTGGGAACTGAAGAAACAGGCAGGACCATCTTCCCCTCCCTGTATGCATGTTCTTAGCATGGGCTGAATCTGACCACTGCAAACTAAGCAGTCAGAGGTGGGGTAGGGTGGAAGGAGTCTGGAGCCAGGAGTTTGGAGACTTTTTTCCAGCCTCTTCAGCATCTTCATAATTTAATCTGTGGAAAGTTTAACACACGCCAGTCCTCGGAGGAGCACAAGGCCAAGCTCGGCACACTCCCCCCCCCTTTGGTCTGGTGTGTGTGAAGGGGCCTGGCTGCTAACGCTTTCTTTTCTGTTCCTCCCTCAGGCTATTTCGTGCAGGACTTCTTCGACATGATGTATCACCAGAAGATCCAGCAGTGCTGGGAACTGCTCTTCCATCACTCTGTGGTGAGTTCTGGGAGCACCTCTCCCCCACATGCAGTGGGAAGGGATTCTTCCTCCTCGCTTGATCTGCACAGCAACCCTGTGAGGCTGGCCGAGATCACACCCAGTGGGTCCCAGGGCAGCTCTCTCACCCCTGCACCACACTTCCCCCCAGGCACCAGCCGGCTGGCTAGGAGAAATGAAGGTGCCTCAAATTAGTTCAGGGATAGGGCTCTCCGGGATTTCAGGCAGGCAAATCCCCAGATGGCAGAAGTTTATAAAATTATGCATGGCCTGTAGAAAAGTAGATAAGAGAAGTTTCCTCCCTCCCCTGTCTCATAACACTGGCCATCCCGTGAAGCTGAATGTTGAAAGATTCAGAAAGGATAAAGAAAACCCTTCCTCACGAACCACACTCACTCCTACAGCAGGCAGGGGTGGCCAACTTGGATGGCTTTAAAAGAAGATTAGAGAAATTCCTAAAAGGGGAGAGGGCTGTCGATGGCTGTGCTCTGTCTTCCACATTCAGAGTGTTCCTGAATGCCAGTTGCTGGAAACCACAGGAAGGGCGAGTTGCTCCTGTGCTTGAGTGCTGCTAGCAGGCATCCTCGTGGGGCACCTGATCCAGCAGGCACTTTGGTTCTGATGCTAGGCCAGGATTGTCAGCAACCGCCCCGTCCCTGAGCGTGTTTTATAATGATGTCTGTGCAGCTTACATAAAGAGAAGCTGACCTGTGCCTCCTTGGAGCTGGGTAGGGCAGGGCGTGCCATGCTTGGCTGCTCTCCAACAATGGTCTCTGGCAGCTCAGCTTCTTGGCGCAGCCCTTGGCTCAGGCCACTCGACAAGGGCCAGGGGCTGTGGGGTCAGGCAAGCTGATACGTGCAGGGCTTGACTGCATGTGCTGGGTGGTCTCATTCCCCATTCAGACCCTGTTACTAGGAAAACGTGCTTCCTGCTCCTCCCGGTCCCTTTGCAAGTGGGCAAAGTTTGAAGTGGGGGGTGGGATGAGCGCATGGTAAGTAATCTAGGAGCAGCTGGGGGGGCAGGGGGTAGAGAAGGCAAGGAAAGGAGCCTTTGTAAGGCTTTGCCCCAGTTTTCAGTCCCAAGGCAGTTCAGCCTCACAGCAGGTAAGGTGGTGGTGAAGGCAGGAGTGTCTCTGCACATGCAGACAACCTTTCGACCCAAGCTGATTAAGCTGCCTGTCTGGAGTATGTTGGGGGGCAGTGTGCACACCCTCCAGGCAGGCACCTCTCCTCACTGGGCTTCTATCCTTCTGGTGGCTTTCCAGCCCATTAGAAGCTGCTGCCAGATGGGTCAAAAGGCCATTTAAATAATACATCTAATTCAGGCAGAGACAAAGCTTAATCCCCAGGGGGCAGCTAATCCCATTAGGGCATGTGCCGAGGACAGCATTGCTGGGAAGAGCTAGAGGACCCCCCCCCCCCACACACAAAGAATGGATCTCCTACACACCCACACACCCACTAAGAGAAGGGGATCTTGGCAGCTCCCCCTTCCTTCCTCTGCAGTCCTACCCAATCCACTGAGGTTTACAGAGGAGGAGGAGTCTGTCTGCTGTGTGATCCCAAGATCCTCCTCCCTCTCCCTGCCTCCCTCAGGTGCTGAGCTGTCTGGCTGCTTCTCCTCTTGCTGGCCACTAGAATTTTTTTGGACAAGGCCCCACTGCTTTTAACAGCTGCAAGACAGGTAGAAATTCAACAGGTGATGTAGGCACCACTGCCACATCTCCATGCAAGGGGAAAGCCATGTTTTTGCTTTGCTTGCAGCTGTTAAAACCTCCTTATAAAAAACCTGAAGATTCAAACTGTTTTAGCTGGTGCCTGGCTTTGCTCTCCTCACTCCCTGTCCCTTTGGCCTCATGTGTTGTACTTTTCAGATTGGAAGCCTATGGGCAGAGACTGTCTTGCTTTAATTGACTGTAGGTAAGCTGCTGTGGGTGCCCTTTTGCCTGATACAAATCCTGTAAATTAAATAAATCCACCACAGCACCCTTGACTGGCATTGACCCAGTCACAGGCACTCACCCTCTCCCCCAGCCAGAAGTGCCCTGCCTTCCTTCCTCACCTGGTGGATTCAGCCTCAACCCCAAAGCTGCTCCCCAAAGTCTTCATTGTAGGAAAATGATGTGACATGAAATTGGCTAGGGCTGATCCGCTCTCAGGCTCTCCAGGCTGGCCATCTTCAGTTGCTGCAGCTGGAGAGGAAGAGGCATAACTGCATGGACACCTGTCTTACATGCAGAAGGTGCCAGGTTCAATCCCCAATGGCAGCCTCTGCAGTTTACAAGGGTCAGGAAGCTGGCGAACAGGCTCTCTGCCTGAGAGTCTGGTGACCCGCTGCCAGTCTGAGCAGGCAATCCTGGGCTAGGTGTACAGAGAGTGTGAAGGAAAGTAGACTGTCTGCTTTGCATGGAGGATGCACTCTCCAATGGCAGTCTCTCCAGTTAACAGCTGGAGTAGGAGAGACCTTTTCCTCAGCCAGAGACCCTTCAGAGATGGTGCTGGCTTCCTAACAGCCATTGCTCCCTTCCTGCATCTCTCCCAGGTGATCCTCTGCTTCGGCTTTGCCTTCCTGGTCCACCGCTTTGTGGGCTTCGCCATGGTGGCCCTGCTGGTGGAGATCAACTCCATCTTCCTGCACCTGCGGACGATCCTGTTGATGGCTGGCTTGGCCCACACCACCTCCTACCGCTTGACCAGCCTGCTCAACCTGGGCACTTACGTGGTCTTCCGCATCACCACCCTGGCTTGGATGACCCGCTGGCTGGTGCTCAACCGGGAGAACATACCGCCCAACACCTACACCCTCAGCACGGTGGGCATGGCCGTCATGACTCCCATGAACATTGTCCTTTTCTACCGCCTGCTCCGCAACGACTTCCTCACCTCCAGCCGGCGTGAGAAGGAGAAGTGACCACCCCTGGCTCCTCCCTCCTCAACAGCTGGCTGTACAGGCCACAGGAAGGGGGAGAGCAAGTCAGCAGGACAGGAGAGGAGAGCCAGAGGGTGGTCTTCAACATCTGCTTTCCAGGTTGCAACTGCCCCTCCAGCTGGATCATGGAAAGGCCACCGCAGCCACAGCTGCAACCACATGGCAGGAAGAAGCTGCTCCTGGAGAGTCTCTTGGGACAGTGTTAGGGGCCCTCTGGTTAGCTGGGGAGGGGTCTTGGCAGCGGTCAAGGAATGTGGGCTAGCGGGAGCAGTAGCCAAGGATGTAACGTCTCCCTTTAGGGAGGGAGCTGGTTGAAATGACTTGGCCCTCACAACTCTCTGTGCTCTGACCGTTGTTTTTGGCACCTGCCTGCCCCCCCCTTGCAGGGTGGGAGTTTCACTGCATCAGAGCTCCAGAAGGCAAGACCCCTTTCCGGACACCAACACCTGAGATCCAGGCCAGAGCAAGTGGCAGGATGCTAGGATCCCTCCCTTCTCCCTCACCCCTCTGTCTTGTTGCCTCCTGGCCCTTCTCTGCCTGCATATGAAAGCAGGATTGCCCTGGCCTCTCTTTCTTTCTCTCTTCAGAACATTTATCTCCTTGAAGAGCCTGTATGTGATCTGCCCTTCCATGCCATGCTCAGCTGAGCCTCTCAGTAACTAACAGTCTGTAGGTGCATTCTCTGCAGGCAAGCGTGGGGGAGTGCCAGTTGGCCATTGTCCTCTTACTATTCTCTCTTTTGAAGAGTTGCAAGCAAATCCCACTCTCCTCACCTCTCTCCAGGCTAAGCCAGAGATGCTGCCATGGCCAAGTTCTGCCCCTGCTGGCCACCTAGATTAATCCAAGGCATCCCTGTGCCAGGGGACAGCACCCTCTGGTTGTACTGGATGCTGAGAGCCAGGATCTTTTAACCCTGCTAAGAGCCAAACAGCTTCCTCTGAGGCCTCAATATTGTGTAGACCACTGGTGGTGAATCTATGGCATGCGTGCCAGAGGGCGCACTCAGAGCCCTCTCTGTGGGCATGTGTGCCGTTGTCCCAGCAGGGCCGTAGCTAGGGGGTGAAACTGGTGCTCCAGCACTGCAGGGGGCTCCTGGCCGCTTCCAGCATGGTCCCAGCACTGCTAGGGCACCATTTTCACCCTCGGGGCCACGCTGAGGGGAGGAGGAGAGGAGGGCTCGTGCTGGGAAACTGCCGGTCTGTCCAGGCCTCGACTTTTGATGCGCCAGAGCCTCCTGCCAGTTTGTTGTTCCTACTTGGGAGTAAGCCGCCTTGAGTTCAGCAAGGTTAGACAAATTATCAGCATGTGTACAACAGCAAAAATCATACTAATTGTTCAAAAGCATGCCAAATGCAAATTTTTACCTTTCAAAAAAAAAGTTGTTTGTATCATTGAAAGCACTGTTATTGTGGGGTTTTTTTAAAGACAAAAGATGTTAATGTATGAGTTGTTTTTTCTAAACTAAAACCTCAGTATTCAGGTTAAATTGCCGTGTTGGCACTTTGCGATAAATAAGTGGGTTTTGGGTTGCAGTTTGGGCACTCGGTCTCTAAAAAGTTCGCCATCACTGGTGTAGACAATAAGGGAGAATGCACTTACAAGAATCTTATTCTAACGAAGTGTATGGATATGTTTGCACAAAAGTAACAGAAATAAAAGGATAAAGTGAATGCTGGTGCTTGGTCTTACCTGGCAGGAGGGAGGTTCCTTGGCATCCAGTGGGGAAGGAGGTTCCAAGTGGCCCTGAAGGTGGGGCTGGGGGAACCCAAAGCTGTGTTGCTGCTCAGGCCAATGTCATGGTTGTCCTGTAACACTGACCTTACAGGATGGATATGCCACTGTCCTCAGGAGTTTGATCAGGTTTACAGATGGACAAGATGGCAGACCCCACGAAGTAGTCACACTCCGAAAGATAGCTTTCTGAATTCAGAGGCCTTCCGACATGGCAATAGCTGTAGGAAGACCCATGAAATGTCACAGACGAGCAAGCTTTTGAGTGTTTCTGAACCCTTCATTGGGCTGGGATGGAGGATTCAGAAAGGCCCCCCTGTTCCCCCAAAGTGGAGCATAATGATGTTGCCCCAGCAATCGGAACAGAGGAGGCACCTTCTGCAGGTAAAGCTGGTCCTCTGCACTAAGTGTTGGGGCCTTTCCTCTGGAGATAACAACCTTGTGTGCATCTCCTGACAGGTTTCAATGGAGCTTAGCCCCAGGTAAGTGTGTCTACACCAAGGCTAGGGAACCGGTGGCCTTCCAAGTGTTGCAGGACTCCCACATCCCATCAGCATCACCCAGTAAGAACCATGGCTAGGGATTATAGGGACTGGAGTCCAGCTGCATCTGAAGGGTCACAGGCCCCTCGTTCTTCTGCTAGAGGATATCCAGAAAAACTGAAGGGCAGTAGATTTCGGACAGGCAGGAGGACATACATAATACATCAGCCACTTACACACCAAACATGTAAAGCACATTATTTGACCCTTTCAAGAATTCTTGGAAACCATTTACCTCACAGAGCTACAATTCCCACCACCCTTGAACTACAGTTCCAGGATTCTTGGGGGAGGGGGAAATGGGCTAAAAATGGGCACCCCTCCCCTTCAAGTATGGCCAGTAGCCAGACCAGAGGGGGGGGGTGAGAGGAGGAGGGCCCCTGCAGCACCTGGAAGGCCACCACCAACACACACGTTTCTGTAACCCCAGGGAAACAGGGTGGCAGCCTTGGGCAGACCAGCCTCAGCAATTGTAGGAGACACCCAGGGCTCACAGGATAGAGAAGCCATAGTGGCTCCCCATACATAGATACATTTGAAATATCTTAAATTGAAATTGTTATTATGAGGGAGAATCATTACTATAGTACTGTTCGGGCTAATAGTGGCTGCCGTATTTTTTAAAAGCAAAGGTAAAGGTAAACGTTTCCCTTGAAACGTTTAAAATTTAAAATTATAAAAACAATAAAAAAGGTAAAGGGACCCCTGACCATTAGGTCCAGTCATGTCCGACTCTGGGGTTGCGGCGCTCATCTCGCTTTATTGGCCGAGGGAGCTGGCGTACAGGCTTCTGGCAATCCAGAGCAGCGCATGGAAACGCCGTTTACCTTCCTGCTGGAGCGGTACCTATTTATCTACTTGCACTTTGATGCGCTTTCGAACTGCTGTTATAATTATTACCGTACTGCTTAAGTTAATAAGTGCCCGGAAGCTGTATGCCGGCTCCCTCGGCCAATACAGTGAGATGAGTGCCGCAACCCCAGAGTCGGACATGACTGGAACCTAATGGTCAGGGGTCCCTTTACCTTTTTTATTGTTTTTATAATTTTAAATTTTAAACGTTTCAAGGGATGAGTCATTACTTCTGTTAAGGTTAATAATGGCTGATATATATAAATACATAAAAGTGTTACTACCTATTTCAACTTAATATTATTATTACACGGGTGAATTCTTACTATTAAGGTTCTAAATGGCTGTGTGTTACATAAATACAGGCCGGCAGCCATTGAGAACCTCCAGGCAACGCAAATGTTTCTTGTCACGAGAGCGAATCAGTTGCTCTTTTGCCGGTGAGGGAAGATTCCTCTCAGGACTTTCCTGGAGGCGCCTATATTCGCCTCCCCCGGCCCTGCTTGACGCATTTAATTCTCCCCGCCCCCCTCATCTATTTTCGAGGGGGGAGAGAGGGTGGTTTCTACGTAAATGAAATAATAATAACTGGGGCGCGTAACCGACACCCTCGCGCGCGGCCTTTCTCTCTCCCGCTCTCACTAACCGGAAGTTCTGCTCGTGCCTTCCGGAGCGACGGTGGAGAAGACCTTTCCACTCGGCGCCGCCGATTGGACCCATTCCGCGTCCGTCTCCCTCTGCCGACAGTTGATTGGCTTCAACGGCCGTTTGCGCACACCGCGCTCCGCCACATCCGGTTCCGCGCCGCCGCGCCTGCGCAGTGGCTGCGATCTGCGTCCCGAGGGTGGCGTTGGTGGCGGCCATTAGAGTTTTCCGAGGCGCTCGGAGAGAAGCGGCGGGAGCGAGAGAGAAAGCGGGACCCGGAGCGGAGGCGAGGGGAGAGGAAGAGCCGGGCAGCCCCCCTCGCGGAGGGGACAGGTATGCAAAGAGAGTCGGGCCTTGGGGGAAACCGGAGTGGCCGATTCGGATTAACGGCTCCACATGCGCCAATCCGGATTAAGGGCCGCACCTCCCCGGGAGAAGCGCCCTAAGGGACGTTTTAAATGTGCGTGCAAAATACGGCACGACCAATTTATGCGTGGAGCGTGTGTGTGTGTGTGTGTGTATGTGTGTGTATGTATGTATGTATGTATATGCGTGTGTGTACAGTGGTACCTCGGGTTAAGTACTTAATTCGTTCCGGAGGTCAGTTCTTAACCTGAAACTGTTATTATCCTGAAGCAAAGTTCTTAACTTGAAGCACTATTTCTGGGTTAGCGGAGTCTGTAACCTGAAGCGTATATAACCTGAAGCGTATGTAACCCGAGGTACCACTGTATATGCTTGTATATATGTGCAGTATGTATATGTATGTGTGTATATAACTACATATACGTGCATGTGTGTGTATATATATGTGTGTGTGTGTGTGTGTGTGTGTGTGTGTGTCTGTGTATGTACACACACACACACACACACATATATGTATGTGTATATATATATATATATATATATACACACACACACACATGTCACCTTTGTGTACGTACACACACACATATACGTATTCGTACAGCTGATGTAATTCTATTTGTAAGGCACCCACACTCCAGCACACGAGTCTGCATGCAACTAAGCTTTACTTGGAGGAGACCCCCCCCAGTGAGTCACGCCCTTTGGGTCTTTCAGGAGGTCTCCTCTGAGTAGGGCTGACCTTGGCACAACTCACATACACACACACATTTCTAAATGTTGAAATGTGCCCTCATTTGTTTGCATGTGCCATTTTTGTGGGCGTGTTTTGGATGTGCTTTGATATTTATATTTAAATGAACTGGTGAGGGAGCTGTAGCCCTGCAGCCTCTGGAGGACACTCGGATGGCTCCCGCTGATCAACCTCATCAGATGGACGGACCAGGGGTGTGATACTGCCTTGGCCTCTTAGCCTGAGGCTTTGCCAGGCCTCCTCAGATGAAAAGTAAAACATGGGAAACACTGATTTTCTTGTAGTGTAAATCTTCCTGCAGAACATATTCCACAGCTTTGTGGGGTTATTCTCCCTCATGAGGGATTTCTGGGATTTTTAATGCTTTTCTGTCTCTCCGCAGAGGTGGTGTGTTTGGGGAGTGGAGGTTGGACTGTGGAAAGTGCAGTGCAGTAGAATTCACACCCCTTGGAAGGAGGAGCACCCACTTCTCTCTCCCTGATTTGCTTTCTCTTCGCAGCCCTAACTCCTCAACATGGCAGGCGTGTTCCCTTTCCGGGGGCCCTGCCCCCCAATGCCTGCTCCCTTGACCCCACTGCCTGACTACATGTCTGAAGAAAAGCTGCAGGAAAAAGGTATGGCTGTGGCAGGATCTGTGTGCCTATTTGAGAAGGAGGAAGGCCTGTCTTTCTTCCGCTTAGACCCTGGGGGGGGGTTGCCCTCTTGGACGGAAAGGCATTCGTTGCAAATAGCTCTCCAGGGTTTCAGTAAGAGCACCTTCCCCAACTCTCCCTGGAGAGGGCAAGGATTGATGCTGAGACCTCGCCTGCTCCCCTTCCAGCTCGCAAGTGGCAGCAGCTGCAGGCCAAGCGCTATGCTGAGAAGCGGAAGTTTGGCTTTGTGGATGCGCAGAAGGAGGACATGCCGCCAGAGCACGTGCGGAAGATCATCCGGGACCACGGGGACATGACCAACAGGAAGTTCCGGCATGACAAGCGGGTCTATTTGGGGTGAGAAGGGGAGATGGTAACCTCGGGCAGTTTGGGGGTGTGGGGTGTTTCTGGCGTTGCTTATGTTGGGGAACAGCCAGGCCTTTCAAGGGGTGGGAGGCTGAGTTGATTCTGGGAGCTTTTGGCAGAATCCTTTATGCTTTTTACTGGGAGGATCTCCAAGTTAAGAACTTCAAAGAAGCCCTGAACTGAATTGGACAGAAGGCCCAGCAACCTGTTTTCCCCCATGTGGAGGCACTGACCTTCTTTGGCTTCTCAACAACTGGTCCTAAGAGGCAGACTGCCTCTGAATGTGGAGATTTAATTTAGCCATTAGGACTAGCAGCCACTGATAGCTTTATTTATTTCACCCTATTCAGTGGCTGCCTGTTCACTGCAAGTGCTTTACAGCTCTGCCTTGAACTTTCAGTGACCTGAAGTCAGCTGATTGACAGGTGGGCAGCCCCACCCATCTGTCAGAAGTGGCCAGCAGAGGGTTGGCAGGACAGGATGCTGGACTAGACAGGCCCCCTTTGGTTTGATCCAGCATGGCAGGCCTTTTCTGATGTTTGTATGACATTTGTAAGGATTGGCCCAACCTTTAGAGCCTGTTTTAGCTTTGCTTTTCCTCCCTCCCAGTGCCCTCAAATACATGCCCCATGCAGTCCTGAAGCTTCTGGAGAACATGCCGATGCCCTGGGAGCAGATTCGCGACGTCCCTGTCCTGTACCACATCACGGGGGCCATCTCCTTTGTCAACGAGATCCCGTGGGTGATCGAACCCGTCTACATTGCCCAGTGGGGGTAAGTGAGGTCTCCCATCCGGCTCCAGGGGCTTGGTCTTGCAATGGGCATCTCAGCCCCTGACCCTCTTGATCTGCTCCAGGTCCATGTGGATCATGATGAGGCGGGAGAAGAGGGACCGGCGGCATTTCAAGCGCATGCGCTTCCCGCCCTTCGATGATGAGGAGCCGCCCCTTGACTATGCTGACAACATCCTGGACGTGGAGCCCCTGGAGGCCATCCAGCTGGAGCTGGATCCCGAGGAGGACGCCCCAGTCCTGGACTGGTTCTACGACCACCAGCCTCTGAAGGACAACCGCAAGTGGGTACCATCTTGCCTGGGCTCATGGCTAAAGCAGAAAATCCTCTATGTCAGGCTCTGTACAGAAGGCAGGGATGGAGAGAGTGGGACCAGGTAGAGAGGGAGTCAACCAGAAGGGGGTCTTTATGGGCATCAAATTCTGCTACCCCAAACAAGGCATGGCGACTGGCAGTGATTGAGAAGCCCGCAGAATAGGCAGAAGACAAATTAGGGGGCTTAAAGGCAAGTTGCTAATTTCAGTATCAGTTTCCGTTTATGGAATTTGTATCACCGCAGCAAGGAGCCTCTCTCCCCTTTCTCGTCATCCTTTGTGGTCATCCGTTATTCGCAAACACTTTGAGCCCTCAGTATGAGTTTTCCAAATAACCTGGATCCTAAAAATCTACCTGAAGACTGAATATGTCATTACGTACTATCTCCTTCTGGTAACCCTCCACTCTCCTCCCCACCCTGGATTCTGGATCCTAATCCCCTTTTTAAAAAAAATATTTAACCAATTTATCGATACAAATATCAACCGCAAAAGACACATACAACAAAAACCATAGTAACAGTAATAATACAATTTGACAATTCAGATTTGAATACACTGATATACCTGTGACTACACCTTTTTAAACAATATTTTCCCACCTCTCTCTCCTCCCTCTACTTCCCACCACTATCCGCCTTATCACTTAAATATTCGTTCCAGATTCTTCATACTTATCCATTCTTATTTTGCGTCGACATGCAATTCGTTCATATGTAGCTAATCTGGCCATATTATCAATCCACGTGCTCAATGGAATCTTTTTGCAGCTCTTCCAATTCATCAAAACAAGTTTTTTTTGCTTCTAATATAGCACGGTACATCCATTTTTTTTAATCCCTTCTTTGATTTTTCTGCAGAAACGTACCAGGATTGTGTTTGTTGAATTATGCTTTTTGTTCCATCGTGTGTGTTAAAAATGAAATTACTTGGGGGGGGGGGAGCTTCACTAGGGCTTGAAACAGGTGCTGCTGGAGAGCTTTGGAAAGTGTCAGTTAGGGTGGCTGAGAGGTGATGCACTTGCCTTTTTGGCTTGGGAGAACAGCCTGCACTCTCAACAGCCCCTTTCTCCAAGGCCGTTCCTTTGTGTCTCTGGCTGGAGAAGGGAGAGCTCTGAAGGTACACATGGGTTGGCTTTCAGCTGGGCCCAGTAGGCACCTTCAGAGCCCTCCTTTGGGAAGCTGTGGAACTCAGGACTAGATCTGTGCCTTCCCCAGATGTAGGCTCCCCATCAGTTCCAGCTGGGACCCCTGAGAATATCCTGCTTTTGGTGACTGAAGCGTTCCTTGTCTCTATTGCTAAGCACTGCCAGTTTGACCTGCAAAAATACCACACCAGGTTCTGTGTGCAAGGCCTGGTTTCTGCTGTGGGGATAGGAAGGAGAATGGGTTTGAAAGTTGGCTTTCTGCTCTGGGCCTGCAGATACGTCAATGGTTCCACCTACCAGCGCTGGCAGTTCACCCTCCCCATGATGTCCACCCTCTACCGCCTGGCCAACCAGCTCCTCACGGACCTTGTGGACGACAACTACTTCTACCTGTTTGACCTGAAGGCCTTTTTCACCTCCAAGGCCCTCAACATGGCCATCCCAGGGGGGCCCAAGTTTGAGCCCCTGGTCCGAGACATTAACCTGCAGTAAGTGGGAGCCTTTTCCCCTTGGGGGTGGGAGGGAGATTTGGTGTTTTAGGACCCAGGCTGATTTGGGAGGAAGCCGATCTGGGGTTCACTGCCCTTGGACCATTTCAGGTGTCTTTTGACGGGACCCAGAGGTGGGGTGCTGAGAACCACTGGGGGACAGTCGCTTGACCTGTGTGGCAGTGAAAGCAGGCTTTGAGGGGGGCAACTGTAGCAGGCTGCTGTTTCCAGGGAGATCTCTCCAAGACCAGCTTGAGGCAGGGAAGGAGGGGGCTGCCAGACTTGTTCCCCTGCCCCATAAAGCCCTGGACCTGACCACCCACCTCCCTTCTGGTCCAAACAGGGATGAGGACTGGAACGAGTTCAACGACATCAACAAGATCATCATCCGGCAGCCCATCCGGACAGAGTACAAGATCGCCTTCCCCTACCTGTACAACAACCTTCCCCACCACGTCCACCTCACCTGGTGAGATTTTGAGGGTGGGTGGGGCTGGGCCAGTTGCAGGGTGGGGACGGGAGGGAAGGAGGAAGTGGTGGAGGGCACAGCTCTGCCTGACGTCACCTGTTCCGCGCAGGTATCACACCCCGAACGTCGTCTTCATCAAGACGGAGGATCCGGACCTGCCAGCTTTCTACTTCGACCCCCTCATCAACCCCATTTCGCACAGGCACTCTGTTAAGGTGGGCTCATGGATCTAGGGAGGAGGGGGACATTTATTCATTAGCGGGGGGGGGGGCGTGAGTCCACCCTGCCTTTCTGCCTTGAAAGTGGGTAGAGCAAAGAATGGAAATTTCCTACACACTTGTCCCCCCCCCCCCATCTGTCCTCCGTCCAGCAAGGAAGAGGCATCAGAAGGGCCTGAGCTTCCCCACCGCACTTACAAAGGAAGGCAGGCAGGGAGGCTCACTTAAACAACTCCGTAAATGTTTGCTGGCAGTTTCTGGAGGGTTACTGTGTGTGCTGGTTTCTCCTTCCAGAGCCAGGAGCCTCTCCCTGATGACGATGAGGAGTTTGAGCTCCCGGAGTTTGTGGAGCCCTTCCTGAAGGAGACACCCCTCTACACCGACAACACAGCCAATGGCATCGCCCTCCTCTGGGCCCCTCGGCCCTTCAACCTGCGCTCTGGCAGGACCCGCAGGGCCCTCGACATCCCCCTCGTCAAGAACTGGTAAGGGGGCTCTTAAAAACACATTTCCCAATGGCATTTTTAGGTGGAGCTGGGAGAGACTCCTGCCTGAAATCCAGCGGAGCTGCTACCAGTCAGTGTAGACAGTACTGAGCTAGGTGGACCAGCTTCCTGTGTTTCTTTTAGTCCTACCCAAAGTGGACATGACTAACTTGGGTCCCTTAAATTCAACATGCCTCTGAGCAGAACTTGGTGAGATACAACTGAGGGTGTTCTTTCAGTGTTCCGTTGTAAATGCTTGAAGTGCTAACTTAGTGGTTGTAAACTTCCTGGCGCTATCGCTGGAGAAGTATAACATGTTACTGTATCTTATTTTACTTTGTAAGATTTATACACTGCTTGATTTTAAAAACACACTCAAAGTGAATTACAGAAAAGGTAAACAATGAAATAATCTTTAAGAAAAATTAACAGCAATAGACATTCGAAAAGTTAGGATAACATCCTTCTAAATATTTGGGTAGACTTCTTTAAATAGAAATGTTTTTAGCAGGTGCCAGCCTGATATCAATAGGTAGGGAGTTCCAAAACTTTTTGCCTTTGACTTCCAGGTACCGAGAGCATTGCCCCGCTGGGCAGCCCGTCAAGGTCCGCGTCTCTTACCAGAAGCTGCTCAAGTACTACGTCCTGAATGCTCTCAAGCACCGACCCCCCAAGGCCCAGAAGAAGAGGTGAGTGGCCCTCCCTGGAGGGGAGTCCGTAGCTCAGTGACAGAGGATCTGCTTTGCAGGCATAGGGGTCCTTGTTCAAGCCCCACTGACGTCTTGGGGAGGAGGGAAGGGTGTCGGGTGATGGGAACTGGGCCTAGTGGACCAGGCAGCTTCCTGCCCCTTCATGTGACACACAGCCTGCCTTCCCCTCTCTCCCCTCCAGGTACCTCTTCCGCTCCTTCAAGGCCACTAAGTTCTTCCAGTCGACCAAGCTGGACTGGGTGGAGGTGGGGCTGCAGGTCTGCCGCCAGGGCTACAACATGCTCAACCTCTTGATCCACCGCAAGAACCTCAATTATCTCCACCTGGACTACAACTTCAACCTGAAGCCCGTCAAGACCCTCACCACCAAGGTGCCGGCTCTGTTCCCCAACAGGGGCTGACGACCTCCAGTCAGTGAGGGGCCACAACACAGCCCCTTCCCGAGTCCCATTCTGGTCACACTTCATCCGTGAAAGGGATTGTGGGTAGCTGCTGCCAGTCAGAGTCGTGGGAAGATGGAGCTGGCCTTCCCTGTCAGCCAGCTCCTGCTCCTAGCCTGATTTGGGGAGTGGGGCTTGGCAGCTGCTGCTGGAGCCTTGGGCAGCTTCTTCGGTGCAGTTGGTGTTGAGGGGTTCTGCACAGCACTCCTCTCCCTCCTCTTTGTCTGCAGGAGAGGAAAAAGTCCCGCTTTGGCAATGCTTTCCACCTTTGCCGGGAGGTGCTGCGCCTGACCAAGCTGGTGGTGGACAGCCACGTCCAGTACAGGCTGGGCAATGTGGACGCCTTCCAGGTAGGTCATTCCCAGCCCAGCCCCTTTTCTGCTGCCAAGAAGGAATGTAGCAGAAGAACGCAAGGAGAGCCTTCGGGGTCGGTTCAGAGGGGCCCTGTAATAGTCCAGCTTCCTGTCTTTGTAGCAGCCAGCCAGCCAGCTGCCCCTTAATCCACAAGCAGGATCCTAGCACCAGAGTCCCCTCCCCTTCTGCCTTTTCCAGCAGCTGGCATTTGGAAGCATTGCTGCCTCTGACGGGGGGTGGGCAGAGCATGGCCATGCTGGCTAGGAGCCATTGATTGCCATTATCCCCCATGAATTTTTCCGGCCGTCTTTGGCAGCCTATCTAGGTTAGCGGCCATCACAGCTGGGTTCAGGATTGCCCTCAGGGGCCCTCCCCTTCGGGGCATAAGAGGACGCTCAACTCGATATGCTCCCCCCCCCAGTGTGACTCTTCAGTTCTGAAGGGAGGTGCATGTCACTTGCAGAGAGGCTGTGCAAGTGCCCCCCCCCCATTGTAAGATATTGGCCTCCTCTCTCTCTCTAATCCCCAACTGCCCCCCTCTGCCCGCAGCTTTCAGACGGCCTCCAGTACATCTTTGCCCACGTGGGGCAGCTGACGGGGATGTACAGGTACAAGTACAAGCTGATGAGGCAGATCCGGATGTGCAAAGACCTAAAGCACCTCATCTATTACCGCTTCAACACGGTGAGTCCAGCAGGGAGCCTGGATGGGGGGTTGCAGCTGAGCTGGGAGTGGAAAGTGGAAGCGGGGGGAGGAACGGTGATCTGCTGGGTTCCCCCACCCCAGTTTTTTAACATGCTTTTCCTGCCCCCTTCTCCTAGGGGCCGGTGGGGAAGGGTCCTGGCTGCGGCTTCTGGGCGCCCGGCTGGCGCGTCTGGCTCTTCTTCATGCGAGGCATCACTCCCCTGCTGGAGCGCTGGCTGGGCAACCTCCTGGCCAGGCAGTTCGAAGGTGAGCCGATGGGGAGGGAAGGGGGGGGGTTATGTTGCTGTCCATTTTGTGCCGCCTTTCAGCCAAGGAGGCTCCCAAGATTAAGAAGGTGCCAAATAATGCAACTACAAATGACAGAAATTCAAAGCATACCAACAGTATTGAAATCCAAAGACACCTGTGTTTGTGCTAGAAAAAGAGCATTCCCTGCAAAAATGTTAAGAGACAAAGAGGACGCCTGAGTAGCATCTCTGCCTTATAAGGTTCTTGGTTTGTCTGGGGTTTCCTGAGCCATCTGGGTGGGAGCCCTTGCTGCATAGCTATTTGGCTGGCCTAGCCTTTCCTTCCCTGACCAACCTTTCCTTCCTCCCTTCTTAGGCCGTCACTCCAAGGGGGTGGCCAAGACTGTCACCAAGCAGCGCGTGGAGTCCCACTTTGACCTGGAGCTGCGCGCAGCCGTCATGCACGACATCCTGGACATGATGCCCGAGGGGATCAAGCAGAACAAGGCCAGGACCATCCTGCAGCACCTGAGCGAAGCCTGGCGGTGCTGGAAAGCCAACATCCCCTGGAAGGCAAGTCCCTCCTGGCCCCTGGCTGCCCCCCAACCAAATACCCATCTAGGACATTGGGAGCTGCCTTAGGGAGTCTGACCCTTGGTCTCCCTGGCCCACTGTTGGCCACACTGACTGGCAGAGGCTCCCCAGGGTTTCAGGCAGGCCTCTCTCCCAGTTAGAGAATGAAAGGGTTGGAAGGGAACCCACACCCTGCAACGCAGAAATCCCAGCTAACAAATCCCTCAGCAGGTGGCCATCTAACCTCTCTTTAGAAACTTAAGAAAGGAGAGTCCTCCACCTTTCCAGGGAGTATGTGCCTTTCTCAGAACTTGAATCCATTGGTTTGAGTCCTGCCCTCCAGAGCAGCAGAGAACAAGCTTGCTCCTCCTTCCCTGTGACGGCCCTTGAGATATTGGGCTCTCAGTCGCCCCTTCTCCAGGCTAAACATCACCAACTCCCCAGGTTGTATCAGGACATGCTGGGGATTGAACCCAGGATCAATGATCCTGTCCTCCTTCCACCTGATGCCAACTCCTCCAGGCAGCCTGCCCTCTGTCCTTCCTGTCTTAGAAATCTGTATTTTATTGAACTTCACAGAATAACAAAAAGCATAGACAAAACCAGAACTTGGAGTAAGTGTATCTTTGACCTTATGCAGCATAGTAAAGGTCCTGTCCCACCCAGTGACCTCTCCCTCCCTCCCCCTGCCAGGTGCCAGGGCTGCCGACCCCCATTGAGAACATGATCCTGCGCTACGTGAAGGCCAAGGCCGACTGGTGGACCAACACGGCGCACTACAACCGCGAGCGCATCCGGCGCGGCGCCACCGTGGACAAGACAGTCTGCAAGAAGAACTTGGGCCGCCTGACGCGGCTGTACCTGAAGGCAGAGCAGGAGCGGCAGCACAACTACCTGAAGGTGGGGCCGGGTGGAGTGGGGCGGGGGGCTATGGGGCGGCGCGGCGGAGAGACCCCTGCCTGACTGTGTGCCTGCTGTGCCTCCCCCACAGGATGGCCCCTACATCACGGCAGAGGAGGCCGTGGCCGTCTACACCACCACCGTCCACTGGCTGGAGAGCCGGCGCTTCTCGCCCATCCCCTTCCCCCCGCTCTCCTACAAGCACGACACCAAGCTGCTCATCCTGGCCCTGGAGAGGCTCAAGGAGGCCTACAGGTGAGCCAAGGGAAGGCGGGAGGCCACAGGCCACATTGCGGGGCCCAAGCAGCGCTCTGGTCCAGTGCTGGTGGTCACCAGCCACAACGGCTATGCATCACTGCTGAATAGCTGCTGGTGGAAGCTGCAGGAGGGGAGAGAGGGGCTCTTGCGGTCCTGCTTGGGGGCTTCCCTTTGGGGCACCTGGGTGGCTGCTGTGAGAATGGGATGTTGAGCCTGATCCAGCAGCCAGGCTCTTCTCAGGTTCTCATGGTGGCCTTGGGGAACCCTGTTTTCTGAGGAATTGTGGCCGTTGAGGAATGCCTCCCATTCCATGAAATGTGACTTCCTTTCCTCCCTCCCATGCAGTGTGAAGTCTCGGCTGAACCAGTCCCAGCGGGAGGAGCTGGGCCTCATTGAGCAGGCTTACGACAACCCCCACGAGGCCTTGTCCCGCATCAAGCGACACTTGCTGACCCAGCGAGCCTTCAAGGAGGTGAGGCTGTTGGAGGGGGGAGCGCCTACAGGGCCTCAGCATCCCCAGAGTGGCGTCCTTGGGGTGCCCTTCCCTCGCCCCCTGCTGGCTGACTCCTCTTCATCCTCTTTGGCCAGGTGGGCATTGAGTTCATGGACCTCTACAGCCACCTCGTCCCGGTCTATGACGTGGAGCCCCTGGAGAAGATCACAGACGCCTACCTGGACCAGTACCTGTGGTACGAGGCCGACAAGAGGCGCCTCTTCCCGCCCTGGATCAAGCCGGCAGACACGGAGCCCCCTCCGCTGCTCGTCTACAAGTGGTGCCAGGGTGAGCCCTGTGGGGAGAGGGGGCCTGGGGCGGGGGGCTTCTTGGTTGTGCTGTGTAGGAAGTTGCCTGCTACTAAATCAGGCTGTGGGTCCATCTAGCTCAGCTTTGTCTGCAGTGACTGGCAGAGACACTCCAGGGGTTCAAGGGGGGGGGTTGCTTTTCCCAGTCATACCTGTAGATGCCATCACAGGTGCTCTTGTCCGTGGGAAGCATCCATGTCTGCTTTGAGAGAGGGTTGGGTGTTTCCTAATTGGGAAGAGGGTTGAGGAAGGCCTTGGCTGTTGAACTGCCAGCCCCTGAGCCTATTCCTTGGCTCCAGTTCCTTCAGGGGGGTTTTGAGCAGGGCACAGCTGGCCTCGGGGGTTCCTTTCTTCCCTTCCTTCCTTAGCAGGATGGAACTGGATTGAGCTGGGCTCCTTCTCTTCCCGCCCTCCCTTCCCTTCCAGGCATCAACAACCTGCAGGACGTGTGGGAGACCAGCGAGGGCGAGTGCAACGTCATGCTGGAGTCTCGCTTTGAGAAGATGTACGAAAAGATCGACCTGACGCTCCTCAACAGGCTCCTGCGCCTCATTGTTGACCACAACATCGCCGACTACATGACAGCCAAGAACAACGTGGTCATCAACTACAAGGTGGGGCCTGGGGGCGCCTTCCTCTGAGGGCCCAGGGCCTCCTTCACACAGGCGGGGTCTGAGCTTGGCTGGCTGGGGCTTGTGCCCCCTCGGGCTGACCTGTCTCTTTCCTCCCCCAGGACATGAACCACACCAACTCCTACGGCATCATCCGCGGCCTCCAGTTTGCCTCCTTCATCGTCCAGTACTACGGCCTGGTGATGGACCTGCTGGTGCTTGGCCTGCACCGCGCCAGTGAGATGGCCGGCCCCCCGCAGATGCCCAATGACTTCCTCAGCTTCCAGGACATTGCCACCGAGGTGGCCCACCCCATCCGCCTCTTCTGCAGATACATTGACCGCATCCACATCTTCTTCAGGTACTGGGGGCCGTGGAGGGAGCAGGAGAAGGGGGGTGCTCCTGCAGATAGGTGGCTCCAGGAGGAACGCCAATGAGATGAGGAGGGGCCCTCGTAGCTGAGTGGCGCACAGCATGCAGAGGGCACTGGGTCCAGTTCCTAGTGGTGCCTCCAGGAAAGGCTGGGAAAACCTCCCTGCCTAAAATCCTGCAGAGATGCTACCAGCCAGTGTTGGCAACACTGATCTGGATGGACTGATGGAGCGGCTCAAGGCAGCTTCCTACGATCCCATTGCTGAACTGGAAACACCCCCTTCCGCACACAGCCTGCCCATGTCCAGCTTTGTGTCCTGGTGGTGTGGAGTTCTGACCCTCCTGACTTTGCCCTCTGCTGCTTCCTCAGGTTCACCGCCGATGAGGCAAGGGACCTGATTCAGCGCTACCTGACAGAGCACCCGGACCCCAACAATGAGAACATCGTCGGCTACAACAACAAGAAGTGTTGGCCCCGAGATGCCCGGATGCGGCTGATGAAGCACGACGTCAACCTGTGAGTGGCCGGCTCCGGGGTCAAGTGGAGGGGCCGGTGGCCCTCCTGGCTCTGTGGCCAGAAAGTGGGTGGGTTGTGGGGCCTGCCTGGGCCAGGGGATTGACGCCTCTTCCCTCCTGCCAGGGGCCGGGCCGTCTTCTGGGACATCAAGAACCGCCTGCCGCGCTCGGTCACCACGGTGCAGTGGGAGAACAGCTTCGTCTCCGTCTACAGCAAGGACAACCCCAACCTGCTCTTCAACATGTGCGGCTTCGAGTGCCGCATCCTGCCCAAGTGCCGCACGAGCTACGAGGAGTTCACACACAAGGACGGCGTCTGGAATCTGCAGAACGAGGTGGGGGCAGAGGGCGGGCTGTGTTTGGGGATGGGGAACAGTCCCCTTTGGGTTCAGAGAGGCCACGGCCAAGTCAGTCCATGGGAGGTGGTGCTTACTTTTGCATGCTGGTCGATGGAAATCACAGCAGGGGAAAGTTGCTGCCGTTGTGCTTATGTTCCCCTTCTGGGCTTCACTTTGAGGCATCTGGTTCACCACTGTGTGGAAGTTTGGGCAATGATGGGGGCCCCTTGGCCTAATCCTGCGGGCCTCTTCTGATTACTTTCAAAGAGAATTAGACAAGTTCACAGACAGGGCTGTGTTCTTTCTCCACTGTTGGAGACAGAAGTGCAGGGAGTGAATCACCAGTGCAGGGAATGCTGCTTGTGGACTTTCCTTTGAGGGTGCCTAGTTGGTCAGGGTGAGAACAGGATGCTGTGCTAGGTAGAATCAAAGAAGAAGAGTTTGGATTTGATATCCCGCTTTATCACTGCCCAAAGGAGTCTCAAAGCAGCTAACATTCTCCTTTCCCTTCCTCCCCCACAACAAACACTCTGTGAGGTGAGTGGGGCTGAGAGACTTCAGAGAAGTGTGACTAGCCCAAGGTCACCCAGCAGCCGCATGTGGAGGAGCAAGGAAGCGAACCCGGTTCACTAGATTACGAGTCTACCGCTCTTAACCACTACACCACACTGGCTCTTCTCATAAAAGAATTATAGAGTTGGAAAGGACCCCCAAGGACCCCCTAATCTGACCCCTGTGATGCCAGCACGGCTAAAGAATCCCTGGCTGGTGGCCCCAAACTTCCAAAGAAGGAAAGTTCACTCTCAGAAAGTTCTTCCTGAGGTTTAGTCCTTTGGCCTGATCCAGCACTGCAGGGCTCTCCTGAAGTCCTTGCTCTGGCTACTCTTTCAGGTGACCAAGGAGCGGACGGCTCAGTGCTTCCTGCGGGTGGACGATGAATCCATGCAGAGGTTCCACAACCGGGTCAGGCAGATCCTGATGGCCTCCGGCTCCACCACCTTCACCAAGGTCAGGAGAGAGGCATGTCTTTGGGCCTGGGGTGTGTTTGCGTAGTCTCAACGCAGAGTCTCTGAGGCCTGGCCCTCCCCTCTCTGCTTTTCAGATCGTGAACAAGTGGAACACGGCCCTGATTGGGCTGATGACCTACTTCCGGGAGGCCGTGGTGAACACCCAGGAGCTGCTGGACCTGCTGGTGAAGTGCGAGAACAAGATCCAGACTCGGATCAAGATTGGCCTGAACTCCAAGATGCCCAGCCGCTTTCCGCCGGTCGTCTTCTACACCCCCAAGGAGCTGGGGGGCCTGGGGATGCTGTCCATGGGGCACGTCCTCATCCCCCAGTCTGACCTCAGGTGAGCTGGGAGGAGGGAGGCCGGGTGGGGTGGGGAGGGAGGGAGCGGAAAGACCTTCCGGCAGGGACTTCTCTCCACCCACACCTTCTCCCCTCTTCCCTGCAGGTGGTCCAAGCAGACGGATGTGGGCATCACCCACTTCCGCTCAGGGATGAGCCACGAGGAGGACCAGCTGATCCCCAACTTGTACCGCTACATCCAGCCATGGGAGAGCGAGTTCATTGACTCCCAGCGGGTGTGGGCCGAGTATGCCCTCAAGAGGCAGGAGGCCATCGCTCAGAACAGGTGCGCTTGAGAGGCAGGAGAGCGCCTCCTTCTCCTCCCTCCCTGGTGGGGCAGGAGAGGAAGAGTGAGGAGCCAGCTGCAGCCTTGTCTCTCCCCCTCTCCTTCCCAGGCGCCTGACTCTGGAGGATTTGGAGGACTCGTGGGACAGGGGCATCCCTCGCATCAACACCCTCTTCCAGAAGGACCGCCACACCCTGGCCTACGACAAGGGCTGGAGGGTCAGGACAGATTTCAAGCAGTACCAGGTAGGAGGGTCCCTGGCTTCCATAAACCTGTCCCCAGTGCCCTCTCACCCTGCCCTGCAAAAAGCATCGCTCAGAAGAGCGGTCTGCACAACCCGACCAAGGACGGTGGTAACACATCAGAATTCAGTAACAATTAATTGTACATTTGTTCAGAACGAAATTGAAATTACTAAGCTTAATTAATTCAGCAAAACTGATAAATGTCATCTGGTGAGCCCAGCTTTTCAGAGTCTGGCAGTTATATTCACCTCCAGTAGGGAACTCCCCTGCCCCACTGGGCTAGGTGAGGACTGGGGGCCCATGACCAGCCCTTCCCTCTTTCTCTTACAAGGGCTGGTGGCTTGGCAAGCGACAAAACCTTCCCCCCCCCAAACTGCCCAGGGGTGTTGAGCCCTCTGCTCTTGTTCCTCTCCGCCTGACGCTTCTCCTCCTCTAACGTTCTCCCCCTGCCCCTTCCAGGTCCTGAAGCAGAACCCGTTCTGGTGGACCCACCAGCGCCACGACGGGAAGCTCTGGAACCTGAACAACTACCGCACGGACATGATCCAGGCGCTGGGCGGGGTGGAGGGCATCCTGGAGCACACCCTCTTCAAGGGCACCTACTTCCCAACCTGGGAGGGTCTCTTTTGGTAAGGAGGATCGGGAGTGTGGAAGAGAGAGGTCAGAAGACCCTTGCGCGACTCCAGGCCTGAGCTCAGGCCTCACCATGCCTGTGTTTTGCTTCTAGGGAAAAGGCTTCCGGGTTTGAGGAGTCCATGAAGTGGAAGAAGCTGACCAACGCCCAGCGCTCGGGTCTCAACCAGATCCCCAACAGAAGGTTCACCCTCTGGTGGTCTCCCACCATCAACAGGGCCAACGTGAGTCTCCTACTGGCTTGGGAGGGGGGGCTACTCCTGAGTCATCTCTTGAGGGGCAGCTGGTGAGGACATCAACTCTGTCTCTCCTCCGCACCTCCCAGCTTTCCACTTCTGAGGTTTTGTGGCGCTTCCCCCCTTTTCCTGAATGTCTGCCCTTCTCCTTGCAGGTATACGTGGGCTTCCAGGTGCAGCTGGACCTGACAGGCATCTTCATGCACGGCAAGATCCCCACGCTGAAGATCTCCCTCATCCAGATCTTCCGGGCCCATTTGTGGCAGAAGATCCATGAGAGCATTGTCATGGACTTGTGCCAGGTGAGGAGGCGGCCAAGCGGGGCAGGAGCAGCAGCCCTATGCTTAGTCTTGGGCAGTCTGGCTCAGGCTGCCCCCTCTGACTGGCAGCAGCATCTCTCCGGGGTTGCAGGCTAGTGGATTTTCTCCACCACCACTGCCCTCCTTGGAGATGCTGCTGGGGTGAAGCTGGGACATTCTGAGCCTCAAGTGGAGGGAAAACCACCTCCTCTGCACCAAATTGTGGGGGGGGGGGCAGAGGCTGTAAGAGGGTTTGTTAAGCGAACCTTCCGGCACAGTGAATGAGTCTCTAGGCTTTGCAGAAACCTCTTAAGCCTCTGGGTGAGGCAGGACTCAGAGGGATCCCTCTGTTGCTGCTGCCTTCTTGGGGGAGTGGTGGTGACTTCTGGGCCCACGGGGCTGTTCTGAGTGGTCCACTTCTCCCCAGGTGTTTGACCAAGAGCTGGACGCCCTGGAGATTGAGACAGTGCAGAAGGAGACGATCCACCCCAGGAAGTCCTACAAGATGAACTCCTCCTGCGCAGACATCCTCCTCTTTGCTTCCTACAAGTGGAACGTCTCCCGTCCCTCCCTGTTGGCAGACTCCAAGTGAGTCCGTCTGCTTCTTCCCACTGAGGGCAAGCGGGGATGGAGGGGGGAGGAGGAGGAGGGGCACCCCCTTGGGGTGGCGGCAAGGCTCCTGGGCTTGCCGAGTGCCATGCCAACGGCTGCCTGCTTCCTGTGCAGGGACGTGATGGACAGCACCACCACCCAGAAGTACTGGATCGACATCCAATTGCGCTGGGGCGACTACGACTCCCACGACATTGAGCGTTATGCCCGGGCAAAGTTCCTGGACTACACCACGGACAACATGAGCATCTACCCATCTCCCACCGGTGTCCTCATCGCCATCGACCTGGCCTACAACCTGCACAGGTGAGGGGGTGTTTTCCAGGGGATGCAAAGTAGGTTGGGGTCCCAGCAGGATTTGGGGGGTCGCCTCTTAATAGGGACCTAAGAAGAGCCTGTCTAATCTCCTTTGGGAGAAAGGGAGAAACACAGGGTAGCCCAGGTGGGTTGGCAGGGAATCGCCCTGTAAAGTAGACACGCAGAATGCCTGGCTTAAAAGCAATTATGCTAAAGGTGAGGGGACTGGGAAACCCTGTCAAAAGAAAACACATCACCTCGTACATAAACACCATGAAACCCCACACGGCCTTCTTACAAGACGTTCACAGCTCACCCAAATGAATCAAACTCCTGAGCAAACCCTGCTTCAGTCAGCAGTGGGCAGCACTCGGATCAGGAAAAGCTCATGGAGTAGCCATAGTACTCAGAGACTTGAATTTTTAATTATTATTTTATTTATACCCCACCCATCTGGCTGGGTTTCCCCAGACACTCTAGGTGGCTTACAGCATATATAAAACATAGTAAAATATCAAACACTAAAAGCCACAACAGTGCTAAAAGACAAAGGAGGCGGATTCGTTTTCGCTAAAGATGGCAAAACTAAACTGACAGTCGGCTTCATATATGCCCCTTTGAGAGAAAGGGCAGGATAGAAGTTTAGATAAAGCAAAAATAAACAGCCCGGCACCTTGATGCCCTATTGAGAAGCTCACAAACAAGGTCTGAGCATCTCCGCACAGTCCGCACCTTGTCCTCCAGCGACCGGGATTCAGAAGCAGACCTCCCCCGGCAGCGGAGGGAGTCTGCTGCCTCCAGCAATCAGTGGTAGCCTTGTCCCCTTCCGTGAATTTGAGCAGTCCTTTAGAAGAAGAGCCTGTCTGCTAGATCAAGCCCAGAGGGGCCCATCTCCTCCATCTTTGCACAATAGCCAGCCAGATGCTATCATTGGAAGCCCATGAGCAGGACCAGGGGCAACAGCATGCTCCCTTCCTGCAATTCCCTTCAGCTTCTGTTACTCAGAGGTCGAGCATAGCTATAGTTGCCTGTACCCCACCCATAAGCTTCTCCTGTGACTACCAAAAAGTAGATAAGCAAGCCAACCATACCAGACCCCGAGCTTTCTTTGGTCCACAGAATGGGTCCCCATATAGGTGACTGCGACCACCCTGGAGGAACGGGAATGTCTGTGCAGCCAGCTGTGTGGAAGGGAGGGGAGGGGCTGGCTCTGACCTGTGACCCTGACCTTCCCCCTGCTTGGCTTCCCCAGCGCCTACGGGAACTGGTTCCCCGGGAGCAAGCCCCTGATCCAGCAGGCCATGGCTAAGATCATGAAGGCGAACCCGGCTCTGTATGTCCTGCGGGAGCGGATCCGGAAGGGGCTGCAGCTCTACTCCTCTGAGCCCACCGAGCCCTACCTGTCCTCCCAGAACTACGGGGAGCTCTTCTCCAACCAGATCATCTGGTTTGTCGACGACACCAACGTCTACAGGGTCACCATCCACAAAGTGAGAGCCACCACTGACCCTGCGGGCTGGGGAGGAGGCGGCCTGTCCGCGGCCTGAGAGATCTCCCAGTGCTGCTGTAACCTGCTTTGAACCGGGGGGGGGGGGAGGGCAACGGAGGGTCTAGAAACTCAAGGGCTTGTTCTTTCCCCTTCCAGACCTTTGAAGGGAACCTGACGACCAAGCCCATCAATGGGGCCATCTTCATCTTCAACCCCCGGACGGGGCAGCTCTTCCTGAAGATCATCCACACCTCCGTGTGGGCGGGGCAGAAGCGGTTGGGCCAGGTGAGGAGGCGGGGCCTGGGCCAGCTCTGCGGCCACCTGTACACGCGCCTGTGGCTTGGCTGCTTTGGCGCCAGAGTTTTAAAAGGAGCCATTGGGCCAATGGCAGGGCTGGTTCTTTACTCAGCGCCTTCTCTTCCTTTTCTCCCTCCCCATCCCTTTTCCAGCTAGCCAAGTGGAAGACGGCTGAGGAAGTGGCGGCCCTGATCCGCTCCCTGCCCGTTGAGGAGCAGCCGAAGCAGATCATCGTCACTCGGAAGGGCATGTTGGACCCTCTGGAGGTGGGTTGGGGTCTTTGTCTTGGGATGGGGGTGACTCCCTTGGCACCTGCAGAGTCTGCTCTCCTCCAGGTGGCGCTGGAGACCTCTGGCCTCACCCTGCTCTCCTGACCCGCCTCTCTTCTCTCTCTCTCTCCTCCCAGGTGCACTTGCTGGATTTCCCCAACATCGTCATCAAAGGCTCGGAGCTCCAGTTGCCCTTCCAGGCCTGCCTGAAAGTGGAGAAGTTCGGGGACCTCATCCTGAAGGCCACAGAGCCCCAGATGGTGCTCTTCAACCTCTACGACGACTGGCTGAAGACCATTTCCTCCTACACGGTGAGGCTGGGGTGGGAGAGCCCCTCCAGCAGAAACTGGCATCTGCCAGGGGCTTGGAGCATGGTGGCATCCCCTCTGGCAAAGCTCTGGAGGCTTCCCAGAGAAGGAGTCCCTCCTCAGCAAGATCCAGCCGCAGATGCCCACCCTTTGGGACGCACTTGCATCCCTGTTCACCTGCCTCCCTCTCTCTCTGCCTGCAGGCCTTCTCCCGCCTGATCCTCATCCTCCGGGCTCTGCACGTAAACAACGACCGGGCCAAGGTCATCCTGAAGCCAGACAAGACCACCATCACGGAGCCTCACCACATCTGGCCCACCCTGACGGACGAGGAGTGGATCAAAGTGGAGGTGCAGCTGAAGGACTTGATCTTGGCCGACTATGGGAAAAAGAACAAGTAAGAGGCTCCCTAGCCTTTTCAGCCAGAGGGACACATTCCTTCTTTGGGGCGGGGACAAGCACATGCCTCTCGTGGAGGGGCAGGGGCATACGAGGAATGGATGCAGAGGATGTGCGCAGGGTCCATGTTGGTTCTTGTGGAGAGAGGCAGTCCTTGAGGCATTGCACTCTTTGGACTTCCCTGAGCTTGACCCCCTTCTCCCCCATCTTAGCACCAGCCGCAATTTTTAAGAAGCAGAGGGAGGGAGGGAGGTTTGTCCTGCTGCCTTAGCAGGTGCCATGGTAGGAGAGTGTCTCCCTGCCTCTGCCTGCCCGATCTCACCTTTCCTGGCTCCTCTCTCGCCAGCGTGAACGTGGCCTCCCTGACGCAGTCTGAGATCCGGGACATCATCCTGGGCATGGAGATCTCTGCCCCTTCGCAGCAGCGCCAGCAGATCGCCGAGATCGAGAAGCAGACCAAGGAGCAGTCGCAGCTGACGGCCACCCAGACACGGACCGTGAACAAGCACGGCGATGAGATCATCACCTCCACCACCAGCAACTACGAGACTCAGACCTTCTCCTCCAAGACAGAGTGGCGTGTCAGGTGGGCAGCCGAGGGGCTGGCGGTGGCAGCAGCAGCTGTGGCCTTGGGTGAGGCGGGGGCGTGTCTGGGTCCTCCAGTAACCCCCTTCCTCTTCCTCCTCGTCTCCCTCCAAACAGGGCCATCTCCGCTGCCAACCTCCACCTGCGGACAAACCACATCTACGTCTCGTCGGATGACATCAAGGAGACAGGCTACACTTACATCCTTCCCAAGAATGTCCTGAAAAAGTTCATCTGCATATCAGACCTGCGTGCTCAGGTGCCCTGGCCGGTGGTGGTGAAGGCGGGGCTGGTGGCGGTTGAGGGAGTAACGGACTTGGGCCCTGGGGGGGTCTTTGCTCTCTCTCTCTGTGCCCCATGGCTCTTTTCCCCTCCTCCCAACTAACTGGCTGGCTGCGTTCTTGCCCACATTCTGTTCCCCTCCTGATCTCACTGATACCCGCTGCCAGTATTATTCCTCAGCAAAAATGTTTTCAATGCTAGGAATTTTCTCTTTGGGGATAGGGAGGAGTCCAGAATAACACAGTGTCAGCCAGTAAAATTGTGTGTGACAAAGACAAATAGTTAATTAGAGAGGGAGGGAGGCTTTATAACTAGGCCAGAAGTTGGTCATAAAATTGACACAACTTTCAGTTCTCTTTTCCTCATGAAAACTAACACTCCAGAACATCACAACTGTTCTTCCTGTTGTGCTTTGTGTACAATGTCAGTGCAACGTAGACGGCACGGCTCTGATGTTTTTGTCATATACTGTGAAGCTTTGCTGCCCCCTGAATTCCAGCTCAACCTTCTCTACCCCTTGGGTCTTCTTGCTGTCATTGTGGGGATCATCTGTAGGCCTCCGGATGATGCTGGACTCCAGCTCCCAGCAGCCAGCAGGGCCAGGGACCAGGGGTGATTATGATGATGATGGGAGTTGTAGGTCAGCAACCACTGGAGGGCCAGTCATTCCCCCGCCTGTTTCACTGGATCTGATTTTTTCCTGTGTGTGCCTTGAACCCTTGTTCCCTTCCTGTCTACTGACCTATTTCATCCGACTTGGTTCTGTGGGGCTTCCTGGGCCTTTTGCCTCCTGGGGGCTGCTTTGCCAAAGCCTCTCACTGAGGCTGGTGTGCCTTTTCTCCCCCCCCCCAGATTGCAGGATACCTGTATGGGGTGAGCCCCCCAGACAACCCCCAGGTGAAGGAGATCCGGTGCATCGTGATGGTGCCTCAGTGGGGCACTCACCAGACTGTCCACCTTCCTGGCCAGCTGCCCCAACACGAGTATCTCAAGGTGCGTCTGGCCTGGGCACCCCAAACGTGGCAGGGGAGGCAGCTCTGGGTGTCTTGATGATGGGCCTTTATCTTGTGCCTCTGGGGGAGGAAGTCATGAGTGGTTAATGCAGCAGCAACACAGTTCTATCCTTGAATTTTTGAATCATTCCAAGGTAATTTAGGAACATGACTAAATAATAAGGTCTGTGGTCTTTTTTTAGAAAACACAGACCTTGGGTGTTAGTCGCATCCCAGCAGGGATTTGCTGCTCCTTCTTGCCACCATCTTTGTGCTGCTTCTGGTCACCCACCAGTGGGCTGGAGGGGGCAGAGGAACAACAGAGCCCCACGGCAGGGCACAGCGGCTTGGGCCTGCCTGCGTTCCTTGTGGAGATGTCTGGCTTGCTCTGTCCGTTAGCCAGCGGCGCCCCACCCCACCCCCTTTGGGAAGCCTCCCCCTGCCGTCAGCCCTGGAAGGAGTCAGCGATGACTTTCTCTCACTTTTTCAGGAGATGGAGCCCCTGGGGTGGATCCACACGCAGCCGAATGAGTCGCCCCAGCTCTCCCCACAGGACGTCACAACCCATGCCAAAGTCATGGCCGAGAACCCCTCTTGGGATGGCGAAAAGACCATCATCATCACCTGCAGGTGAGTCCCAGAGGCAGGAGAGGCTGTGGGCCCTGCTTGGAGGCTGGAGCAATCACTATTGCACCTGGGCAGTGTGCTTTTGGCGCTGGGCGTCTTGGATCCCCTTGGAGGGCACAGGTGGGAACTGAGCTCTGCTGAGGAGGAGGGCGGAACAGAACTTGCCCTGTTCCTTGTCTTCACCCCGGGTTTCTCCCCTGCCCAGCTTCACCCCCGGCTCCTGCACCTTGACGGCCTACAAGCTGACCCCCAGCGGCTACGAGTGGGGCAGGCAGAACACCGACAAAGGGAACAACCCCAAGGGCTACCTGCCCTCTCACTACGAGAGGGTGCAGATGCTGCTCTCGGACCGCTTCTTGGGCTTCTTCATGGTGCCAGCGCAAGGCTCTTGGAACTACAACTTCATGGGTGAGTTGAGGCGGAGGGGTTTCTGCTGCGATGGCCCATCCCATAATGAGCCTCTTCCTCTTCTCTCCAGGCTGATGGGCCTATGACCTAGAAGCAGCTCTTCCTGGTTAGCCTTCTCTCCGGTCAAGACCCGCCTCCTTCCCTCCCCAGGATCTTTCCCCCCGACTGATCCAGTCCCCTTAAGCTCTGAGCTTTTGTGTCTGGTGGCAGAGATGAGGCTGCTGAGAAAACCAGCCAGCTGTGCCCACCACCCCACCTGCACCTTCGCTTCCTGCCAGGCAGGATGTAGCCGTTCTGCTCGGAAAGGAAACGGAGGGGAGGAGGGCAGCCTTACTTCTGCCCTTCCTGCTGAGCAGCAGAATCAGCCTAGGGCAGGGATTGGGGGCAAGAGATCTGTGGCACTTGATATGTTGTTGGACTCCCCGCTCCCACCAGCCCTGGCTGCTGGGAGTCCGTAAAGCATCTGGAGACGCCACAGAACTCCCCATCACATGTCGGCCTAGCCTCAGCCCCGCCTTGATGTTTTCTCACCATCCATTCCTGGCACCAAAGTAGGAGCCATTGAAGCTGAATGTCAGAAGATTCAGGGCAGGTAAAAGGAAGGACTTCTTCATGCAGCGCAGACTGTGGAACTCACCCCCACAGGAGGCAGGGATCGCCACCCACTTGGATGGCTTTAAAAGAGGATTAGAGGGCAATCAAGGAAGTGGGGGGCAGGGGCTATCGATGGCTACGAAGCCACAGTGGCTGTGCTCTGCCTCCAGACACCAGTTGGTAGAAACCCCAGGAGGGGAGAGTTGCTCTTGTGTTCGAATCCTGCTTGCTGGCTTCTAACAGGGGCATTTGGGTGGCCCCTACGAGAAGAGGAGACCGGACCAGATGGGACTGATGGCGGTGTTTGTGTCTCCCCCCCCTTGCAGGTGTCCGTCATGATCCCAACATGAAGTACGAGCTGCAGTTGGCGAACCCCAAAGAGTTCTACCACGAGGTCCACCGCCCCTCTCACTTCCTCAACTTCGCCCTCCTGCAGGAAGGGGAGGTGTACTCTGCCGACCGAGAGGACCTCTACTCCTAGGCCCAGGGTGGCCGAGGGAACCAGATGCTCGCTGGCCAAGACTGAGAACTGTTGACATTCAACAGTGCCTGCCATGTTTTACCTTCTCCCCTTTCTCACCTGCCCAGTTAATGTTCAGCATCTCCCTCCCCCGCCCCTTTTAAGGTTTCTGAGTCAAGTCACTTTACAACACTTGTGTAAAGTGTGTGTATTGGTTGGTATGTGTGTGTGTATAGTGCCTGCTTCTGAGTGTAGTTCCACAGTTGTTTAATAAAAATTTTGTATAAATGGGAGCTTTGTGTGGTCTCTCTCAGCAGGTGGGGAACAGCAGAGGATGTTGTTAATTACATTTGTATTCTGCTCTATACACAGAGACCTCAGAACAGTTCACAACATACAAATTACAATATAAAAACACAAATACATAATAAAGACCGCTCAATAGCCTCCCTGCTTCCACAAGGGGGTTGGCAGAAATGTAAGTCACATCCCATTGCCAGAAAAGTTTTCAAGGAGGTTAAATTTTGCCCTCCAAGCCAGGGAAGCCCTAATTTCTGTGATGGTGTTACATGCAGGAGCCCCCAAAGTCAGTCTCCCAGTGGCATCTCCCGGTAGTGCTTTGAGAGACTGTCCCTCTGGCCCACCTGAAACCCTCAAGAGCCACTGCCAGCCAGTGTTGGCAGTACTGAGCTAAGTCGCTCAATGACTGGTTCCTTATAAGGCAGCTTCCTAGGCTCAGATACGGAGTGGCCCAGGCTCAGCATTGGGGCTCTGGTAGGCAGGAGGTTCAATCCCCAACAGCAACTCACTTAAAAGCCTCCTGCTGATACGAAAGACTCCTCTAGAGAGCTGCTGCCAGTCAGAGCATGTTGAACAGGGTTAGATGGTTGAAGAGTGCTGCTGCCACACAGATACTTCTTGTAGGTGCTCAGGGCTGCCAATAAGCCACCTGCTGCCTGGACCCTCCCCTGGGCAATGAAACTGGCCGCAAGCCAAGACTTGAAGGCAGCTGCCGCCACAAGTTTCTGGAAGCTGCAATCAGGAATAATGTGGCTGTTGCGCTGAGTCCTGCTTGCCAGCTTCCCTTTGGGGAGTCTGGCAGCTGTGGGAAACAGGACAATGGGTGAGGGAGGTGGGCCTCATCCAGGCTTTTTGCCTTCTGAAACACTGGCCGCCTACCCTTAACTGCCACCGGTTGGGCTAGGTGGAGCTTGCCAGGAAATCCCCAGCAGTGCAGTGCAATGGTTAGAGCGTCAGGCGAGGGCCTGGGCGAAGGACATTGGAAACCCCTGCTGAGCCGTCAAGTTCACGGGGTAACCTTGAGCAGGTCGCCGCTTCTCTCAGGCTCCCTCGCTTGTCGTGAGGATAAAGGGGATCCCCCTTCAGCTCCTCGGAGGGAAAGTGTGCGGACTGACGCAAGAACCATCAACTAGGGAGGCAGCCCTGCCGCCTGCGCCTCCCTTTCAAGGGGCACAAACGGACGGCGCTATTTTGGCACCACCAGAAAAATCCTCCCCGCGCTGCTTTTCCCTCGAAGGAAAAAGCCCCCCCCCCGAAGCAGCCCCCCTGGGTGCTCCTCCCTCCCTCGGCTCAGCAGGGAGTCCCGGGGGCCGAGCTGCGTCACTGCCGCCGTCACAGTAGCCCAAAGTCCGCTGGCAGGTCCCGGGCCAGCCAGGCCGCCTTGGCCCGCCGCTCTCTGCGCTCCCGAGTCGCCCCGGCGGAGAGGCGGGCAGGAGGCGGAGCGGCGCGGCGCGGCGCCTCCCCGTTGGCCGCGGCTGCCCCGGAGAGGAGACGAGGCGCGCGGCGGCGGCGGCGGCTGGGACTCCGGGGACGGCGCCCCGCGCGGCTCGCTGGCTCCATGGAGTCTCCGCCGGAGCGGAGGGCGCCTGGGCCGGCGGCCGCCGAGCCCGTGTACCGGGTGGCGGGGGCGCTGGGCTCGGAGCTGCAGCGGCTCTCGGGCCTCTTCGGGCCGGGCGCCGTGGCCGGGCTGGTGCCGCAGGTGGTGCGTCTGCTGGAGCTCCTCGAAGCGCTGGCTTGCCGCGGGCCGGAGCGGGACGAGGGGCCGGGCCGGGCCCGGCAGCTGCAGGAGGCCGGCGAGCCCTCGCCGGGCCCGACGCGGGACTTGGCACAGGTGGGCGGCGAGGCCGAGCTCGGCGGTAGGAGGGTGGCTCTCTGCACGCGCTCAGAGGCCCGGCGGGCGCGCTCGAGGGTTGAATCCTGGCACTGTCCGAGTGGAAACGGGAGGGAGGGAAAGAGCGCAGCTGGGCGCCGAAGCGCACCTTGGGGAGGTCGGGGGGCGCCGGCTGGGAATAGCAGACCTTCCCTAGACCTACTGCGCTGGATGCACCAGCGGGCAGACTCCGTCTAAAAAGGCGCCTTTGGGTGTTCCTTGGGGGCCCCTGCTCCCTTCCCAGGTCGGTTCAGCAGCTGTGTGCAGGACTTTCCACGTGGGCCTCTCTGTGTGCCCCCAGTTTTAGATCCTCAGGAGGCCAAGGCTGGTTTTGTGCCCCTGGGAAGAAGGTGGGGGGGCGATTGCTAGGTCCCAGCTGCCTCCTTGTCCTCTGCCTGAAGTGGCTCTGCCTGAGTCCAGTTGCCAAGAGGTTTCCTAATAGGACAACCTTTGCCAACCTGCCGGCTGGCAGTGCCTGATGGGAGGTGCAGTTCACAATGTCTAGAGGGCTGCCCTCAAACAGCCCCCAGGATGAGCTGCCCACAGAGCGCTTTGCCTCCATCTCTCCGCACGCGCCCCTGAGCCTTCCCTGGTCCAGCTTCCTCTCCCTCCTCTTCCTCAGGCTCTGGAGCTGCGGCTGGCTGAGGCCCAGGAGAGAGCGTGTCTCCTGCAGAGCCGTCTGGCCCAAGCTGAAGCAGAGAACCAGCGCCTCTTGGCCCAGCTGGCAGGCACCCAGTCCCAGGAAGGTGAGATGCAAGGGCGGCGGGATTGGGGGGACGGACTGCACCAGCCACGCTCAGGTGCCTTAGGAGGCGCTTGGACTGACATGTGGGGTTGTTGTGCCTGGCCTGGGGGAATCTCCCAGGGTGGGGCAGAAACTCGGCGGCCTCGTGACTGGTGTAAATGCAACCCACGTGGCTGTGGGAGACAGAGCTGCCAGCTGGTTAATGACTTGCTGCATGCTGCCTGCCCGGGACCGCCCAAGACCTTGTCCTCTTTAAGGGCTTCCTCGTGTGCACCTTGTTTCTCTTTTGCTTTCTCCTCCTTTGGCTTGCCAGGGCGTGGAGGAAACCAGAGCGAGGAGACAGGCTGGAGGGGCCCCCCAGAGCAAGAGCAAGCAACTATAGTGCAAATAACGGGGCAGGTCGCATTCACAGGTTGCAGACAATGGAGAGATCTGGTTTTTCCTCTCCTGCACTGCAGGAGGTTGGACTAGATGACCCCTGGGGTGCTTTCCACCTTTATGATTCTGTGATTCTAGGAATGCCACACTTTTCTGTGACAAAGGGAGGCATATCTTCAGCATTCAGTTGCATTTCTTACATGACGATTTCCTCCCTCCCTCCATTAATCTGGCCTGCTTTACTTAATGTGTGAAATGCAGTTGTCTGAATGTTGTGGGCAGTCTGGCTGGCATCTGTCTGTCTTGAGACACAATGGAGGTTTGAGACCCACTGGCTGCCCTAACCTGCTTTAGCCGGGCAGTTGTGGGCAGTAGTGTAGTGGTAAATTCAGAAGTGCAGGGTCCTGTCATTATAATCATAGCCATGCCCGGTTCTATGATTATACAACATTCTAAGATAATGCAATAATCTTATAATTTGCAACCCTGGACCTCTACATCTCTGGGTGTGGGTGGCTATTGGCTAGTGCCTGTTGCTAAGGAGGAACAGGACTTCTGACTCTTGTACCTCACCACTCTTCTGAGTTTTTAAACTGTTGCTTTGGGTTTAGAACAAGGGAGGGGACTTTTAGGCCCAAGTGCCGAATGCAGCTGTCCAGGCCTTTGCCTCTGGCCCTCAGGCCATGGGCCTCACCTGGCCTCATCCCCACTGTCCTCGGAGGAATGTCTCCTTGAGCTGTGGCATCTCTCTTGCTTGACTGGTTGGAGAGGATGTGTTGATGTCTTTGCCCTCTGTGTGGCTGGAATGCAGCCCTGTGGGAGTTGCATCTGTGTTGCTCCGCCCACTTTTGCTCCTGGCTCCGCCTACCACTGGCCTGTGGACCCTGGAAGGTTGTCTGTGAAGGAATGTGGCCCCCAGGCTGAAAAAGCTTCCTTTAGACTCAGAGGCTGGGCGCTCTCTCCCCTCCGGGTAAATGAGCCTGGAAGTCCCTGCAGGGAACTTGAAGCCAAGGCCCAGATGAGTGGGTGGGTGCAGAGGAGAGGAACAGAGATGCCCCTCTTCACACAGTGGCGCTTCTGTCTTCTCCTTTGCAGCCTGCACTTTCTCCCTCCCTCCCTCCCTCTCTCCTTGCCTTGTTTTTGAAAAAGAGAAAACCCTTGACATTCAGCTGGTCCATGGAAAGGCGTTGGCTTGGCTGCTGCTGGACTGGGTGCTTTGAGCAGCAACTTGGGCTGTGTGACCGCACAGCAGGGAGGCTTGTGCGCTTGTTCAACCGTTTACCATCCACGGTCACCCCCAGTCCCCCAAGCAGTGCGGAGTTCAACAGGAGCAGCGTTTCCCCAGACCCAGCTTCCTCTGGAAGGAGGTCAACGGAGGCTTAGGGTGTTTTGTAACAGCTGGATGGATCTACAAACAGGGCAGGTTTTGTAGTGACGGAGGCACAGTCTCCACACTCCGGCCTGCGGCCAAATCCACTGCCCTGCATTGCATCTCTGGGGAGAGGCAGGCACACTCCACCCCACAATGTTCTTATCAAGCATCTCATTCCAGTTTTGTCCCTGCCCCCCCCCTCGAGACTGAGGAGAAGGGAGATTCAGGGAACATTCAGGACAGGATGAAAGGACAGTGCAGTTACACTGTGGAACTCCTTCCTGCAGGAGGCAGTGAGGACCAACCACCAACCTGAATGGTTTGAAAGAGGATTAGAAAAATCCATGGAGGAGGAGGAGGAGGAGGAGGAGGAGGAGGAAAGGGCTATTGACAGCTACTAACCACTCTGGCTCTACTCTGCCTCTGCAGTCAGAGAGAGTTTCTGGAAGCCACAGAAAAGGGCTCTTGTGCTCCAATCCTGATTGCGGGTTCCCCATTGGAAGCACCTGGTCAGCCACTGTGAGCACAGGAAGCTGCACTTCTGTGGCCCCCTTTGGCCTGATCCAGGAGGATTTTCTGATGTCCTCATCAAGCCCAAAGAGAGGCCGAGCCAAGTCCTTCCAATTTTGTCCCCATCCTCTTTGTTGAGTCCTTCCGGACACTGAGACTGAGGATGGAGGGGAGGAAGCCAACAGGCAAGACCATGCCCTGGGCTGGTTGTTCAGTAGCTGGGTGGGGGATGGATGGACGGGCCAGCTGAGGTGGATGGAGCTGCCTCCCTTGATGGCCTGACTGCTTCCTAGGATGAGGCAGGGACACCTGAAAGCCTCTCTTCCCTCATATGAACCTACCTGGGTTCTGAGATCTTTGGGGGAGGCCCTTGTCTCAGTCCCACCACCTTCACAGGGGGGCTTGGTGGGGATGGGGGAGGGGACCTTCTTGGTGGCGGCTGCTCTTGGAGATCTACGCAAGTTATCTGAGCGCAGGGAGAACTTGCACCGGCCAAAATTCTCCCAGATATTAATTTTACAAAAGGCCTGATTGCATTTCTTTTATGTGATTTTAGCTTTTTGGATTTTATCTGTGTAGTGGTTTCCATTTGTGGAAGCCAACTTGAGTCTGGGGAAGAGGTGGGATACACATGAATAATAATAATAATAATAATAATAATAATAATAATAATAATACCATGGGCAAATGCCAGGTCAGGAAGAGTGTCTGGGGCTATGAAGGCAACCAAGGACCCTGTCAGAGCTGGGGGTGGTGGGTGCTGTGACTGTCCGCCCAGGGGCGCCACTCAGCTCTCTCGTCCTTGTCCAGAGAGCACCCAGCGCAGAGAGAAGGAGGTGATGCTGCGCCTCAAGGAGGTGGTGGACAAGCAGCGGGATGAGATCCGTGCCCAGGCCCACGAGATCCTCTGCAAGGCCCGGGACACCGAGGCGGTAAGGGGACGTGAGGGTGGGCAGGCACAGGGGCTGGCCTGGAGGGGACCGGCAGGCGCTCGGCGCCATTCCTGCGGCACGTGAGAGCAGCGCTGTGTCCTGCATGCGAGGGCCCCTTTCCCCCTCCCCAGTGTGGGGCTGGCACTATGGGCCATAGCACCCTAGAGTTGGAAGGTACCCTGGGGTCATCCAGCCCAACCCCCGGCAACACAGTGCCTGTGTCCTCAGCTGCAGGAGCAGCTGAACCGCTTCATGACGGTCAACGAGGAGATTCGCCGCAAGCTGGCCATCGTCCAGGCCCAGCTGCAGAGCGCCCTCCAGAGGAAGGAGGAGCTGGAGAGCGCCCTGCTGGAGGCCCGCCAAGAAGTGGAGAGGCTGAGCAAGGCTGCGGGGGCAGCACAAGAGGCCTTGAGGACTAGCGCCACGGTGAGAGGGTGTAACCCAGAACTACGTATCGACTTGTGAAAATACTGGCACACCTCAGTTTACAGTAATAGCCTTGCATTGTGCCAGTCTGTGGCAACCTGGTGCTCTCCATCAGCCCAGATGTCCAAAATATCTGGGTGGCACTAAGCTGGTGATGGCTGCCCTGTGTGGACCCCCCTTGATGGGCTCCAGAGAGGGTGGTCTGCGGGAGGCCGGGCTAGTGGGATGGGGGTCCTGACCTCTCCCCACCTTCTCGCAGGACCAGGAGGTGGTGCCTGGCCAGGAGCTTCCTGGCAGCGGCCAGGGCAGGAGGTCCTACTCGAAGGAAGAGCTGCAGCAGATCCTGCAGGAGCGCAACGAGCTCAAGACCAGCCTGTTCCTGGTGCAAGAGGAGTTGGCCTATTACCAGCGGTCAGTTTATTCCTGCCTTTGCAGGGGGTTGGACTGGAAGACCCCTTGGGTCCCTCCCAACTCTCCATGTCTATGATCCTATGTTGGGTGTAGGGAGGGGGAAGCCAGGTGCTCCTACTGGCCAGTTGCTCTTAGAGGATCGAATCCCTAAGCAGAGGGATGTGCAGTTTTATCCAAGAGTTGGGTTCCTGTAAGTTAAGAAGTAAGGGACGCAGGTGGCGCTGTGGGTTAAACCACAGAGCCTAGGACTTGCTGAAGGTCGGTGGTTCAAATCTCCACGACAGGGTGAGCTCCCGTTGCTCAGTCCCTGCTCCTGCCAACCTAGCAGTTCAAAAGCATGTCAAAGTGCAAGTAGATAAATAGGTACCGCTCTGGCGGGAAGGTAAACGGCGTTTCCATGCGCTGCTCTGGTTCGCCAGAAGTGGCTTCGTCATGCTGGCCACATGACCCGGAAGCTGTACGCCGGCTCCCTCGGCCAATAAAGCGAGATGAGCACCGCAACCCCAGAGTCGGTCACGACTGGACCTAATGGTCAGGGGTCCCTTTACCTTTACCTTAAATTAAGAAGTGGGGAACCTGTGGCTGTCCAGGTCTTGTGCAACCACAACTTCCTCCCGAGTTAAGTGGCTTCAAAGATGTAAGGATGGCCACTGACTTGGGTGCCTTTAAAAGAGGAGCAGGAGAGGGCTATCGAAGGCTTCTAAACACCAGGGCTCTGTTCTCCCTCCAGGGGCAGAGGCAGTAAATGTCTCTGGGGTGCCAGTGGCTGGGAACCCAAAGTGGGGAGAGTGTTGTTGCCCTCGGGTCCTGCTGGCTGCTGGGCTCCCCATGGGGGCATCTGGCTGGCCACTGTGAGGAGAGGAGGCTGGGCTAGATGGACTCTCTTTGGCCTGATCCAGCTGCCGGGCTCTTCTTGACTCCCACCAACCCTGACTGCTGGCTGTGGGAGCTCAAGATCATCTGGAACAGCTGTTCTCAACCTGTGGGTCCTCAGATGTTGTTGGACTACAACTCCCATCATCCCCAAGCTCTGGCATTGCTAGCTAGGGATGATGGGAGTTGTAGTTCAACAACATCTGGGGACCCACAGGTTGAGAGAGGCTGATCTGAAAGGTCACAGGTGTTTGGAACGTTGTTAGATGCAGTAAAAATGACTCAAAGCAACTTACAAATTCAACAGGAATGTTAAATCAATAATGTCAGTCATTGCAGATAGTAGCCATGGATGGCCTGAGACTCTGTGAACTTGTCCAATCCCCTTTGAAAGTAATCTAGGTTGGTGGCCATCACTGCCTCCTGCAGAAGGGAGTTCCACAGTTTCACAATGAGCCATGCAAAGCAGTCCTTCCTTTTCCCTGTCCCGAATCCTGTGCTCCCGAGCCCTGGAGATCCCTGGGTGGGAGGGAGGCGCAGGCCCTTCTGCCTCCCTTTGGTGGGAAGAGTCCATTTCCTTCCTTCCAAGGCTCTCCTGAGACTCTCCTGCCTCTCTTCACCCCCGCAGGGAGTTGCTGAATGATGAGCGGATTCCCAGCCTCCTCCTGGATGCCGTGAAATCCACCATCAAGAAGCAGCGCAGGAAGATCCGGGCCAAGATGCTGGGCACAGCAGAGGAGCCCCTGAGCAGGTGAGTCTCCCGCTGCCTCTGCCTGAGGAATACCTGCAGGGCCAGTGTCTGTCTGGCCCACCTGGGACTCTGGCAGGAAGAGCCAGTGGCTGAGGGAGCTCCTGGCACTGGGTCGCTGTGGATGCACTGGGACAGGCCTGCCTGGGACTGACTTTTGGGGACTGAGAATGTCTTGCTGAGCAGGGCAGTCTATCCTACACTTCCTCACAGATGGCTCACCTGTGGTCCTCCGGTTTCTGTTGAACTCCAACTCCCAGCAGCTCAATGGTCAGGGACGATGGGAGTTGTAGTCCAGCGTCAAGTTTATATCCCACCCTCCCCAGTCAAGACCGGGCTCAGGGAGGCTAACACCAAATATAAAAACAATTGATTGAAATACAGCTTAAAAAACAAGATTAAAATACAACTTTAATACATTAAAATGCAGCCTCATTTCAGTGGAAACTCAATCAAAAACTTCTTTGGGGATAAAAACGTCAAGTCTTCACCAAGGCTAACTATCCAGACTGGTCCTACATGGGCCAGAAAAAAGCCAGGGAAGTCCCCAAATAGGAGTTCCAACACAGAAGGAGAAAGGAAAGAATAAAGATGGGAAGGGAATCAAATTGGTACACATTATTATTGTCGTCAATTAAATTTATATCCCACCCTTCTTTAAAAAACAACCCCATTGCCCTGGCTGAAAGCAGGAGGCGCCTGGGTCATGCTGTGCACGCCTCTGGAGGTTCTTCTGCTGGTTTCACTGAATTGCAGAGTTGGGAGGGGACCCAAGGGGTCATCTAGCCCAACCCCCTGCAGTGCAGAAATCGGTTCTGCTCGGGCGACAAAGCGCTTCTTCAACCTGCTTTGGCTGTGCAAACCTCCAGTTCCAGTTTGTGCTCGGACCCCACTGGCAAAAGACCTGACGGCCTGACCTTTCTCTTCCCAGCGACGAAGAGGAGGAGGGCGTGTGGCTGGCGTCCCCTACGGGCTCGGACTGCGTGGATGGCCGCCTCCCTGAGTCCAAGATCCGGAGCTTGTAAGTGGAGCCCCCTTGGCAGAGGGGTGGCTGCTTTGGCTGGAGTGAGAGGTAGGGGCACCCGTCTCCGGAAGAGCAGCCGGGCAGCAGGACAGCTTGCACACAGAGAGCAAACCGGCCCCAGCCAGTCCAAGCCTGCAGAGCCTTCAGGAGGAGGACCAGGAGGAGAGCCGCTGGGCGGCAGATGGCGATCTTAAATTCAGAATTAAACAGGTTTAATTTGAAGGCAGCCTCCAGTTTAATCAGCCTGAGTGGAGCAGGATCACAGCGGCTGGAGAAGAGGCAGGAGCCTGCAAAGGATGGCTTTGCATTTACAAACCTGTCAAGCCTGGTGCCTTCCAGATGTTTTGGACCCCAGCTGTGGGGCTATGCTGCCTGGTAGATGCAGCCCAAAACATCTGGAGGGAATCTGGTTAGGGAAAGCTGTTCTGAGTTCTCAGGGATGGCTTAATCATGCTACAACCTTAGCAGTTTTATACCTGCTTTTTTTAAAAAAAACAAAGATTATTTTTATATCCCACATTTATCCTCCTATATATGCTCCCGGGAGCACAGTGAGGAATGCATGGTTGTCCGCTCCCCTTTGATTCCCACAGTAACCCTGGAGGGTGAGGCTCTCAGTGGCTGCTGGTCGTAATGGGCAGCACAAGCAGTCAATGCCTCTGAATACTGGGAATTGCAAGCGGGGAGAGTAGCTGTTGCCTTCAGGTCCTGCTTGCAAGCAGAGGAGGCCGGACTAGATGGGCACCCTCTGGCCTCACCCGGCTGCTGTGGGGCTCCTGGGATGGTTCTTAGGGGGTGAGAGGCGTCCTCTTTCCCATATGACCTCAGTTGGGGGAATGGGCTGGACACCCGGCATTTCTGCCTCCAAACTCTCACCCAACCAATCAGTCTACTATTTATATCATGTTTCTTTTTCTGCATGAGAACTTGGAGTGGTTTCACAGCATCAAAACAGAAATTAACATGTACAACAAAGCACACAAAAAAGAAACACAAAAAACACAAAATCTCAGCCAGCAATCACAAACTCTAATAATCCTGTAAATGGTAGCAGTGAAATCAATCGAAGATGCAAAAACTCCACTCAAAAGCGAATGTTCTGGTTCTTCTGTGGGGCATTTCTTGACCTCTGCCAAACTCCACTTCTCTTTCTCTTTCTCATTCTTCTCTCTCTCTGCCTGCAGTTTTGGCCTCTGGTACCGTGGGAGGAGCAAAAGCAACTCGCCAGAAGACTGCCCTGGAGCCTGGGAGATAGTTGACCCTCAAGATGTGGGTCCTGAAGAGGAGGAGGAGCAGGGAGGGAGGGAGGCCTCCTGCAGCTTCAGCCCCCCAAGTGGACCCTCGCCCTTCCCTTGAGCCAGACGCTGCTGGCTGAACCCACAACAGCGCCCTGTCCGGGCTGACCCCACAAAGACGGCAGGCTCACAGAGGTCGCTGCCTGGCCTGCGGGAACAGCTCCAGCCTTGGAGAGGGAGGGAGGCAGCCTTGCAGAAGGCTCCTCTTGTGGGACTCTGCAGAGTCCTGCTTGAACCCAGGCCTGCAGCACAGCCGCTCGGAGGTGTCTCTGGCAGTCGTCTGCTGGTGCGGAGGGGAGAGGCGCAGAGGTTTTTATTCCTGCATAGGGCGCTCTGCTTGGCAGGGGAAGCAAGCTCCCCGTTTTGAGATATGTGTGCACTGATATAGCTGACTTGCAGAGCTGGGGGGACGTGAACCTGCTTTTCCCGTCAGCTTTGCTGGGGGGCTGATTTCACCTGGGCTCCTTCAAGGACTTTTCAGTGTGTCTTCCCCGTGCCCCCCCCCCAACGCCATTGATGTATGAACGGCAGGCGGAAGCGCTGCTTTGAACACGCTTGAACCTGGAATCTCAGGTAGGAAAGTGCCCTTAGAACCATGCCTCAAAATCTCCCTGACTCCGTGAAGCACAGTTTGAAACCTAAAGCACTTTCCTCCGTATAATTTGCACACGTTTGGGGAATGTGATTTGTTTTTGTGAGAGATGTGTTTATATTGCGCAAGAAGATCCCCAAGGTAGTTAACAAACATTGCAATTAAAATGTCAGCCTTTGAAAGCGAATAAAGCAGGAGCCAGTAAAAGGTGGAGACGTGCAGGGGAGGGAGTGGGGCCACATCGTCCCGTTAAAGGTCAGGAGAATCCCATGGTGTTGTTCCAGCACTGAGAAACTATTAAATTTGTGCCAGCCCCAACCGGGGGGGGGGGATTTATTATTGGCCAACTGGGGTGCCACCTGCACCCCCAGAAAAAAGGGCCTGCTCTCCATTTGCCACCCAAAGCCTGCCCTCTGACCCATATCTGAATGAAGGGGACGGAGGTACAAAGGGTGATAACCTGAAGGTGGGCCGGAAGTCCATGCACATATTATTACAAGGGGTGACCTGGGTTCTCGATTAGTCAAGAAACTGGTCTTTGCATTAGGAATGGGCCCTCCCTCAAGGTGCAATGATTGGCGGGGGGGGGGCCTCAGAGGTTTGGGGTGGTGGTGGCTGCCAGGGGTAGCGACCCCTGAGCTGTGGGGGCTCCCTCCTAGCAGAGGTGCGCTTGGCACCTTCACTGGACAGGGCTGCAGGTTCATTTCTTCACCCCTGGATTCTTTGGACATTTTGGAGATGTATATTTTTAGAACTCACGTTATTTCTGTGATGGAAAGTTGTTTTAAGCTGTATTTTTAAATATATATATATATTGTGTTTTAATTGTTGCAGGCTGCCTTGGGACCTTAGGATGATGGGCAGGTTAATTAATTAATTAAATCATATAGGAAGCTGCCTTGGACTACATCAGCTCTAGCTCGGTCCATTGGTGAAATGCAGAAGATGAGTGAAGGGCTGGTGGGGGCATTGCAGAAAGTGTGTGTATTTGGGGGGGGGATCCTCACACTGTCACCAGGATTCCCTCCAAATTTAGGGCCCCTCCAAATGACTTATTTATAGAGTGTCCTTTCTGATTTCCTTGCCCCAAACTTATGTGGAGAACACATTCTGCCTACTCTTTATTTAACCATTAGAATCATTTCATTGTAGAGTTGGAAGGGACCCAAAGGGTCCTCAATTCCAGCTCCCTGCAATGCAGGAATTGCAGCTGAATTCTGATTAATTCTGATTTGTTTGTGGGGCGGTGATTCGACAGTGAGCCTCCCTCCTGATCTGCCTGGCAGCCATCATCTGTTAATCATTTGTTCATCCCACATCATGATTCTCTATTGATTTCCTAATTGCAAGAAGTCAATTTAAACAACAGCAAAAATGTCAGCTGCAGCAGAGTGCTTTCATACCTGGTAATTGTGTGAACCTGTATTTGTGCTTTGATCTGCCTCACAAAATACTGACCGTCTGGAGGGAAACCCTCATTGCAAGGGAGCGTGGCTGCAATGTCTTCTCTTGACCAATCTAATGTTACCTATCAATGGTGGCACAACACACCTTAGCCAAAGTAGGGTAAGGTTGCCGAGTGATTATGAAACCAGCTGTGAAATGCATGCGTTTTTGGCTTTGTGCATACAATAAAACCAATTTAGTTTGACAGCTGCTGCTAGTTGAATCAATGAGCGGGGAGCAGAACATAGCAGCCTTCATGGTTTGCTATAGCTGGCCGTTTGCCCTTTTTCTAAGAAAGGCTGGGATTTGAGAGCAGCTTCAACCATTCATAGAATAAGCGCATCACACCATTCTCCTGGAGCCCACCTCTGACTCCCTTCAGAAGGATTCGGGACTTCCAAAGAGAACTAAACTTCCCCGAGACTAGAGGACTTCCCCGAGGTCTAGAGACATCCTTTATCTTAAAACAAGATTAAAGTCAATTTTCTAAGCTGAATTCTACAGTGGGGCTCCAAACCCCGCAGGTAGTTTGAGCAGTACAACACACAGAATCCGGAGGCTTGGAGCCTGCTGCCATTCTTGCACACTTAACCCTGCCATCCTAAGTCCCTGCGGGTCCTTTGAGATTCATATCTGCTGCTTGAGGCTCAGGTAGCCGTGGTGGTGAGGAATGCCTTCCATCAGCTTCGACTGGTGGCCCAGCTGTGCCCCTATCTGGACAGGGACAGACTAACTTCTGTGCTCTGGTATCCTCTAGGTTAGAATGCTGCACCTCATTATACATACGGCTGCCTCTGAAAATGGCTTGGAGACTTTGGCTGGTGCAGAATTCAACGGCTAGGTTGCTCAAGAGGGTTTGAGCATACAGTGCCAAACCTGGCCTGACTGCATTGGCTGCCAACCAGTTTCCAGGCCCAATTCAAAGCACTGCTTTTGACCTATAAAGCCTTAAACAACTCAGGACCACAATACCTCAAGGACCGCCTCTCCCCATAAGAAGCAATCCTGACGCTGCTATCACCATCTGAGGCCCTTCATGGGCCACCTCTGCGAGAGGTCGGGGGGGGGGCTCCCCACTTGTGGGATGCTCTCCCCAGGGAGGGTCACCTGGTGCCTTCATTACAGATCTTCAGGTGCCCAGTGAAAACATTGCTCTTCTCCCAGGCCTTTGACTAATTAAACAACCTATGAAACTGCGTTGGGGTGCATTTTTGAGTTTTTCTATTGTAAACTGCCCTGTGATCTTCGGATGAAGAGTGGTATAGAAATTTAATAAACAAATGCATGAAATAAAAGAAACCCAAACACCTACAATTCACAGATTTTCCTGGAAAGAGGTGTTGATGATGGGTTGGCTGGTTTTAGCTCTGCAATGCAGAAAAGCCTGGGACACAGACTCTGGCCGGACACGAGTCCTCAAGCAGCAAAGGTGGTGGCGGCAGGGGGACTGTCTCTGTGCAAAGCATCCATCGGCGCAGGAAAAAGGTGTTTCCTGTTAATCTTGCTGACATGAAGCTCTGCTAAAGGCGAGGGAGCAAACAGGAAAGACCCTACAAGGCCCTTGACTCCCCTCTTCACTGTGGGACTTTGGGTTGTGCCAGTTCCTTAGCTGCCTCCATGGGGCTCCCTCCCTCCTGGAGCCTGTCCTGAGGGCTGGGAGGAAGGCTGGGACCTTCTGAAGGCCTTTATCGAAAAGGCACCGTTCCGGAGTCACCACTGAAAAATCGCAGCCACCACTGAGAAGGTTTCTGGACCACCAGACACACTGGGGGAAGGAGATGACTCCCTTCCCTTGACCCCAAGAGGCGCCCTCCGCAACCACAGCTTCCCCTGCTCTTCCTCTCGCATTCGGCTAAAGATAGCCAGGGGCACATGTGTGTCCGTCCCTCTGTTGGTCTTGCCCTCTGCACCCCTCCACCCACCTCCCAGTTTGCTTCCTCAGGAAAACCCAAGGAGGAAATGGGCGGGAGAAGCAGCACAGGAAGGAGGCGGCCCAGGAGTGGTGGCCACAGCAGCCGACCGGGCAGAGAGTCAGTCTAGTGGGACTCCCTAAGGAGGGTGATGGAGCACTGGGCCCTGCCACTATTCCTCTGCCTCCAGGCGCTGGGCTTGGGGGTCGGGAGCAGCAGCCCTGACCTGGACCCCAGTGGGAGAAACATCTGCAGGTCCAGCAGGTAGGAGACCCCCCCACCCGTGGTGGAGGGTGGTGGAGGGTCCCTCGCTTCCAGGCTGGGAAAGTCAGGCGAGTCCCAGTCCATCTTGCTTAGCATGGCTTTCTCTGTGTGGCTGTGGCTCTCCCAGGATGCAGGCAGAGAAGGACGTCCCCCCCCCATCACTGCCCATCTGGGATCCTTTTGAACTGGAGGTGCCATGGGGGGGGGCTGAACCTGGGACTGACCTTCTGCATGCAAAGCAAGGGTTCTATCCTTGCCTCCATAGTATAGGGAGTTGCCATCTACCAAGTTGGACCTTTGCTCCATCTAGCCTAGTACTGGCAGCTCTGACTGGCAGCAGCTCCTCAGGGTCTCGGGCTACTCGCTGGCTTTTCCCCATCACTGGCCCCCTGGTCCCCTTTTAAAAGCAGGATGCCTTAAGGCAGGGGTAGTCAACCTTTTTATACCTACCACCCACTAATGCATCTTTCTTGATGGTAAAATTTCCTTACTGCCCACCAGTGCTCAATGGAAGGAGGATTCAGCTTGTGCCGTAGAACCCCCTAGCGCCCACCTAGAATCCTGAAACGCCCACTAGTGGGCGGTAGGGACCAGGTGGACAACCCCTGCCTTAAGGGTTCAGACCTGCGTCCTTCTGCTCTGCCGCTGAGCTACAACCCTTCCCTTGTATATGAGATTCTGTTCCTCGTGGTTCTTTGTAAAGGGACTGGATTTAAAAAGGAACACAGGATGCGGCCTTGGGCTGACCCAGCTTGCTATTGCCTACACTGACTGGCAGCTGCTCTCTGGTGCTTCGGACAGGGTCTCCCATCCTTTCTTGGTGAGGCTTCCAGGGACTGAGCCTGGGGCGTTCTGCACTCGGAACAGATGCTCTGTGTCACTGAGCTGTGGGGTGGGGGCAGAGTGTGTGGGCCCCATGCCGTGCCCTCTGCTTGAGGCGCATTTTCCACTTCTGAATATCTCCCCCACCTCCACTATTGTGTTTTCAGTTTCCTGCCATTCATACTGAAGTCTATTTAAGTTTGGGCCTGCTCTGTTCAAAGCGCAAGGAGGAAGAAACAAAACCACTTCTCCATGGGCACATTCATTCAGGGGCCGTGAGCCTGTGTGCGCCCCCTTCCCCAGATGATGATGGGGCTTCTGCTTCCATCCTCATCCCTGACCATTGACCCTGCTGACCTGCTGGGACTGAGCTGGAAGTCCTCTCTGCATTCAGGGTCACCCACAGAGCCAGCAAGGGACCTCTGGCAGAGTTTCCCCTGCGGATCGATAGTGAAACTCAAAGTAGAGGGAGTGGAGCCCCCTTGGGTGACATGTTCTGTAATAAAGAATCATGGAACTGTAGAGATGGGAGGTACAGCCAAGGGTCATCTAGTCCCACCCGCTGCAATACGGGCTCAAGGCAGGCTCCGTTTCCTTACTGGGCTCAGGAGGCCAAAGTGACCAGTCTGGAAACAGAGAAAGCTGAAAAGTGAACTTCAAAGACACCCCCTCTAAAAAAAAGGTGGGGGGGGAAAGAGGCAGGCCTGTTCTTACCGGCTGTGGGAGTTAATAATAATAATAATAATAATAATAATAATAAATTTGTACCCTGCCCATCTGCCTGGATTGCCCAAGCTACTATGGGCGGCTTCCCGTTTATATGAAAACATAATAAAACATCACACATTAAAAAGCTTCCCTAGGCAGGGCTGCCTTCTAACAGTTACAAAAGTCTCCTTGACATCTGAAGGGAGGGTGTCCCACAGGGTGGGTGCCACCACCGAGAAGCCCTCGGAGCTGAATCTCAGTGTCCAAGCTGAACGAGGGGGGTGGAGACGCTCCTTCGCGTAATAGATGGCGCCATCAAACTGCGACTCTTCCTGGGTACTTTTGCCAGCGGAGGGTGGTGCTGCTGGGGGGGGGGGTAACCAGAGAGTGGGAGCCCCCTTCATTGCAGGGGGTTGGACTAGATGCTCCTTTGGGCACCTCCCGGCTCTACAATTCTATGATGCTATGACTCTCCCAACTGCAGCCCAGCAGGGGGCCTTTTTGTTTGCCGTTTGTCTGTTTTTCTGTCCCCACCACCAGCCACCCGCCAGTCTTCACCTGCTGCCCAGGATGGAAACAAGAGGGCCAGGAGTGCACAGCTGGTGAGCATGCCCACCTTTCCCTTTCTCTTTCGGTTCTCATTGCCCGAGAATGAGGGCTTGTCTGAACGCCTCCTTCTGTCTCCTTCGTGCCGCGACCAGCACTCTGCACAGGAGCAGACGCCTGCCGGGAGGGGGAAGTCTGTGTTCGCCCGGGGGTTTGCCGCTGCCGGCCTGGATTCTTTGGGGCCAACTGCATTGCACGTGAGTACTGGCTTCAGGGTGAGGTGGGGGGGGCACAGGCAGACAGAGTGGGAGGGGGCTGGGAGACAGACAGATGGACCATCTGGTCCATGAGGGCAAATGGGGCTCTGCCCCAACCCCCACCTGCCTGCCTTCTGAATGGCAACCAACCCAGGCATGGGCTCTGCTTCTCATTGGCTCTCTGGTGCCACCTACTGCTAGGCTCCCTGCCTTCTGCCCACTGGGGCTCCCACACAGTGGACAAGTGCAGGCAGTACTACGCTATAATAATAGTAATAATAATTTTTATTTATACCCCGCCCTCCCCAGCCAAGGCCGGGTTCAGGGCGGCTAACAAGCAATAATAAAAACAAGTTGAATGAATACAACTTAAAAACAAGATTAAAATACAACATTAAAATATTGAAACATTAAAATATTAAAATGCAGCCTCATTACAGGAGAAAAGGAAAAAGGAAGAAGAAAGAGGGGGAGGGAATCAAATTGGCTCCAAGCCAAAGGCCAGGCGGAACAACTCTGTCTTACAGGCCCTGCAGAAAGAAATCAGATCCTGCAGGGCCCTGGTCTCATGAGGCAGAGCGTTCCACCAGGCCGGAGCCAGTGCTGAAAAGGCCCTGGCTCTGGTTGAAGCTAATCTAACTTCCTTAGGGCCCGGGACACTAGGGTGTTGCTGTTTATGGACCTTGAGGCTCTCTGTGGGGCAGACCGGGAGAGGCGGTCCCGTAGGTACGAGGGTCCTAGGCCGTGAAAGGTCAAAAGCAGCACCTTAAATCTGACCCTGTACTCCACCGGGAGCCAGTGCAGCTGGAAAAGCACTGGGTGAATATGCTCCCATGGCAGAGACCCCGTGAGGAGTCTCGCTGCAGTATTCTGACAGCTTCAAGGGCAGCCCCACGTAGAGCAAATTACAGTAGTCAAGCCTGGAGGTGACCGTCGCATGGATCACTGTGGCCAGGTTGGGGCGGGAAAGGTAAGGGACCAACTGCCTGATGCGGCGAAGGTGGAAAAATGTCGCCTTGGCTGTTGCTGTAACCTGCGCCTCCATGGAAAGGGAGGCATCAAGGATTACACCCAAACTCTTAACAGAAGGCAGTGGCACTAACTGGGCCCCCGCAAGAGAAGGGAGTTGGTCCCTCATCCCCATGCCATCCTGACCTAGCCAGAGGACCTCTGTCTTCGAAGGATTTAGTTTCAATCGGCTCCCACGAAACCATCCAGCCACAGCTAGACAAAACAATGGCAGCGTCCAAGTTCCCATGTCAACCCTTGATTCAGAAGCACGAGGACTAGAACCCTCTTTTATTTTAATGGGGAGAGACACAGCTCTATGGCAGAGGGAAGAGTCCTGGCCTGAAACCCTGGAGAGCGGCTGCTGCTGCTGCCAGTCAGTGCAGGGAATGCTGAGTGAGGCAGCTTCTTCACCACCTGCCCTTCCCTTCCAGGCTGCCCTGACCAGTACTGGGGTCCGGACTGCAAAGAGAGCTGCGCTTGCCACCCCAACGGGAAGTGCGACCCGGCCAACGGAGAGTGCCGCTGCCACCCTGGGTGGTGGGGCCCCCTCTGCCAGTCCGTGTGCCCGTGTGGCCCCAGAGGCCGCTGTGACCCCCTCACCGGGGTCTGCCATTGCGAGCCAGGCTGGTGGGCGCCCGACTGCAGGCGCCAGTGCCCTTGCAACCTCTCCGGCTCCCGCTGCGACCCCGTGACGGGCCGCTGCCTCTGCCACCGTGGCTGGTGGGGCAGGAGGTGCTCCTCGCTCTGCAGCTGCCACGGCTCCCCCTGTGCCCAGGAGACCGGCCGGTGCGAATGCCGCGCAGGGCAGTGGGGGGCGGCCTGCCAGGCCAGCTGCCAGTGCCTGCACGGGACCTGTGCCCCCCAGGACGGGCGGTGCACCTGCCACGCCGGCTACCAGGGCAACAGCTGCAAGGACCCCTGCCCTGCTGGGAAATATGGGCTTCAGTGCATGCAAAGGTAAGCTGGCTGAAAGCTGCCGTGATATATTTCTGGGAGACGGCAGTATATAAATATTTCTATGAATACGTGCAAGCTGGGGGTTTGTGGCTAGGGCTGAGCCTGGCCCCACATGACACTAGCCATGGCGGGGGGGCAGGGTTCAGTATACCTGAAGGAGCGTCTCCACCCCCATCGTTCTGCCCAGACACAGAGGTCCAGCGCCGAGGGCCTTCTGGCGGTTCCCTCATTGTGAGAAGCAAAGCTACAGGGAACCAGGCAGAGGGCCTTCTTGGTGGTGGCACCCGCCCTGTGGAACACCCTCCCGTCAGATGTCAAAGAGAACAACAACTACCAGACTTTTAGAAGACATCTGAAGGCAGCCCTATTTAGGAAAGCTTTTAATGTTTGATGCATTACTGTATTTTAATATTTTGTTGGAAGCCGCCTAGGGTGGCTGGGGAGACCCAGCCAGATGGGTGGGGTATAAATAATGAATTTATTTATTATTATTATTATTATTATTATTATTATTATTATATTGGGGAAGCCCTTCTCCTGGGCACCCACTTCCTCTCTTCCGCATCCTGCCTCTCCCCACAGCTGCGGCCACTGCCAGGACCGCAAGGCCTGCTTTCCCGTGGACGGATCGTGCCCGGCCTGTGCCCCGGGCTGGAACGGGACCCACTGCAAGCAGCCATGCCCACCGGGGCACCATGGGGAGAACTGTGCCCTGCTTTGCCCTCCCGGCTGCCGGAGAGGAGAGAGCTGCCACCCAGAGACGGGTGAATGCCGGAGCTGCAAAGCAGGCCTCACAGGTGCCAGGTGGGAGCAGGTGGGGGCCGGTCGGGTGCGGGAAGCGGCCCTGACCTGCCTGGAGTGTGGGGAGGGCAGCTGGGGAAGGAGAGGGGCTCCATGGGGCTGGTGCAGGCCCTGCTCAACGACATGGGGGGAGGGCAAGCCAGAGCGGTGGAAGCTGCTCAGAGGGGCACGCCTCCTTCTTCACAGGCTCTGGTGCCACCTACTGCTCGGCTCCCTGCCTCCCGCCCTACGGGCATCAGCCGCCACTAGTTTGTGGGTGGGTGCCTTAGATGCCCTTGGAAACTGAACCCGGGACCTTCTGCACACCACGTCAGCTGTCCTGCTGCCCTTGCCTGCCTCCTCCCCTGCAGGTGTGAGCTCTCCTGCCCAGAGGGCTTATTTGGAGATGGATGCCGGTTTGCCTGCCCGGACTGCTTCAACGGGAGCTGCGACCCGGCCTCTGGGGCCTGCGTGTGCCAGGCTGGGTTCTGGGGCACCAGGTAAAGTGGGGGGGGGGGAGGCTTGTGGAGCAAGAGATGTGGGCTTCCCCCTCCCAGCCCACGAGGCGGCTGCTGCAGCTTGGAGACTTCCTGCTCCTCTCTCTCCCTTTGCAGCTGCAACTGGACCTGCCCTGAAGGGTCTCACGGCCCCAACTGCTCGGAGCCCTGCCAGTGTGGGGGGCACCTGTGCCACCCTGTCACCGGGGACTGCCAGTGGAGTAAGTCACTAAGGGCACAAAGGGAGCACAGAAGCAGCAGACGAGTCAGGCCATCAAAGACCAAAATCCTGCTTTCTTGGTCCCAATACCCTAAAGAACCCAGGAATCTAAGAGGACCACCTCTGGACCTGGAGGCTCCATAAGAACATAAGCGCCCTCTTCTCACAATGGCCAGCCTGATGCCTCAAGCCTGGAAATGGTTTAAATTTGCAGAAAAGGGAACGTTCTTCCTTACTAAACCACTCCCCTTCTGGGACTGTATAACCAAAACAACCTTAAGACCAATGCAGGCATTACGGCCTCAGCACCAATTCACCCCGCTTGATAATCCAGCTTGAGGAAGAGTTCTGGTGGGGGTTCAACAGCCTGCTCACTAATTGGTGATGTTTTAGTTGCTCTTAATAATAAAGGGACTTCTGGATTTTTTCAGTGGCAATTTGACGCTTTGCCTTGCATGCAAATGTCACCTATCTCTGCCACCGAACATGGGGAGAGCCAGGATCTCGATGGACCAGGCCAAAAGGGGCCGATCAGACGCCCCCAAGGCAGGACTGAGTGTGGCAGAGACACTCTCCCCACCTGCAGTTACAAGCAACTGGCCTCTGATAAGGCAGACAGAACATAGAATCACAGAACCGTAGTTGGAAGGGAGCCTGAGAATCGCCTTGTCCGACCCCCTGCAATGCAGGATCCAACCTGTAACCTTGGTGTTTTCAGCACCACACTCTTAACAACTGAGCTATACAGGACCACGCTTAGCTTATTTATTTTGCATGCAGAGGATTGGCAAATGGTGCACCAGGATATGGCCCCTGATGTCCTTGCTTTGAGCAAAGCAGGACTGCAGCTGCACCCACTGCGCAAGGCAGCCAGGGGTGGGGGTGGCTTGGAGTGTTGGACTTGGACCTGTGAGAGGCCAGGGTTCAAATTCCCACCCGGCCATCATGACGCTGACTGAGGTGGCCTTGATCTAGTTGCCACCCCTCTCAGCCAACCTCACAGGGTTGTTGTGAAAATAAAAGGGGGAGGAGAACCACGTGTGGCACTTGGAGCTCCCTGCAGGAAAGGTGGAGTGTTTTATATATGCCACCCCTGCTTTCCAGCACGGCCAGGCCTTGCTTCTGTGATCATCTAGGAGGTGGGGGCTTCTTCCCTTGCTCTCTCTGACTTCTCTGTCTCCCCCAAAAGGACAGAACCAGGCAGCCCTCTTAGCAGGAATCCTGACCCCTTTGATTCTCCTCGTCCTCCTCTGTATGTGTTGCTGCTGCTGCTGCTGCTCTGAGTCCACCCCGATGGACGCCAGGTACTGATACAAGGCCGTGGGGAGAACCCCGACACTCTGTTTACCCACAGCCATGTGCCAGGCGCTGTACACAACCTCCGCCTGGAGCGCTGACACTGTTTGGAAATGGAAATTGCCAGGGTGGTGATGGGTGGAGGGGGGGGCAGTCTTGAGAAACAGTTAAGCCAGCCTTGGACTTGGAATAATGTGGACTAGAATCATGCTTTGTTTTCAAAGGAAGGCCTAGAGCACTTATGCAAAGGGTCCCCGTGGCACCTCCAGCTTAGAAGGTCCAGGTGCCCAGCGAAAAGACCCTTCTCTGCCAGGGATTCTGGAGAGCTGCCAGTCAGAGCAGGCAATATTTGTCTTCTGGAAGCTGTCTGTGCTTCAAGACAAGGCCCACAGTTCAGTGGTGCAGAGTGCCTGCTGTGCATGCAGAAGGTTCAGTTCCAATGGCCCCTCCAAGCAGGGCTGAGAGATGCCCTTGTATGATCACTGGAGAGCAGCTGCTCTCATTAGAGATCCAGAGGAGATCTGCCATACTGATTTCTGAAGTGCCGGTGGTATCTGGTCCTGTGAGCATCTGGTCCTGTGAGCCAGAGCCCACGAACAGGCTGACCACCTCAGAGACTGAGAACTGGGTCAGAAACCACACCTGGAGCTGGAAAAGGAGCTGCTGAGTGTCTTTTCTCCAGCTGCGCTCCCTGTCCCACAGCACCAGGAGAGGGGGACCCACCTGTGCACAGGAAATGTGTGTGTGTGTGTGTGTGTGTGTGTGTGTGTGGTGTGGAAGGCCTTTGCCCCTGCTTGTCATCTGCACAATGCCCAACACCCTCCCTGTGTGAAATTGGCATCTCTTTGCTCCCTTCCCAGGTCGGCAGCTGCGGAGGGAGATCCCATCTCCCGCGTGAAGCACCACGTTCTGGGGACGTTGGCCAACCTCAGCCCCACCTTGCCCTGCTTCTCCTTGGGGGGCTACAAGCTCCCACGCGTGACAGGTGAGATGTAGCCGGGGGCTGCTGCTGTCCAGCTTCTTGGCCTCCTGGTGCCCCTTGGAAGTAAGAAATGGTCACACGTCTCAGAGACAGGACAGCTGCTTTGCATGCAGAAGGTCCTGGGTTCAATCCCTGTCAGTGTAGCCAGGTGAGGATGATAGGAATGTCCCCTGCCTGAAACTCTGGAGAGCAGCTGCCAGCCAGCATTCTTCAATCTGGAGTCTCAAGAAGCTGCTGAACTACAAAACCCATCATCCTTGGCTAAGCTACCTGTGGATAATGGGAGTTGTAGTCCCAACGGAGGACCAAAAGTGAACAGCATCCGTGTAGGCAATACTGAGCCAAGTGTATACGTAGTAGAAGGCAACTTGACAGTGGAGAGCTCTCCACCCCACCCACTTGCTGTCCTAAGAGCTGGGGCAGGTGCGCCTGAGCTGAGCTACTGCAGAGCAATGGCAACCCCCACCCCCCAAGATCTGTGGGGCAACAAAGCCTGGGAAGGAGAATGGATGGGTGCTGAGTGAAGGCCGGTGGTTTAGAGATCCAGGATCTGGGAATCTTCCTGTTTGTGCCTTGCTCTAAACTCTCGTTAATTTATTATTTATTTCATAAAATTTATACCCCGCTCGATTGTAAGAAGGGAAAACCCTCAAAGCGGTTTACTAAAAGGATAAAACAATAAAATTAACAATGCACAAAGCTGACAACTCTCTCCCTCCCCCCCCCCCCCCCGCTTTGGGCAGTCTCCCACCATGATGCCGAGATCCCCTTCAACCCCAGCTTCATTGAGCCCCCGTCAGCCGCCTGGCCTTCGGACAGCTCCTTCTCCTCCTCCTTCGACACAGACGACGACCAGGAGGACCCAGCCTCCCCTGCCCAGGAAGGTAGGGCTGTGGGTCTTGCTCCCTTCTTCCCATTGGCCTCCCTAGAAGGCTGGTGAGGTGGGGGGGCCACAGTTCAGTTGCCAAGACCTTGGCTGCTGAGTCACACGCTCAGCCACCATGAAATGGTCTCCAGCAGTGGGTGGGAAACCTTTGCTGGCCCAGATGGGGACATTTGGATTTTTGAGGGAGGGGGCCACCCCTCTAAATCGCCTCCCTGACCCCCAGGTCAGGCCCCCCCCCCACGCAGAAAGCAAAGACACACACACAAACGTAAACATTGATCTTACAAGGGATCTGGATATTGGCCTGCAAGACAGAGCTGTTCCACCAGGCCTTTGGCCGGGGCACAGCCTGACCCCCTCCTTTGGTGATCCTGACAGAACTCTAGCCCAATGGTTGCCATTAATTTGATTTGAACTGATTTTAGAATGAACTGATTTTAGAATGTTGTATTATTTTACTGTTGTTAGCCGCTCTGAGCCCAGCTTCGGCTGGGGAGGGCGGGATATAAATAAAATTTTATTATTATTTATTATTATTAAGAGCTGAGCCCTTCTCCCCCTCCTCTGCCTGAGCCCCACACCCAGGGTTTTTTCCAGCCGGAACTCACTGGAACTCAGTCCCAGCACCTCTCAAGTGGGGGGCATTCTAAGAGAACTCACGGTGATTTCCAGCACCTCTTTTTCTAGAAAAATAAACTGCCCACGCCCCTTTCTTTCAGCGGCCGGTGCTGAGCACCAGCCAGGATTCCCCCCGGAGGAGCCAGCCTTGAACTCAGAGCCCTTCACCATCCCCCGCACCTCCAGCATTGCCAAGGCCAAGCGCCCCTCCGTCTCCTTCGCAGAAGGTACCCGCTTCATCTCTCAGAGCCCCAGAGGCTCCACGGAGGCCCTGAACCCCACCTGGAAGGCCAAGGCCCCCTGGGGCTCAGCCCGAGCCACCTCCTTGCAGCAGCCCGCAGCGGACCCTGCTGGGCAGGAGGGCCTCCCTGCGATGGGCGATTCGCCGGGGGGATGCTACGAGAACGTGGAGGCCGGTGGTCAGGAGGAAGGGAGCCACAGACCCTGCTCCTCCTCCTCCTCCACGCAGAGGAGCAGCTCCGGGGGCCACAGGAAGCGGGGGAACAGCTCCCGGCACGTGGCCCAAAGAGTGGAAGCCCTGGAGGCTGCCTCCAAAGCACAGACCAAGGGCCCCAGCGTCACCACCATCTACGTGACCGTGGGCAAGGCGGGGGGCGAGGGGCCGGTGCAAGCTGTCCTGCAGCGGCTGGGGAGCCTGCAGAGGGCCAGGCAGCTGCCCAGGGAGGAGGCACAGCAGCGGCCAAGGAGAAGGAGCCTGGAGGGCCTCCTCCAGAAGCCGCCACGGAGGAGAGGGCAGCTGGACTCCGAGGGGGACGCCGGGAGGCTGCTGCCCCAAGGTGGGACCGGCCAGGAGGCTGCCACCATGCTCTGTGCTGAAGCCAGCACCCCGGAGGAGGCAGCTGAGGCCCAGGGCTTTCCCAGGGGGCCAGGAGCTCCTGCTGGTGGAGCGAGCGGCGGCGGCGGCAGCAGTGAGTCACCCAGCAGCCACAGCCAGGCTGGAGGAGGTAGAGGAGGCACCTTGCTGGAGAAGGAGGAGCCAAAGTATGAGAATGTCTCCGGGTGGTCTAGCTCTCCGTAGGCACCTAGAACTTGCCCCACCCCCAAGAACCTTCACGGAAGCCACCTGGAGGAGAGCCAGCCATGTAAAAGGCCATGTCCATCGCTGGGGCCGGGGAAAGGGGCCCGTGGTTCCACCTGACGCGCCTTTCCTGCATCCGGCAGAAATCTGCCATATGGCAACTTGAACAAGGGGCCAGGAGAGTCCAAGGAGCACCTCTTTGCTCAGGCTGCTGATTCTCAAGTACCAGTTTTCGAATGAACTTCTGCATATCTACTTGTCTGTTTTAATTTGCAGGCATGTGTGTCTTTGTTGTATTGGGTTGCCATGAGGTTTTATAATATTGAACTTTCTTTCTTGGTAAGCAGCCTTGCAGTCAGTTTGGTGAAAGGCCGATTTAAAATAACACAGATAAAAGGAGTGGCACGTGCATGCACATCCCTTTGCGCCAATCCCTGGTTTTTATCCTGAGTTCCTCACAGGCTAACAACTGCTAGAAACTCCCCTGGGACCTTGCTCTCCACTATCACACACCTAAAGTGGCTGGGAAGCCCCTCCGGCTCACCTGCAGTATCTTCAGTCACTCAGGAAATGCTTACCTTTGCGAAGAGCCCCTGCACAGACATCCTTCATTCTCCTGAACTCTGAATTCTCCCAGAACTGACTTCTATGAAGCTGAGCCAAGTTTCTTCATGTCCTTAATACACGGAGAATACCGGATCTCTCCTGATTTCCCTGGTGGGGAATGTTTATGCTTCCCTGACAGAGAATATTCTGAGCGTCATGACGCCAGTTTTGGTGTGGATGCTCCGCAGGAATGGATGGAACCACTGTAAGGAAGATGAGCAGGGGATGTACCTAGAATCAAAACCAGATTATTACTATTATTGATTAGTATTATATTATTTCCACTTAAAGAGATTTATTAGCTGCTCTGCAGCTGGAACCCTCACAGCAGCATACAAGAAGTCAAAAGCAAATGTTTTTTCAGCTGGTTCCAAGAGCAAAAGCAAAGTGGAGTGGGGGGCAAGAATAAGAAGACCCTTTCTTAAGTCACTGCCTGCCTTAAACCTGGGGGGTGGGGGTCTCAAAAAGAGCCTCAGGCACAACAATATCAATTTAAATATCCTGGCCACCTATGCCGATGGTGCTTTGAAATGCAAAAGCGGCACTTTGAGTTGCACTCATGACTGGTTCAAGAGTCAGCACAATTGTGTAAAAGAGATGCTGTCATGCCCAGTCCCAGTTACAAAACACTGCTGCATTTTGCTCTGATTGTAAAGCACTCTCCCAAAATATTTACAGAGCAAGGATAGCTGTGGCCACAAGGGGGTGCTGCTGCCACTGGCAACAGACCAGCCTCACCTGGCACAGGGTGTTCCAGATTAGGCACCCAATAGCACCCTCCACCCCCACAAAGTCTGCTAATCTGAGGGAGTGTGACACCACCCAGATCACGCTGGACACCGCCTCCCGTCCCAGAGGAACCGCCTGTCCACAGCACCACTGCCTTGGCTTCTGTGCCTCCTTTGGCAATCCCTCGTAGGCAAATAAGATTGACTTCCATAAACACGGTTTTAACAATGAGTCCGTAAGTGACTGTGGAGGCCAATTCTGGATCCACACAGTGGGGACAGTGGTTTCCGGGCGGGAGTTGATCATGGTGTGGATTTGCCAAGTGTGCCTTCCTCTTATGACGCAAGGGAGAAGCGTGCTGAGTTTGAGTCTTCAAATCTCGTGACACCTTTGGTAGAGGCTGTTCTCCAATTGGAGCGTTTGCAGGCCAGTGTTTCCCAATTGTTGGTGTTTATACTATTTTTTAAGATTTGCCTCCAGAGAGTCTTTAAACCTCTTTTGTTGTCCACCGGTATTTCGCTTTCCATTCTTAAGTTGGGAATAGAGTAGTTGCTTTGGAAGATGATAATCAGGCATCTGAACAACATGACCAGTCTAACAAAGTTGATGTTGAAGAATAATTGCTTTGACATGGGTGATCTTTGCTTCTTCCAGTACACTGACATTAGATCTTCTATCTTCCCAGGTGATGTGTAAATTTTTTTGGAGACACTGTTGATGGAATCTTTTGAGGAGTTGGAAATGGCGTTTATAAGTAGCCCATGTTTCACAAGTGTACAGTAAAGATGGTAGTACTAACATGTCAGGACGGAGCTGAGCATCATACATGAGCCTTGAAGGCAAGACCTTGTGCATGGAGCCAGCCTGCAAGTTGGCTGTGCAGAGATGCTTCACCCCAGAAACTCCTTGCAATGCCCTGAGACTAAGAGTGGAGGACAGTTTGCCAATTAGGTTGGTTCACCTGTCACTGCAAAGGATGTTTCAGAGTGTCAGGCAAGGCCTTCACCCCCAACTCTTCCCATTTGTGCAAAGGGAAAAATTAAAGCAATAATGTATATGCCACCCATCTGACTGGGCTGTCCCAGCCACTCTGAAAGACTTCCTCCCACTTTTTCTCCTGGCTGCTGAACAGCCTGCCCATCTCTGCTAAAACTACCAGGAGTTCTGTGGCAGGCAGGAGCCCTTGGCTGTGGGCTGAGCTGCTCTTTCTGCCTCATGAGCCCCAATGGCCACCCCAGCAGCTTGAAGGACAGCCCCTTCAGGCTCATGCCAACCAGAGCTTGGCATGGAGGTGGGCAGGGAGGACACCAAACCCGCTCCTTGCATAAGCACAAACTATGGTTGGGGGGCAAGGAGGGACCGCACCTTTGCAGCCTTTCCAGGGGACACCCAAAGAGCATCGTTTCTTGGCCTCCAGGCACAGGAATTCTTTGCTTTCCATTCCAGCAAGAAAGGCTGACTGATCCTGGGAGCAAAGCAACCCAGTCACACGACGCTGGACGTCAGGCAGGGCTGGCTCAGAAGTTGGGGAGGGGGTCTTCTCTGCGGCAGCCTCCAAGTGGTGGACCCCACCCCATCATACAGCTGAAGACGTCCCTCTTTCCCCTGGCCTCTGCGGTGCGTTTTCAGCCCCCTGCATTCATAGAAGTGTCGACTTGGAAGGGACCCCAGGGGTCATCCAGTCCAGCCCCCTGCGACTCCTGTTGTGGGAATCTGATTTCACTCTTTTGATGAGGGTGGGTAATAAATGCAACGCCATTGCTAATAATAATAACCATAAGGAAAACAATCCCGCCCTGGGTGGCCTGGGGGGGGGGGGGAGAGCCGTGGCAGCTGCCCCCAACTGCTCCTCAAGGCAGGGGAGGGCCAGGGCTTCCCCAGGCAGGGCGGCCAAGGGGGAGACGCTGCCCGGGAGCCGCGCCGCCCTTTCCTTCGGACCGAGGGAGGGACGCAAGGAGCCGCCTCCGGAGCGCCCGCGGGCGGCGCGACGAACCTCGAGTGGTGGCCCGCCGCGGCTGCGCTGCTTCGCCTTTCCTTCCTCCTCCGCGAAGTGCGCGGCTCTCGCGGCCTCCTCCTCCCCGAGAGGCACCTGCTGCGGGCGGGAGGGGACCCCGCGCCCCGCGCCTCGCCGCCCCTGCGCCCCCTCGCCGGCAGCGCGCAGAAGCCGGGCGCGCGCGGCAGCCAGGTGAGTCCCGGGCGGGCGGAGGGCCGGTGGCATCGCGGCGAGGCCCGCTTCTTCCCCCGGCCCTCCGGGGCCTGGGCGGCGCGCCGGGAGAGCCACTCTGCGCATGGCCAGAGGCACCCTTGTCCCGCGGGGCTGCCCGCGGCGAGTAGCGGAGCCAGCTCCCCATCGCCGGGCGGGCGGGCGGGCGCGGCCTGATTGGTCCCCGGCCTGTTTCTAGCTGCGCCGCCGCCAATCAGCGCCCCGCCTTGTTTTGCTCCTCCGGCCGCATAAAAGGCGCGGAGCCGCTGCCGGCCCGGCCCAGGAAAGCAGCGGCGGAGCAGCAGGAGCCGCGACCGGCAGGTGAGCGAGCCGCGGGAGGCCGGCTGCGCCGCCCGGGGACGCGGAGGGGCGCTGCCCGGCTGGCTCCGAGTCCGTCCTCCTCGGGACCCCGGAGCCCCCTCGCCGCGCTCTCCCCATCTCGCTTAGGGAGGAGGAGGGACCCCCGTCCCGGACTCGACTTCCAGGCTGGGGACCCGGGGGGGCGCCGGGGGGGGTGGCCCTGCCCTAAGCAGCGTCTCTTGGGGGGTGTCCTGTGGAAAGGGGGTCCCCCTTGTTTGCTAATGGGGAGGAGAGAGGAGCCTTGCCGAGCGAGCATCTCTTTGGGCGGGGGGGCATCGAGGTCCTTTCCGGGCGCCCCCCAAGCAGGACGCGAAGGCAGCAGCCTTCCCCTGATCTTCAGAGGTACACTGCCTTAGCACATGGAGGCTTTACTTCGTTATCCTGGCTGATTACGCTCGATACATCTAGTTTCTGTCGAATTCATCTTATCTTGGCAGCTATTGCCGCATCTTGCGATGGTGAGTTCCACAGTTTTTGTATGCTGTGTGTGAAGAAGTCCCTTCTCTTGGATTGTCCTAATCTCCTGCTCTTCTACCTTCATTGTGTGGCCCCTGAGGGAGGGGAAACTTTTATCTCTCCACACCAGGAATAATCTTGCACACCTCTGTGATCTCTCTTCTTATCTTTTCTCTAAACTAAAAAGACCCAAAAGCAGCCTTGCCTCATAGGGGGGGTCTGTCCATTCCCTGGATCAGTTTGGTGGCAGGCTTATGAACCTTTTCCAACTCTGCAATTTATTTTCTTTCTCTTTCTTTCTTTCTTTCTTTCTTTCTTTCTTTCTTTCTTTCTAGCTTCCAGATCTGTGCGGCTGCACCACAGATTTATGCAAAGGCATCATGAGTCAAGGGCAGTTCTCTCTGCCTTGCCTAATAATTTCCCGTTTTTAACTGCAGCTGCATGCTGAGGGCTCTTTTCCTCTGCTTCTAAATAGTTGTCTCCGGGTGCAGTTTGGATTGGGGCCATTTTGCTGTGTGTGGGTGGGGGGTTTAACCCCTAGCTGTGCAATTGGGTAATTTTAGACTCCTAACTTCATGGTCTTATGGGAGCCCCCCACAATTTAGGAAGCAACATGCACCACTTACCTCAGAATTAGGATGGGGGCTCTATTCTGCTGACTGGGCTTTGGGTTCCCAGTGCCCCACTGATTAACCCTTCCCACACTTTAAACCACCCACCTCCTTTGCTCCCCAAGCTTCTATTAGCTGTGGAGAGGTGCTCTGGATATTTCTTAAATGACCACAGCCAGTTCATACCCCATCAGAAGATAGATAGATAAACTTTATTCGCATTCACTTTATTATAGCCAACGGCCATAGCAACATAAAACAAGCAATATATACAATTAAAAAGACAACAATGGGTAAAAAGGGCATTCAAATGACCAAGATTATTGTTCAAATAGTGTCCCATCAGAATTTCACCCCCCCACCCACCCAATAAACGTGCACCACAGAAAACCACACTTGTCTTTGAAAGTCCATTTAGGAGAGATCCTTCTGGAAATCCTTGGAAATTCCTCTTTCGTTTTTAACCACCCTAGATAATTTGGTACCATCAGCAGACCTGGCCACCTCCACCCCAACTCCTGGTCGCATGTTAAAAAGCACAACTCTCCATATTGGGTGGAAGAAAATCTCTGCCTGCCTCCAGGGGCTCATTTTCCATTGTTTTTACCCCTGTGTTCAGAAGTTGGTTTAGCACCGCTTTCAAAACTTATTTTTACCTGTTTCTGTGATGTGTTTGTAAACTGTCTTGAAATGCATGTAAAAGTCAATTGACTTTTTTAATTATAATTAAATAACAGTGATCCTTGGAGGACCCCCCCTCCCCAGCTTTCTTCCCCCTTCCATTGTGAGAACTACCCATTTATTATTCCCTCCAGTTGTTTATCTGGAAGAGGAACTTTCCTCTTAATCCTATCACTGCTGAGTTTACTTTGTGGAGATGTTTTGGGAAGTCCAGGGGTATCATGTTTGCTGGATGACCCTTATCGATGTGCTTGTTGACACTTTGAGAACACCCAGCGCCTGGCCTCTCTTTTGCAGGAGCTGCCAGGTGAGGCTTGCTCCACCTACGCTTCAGCAATGCTTTCCAGGCCTGCAATTCCTGGTTCTTTTAAAGTTTCCTTGGCTCCCTTCCACTTTTCCAATACGCTGCATATCTTTGCTAAAAGTTCACCCGTCCCGGGCGAACGCCCTTTGACCCCACAGTCTGGCTTCTTAATTCATAACTTGCCACTGGAATTTTTTGTCCCCTCTGTCTTGCCTTGGCTGTTGCCTCTTCCTCTGAGCCAAGAGAAGGGGAAATGACAACAGGTACAGGGTGAGGAGTCACTTACACGGATCATGGCCTTGGACTGAGCCACCCACAGATCGCCTGACATGGAGCCCCATGGAGATCCTTGGTCCTCAGTCCTGGGCGGGGGGGGGCACCTGTTTCTGCCACCAAGTGCCCCCTCCTCTCCACCAAAAGGCTTCGGGGATGGAGAGCTTAATTGAGCTGGGGAGCTTCTCCCAGTGGCCCCCCAGGCAGTTTCAAGGGGCTGCTTCTTGCAGCAGTTCTGGCTGGTTTTACAAGGGGGGTGGGTCCAGTAAGAAAGAAAATGAATTATTATTATTATCACCTTTATTTTGGCTATGTATACCCTGCTTTTAAAATGCTTCCAAATTATGAGGGGGTGGGTGGGGAATTCACAACAACACAACACAGATTGAAAATAAATCCAGTTAAACAAATATTAAAGAAGCAGAAAACGGCACCAGAAGAGACAGAGTGGAAGAAAGGATAGGAAACCACCTGTCTGATATGCCTGGGAGATGAGAAGGGGGGGGGGAGGTTACCTGGAAGCCCCCCCACCCCAATCCACTTCCCCAGTCAGTCCTCCCCCACCCCAGGAGTTATCATCATAGAAATGGCTTAGTCAAGTGGGGGTTGATCAGGACTTTTCAGGGTCTTGCTTCCCTTCTCTGCCACTGGGGCTGGAGGATAACTCAATTTATTTCGCACCCCACAAAAAGTTGCTTCCTTCTGCTGAATCTGGATTCTGCTTAATTTTCAAAGCCCAATTAAAACTTGACAGAACTTTGCATCCCCTGACCTAGAATTTAACGCTGTGTCCCCCCGTGATGTAATGTGGTGCTTCTCCCTCATCCTCTGTCCCCCCCCCCCCATGTAAGCGGCTACTAGTACTATTCATGGTGGCCGGGCAGGCGTGTGTGTTGAGGGTCTTGTGTCTCCTTGGTCTTCCTCCTCTCACCACTTAGAGGTGTGATTGGGACCTCCTTCTTTGAGGAGGTGGCTGCTCCTGTGACTCCAGACCCCTTGGGAGCTCTCCCAGGGCCAAAGCATTTATCGCTTTCTGTTTCTTGCAGTTTGGAGGAGCCCACGTGAAGAAGGCCCCGCTTGCCTCCCGCCGTCCTCGCCTTCACCCTCTTCACCGTCGTCATGGCTCCCACTCTGGCTACGGCCCACCGGCGGCGCTGGTGGATGGCCTGCACGGCTGTGGTGGAAAACCTCTTCTTCTCTGCCGTCCTCCTGGGCTGGGGCTCCCTCCTCATCATGCTCAAGTCCGAGGGCTTCTACTCCTACTTGTGCCCCCCGCCAGGTAAGGGGAGAAATGGCTTCCCAGCTCTCCTGGGAGTGCGCATGTGCTGCTGGGGGAGGCGCCTATGCCACCAGGTTGGGATTCTGGCCAGAGCTGACCTTGCTTCCTCCCTCTGCATTTGCCAGGCAGGCCTTGGGAACAAACTTCCATTCCTGGCCAGCTTGAGCTGCTTCTCAACCAGCTCAACTGGACACAGCATTTGCAGGCCAGGCTGGAAGCTGGCCTGGGAAAGGGGTGTGTCTGTGCGTGTCCAAGTGCCGTGCTCTGTGCTGGATGTGGCAGGGGGGGCGGGGTGGAGCATGAGCCACAGGCTGACCAGTGGGAGAAGAAGACCCTCTCTCTAAACTAAGTTTGGAAGGATTTCCTTACATCCCAGGTAGGCAGGAGTGGGTGGTTCAGAGTAGTAGTAGGAGTGCTCCCTGAGCATCCCCACATGCCACATATTTCCCCCCTTCCTGAAGTGGGCAAAACCTGTGGCTCTCGAGAGGCTGCTGAACTACAACTGCCATCAGCCCCAGCAAACATGGCCAATGGCCAGAAGAGCTGCAACTCACCGGCATTTTTAGGGCCAGCGTTTCCCACAGCCCACCTCCCAAGCCCTTGAGGGATTTGGCGCCGTGGGCCTGGGCTTCTCGTAGGCTGTGATGCCCCCTTGCCCACTGGGCCAGTCACTGCCAGGAAATTGCCCCCCCTCGTACACCCCCACCCCCAGGACTGAGTGGCCCCCAGTGTTGATAGCAGGATCTCCTATCTCTCTCCTCTCTCTCCACTGCCTTTCCTGGCTTCCCAGGCTCTGCTCTGGGCGCTTCCCTTGCAACATCTAATGATTAGCTTGTAAATGGATCTAGATGATTGCCAAAGATTAACAGCTGCGAGGGGGGGGCGATGAAGCAAACACTGGAGCGACTAGGTGGACTCTGTTGCTGCTCCCCTCCTGCTAAGGCTGGAGCAGACCTTACTGGCCAGGAGAGATTTATTTAAAACAGCATCTTCTCCTTCCCCCTCCCCACCTTGGCTGCTTACATATTTGCTAAGGGCCTTAAAGCTTATCAGAAGACTTCTGCTAATCTGCAGAAAAAATGCCTTGTGTTGCAATTGGAAAAAGGTGCTGCCATTTATTGCTCAGTAATGACCGAGGAGACATTTCCGGTTTAGGGTGGTGGAGTTCAGTAGTTTTGGACTCTGGAATTAGTGGTCTTGTGCCCCTCCCTGTCTAGGGAACATCAGGCCTAAGACAACCTTGCTGTGCCTGCTCCCCACCCCACCCCTTCTGCTCATGCTACTGACTGGGCTCGGGCCCTGGCATCTCTCCTGCCCCTGATGGTGCCACGACCCCTGCAGGTGGCCTCTGATGATGAATCTGGCAGGCCAGTCCTGGGCTAGTGGGGCATTCCTGCTGCCTTTTGGACCAGGAGTTGAGTTGGTGGGCAGGCAAACAGACTGGCCTTTGCTATCTCAGGGCTGTCCTTGGTCCCCGTCCTTGGGAGCAACAGTTGTAAGAGGAGGCAGCATCCAAAGAAGTCTGTTGGAAGCTGGCAGCCTCCTGGGGCTCTTGCGGGTGCCCAGCCTTGTGTGTGTATCCTCTTTGTTGCTCTGTCCGGCTTGGTCAGGACTGCCCTTTGGATGCCAAGTCAATCTTTCACTGGGTCTGAAGAGATGCCCCATTCAGGGCCAGGCAGAGGTTTGGTGGAAAGCAAGAGGCCCAGGGTGGTCCCTCAAGGGATGACTGTGCTCTGGGCTGGTTTCCTGCCCTCTGTGGCTGCTTCTGCTTCAGCTCCCGGAGGCAGGAAACAGGCTCCCTTTGCCAGAAAAGAGAAACTGAGATTGCTGAGTCAACGCAGCCAAGGCACAGGGCAGGAGGGGTGGAGTCCAGAGAGCAAGGGTCAAGGTGTGGGGTCACAGCCAAAGGGAGCCCCATTCCTCGGCTGGGACTCTGGTGTGGGGCTGTTCTGCAAGGCACATGGCTCCTTGTGAGATCTTCAGCCTCCTCTGTGCCAGGAGGGACTCTGGACCCTCCAGAATGGGTGCTGGCTTCTCACCCTCACCCCCAGAGGGGAGCTTCTACCTAGAGAGAAGGGACCCTTCCACCCCCCAACCTGGCTCACCCGCTCCTTCTACTCTGCCCCAGTCTTAATCGGTTGCCCCACTAACCTGTTGCCCTAGTAACCTGTTGAGCCAGCATCTTCTCCCTGCTGACTCTGCTTCCCTTATCTGCTTTTATCTGGGTGTCTAGGGCTGCTGCTGCTGCTGTTTCTGCCTGCGTTTTCCTTCCAGAGTGGAGCTGAAGGCTGGGGGGGGGGGAGGGGGGGAAAGAAGGGTCTTGCTCTGTGCAAATCCTGTGTCTGCTCTCGCTCCGCCCTTCCCTCCCTGGGCAGACGGCTGAGATCACCCTGTTCTCCTTCAGTTTCCTGGGTTAATGAATGTCAAAGAGGCTGCCTGGAGGCTGCCGCCTGGCCTGCCTGGATTGTGGCTGGGGGACATTCTGTTTGTGGGGTGGGGAGGGAAATGGCACAAGCTTGAGTTGCAAGTAGGAAGCTGCCTCCAAACTCTCGGCAGGCTGTTTGTTGATCCAGCCAGCTCAGGTTTATTGCCTTCCCCGGCTTCCAGAGTCTCAGCGCTAAGCCCTCTGCATCACCTGCTACCTGAGATCCTCTTAGACATCCTAGTGCCTTCAGAATGCAGAGTGGGGAGCTGTTCATGGGGGGGCACTCTGGTGTGTCCTCCCCCCCCAACCAGTGTATTTTTCATTGAAGTCACCCGCTGGAACTTGGCTCCAACTTCTCCACCTGTTGTTGTCATTATTTAAAAGAAGCCTGTGGTGGTTTGTACTTGCGTGTAGCCTGAGTCACACCCACCCAGGACTCCCAGGAGAGCTTGGGCAGCCGTAGGGCAGAGGGAACCCCTCTCTGGTGGACAGGGAGCCAGTTAAGCCACAATGGCTGTGCACTCCCTCCCCTCTTGGAAGCAGTAAATGCACCCCACGAATGCCTGTTGCTGGGAACCATGAGTGGGGCTGTTTGGGGCACCTGGCTGGGCGCTGTGGGCCTCCTGGGGCCTGATCCAACTGCTGCTCAGGGCTCTCCTTATGCTTCTATGCAGAAAGTATGAAATAAGTGGGTTGCAGGGGAAGAGGACTGAGGAGTAGACACCCCCAAGGAGATTCCTGGTTGGGCCTGGGGCTAACGAATGAGGGGTAACAAGCCAGGGCTGAGCACGGAGGTGGCACCACCAGTGAAAGACCACCAAAGGGCCCAGACTGGATTGGGTGGGATTAAGAATGGCAGCCAAGCTCCTGCACAAGTGGGGCCTGCAGCAAAATGTTGCTGCGTAGGGAGTGTTCCTGTTCAGACCCCCACCTTGGCTCCGGAGAGCTGTCCCATCACCCCAGCTTGGCCCGCAGGTCCTTGGGCTGATCATCCTCCGTGCCCTCGATGCCCTCATGCCAGGTAGGAGTGCCTGTCACCTGAGCCGGGGCTTCTCAAGGGCATGGCAAAGTGTCCCCTGCCAGAACCTGTGTTTCCACTACAAACAGTCCCCTGTTTGTGGTGAGGCAGCTGCTCCTGCAAAGCCAGTCCTGCGCTCAGCTGGTAACTGGCCTGACTGAGCTGCAGCCGAGGGAGCTCAGGTCACAGGCAGCCTCCAGCTGGCAGCCCCCCTCCCTTGCCAGTGGCTGCTCTGGTTTTCTCTGAACCCCCCCCCCCTTTGGCAGAGTCTGCCCTTCCCCCTCCACCTGTTTCCTGCCTCTCCCTCTCGGTCAGGAGGACCCCCCCCCAGGCCCTGCGTGCTTGAGCTGCTCTGCGGGTGCCCAGGTGAGGGAGCGTGTCTGCGAGTTTAGTTAATATTTGCACAGAGCCATTGGCAATAGAAGCCTCCCTCGCTGGGGTGGGGGAAAGGGGTGGGTGGGCATTAGGTTTGAAATGGGTTTGAAATGTTGGGTTTGAAATGGGTTTGAAATGTTGGGTTTGAAATGCTTCTGAGCAAGGGGTGTGTGTGTGTGTGTTGTGCTTCTCTGAGCTCACAGCTGCAGCAGCAGATTGGGTGATTGAACAGAGTCTGTCCATATTGCTCAGTATTTCCCACACTGGCTGGCAGCAGCTCCCCACAGCTACAGGCAAAGGGTCTCTTGCTTGGGGAAGGACTGTGGCTCAGGGGCAGCAGACAATCCTGGGTTCAATCCCCGCTGAAGTCCCCAGGTAGGGCTGGGGAAGATTCCCTGCCTGACACCCTGGAAAGCTGCTGCAGCCAGAGTAGGCAGCACTGAACTAGACTGACCAAGGGTCTGACTTTGTATAAGGCCTCTAGCTCCCTGTGTTCCTGTGCCAAGCAGATGTTCTACCACTGAGCTCAGGCCCCTCTATATATGCCTGGAGAGCCTTTGCTGCCAGTCCGCGCAGATTATATTGAGCCAGGTGGGTCGCTGGATGGCTTTCTGCTCCTAATGGCCGCTGGAGGTTTTCTGCTCCAGCCACCCTATTAGTCCCAAAGGGTCCTGAGAGGCTGAGCTTCCTTTTGCAATGGCTGCTGCTGCCTGGGCTGACCTCCCTCATCCCCCTCCAGAGAACTCCACCAGCTCGGCGCACACCAGTCCCGCCAACTCCTCCCTGGCGATGGGCAACCGGACGGTGGCAGCAGCCCTGGCGGCCCCAGAGCCTGAGGTGCGCATGAACGGCTGGCTGATCTGCAAGGAGCAGGATGAGATGCTGAATCTCGCCTTCACCGTGGGCTCCTTCCTGCTCAGCGCCATCACCCTGCCCCTGGGCATCGTCATGGACAAGTATGGCCCCCGCAAGCTGCGGCTGCTGGGAAGGTGAGGCTGGGGGCTGTTGGGTTCCTGAGCAGGGGTCTTGCGAGGGTCCCCCCCCAGGCATCAGACCAGGCCTGCTGGGTCCAAGCTGGAGGTTTCCTGAATTGAAGCAGAACTGGTCTTTAGCGCATGCTGGGTGTTTGTGGGTATTTGTGGGTGTTGGTGATTTGTGTGTTTGTTTGTTTGTGTGTGTGTGTTTGTGTGTGTGTGTTTTCCCTTGCCTGAGCCTTTGCTTTGCCCCCAACTGCAGGAGGCAGTGACAGCCAGCAACTGGGATGGCTTTAGAAGAGGATAAGGGAAATGGGGGCAGGAATGTCTGCTAGCCAGTGGCCACTGTGGCTGTGTACTGCCTTTCACTGGGTGAGGCTGTCTGCCTCTGAGTACCAGTTGCTAGGAGTCTCTGTTGCGCTCAAGCCCTGTTATGGGGCTTCCCTTGGGGGTGCCTGGATGGTTCCTGTGAGGACAGGATGTGACCAGGCGGGTCCCCTCTGGCCTGTTCCAACTACTTCTGACATTCTTATGAGTGCCTAAGGATCACTCATACAGAGAACATAAAGAGCAGCCTGCAGGATCAGGCCCAAGGCCCATCCAGCCCAGCATCTTGCTCTCTCAGCTGCCTGCGAGAGTCCCACAAACAGCGTTTGTGCACCAGAGTCTTCTCCCCTCCTGTGATTTCCAGCAACTGGTATTTGGAAAGAGGACTGCCTGGTCTAGCACCTGGGACTCCAGATTTTTGGGGGCTGGGATTAAAGGCAAAGAGCCTGGGGTGGGTGTGGGGAGAACCACCATCGCAGCTTGGGAAGCTCCACCTGCTGGTGCCTGCAGGCCAGACTGCTCTTAAAAGCCCAGGAGCAAACCAGTGGTAGAAAGCTGGCCCTTCTCTGCAGCAGAAGAGGGGGAGCGTCCTTCTCTCCGGGGGGTGAACCTGCAAACAGGCCAGCCGCCCCCAACCTTGTGTCCTCCAGGTGTTGCTGGACTCAGCTGGCACCACCACCACCACTCCCTCCCCCCCCCTTTGTCTTGAGTTTGGGCTGTGGGGCTCCCCCTGCTCTGCAAGTTTGGCACTTGCCCTGATCCAGCACAGATGTCTTGGAAAGTAGACCGGAGAGGAAGAGGGGAGGGGGAAACGAGGGGCAAAGAGGGAAGCCTGTATCAGTCTGTCTTCCTGTTTCAGCCTCCATTAATTGGGAGGAAATCAGAAAAAGTGACGAAGGCAGAGGAACCATATCTGCTGGCTTCAGGTATCCCTGTGCTAAGACAGACGACAGACATGGCAAGGCAGACATGCCCCCCACCCCATCAATCTTTCTCATAAGCTCTGCCAGCCTGTGACCAGTTGCCTTTTCCTCCATTGCAGCGCCTGTTTTTCTGTTTCCTGCGTCATGATCGCCTATGGAGCCAGCAACCCGGACTGTAAGTCGCCTAGTGGTTGGGGGGGGGACAGGGGACGGGATCCCTGTCTCTAGGGGAAGGGGAGGTTGCTGTGGGCCAGGGGCTGTCGAGTGAGGTTTGTGCCCAGTCCTGCCTCCAACCTGGACTCCACCTTTTGTGGCCTTGGCGGTCTTTGGGTGGCACCTGAGAAGCCAAGCTGGTTAAAAGCACTGCCTGAATCAAGGCTGAGCAGTCCCATCTTCCCTGGGCATTGGCCATCTTGGGTGAGTCTGATTGGACAGAATTCAGCCACGTTTGAAGGGTGAAAAGTCATTGCCCCCCCCCGCCGCTGCCCTGGCCTTAAATGATTAGACACGGCAGCAGCTGAGAGTTGAGGGGTTTTTATTCTCCAACTATGTGAGAAAGGGCACATCTACACAGGGGTACAGCACTTCCCGGTCCAGTCCTGGGCATCTCCAGTGAAAGGGGCAGGAGAGGCCCCTGCCTGAAAGCTACTTTGTGGGGAGGGAGCTATAGGTCCGTGGGGAGAGCCCTCCCCAAAGTGGGGGGCTTTGCAGCAGACATTGTCCCTGGTTCAAGCCCTGGCAGCCACCTCTGCGGTTACAGGAGGACCAGGTCACTGCAGCTGCTGGCATCAGGAAGACCCCAGAGAAACTGCTGCTGGTCTGGGCAGATGCTCATCTACATGGACCTGCAGTAAAAGGCAGCTCTGCTCATGTTCTCATTCAGAACCACAAGGACTACTAGAATCTTCCCTTTGGGGGAAGGACCACAGCTCAGTGGCAGGGCAGAAGGTCCCACGTTCAGTCCCTGGAAGAATGTCCCGTTGCAAAAGGAATCTCAGCACTCTGTGTGGGATGGAGCTGGGGAGGGGGTGGCAGATCTGGCCCCCTCCCTGTTTTGCAAAGCTGGGGCTGAGCTAGAAGGCCATTGGGGGTTTTGCTGGTGGGCCTGCTGCCCCATTGACGACCTCTGCCCTCCCTCCTTCCCTCCTCAGCTCTGTCGGTGCTGATCTTCATGTCCCTGGCACTGAACGGCTTTGGGGGGATGTGCATGACCTTTACTTCGCTCACGGTGAGTGCAGAGAGAGTGCGCTGGGAGGACGGGAGGGGCTCCCTGTACCTGGCAGCTGATGCCCCCCACCCCAGAGTCCCTGCCTGGCCTCCCCTTCACCCCTCCAGCCCTTTCAGGGACCTCAAAATGGGAAGAGCGAATGAATCTGCCAGGACTGAGGCCTCATTGAGGAAGTGGAGGCGTCTGGGGCCCAGGGCTGTTTTTTCCGCTTGTCTTGAAGGCTTCACTTCCTTCTCCCGAATCTTGCACATTCTCAGGCTCCCTTCACCCCTCCCAGCCGTGGTTTTGTTGCACCAAAGTCTCTTGGAAATAAAGATGTGGTTACAGACCCCCAAGCGGTCCCCTGCCCCAAACTGGGTTGAGAACAGGAACGGGCTGTCGGGGGGGGGGTTCTGTGTTCCCAAATCTCCTGGTCCCCCACAGCACCCATTGACTCTGGCTGTGAAACAGTCTGGAGAGCAGATATTGGGGTATTTTTTGAGGGGGGAGTTGTCAGTTTTTCCAATCCTGAATGGGCTTTGCCTGGACCCAGGCTGTGTGCTCCCTCCAAGCCGGGGCTTCCTCTGAGCAGAAGGGACCTGGGGGGGTCCCTAAACCCAGGAGGCAATCTGCTTTCCGGTTCCCAGGATGGCCTCCCAGAGACCCTCTTCTGGCAGCTGGAGGGGCTCAAGAGTTTTATCTGGGGTGCTTTCCCTCCAGGCAGCCCTAAGCCCCCCAGCACCTCTCCTCCTGCAGGGGTGGGCCTCAGCCCCCCCCCCCACGGGTGGCGTACAGCACTGCAGTGCAGTCCAGGATGCGGCTGGAGCCGGCTTCCTCTTCCCCTCCCCTCTCTGAACGCAGAACAAATCTGTAAGCTGCTCGCCTCCTCTGCTCTGGGGTTATTTAAGGACCCGGCTGCTGCATTGCATCCAAAGCGCTGCAGCTAGAGAGGCGGGGGGGGGGGGGAGGGACGGAGCCAGGTGGAAGCTCCCCCCCCCACATCACTGCCAACCCCCCCTTTCCTGCTAGAGAGATCCTCACAGCAGGAATATCCTCAGCCGTGTAAACAGGCAGCTGCAACAGGAGCCCGGGCAGCCTTTGGAAAAAGCAGCCAAATCTCTCTGGGCATGTTGAGGGGGGGGCCTCTTGAGCTGGGGGAGGGTGGAGAACATCATAGTCTCTGCCCCCTTCCCTGGCACCTCCCTGTGTCCCCTTCAGATGGTTGGCAAGTGAAATGTCTCTTCAGATGGCAGCCATGGGGCAACATGTCTGGAAGCCGGGGAAGGCTGACTGAGCAGGGAAGATATGAGTCTCCCACTTCTCTCCCCCCCACCCCCCGGCCAGTTCCCTTCACAACTTGGTTTCTCTTTTCCATGCAAGGCTAAGATATCTTCTCTCCTGGCCATTGCTTGCCCAGACAGGGCAAGGGCGGGAGCTGTTTTTCTGTTTCCAAAGTGGTGCTTCCTTCTCCTGTTGGCCCCTTGTAGGGATGCTTCTCCCACTGCAGCCTCTCAGGGCTGGAGGGAGCGAGTGTGCCTGGTGCCTTTGGTGTGCAGAAGCTGCAGGGTGGCCGAGGGTGGGGCTGAGAGAGGCCCAAAATGGGCACCAGAGTTCATAGAGGAAATAGTCCCATTTACCGTAATATTCCGCTGGACCGTGTTTCTGAGTCAAGGCTGGTGTGTGCTTCCAGAGGTCAAGTGCCAGGCCAGCCAGCCATTTCCTCAGAGGCTTAGTGGGGGCAGCTGGCTGGACAATGCCCCCCCCCCAGCTTCTTGCTGGGCCTCTTGCACGCAGCCTAACCCAGCAGAGCACATTCAGCCGCAGCTGGGGAAGGACAAGACCTGAGACGTACGTGCACATCCAGGTCTTGTTTTGTTGGCAGGCAAGGCAGCCTGGAACGGTGACTTCGTCAACACTGCCCTCGGCTGCCTCCACACAGACTTGCCCCGGCCTTTGCAATCTTCTTCCCACGAGGGCGAGCCCGGGGCAAGAGTTGTTTTGACACTTGGGAAACTGCCTTGCGCTGAGTCAGCGCATTTGCACCCCTCGTTCTGGGCTCTCTCCTCCGACTGACGGCAGCTGCCTTTTTTGAACCCAGAGCCTTCTGCAGGCAAACAAGCCGTGGCATTTTCTCACTTGGATCCTGGAGGGAAAAGCCTGATGTCGCAGAAGAGTCTTTGCCCCACATGTTGCCAGGGGGCTGAGTGGATATACTGAGCTTGCGTGTCAAGGGACAGCCCTGGCCCCGGAGGAAGCCCCAGGGTGGGTTGTGGAGGGCAGCAGAGTGCGTGCAGAGAGCAAGCCTTGCAAAGCCCCAGCCCCACCTTGTCCCTTGCCTCGGAAGAGGGAGGGTCCCTTTGTCGGCTGAGCCACCTCCTGGCCCACTTGGGGGAGATGGTAGTCAGGCTTGCTGGCTGCAACTGGTGTGGCTTCTGACAGACCCTGCAGGGCTGGCTGCTTTTGGGGGACACTGTGCTCTCGTTTTGTATTTTCACCTTGTGAACCATCCTGTGATCTCCACGTGAAATGCAGGGTACAAATTAAATAAACGAATGAATTTCCTGTTCCCTGGCAAGCAACCTCTTCCAGCTCTGAGGGGGCTGTAAAGGGCTTGTGAGAGGCTTCCTCTTGCTGGCTGGACACCTGTCTTGGCTTGCAGGCATTTGAAATGGTACCAGAAAGCCTGCAAACTGTGTGGGGACGCCAGGGGGTTACGGGGCTCTCAGACGGCTTTTAACTCTTTAAAAGGGGGAAGGCAAATCTGCCTCCAGCATTGGATACCACAAGATATGGAGACCTCCCTCCCAAAGCTACCCTAGGAAGCCTCTTGATGAGCCTGGCAGCAGCCGCCCCGCCCTCCTGCCCCCCTGGTTTCTGCTCCCGAGTAAACAGGCTCCTTTCCTCCCCACACAGCCCACCTGCCCTAACCCTCCCCTTCTTCCTGCCTTCCTTCCTTCCTTCCTTCTCAGCTGCCCAACATGTTTGGCGACCTTCGCTCCACCTTCATCGCCCTCATGATTGGCTCTTACGCCTCGTCGGCTGTGACCTTCCCAGGAGTCAAGGTAGGTTGGCTGGAGCTCCAGCTTGTTGCTGCCGGAGGCGGATGGGGTCCTTTTCCAGTGATGCAGGCGAGTGGCGCTGTGGGGAGCGGGGGTCCCTTGTCAAATGCAGGGATGGGCGCTCTGGGGGAGGTATTTAAACTCCTCCAGCTTCTCTACAGTGACTGTCTGCCCCCCCCACTCCAAAAAAAGGGATGCCGTCTGTTGAGAGAGCAATGGGGGAATTCTCAGTAACTGGCCTTGGCATTTCAGTCATTCTGCCAGCTTCCTGCTACTGACCCCCCAAAACCTCAATGCCACCGTGAAGTGAGATGAGCTTTCCTAGAATTCTGCTGGCCCCACGATGAGAATGTGAAGGTCCCCTTAACCAAGGGGTTGCTTAAAATACACAAATAAACTGGAGGAGAATAAGCAGAATTCATATTTTTAACCCACTTGTGGCTGACAGAATAGGCAGCCATGCCCAGCTTGTCTTTCCACGGAGGAATCTGCAGGAAAGAGGGCATTATACCAGGGGCCTCTTATTGCAAACTGATGGACAGAAAAAGCAGGATGGAAATAAGACATTTGGGGCAGCGGGTGCAGAATCCAGTTCCAAATCCCCAGACTCCCCAATGCCAGCTGTGGGAAGGTGCTTTTTGTTGGCTGGACGAGCTGTGCGATTGGCCTTGAGGCCTGACATGGGACAGGAATCCCCAAGCAGCAGGTCAGGGGAACAGGCCCAGCACTCTCCCTTTTCGTTCCCGACCTCTGGCATTGGGGAAAGGGCCCCTCGGCTGGTAGGGCTACTCTGTTTTGCCATCAAACACCTCTTGATAGCGCCCCCCCCATACATTTGTCTCATCCCCTTTGAGGTTGACTGTGACGACTTACGGAATTCATTGCAAGAAGATGCAGAGTTACATGACAGAAAAATAGATGGAGCATCTTCTGTGCTTCTGCTCTGACATCCGGACTCTTCCATGGCAAATGCCTTCGACCTGAGATGCCCCCCTAGCCCGGGGGGAAGGAGGGGGTCCTGCTGCTGTCGCTACCTCTGGTGACCCCCAAGGGCCTGGCTGGTGATGGCTGCCTTTCCTCCCTTTGCCCCTCCAGGTGATCTATGACTTTGGCGTCTCCTTCATCCTTATCCTGGTTGTCTGGGCTTGCTGTGCAGGCCTTGTCTTCTTCAACTGCTTCTTCAACTGGCCCCTTGAGCCCTTCCCAGGCCCAGAAGACATGGACTACACGTAAGTCCTGTTGGTGTGTGTTGAGGGGACCCTTGGCTGCCCTTCTGAGACCCCCCCCTCAGGCTTTCCTTAGGATGGGTGGTGGCCGTTCCTGGGAATTTTTCACCTCGTCCGCCACAGCGCATTGAATCGTAGAATTGTTGCATTGCAAGGGACCCATCTAGCTCACCCCCTGCAAAACAGGAGCTTGCCATTTCCACATTACTTCCACGAGACAACCCTAAAACACGGCAAGTAAAATATGCTGAGGGTATTGTGTTGCACTCATGAGCAAGGCCTCTCCAGAGCTTCATGCCAGCCAGGGGTGGGTGGGTGTTTGGGGACGCGGGCAGGGCATTTCCAAACCACCACTCTTTTAGGGTGGGATTCAGCAAATGAGAAGTTTGTGGTCCCGGAGTGGCTGACGCCTCACCTCCCTGCAGGCAGTCCGGGGCAGATGCTCCCTTGAACCGGGTGCCGTCAGCAGCCCAGCCCGGATGCTGCAAGTAGGGCAGCAGGTCAGGCAGACGTCACAACTCTCCTCTGCCCTCTTTCTTCCCACTGGACAGGGTGAAGATCAAGTTCAGCTGGCTGGGATTCGACCACAAGATCACTGGGAAGCAGTTCTACAAGCAGGTGACGACGGTGGGCCGACGCCTGAGTGTGGGCGGCTCCATGAAGAACCCAAAGGAGCTGGCTGCCCTGCAGGAGAGCAAGAACCTCTGCCTCTCCACCGTAGACTTGGAAGTCAAGTGCGAGCCGGACAGCGCAGGTGGGGCAACCAGCAAGATGGTCCTATGCTTGTCTCTTCCTGGACCCACATGTGTGTGTGTGTGTGTGTGAGAGAGAGAGAGAGAGCTGCCAGGGCTGCCAACCCCCCCCCCCATGTGGAAATGCAACTTTGTCTTACTGCTGTGTGTTTCTGGTGATGCAGAGTCCACTGTGAGCTGCCCCCTCAGCTCTCCATCGGAGGAAGGACTGGGGACGTCCTGGGAAGGGCCATGGTCTACTCTTCCTCCTCCTCCTCCTCCTCCTCCCCCAGGGAGCAAATGGCCCCCTGCCCAGCCCCAGGGCCATTCCTCTCTCTCTCTTCCAGAGGTTTGGCAGGAGCTGACCAAACCATGAAAGACACGGAGAGGGTTGTCTGCCCCTTTACTGATGTTGGAGCACTTCTTTTGTCTTTGTGCTGATATTCAGCAAGCCCCCCTTGGTCCCCAGCAGAGTGTCCAGAAGTAAAACAAGCACAATCTTAGTAAAAACTGCGCCAAATTTAAAGCTCAGAGCAACATGAAAAGCAGTATCACGAAACGCACAGCACAGGAGGAAATTGCTTCCTCCACTTGTGTGGGCCACACACTTTGGCCAGCCATGTCTGCGCAGTTTCCTCCCAGCCCCAGCGAGTGATCTGAGGCTACGCATTTGCAGGATGAATGCAGAGTGTTCTTTGGGATGGCCAGGCGGCCCCGGCCAGCAGGAGCTGCCTCGGTGACCCTGTGCTGGCCAAGTGGCCCAGGGGGCAACTGGCATCTCCCAAGGAGCCACCACCCCCCTTCCTTATTTCCTCCCTCCCCCCGCAGCCTCCCCGTCCTTCATGCACAGCGTCTTCAGCCCCATCCTGCTGCTCAGCCTGGTCACCATGTGCGTCACGCAGCTGAGGCTCATCTTCTACATGGGCGCCATGAACAACATCCTGGAGTTCCTGGTGGACGGGGATCTGCAGACAGGTGGGTGCAGCTCCCCCCTCCCCCCCCCCGCGGCTTGCAAGGGAAGAGCAGCGCTTGCCCTGCCTGCACAGAGTCAGCCGCCGGGCATTCTCACGCCAGCGGAACAGTGCCTTGAAATATTCTCTAAGCGCCTTTCTCGAATAAAAAGCCGCCTGACTCGTCGGTGGCCTCCCAAGAGGTCCTTGGGCCTTTAGAAGCATTGGAAGCCAACAGTTCCTAGTTTCACCTCCCTTCTATACGTTTAAAGTACATTTATGCCACATTAACAGTCATGGCTTCCCCCAAAGAGTCTTGGGAACTGTAGTTTGCTACTCACAAAACTGCGATTCCCAGCACTGCCAACAAACTACAGATTTTATATAATAATAATAATATAATTATTATTCATGCTCTGCCCACCTAGGGTTCTTTGGGGGCTGCCCCATCATTCAAAGGCACAGCACTCTCAGTTCAGTGTCAGGAATCGCACACATTCCACTGAGGAGTGTGGCGCTCACATGCGCTTGTCATCTTGGCCACCCAGGATGACTTTGCCACTGGGTGGTTCCTGCACAGGGTGAAATTAGGGTGTTTTGTGGCGGGGGGGTGGGGGAGGCTCAGGAAGCCACACTGTGCGGTGCTCCTTGCAGACCCCTCTTTGTGCTGGGTCTTCAGGTGTTGCCAGCACCTGCTGCTACCAGCTGGGTCCAGCTGGCCTGGTTGTGCCTCCAAGCACAGGCTGGCAGACGCCCCTCTCTACGAGGGCAGCCACCGGCTGAATGCCAGGCTAATTTCGGCCCTGTTTCCGTGACACCCTTGGGTGTCTCGCGGCTCAGGGGTAGCGGAGTTCAGTTCCTCAGAATGCCCCGACAACTCTTTCTGGTTTGCGGGAGAAAAAAATTGGTCAGCTGCAGTTTGTGCTGCTGCTGCTGCTGGCGGCTGGGGGGGGGGAGTTTCCTGGCTCTCACTTCCCTTCCTCGCCCTCCCCACAGCGAAGGGAGAAGCCCAGCAGCTGACAGGGTGTCACTGGGGGAGAGGGGGTTGTGCTTGTGAGCTTCAGTGCCGCTGACTCAAGGCCCGTATTTATAGCGGCTGGAAGGGAGCCAGCCAGGAAAGGGAGCGATTTCCATGAGCTGGTTGTTTGTCTTTTGCACAACAAGACGAAACCATTTGTGTCTTGCGCACCGAGATCCAGTTTGGGCTTGTTAAATCTGGAATCTGCGAGGCAGATAAATCAAGAGGCGCTTTCATGAAAACAACAGGGAGGCTCAGGGGAAGGGAAGCGCAGCCGAGCGAGCAAGTGGCCAGGCGGGCGGCCGGCCGGGGGGGGGGGGCTTGAAGCTGAGCGGCTGCCAGGCCGACCCCCTCCCACTCCTCCTCTCCTTGGGGCTTCGCTGCTTGGCAAGCTCTGCTGGGGGGGGGGGCAGCCTTTCGGCCTTCACTCTGGACTTCCAGACCCCCACTTCCCTCCTGACTCTGCTCTGGTGTCCTCAAACTCCTTTGCCCCCAGCCTGGGGGGCTGTGGCTGCATCTCCTCAGGGGGCTGGGTCTTGCTGTTTACCAGCCCTCCACCGAGGAGGCGCCCGGGCTCAGGACCTGGGAGTGTTACACAAAGGACAGAAGGGCCCATCTGTGACCCTGCAGAGGCTCCAACTCCCACCATCTCCCTGTCCATGCTGGCTGCTGGAGGAGCACAGCACCTGGACGGCCACAGGTGTCGCCTCCGTTTTGAAGGGATACATCCCAGCTGCTTGCCTGCCCCAAAGGGCACCACACACAGTGCCCCTCCTTTGCTTGTTGGCCAGCTGCGCTCCCCTCTCAGTCTCCCCTTTCCAGCCACCCAAACCCCGCAGGCCTTCGCCTGGCCCTGCCCTGACGCCGCCCTTCCTCTCTCCCTCCCAGTGGACCTTTACACCACCATCTTCGGAGTCCTGCAGCTCCTCTGCTTGATGACGGCCCCCGTCATCGGATACATCATGGACTGGAAGCTCAAGGAGTGTGACGATGGCGCTGCGGAGGAGGCGGACGAGGGGAGCGCCCCCGGCCAGTGAGTAGCGCAAAGGCAGGCTGCGAGGGCACTCGCTGCCCTGTGGATCCTCCGTCTGGGGAGGGGGACCCCCAGCTCCTTCCTCCCCAGGGGAGTCTAACCAGACGGGAGGAGTCTGAGGTCACTAGGCCAAGGCTGGAAGCACAGTCTGCCCAGCCCTCGGCTGACCTAGAAAGACCGAGAGCCTGGAGGCCAATGTGGAGAGATGCCTCCGCCTTTGTTTTTGCCAGGAGCCAGCGGTTGGCCTGTGGCTAGACTTCCCCGGCCAGCTTGCCACCCAACCAGCTGCCCTCCTGGGCAAAAGGGCATCCCAGGAGTGGGGAGCGTCTGAGCTCCTCCAGCAGATACTGGGCTCCCAGCAGTCCGGGAGGAGGGGCTCAGCTGCTGCCCACTGCTGGCATGACCCCAGGGCTTGTGTGTGTGTGTGTGTGTGTGTGTGTGTGTGTGTGTGTGTGTGGAACATTGGCCTTTGGGCCCCTCCAGAGGGTCTTAGGTGGGTCTGCAGCAGCACAAAACACCCTGCAAGTATCTGGTAAAACAACTTAGATGTGACTGCCCCAAACACTCGTGTGGGTAAGAGGTGGGTCACAGGCCTGAAAAGGCTGAGGACTTGGGGCATGGTGGGTGAAAAGAGGGGCATACTCCTGTGACCCCTCTTTCTTTGCCAAGCAATTGAGACTCCACAGCAGGGACCCCCACCAGGCAGCAGGATTGAGGGGCATTGCCCAGACCCCGACTGCTGTGACTTAGGAGCACAGGAAACTGCCTTGGACTCAGCCAGACCCCCAGTCCATTTACCCCAGTACTGCCTACACTAACTGGCAGCAGTGGCTCTCCAGGGATTCCCCTCCTTGCAGATGCCTGGGACCTTCTGCATGCAAAGCAGCTGCTCTTCCTCTAATTTGCTGATCTATTCGATCCTTTTTTTGTACCACCTTCTCTCCCAAGGCGTTGGGAATCTCACACCATCTTTTGTTGTGCAGTGAAGGCTGGAGACCTGGGCCTCCCACCTCCCTTGCGGATCTCCCACTGGCCCCTGCAAGCCCCTCTGACCCCCTCCGTTCCTCTCTCCCTCTCCCTGCAGGGGCAGCAAGAAGAAGCGCCGAGACAGGCAGATCCAGAAGGTGGAGAACGCCACCCGTGCTTTTGCTTTTACCAATCTGCTGCTGGTGGGCTTTGGGATCACCTGCCTCATTCCCAACCTGCCTTTACAAGTGAGTAGCTGGCAGGGAGAGCAGTTGTCAAAGACTCAGCACAATAGAGGGCCAGGAGGTGCTGTGGGGGCCAGTCTAGGTCTCACCTGTTTGCTGGCTTAGCGGACCTTGCGTCTCCTGTGAGCAGGATCCCCACATACCAGCCTGTTTGAACAAGGTGCCCCTCCAACACCACCTGCTCCCAGTAGGCAGACAACATGGGCTGAGTTGAAAAATGCTTGGTCATAAGACCATCAGAAGGACCTGTTGGATCAGGCCACGTTGTGTGCAAATGTCCTTTCTCTTCTGACAGTCAGCTTTGTGGGACGTCTCTGGGTTCGAGTGTGCTGATCCTTCTTCAGTGCTTCTGTGGATGGAAGGGGGTCCCCGTGGAGGGGAGGGGGGCAGCCCTGCAAGCTCCCCAGAGGGAAGAGGGATGGGCAAGTAGTGTGCTGGGCATTCAGAAGGTGACTTGGGGTGAGAATTCAGGGTTGCGTGTCTTTCCCCCTTTTCCAGATCCTTTCCTTCATCTTGCACACCATCGTGAGAGGGTTCATCCATTCTGCCGTGGGCGGCCTCTACGCAGCCGTGTAAGTCTAGTCCTCAGCCGGCCTCTGGCCATGTATGTTTGCCCAATCGCCCGCCTGAGCTTTGCTGCCGCCCACTTTGTTTACAGGCACCCAGTTCCCGGCTGGGGATGCTCCTTTTCCCTGGCCACCTTGCCCTACCTTCCAGCCCGTTTCTGGGTCATGTTTTTCCTCCTTCTTGGATTAGCTTATGAGCAGCTGTGGCTGCTGGCTGTGGGCCTGCTTCTCTGGGTGTTGCTCAAGGCTGAACATGACCCACATGCTTTCATCCTCTCCTCTGCACCTGATACCCATTTGATGTCACCCTCTGCTCTGGTTGCAGCATTCCTGGTGGGAGCAAAACAGTTTCCTAATCGCAGGCCCAGCCCAGGGTTCCCGCCCTCTGCTTAGGCCACCCAGACGCTTCTCTCCACCACAACACCCCCTTCCTTTGGTGAGCCCCATCTAGGCCAGAGTCTCTGGGGGAGCCCAAGGATGCTGTCCTCTCCTCTGATTCTATCAGGCATGCAACGCTCAACCCATAACCAGATCCGGTTTCAGCTGCTGCAGCTCAGCTTGACCTGACTTGGGTGTTTTTGTCCTTGGGTTTGTTTTTTAATCAAAGAAGTATATGAATGTGATGATCAATGCGGGAGTTGTTGGTCCAGCTCCAGTTCTTGGCTTTTCAACATTGCTCAACTGGAGGAGGAGGAGGAGGAAGAGAAGCCCTCTGGCCTGCTTTCCCAGGCTCCTGTTTTCTCCTGGCAACCTCCAGCCTTCAACACTTTCCAATCAATGATGCTGATCTGCCTGGCTTGGCTGGGCCACTCCTCTAGGGCTCCTTCGTGCCCAGGCAGGCGGTGGGAAGGGAGCCAAGGCTTGTAGCCCAACCTGGACTCTTGTTTGCTCAGAGGTGCCCCACATTCCAGCTCAGGGTGTGTGGAGAGTTGAAATCCAGGGGCCTGTGGTCCAAAGCAGTTGTTTCTGGCCAAGGGCCCTCTAGTCTGGGGTGCAAGTGATCTGGCCCAAGGTCTGGACTCAGGGCACAAATGCCATAAATATTTTAGCTTCCTCTCCCACCTGCTTTAGGGAAGCTTGGAGCACGTTACCCAGAAGCATCCCTTCGGGACAGCTAAATTTGATCAGTTAAACTTGTGCATTTAGCCTTTTGTGGGATTTGATGGTGTGGAAACCAGACTCCTGAGGACTGTAGGCTTTCCCTGCTTCCAAACACAAACATCTAGTCCTCATTTTTGCTTGGGCAAGGGGGAAAATAATCTCTGCCCATGTTCTGCTTTGAAGGTAGAGGAGGGAAACTGCAGAGTTCCTCTCCTGCATCCTGCCCTGTGGCTGCTCCAGCTGTGCTCTGCGTGGGGCAGAATTGCCCAGGCTGCTGCTGGAGAGGCTGGAATGAAGAACGCCAGGAGCGTGAATTGCCAGGGAGCGGCAGGGCTTTGGGGAGATCTTGCTTTATGGCTGCTTGCTGTGTCTGCCACGTGGGGCCTTTCTGCTCGGAGCCTCCGTGCCCCTGAATGCCAGCGGTGAAGAACATAAGCAGAGCCCCGGCGCTGAATCCGGCCACAGGGGCTCATCCAGTCCAGCACCCTGTTTTGTGGCTAGAAAGGGAAGGTCACACGGGCAGGTCCTGAGGGCAGCAGCCCCCTCCCCACATGCGACTCCTGGTGACTGGCACCCAGGGGCGTTTACTGCCTCCAGCAGAGGAGGAAGGTAAGGCAGGAAGGGGGCTTCTGCCTTCACACCCTGCTTTCAGGGCTTGCTGGAAGCACCTGGCTGGCCGCTGGACTGGAATGCAGATGTGGACGGGGCCTCCTGCTCAGATTCTGATGGGCCGTTAGAAAAGTCTCCAAGGGCCTTTGCTTCCAGAGAGTAATGGGCTGTGGGGCTGGGCTCAGGGAGGAGCCCCCCGTGGCCAGGCTGTGAGTGCAGAAACATGACTGCCCCCTTTCTCCCCCCTCTCCGGCAGGTACCCCTCCACACAATTTGGCAGCTTGACAGGGCTGCAGTCTCTGGTCAGCGCCCTCTTTGCCCTCCTGCAGCAGCCCCTCTTCCTGGCCATGATGGGGCCCTTGGAAGGAGACCCTCTCTGGGTAAGTAAGTGGTTGGGCGGCTGGCGCAGTGGAGCTCCCAGCGCTTGGCTTTTGTGCAGAGGAAACGGCAAGGGACAATTAGTCGACTGCATCTTACTCAGGAGACCCATTTAAATCAATAGACCTGGCCTCTGTAGCACTATCCATGTTGATGAGGTTAGTCGGAGTAGAGCGGAGTTGGAGACAAGCCTTTAATTCCAAAAGCAGCCTTGGGGGGGGGGCGTTCCTGAGCAGGCAAAGGGCTGGGATAGCTCTCCCCCCTCCAGCTGTTTCTCTGCTCAGCACTGATGCCCCCACCCAGGTGCTTTTCTCAGCCACAGGCACTCCTCGCCCTCTCCTGTGGGGAAAACACGCCAGGGCTGGTGGGGCTGATCTTTAAGTGGGCACAAGCAGTTGGAGGGGAGGCAAAGGAGACCCTCTCTTGGCCGTTCCTCTGCAGAGACTTGAAGCAAGAAGCTGCCTTTGGTTTGGGAGAAAACCGCGTCGGGGGTGTGTGTGTGTGTGTGTGTGTGTGGGTGAAGCCTTTTCTGTGGCGGCCCATTCTGGCTGCTTCTGCCTCCCTCTGGTTGGCAGGGCTCTTGTAAAAGCAGGAAACCCGTGGCCACAGCAATTCTTAGCACCCAGGTACCCCCAAGCGAGGAAGCCCCCAAGCAGGCAGGGTTCGGAGGGCAGCAGCAACTCTCCCCTCTTGGGGTTCACCCCAGCCGGCACCCAGCATTTACTGCCTCTGGCAGTGCAGGAACGACAGAGCCTTTGACAGGGGCTGCTGCCTCCTCCTCCTCCTCCTCTGGGGCAGAAGGTTCTGGGACCCAGTCTGCCGCTTCTGCCACACAGGCTCCCCCATGGCACCCTGGGCTCTTTGCTGCAGCTCCTGCTCTGGAAGGTGTTCCAGGGCCTGTTTGGGAAGTGGAGGAGGCTGCTTGGATCCTCTGGCTGGGCTCCCAGAGGCCACGTTGTTTTCTGTTTAGACAGCAGAGCACCTGACACCTGCCTGGGAGCAGCCTGGTCTGTTTCCAAATCATGATGGGGGCACATGGGTTGCGGAGCGCAGCAGAGCAGTGCTGCCGGAGGGAGGCTGGCAGGAGCAGAGGACTCCTTCCTGTGGGCGCTGTGTCTTCCCGGGGCATTTCCAGCTTCTGTTTCTTCCTGGGTTTGGGGCTAGCACAGACCCCTTCCCTCCTTCCCTTACAGCTGGAGCTACTGTGGGGAGACCCCAGTGGGTGCTGCTGGCCTGCAGCAGGAGTTTGCAGAGCTCTTGTGGCAACCAGCCAGTCTGGGAAGGAGCCACTTCCACACAATGCCTTAAAAAAATCCATCCCCCCCCCAAAAAGGGTTTTCAAGGGAGCAGAGCCCCCACGCTCCTAGGCTGCTGCAGGAGATCTTGGCTTGTTGGCCAGCGAATGATACCCAAGCAGATAATCCCAAGCGGGGTGGGGGCAAAATCCTGGCCACATGGGATCTTCTCCAGCTCTTCCCCCCCCAGCCCAGATCTGAGCAGGAGGTCAGATCCTGCCCTCCAACCAACACCTGGCCTTGTTGTGTAAACATACCCAGGTTGCACAGGTAAACGGCCTTGGTCCAGTATATCTGAAGGAGCGTCTCCATCCCCATTGTTCAGCCCAGACACTGAGATCCAGCACCGAGGGCCTTCTGGCGGTTCCCTCGCTATGAGAAGCCAAGTTACAGGGAACCAGGCAGTGGGTCTTTTTGGTGGTGGCACCCGCCCTGTGGAACGCCCTCCCACCAGATGTCAAAGAGAAAAATAACTACCAAACTTTTAGAAGACATCTGAAGGCAGCCCTGTTTAGGGAAGCTTTTAATGTCTAATAGGTTGTTGTATTTTAGTGTTCTGTTGGAAGCCGCCCAGGGTGGCTGGGGAAACCCAGCCAGATGGGCGGGGTATAAATTAGAAATAATAATAATAATAATTTATTTTATTAACACCCAGGGAGGAGGCCTCACATCCCTCAGCTGCTTCTCCCCATCCTGGGGGCAGGGAGAGTATGCTTTGCTTGCAGAAGGCTCTCCCCTCCAGTTCAAGCTGGGGGAGGCAGGTGCTTCAAGGTGACATTCCTCATCATCCTCACCACTGAGTGTTGGGGAATCCGACCATGGGGGCTACTGCCTTATAGAGTCTAACCAAGCTGGCCCTCTGGCTCAGTATTGCCAGCACTGGCTGGCAGCAGGGCTTTGGGGCCATTCCTGTTCCCAGCACTCCCTGGGCTCTCCCACAGCCCCTCCAAAGCCCCTGTGCAAACAGATCAGGCTCCAGGCAGGCTGAGCTGCAAGAACCAACCCTCTGTTGCTGGCCTGGAGCAGCTCCTTTGCTGCCATCGCCACACCCTCCTCCTGCTCCCTGTACAAAGGCACCTCAAGGATCTCGGGGCAAAGGGGGGTGCTGGGCAGCTGGAACCCCCTACCCTCACCCCTGCTGCAGGGCCTCTGCTGGCCACCAGGCTCTTCATCTTGGGCTGAGCTTCAGCCTTTCCTCTGCCCTCCTCCTCCTCCTCCTGCTGACACTGCCGGCCTCTTCTGTCCTCCTGCAGGTCAACGTGGGGCTCCTGGGGGCGAGCATGCTGGGCTTCTGCCTCCCGCTCTACCTGATCTTCTTCCGCCGGCGGCTGGAGCGCGAGAAGCAGCAGAAGAGCGAAGATGCCAAGCTCTTCCTCAAGATCAATGGCACACCCAGCCAGGAGGCCTTCGTCTAGGAGGTGGCTTCTCTTTGCCGGACTGGGCTGGGAGCCTCTATGGGCAAAGGCAGCAGCATCTCCTCCCACTCGCTGGTGGTGCTGCTTGTGCCCCCCTCGCAGCTCCTGCCTTGTCCCCCTCTGCCCAGCCTCCAGAGACAGGCAGTGGCTGGGCCAGCATGGGCCTCACCTGAGTCCTCTATGGCCACACACAGCGTCACGCCTCTTCCGCTCCCTCGCTGCTTCTTCACGGGACTCTGGTGCCGCAGGGGCACTGACTGGTTGCAAAAGCAGAGCCCCTTCACTGCCCCCAACTGCAGCTTGCGCCAGTGCAGGACACAGGTGCTCTCCTGCCGCTCTCCTCTGCCCTCTGCCATTCCTGGAGCCCAGAAGCAAGCCTCTTCCCCCTGCCTCCAGACGCCAGTCCGTCCTCCAGCCTGACGGGGCGGGGAGAGGAGGGGAGCCCAATGGGACTCTGCAGACTGACCTGGGCAACAGCCACGGACCTCTTCGTTCTGCTCCGGACAGGCCTCATGGCTACTTGCTGCAGGGCAAGGGGCTGCCTCTGGGCCACTGAAGGAGCAAGGAAGATTGGGGGGCACATCCAGCTGGCCTGGATCCTAGTGGTGGAGGAGCTGGGGCCCTCCCCCTTGCTGCCCACTGGTCTGATGTGAAGTTGGCACTGAATTTTGCAGGGTTGCTGGGAGCCGGGTGCGTGTGTGTGGCGCTTGCTCTCCTCTCTGCCTGGGGAGGGAGCAGCTCCTGCTTTGCAAAGCAATAAATAGGCTGGCGGGGGGGCCTAGACTGAGCTCCAGGGAGGCAAGCTTGATGAATGTTCCCCTATCCCTTTCTTGAAAGGGATGCCACAAGCTTGCCCACCCCTCTCCATCCGTAGCTATTTGGGGATCTCTCAGGCCAAGGGGGGTCAGGGTGGCGGATGTCTTTGCCCCGAAGGTACTTGGGCTAACCCTGATCCTCTTCTACTGGCAGCCTGGTGGAGCCTCTGCGCCCCCTGGTGGCCGACAATCACTCCACAGGGAGGGCCATTTACTCACACGTAGTGACAATGGCAAGGATGACACAGCCTGTTTTGTGTGTTCTGAACAACCTCCTCCCCTGCTGTCTTGTCTCTTAAAAAAAGAAAGGAAAACCCAGACATGGTTTGAGTGCTGATTTCACAAATCTGTCATCAAAAGAGCCTTCCTCCTAGGGCAGGGAAGGGTTGGCTGCTCTGACTAGCAGCTGCTTCGGTGGGGCAGGACAGGGATGTGGGTCTTCCACATCTTGCACTCCCTGGGATTGAAACTCCCCCACTCCCCTTTATTAGAAGGATGGGTGGGGGTGATACCCTGCTCCCTCCCTCCCTCCCTCTTTGTTTCTGAAATGCAGACAGGGAAGGGGAGGAGAAGAGGCAAACCTTTAACCAAGAGAAGCTCTGGCGGCAGCAGAGGGAGTCTGCTGTGATCCATTATTGAGGTGGGGAGTGGGGCTCATCACTGGGGTGTGGGGGGAGTTAAACTGGAGCTAACCGAGGGGAGATTCGGAACCTGAAGAGCAAGGGCTACCACCAGTGTAAGCGCACAAGCACAAACATGCGGTGAGAGGTTGCATTATTTTTAAAGCAGTGGCTGCAGTTTTCTCTTAGGCTGCTTCTGCCCCAACCTCTTCTTGCAGAAACCTTCCAGGTCACTCCAGGGGCTCTTCTCTCCCCATCTGGGGAGGGGGGAAGGAAATGGGCAGGAAGCTTAACCTCCCAGGCCAGGATGCTAAGGCAGGGGGAGAAGACCCTCTTACAGGAACCTCCCCCCCCCCCGCCGCCTTCCAGAAGTGGTGTCAGCTGCAGAACTGGCCTCTTCCTCCAGCTCTGATGCCCCGAGCCTCACACGCCCCCCCCCCACTTCTCCCTGCCCCATCACCCTCAGGGCTGCCACCTGCCAGCTCCTCCCCGCTCTCTTGTCCTGGCAAGCAAAGGCTGGCACCCTCTGCTAGGCCTGCCCAGCTGCAGAGACAGAGCCCACCTCTGCCAGCAGTGAGCTTTGGGGAGGGGGAGAGAGAGAGGTAAGGGCTGATTGGAAGAGAGCCCCTTTGAACACACGAGGTGCCAGCAGGCACCCTGACATTTGCAGGACAAGAAAAAAGTGTGTCACCTGTGCCAGGAGAGCTCAGCCCAGTGAAGGCTGAGCATGCTCAATAGCCACAGCATTGCATCTGTCCTTGGGCATAACACTGGGAAGCTCTGGTGGGCCTTCCATCCCCTGGGCTGTGCTAAAAGAGCTGTCAAAGGATGAGAGATGCTCCTCCACCCCATTTCTTGGCCCCAGAGCAGCCAATATTCATAAAACACGCTCCCTGTAAAACAGCTAAATGATGTCTAAGGATGCTGTTTGACAGATAGTTGGAGGGGGAACAGAATGGAGTATCCTGGAGAAGGGACTGGCTGGCCTGTTCCCTCGCTGTCTCACACCCTGACACTGTGCCACTTTGTTCTGCTTCCTCCTCCCTTTTCTCTTACCCAAACATTTACAAAGATTAAACATCTAAAACAGGAACATTTCAACACCACAGCAAATACACACACCCCACTCCCCCCTGGAGGGGCAGGGCCTGGTGGAAGAGATGGGCCGAGCTGAAAGTGCAACACAACCAGGCGGCCTGCTTTGGGCAGAGCAGAGGCCCCACCACTGAGAAGGCCCTACCTCCTTGCCTACGCCAGGGATGTGCCCATTTCCTTGACTCTTCTCCCTGCTGCTTCTTTTTGACAACCCCACAGTTGGGAGAAAAGCAGACTCCTCAGCCTTTGGCTGCCATGCTGCGTAAACTACATTATTTTCATTGCCCGGCCATTGACAGCTGCGTGAGCAAATCCTCCTGGCAATTAAAGAAGCATTTGTCTCTGTTGTCCTTAATTCACAGGACAGAGGCAGGATCACCTCCAGGTGGTGTCAGAGGCCTTGCGCACATGGAGGCTGGAGTGTAGGGAACTGGGCGGGTGGCTGTTTACTCCCTCCCAGGCCCCATCTCCTAGCAACAGCCTGCCTGGGGTGTTGCAAGAGGGCAGCCAGGCAGGAAGCGGCCCTGATTCAAGCTTGCCGGAGACGTGGAAAACTTGACTCGGCAAATGCCAGAGCAGCCACCCCACACAGCTGAAACTGGCACAGCCCAGGGACTCCCTCCGAGGGAGGTTTCAGAAAATGACACAGCGAGAGAAATATTTTAATGCCAGGTGTGTGTGCAAACTACACAGGAAAGCCGCCGGCACCAAAATGTACATGCATTTATAAGGAGCTCCATCAACCGGAAGCCCAGAATCGGAATCTGCATGCTGCTCTCATGCGTAATCTCATTGGCATCCTGGCAACATCCCTGGGAGGTAAAGTCAGTATTACTATCCTCCAGATTGCAGGTCCCGACCCCCAACAACTGCTGAAGCTGAAAGGGGGAAAGACTATGCTGTGAGTACACGGCAGAGGTGAAATTCGAACAGGAGACTTCCTGATTCATAGGCTCCGATGGTCTCCCAGTAGCCCAGCCAGCAGGGCCAATGGCCAGAGGCAATAGGAGGGGGGGTCCATCAACATCTGGAAGGCCAAAGTTTCCCCCATCTAGTCCAGCATCCCATTTCCTACAGCGCTCAGTCAGATGCTGCTTCTGGGAAGCCTGCAGGCAGGGGCTGACGGCGCAGGCTGCCCCCCAGAGGCAACATGCTCCTGAATAGAGAGTCCCAATAGCCATTAACAAATGTCCTCCATGGGGCAAACTTTGATACTAAGGCACCCTGAGCTAGGAGAATATTTGGTCCCTCCCCCTGCTTTAGGAAGATGTGAGGGCTCTGGCAGGGTCCTAGAGACCCCCTACCTCTTGTCAGAGCCCCCAGGCCTCCTTCCCATCTGTTCTCCCTCCACTATTGGAGGCAGGGAGTGCGTCTGGGAATTGCAATTGGGGAGAGTTGCTCAGGTCCTGCTTTTGGAATTCCCTTTGGGAGATCCGGCTGGCCATGTGAGAACAGGAGGCTGGATCTTTTCTTGATACATACATAATTTTATTGTTTGCTACCTTTCCACAGTTCAAGGCAGCTTACAACATGAAAAAATACATAACTTCAACATAACATAAGTAGTCATAAATGATAAATAAAACATTAAAAAATACATAACCAAACTGAATGCTTTGCACATAAAGATCTAAAATAAATATATATAAAAAGCCCACATCACCATCAGCAATGCCCTGCAACAAAACCCCTTAAACAGCACCCCAGTCTTTGAGTCTGTTCAGCATTCTCAGATTTTGTAGTTGGAGTCAGTCCTGGCCCCACCCTCCCAGGCCAGGTGGAAAAAGACTTGCAAGGAAGAGAGCAGGCCTTCTGGGATCTGTGTCCCCTTCATATAGTTAGGATCCTTACTTTCCTTAAGACCCCTAAAAGACTGGTCTACTGGTTAGAGAAGACTGGGGCACGGAACCCACTGGCCAATCCCCTCTTGGGGATCCTTCCAGAGGCTGGATGCCAGAAGGACAGCGGTGACTCTTGCCACCTTGGTACTGCAGGGTACCTTCTCTCAAGAGGTTGTGTGCGCGCACCCATGAACCTGCCTCTCCACCCAGGCAAGCCAGAGTCAGGATCCCAGTTCAAGAGCTCACTCGAGGCGGGCACTGAGAGATTAGTCTCAGGAGGGTGCGTGGTCTGAGCAGAGTCCCAAGGGCCAGAGAGAGAGAGGCTGGAGGGCCGCATTGGCTCCCAGGGCTAGAGCATCAGATTAAGACAGTGGAGAGCCAGGATCACACCTCTGCTTGCCCATGAAACTGACAGGGGGCTGCTCCTTCTCAGCCTCATCTGTCTCACAGGAGGCCTATGCCACCTTCTTTGGAAGGAGGGGGGCTATAAAAAGGTAATAAATGCCCCTTTGTGACAAGGGACCATGTCCCATTGGGAAGCGGTGTGAAGAAGCACCACTTGCTCTTGGGACAAATGAAGGATGCTGGCTTCCTCCAGGGAGGTGCCTGCGCTTGGTCCCCAGAGCCAAACATTCGCTGCCGTGGCTCCAGGGAAGGGGCCTGGGCTCTGAGCACAAGGCAGGCTGCAGCTGCTGCTCACTCTGCAGTCGGACAGCTTTGCAAGCGAAGCATCTTTCCCCAAAGATGACGTCCTCTTAGTTAAACACACTCCCTCTAGGGACAGGCATGGTCAAGGCAGACCCCACTGAAGCCAGTCAACAGGAGAAAGGGAGCAACCCAGGCAGGCAGGCGGGTGGGGAAGGTTTCTCATCCACAAGGGGTCCTGCCAGCCCTCAGCCCCATTGAATTCACGGACCAAGTCCAAGGGCAGAGAAAAGCCCTTAGATAAGGGGCCTTGGACTTTGCCTCTTTTGTTCTGTGGGCGTAAGTTCCTCAGAGGGTTCGCAGGAACAGAAAGTAAACTCAGCCGTCATGGGATAAGAGGGTGGATTCCTCTAAACAGATTGGTCACCGGCTGAAACAGAAGAAAACCAAGAGTAGGAATAAATGCCTCCTCTTTGCACAGAAGGCGGCTGCAAAAAGGGGCATCCCTGAAGGATCTCCTGAGATTTCTTCCAGAATATTAAAATTCAAGGTAACCTCACCTAGCAAATTTCTACAAAAATAACAAACCCATATTGACACAAGAAATAAAATGCAAACTAGGTGACACCCAAATGCCCTGGCTAACACACCAACAACTGCACGCCGCCTTAAACAAACCAAAAGTAAAACCAGCAGCCAATATGCCCTTGACCACCTTTGAAAACCTCCTCCTAAGAGCAAAAGGACACAGCAAGGAGATGACAAAATACTGCTCCAAAACCCCACAAACCCCCGTGACATAATCAAAAAACAATAATGCTGATGACATAAACATAGGTTACGAAGTTAACCCCACCCAATGGACTAGAATGTGGTCTAAACCATAAGGCCATAATGACCACACACATTATAAAGAGCTTACTCTCAGCAGCCAGAAACCTCATAGCCAGATGGACCTGTCAGGAGTATAAACATGGACCAATACAAAATCGTATTGGGAAAAGCCTTACCATAAAAGTTAACCAATAAACTGAAACTGACACGGGAACAAATAAACGAGGATGCCTTCACCCTGGAACGGCTCCCCTTTATTACATACACATTAATATGGCTAACTTGACCCAACAATCCCTCCCCGCTCACATAAACAAATCTCACTGCAGCCAACTAAAGACAACCAATCACACACGGCCCCAGGGCCTTACCACCAAGGGAATATAACAAACAGAAAGAGAACCTACTCAAGTGATGCTGACACAAAGACACCCCCCCACACATACACTTAGTAAAAGAATATAAGTTTTACCACCCCACCCCTCTCCCCCTCTTCTTCCCCAACCTTATCCTGTATACACTGTCTCACATCAAATGTAACCGCTCTGTAGAAAAGACTCTACAACCTGAGACAATGCACATATTTTTGTAAGGCAAGAAAATCATTTTTAAAAAAAATTCAAGGTCACCTTGTGAAATTGATCAGGTAGAGCAGTGGGCAGGAACCTCAGTCCCAGGGGTCAACTGCTGCCCTCCAAGCCTCTCTCACTCTCTGGCCCCCTAAACTTCCCTCAGATCACACACCCTCTTCCCAGTCCACAACTCCCTGCCCTGCTTTGGGCCCTCCTTTGGTGCTTTGCCTGACTGGACTCTGCCCATGAACTCTGGTCACGTCTCTTGATGGCACTGGACAGGAGGGGTGCATATACGTGCAGAAATGCCCATTTTACTTCTGGCCCCTGCTCCCCACATGTGTGCAGCCCTTAGACTGTAAAAAGTTCCTGAGCCAGAGATTCAAAACAGATAAAAGGAAGTCCTTCACACAGCATGTAACCGAACTCATTGCCACATGAAGTGGAGATGGCCACTAGCTCAGGTTGCTTTAGAAGGGGGAAATCCAAGGAGAAAAAAGCAGCAGCCTTTTGATGGCTGTGTAGGACCTCCACTTTCAAGGGCAGTCTACCTCCAAATGACAGATGCTGGAGGGCAGCAGGAAGGGAGAGCCCATGCTTTTATTCCCTTTCTGGGCTTCCCAGAGGCACCTGCAGGAAGTGGGAGGCTGGGCTCCATGGCCTGATCCTGCAGGGCTCCTCTTTTGCTGGAATTCCCTCCCAGGGCTGTACTGGGCCATGGAGAGGGTGACATCCTGCAAAGACGATGAGAAACTTCTCCCACCAACTATCAGAGGCAGCTGAGGAACAACCAGTGTAACCAGCCCAGCCGGTAGAAACCCGGAAACCTAGCAACCCTTGAAATGAGGATGACAGCAGGCAGCTATCCTTCATTATCCGTGGAGGGTGGAGGCACCAGATTGCCTGGCCATGCAGAAAGGGCTGTCCCAGCTCAGGGTGGGCCGGGATCTCCTCCTCCTCCTCCTTAGCAGCTGAGTCATGCTTGGCCAAGGGGGAGGGCCAGACTCAGCCCTCCAAACCACCTTTCAGCAGCTGAACCTTCCTTCCAGCCAAACCCTTTTCAAAAGGGTGCTTCCCCCACCCCACCTCAAAAAAATATGGAAAAATTCCCACCAACTAACTGATAAATTGAACAGGCAGGTGTGGGGAAGGAGTGCAAGTGTTGGTGGACGACAACTCCCATCGCCCCGATCCCTGACTATGCTGGTACATCCACACATGACTTCCCCCAAAGAAACCTGGGAACTATGTTGTTGTTGTTGTTTAGTCGTTTACTCGTGTCCGACTCTTTGTGACCCCCTGGACCAGAGCACGCCAGGCACTTCTGTCTTCCACTGCCTCCCGCAGTTTGGTCAAACTCCTGTTCATAGCTTCGAGAACACTGTCCCACCATCTTGTCCTCTGTCGTCCCCTTCTCCTTCTGCCCTCCATCTTTCCCAACATCAGGGTCTTTTCCAGGGAGTCTTCTCTTCTCATGAGGTGGCCAAAGTATTGGAGCCTCAGCTTCAGATGGGAACTCTAGTTTACCCCATCCCAGAAGTACCCTTCTTGGGATTCTCTGGGGGAAGCTGTGGGGCTGTGTGGGGTTGCAGTTCACCAACATGGGGGGAGCGAGCACTGAGGCCCCCCCCCCCGGTTCAAGAGAAGCTGTGGCAGAATGAATACCCGCTCTCAGAGCCCCCTCTCTCAGCCGCTGCTCTGTTTCAGGATGAACCCCACGGGGCTCCTTTGGACCTCCGCCACATTCTGGATGAATAAATGAATTTTATTATTTCGGTCACAGACCAGTTCCAGCCCACATACAATATCAAGGAAGTCATAAAACATGATAGGGATGCATTTAAATTCGCAATTAGGTATAACAGAGACAATACAGATATAGCAACAGTAAAAAATATAAAAATTAAAACTTAGTCACTAACATATAACCTAAAATTATCATGGATGGAAACAGAGGCACCAGGACAGGGACGTGGAGGGGGGGCGAGTTGCCGGGCGAGCGAAAGAGGCGGCTGGCGCCCTTATCACTGGAAGCAAGGAATGCCTCTGAGCATACGCAGAGCGCCGCCCGCCGCCTCAACCTTCCCGCGCGCCTCCTGCGCACGCGCCGCTCGCGCGCCCCACCCTCCCGCTTTCCCTCCGCGGCGTGACGCCATCGCGCCGGGGACGCGTCGCAGTGACGCAGCGGCTGTTGCCGGGGAACGCTCGTTCCTTCCCTCTCGGTGCGCCGCCCCCTCCCCTCTCGCTCCCGCCCCCCTCCCTTCGGCGCTCCGTCCGGGCCGCGCGCGGAGCCCAGAAAGAGGCGGACGGCGGACCAGGAGAGACGGAGCGCAGCCCCGCAGGACGAGGAGGAGCAGGACGGGCCGCCAGGAGCCGCCGCCGCCGCCGCCCGCCCGCCCGCCATGGTGCTCGTCAAGGAATAGTGAGTGGCCGCCTGGGGGCATGTGGGGGGGGCGAGGGGGGTCTCTCCTCAGAAGGGCTTGAGGGAGGTGGCAGGGAGTTCCGCAGGCGGAGACCCCCCACCCACTGTCCGGAGGGACGGGGGCTGCGCTCCCTCCCGAGCGGGGGGAGGGGGTCTCTCTCTCTCTCCCCCCCCCCCGTGGGAGGGATGCGGGTCCGAGGAAGAGGAGGATGGACGAGGGCGGTGAAGGTCACCCTCCGCCCGAGGCCGGGATGGGGATGAGGATGGCGGAGCCGCGCTTCCCTCCTCCTCCTCCTCCTCCCCGGCGCCCGGCATCCTCTTTTGCAGGAGGACCTTGGAAGAGGAGGAAGAGCGGAAGGCCGCCGCCGCCGGGAGCCCCGAGGGAGAAGCGGGCCGCCCTCCTCCCCCTCCCCCCTGGCCCCTGGGGGGCCACCTTCCCTCTCTGGCCAAGCGGCTGCCTTGGAGGACCGGCTCGTCCGGACAGGGCACAGCAAGGTGCGGGCTTGCCGCAAGGTTAACTTGAGTGCCTCTTTTTTGCACCGTGGTGGTGGTTGTTTTTGAGGTTTTTTTTGGCTAAGGTCACTTGACCCTGCCTGAGGTCAGCCTGCAAAACCTCCTTGGTATGGCCCTTCCCTGGGCCTCTGGCAACAGGGTCTCCCTCCTCCTCCTGCTGCTGCTGGAAGTCCTGCCTTGCCAGCGAGTGCTGGGGGGGGGGGGAGAGGACTTTTGCTGGTGCCTTCCAGGTGCTGGGATTTGCCAAACGCCAGAGCAGGGACCCAGAAGATGGGACAAACCATTTGCTCTCCCTGGCAACCGGCTTGCCAACATGGCCACAGCCATCAGATGCTGACGGGGCTTCCGTGGAGGAGAGCTAGATGCCGGCAGCGAAGAGCAGCTGCTTCTTCCTTGACCTGCCTGGAGTTAAACTTCTGTCCTTCTGCAGCACTGTGTATCCGCAGTGTGGGATAGAGTCTGGGATGCCCTGCTGCTCTCCGTCCTGCTCCAGGGTCCTGGTCACGTCTTGGGGGAGCGAGGCCCCACAGCACAGCGTTCCCTTTTCTTCCCCTCTCTGAAAGCACATGGAACTTCCTGAAAGAGGTTTCAGACTGGAGCTTGTTTCATATATTGCTCAAAGTTTGCCTCACCTCAGAGGCAGACAGACCCTGCAGCAGAGCTTCTTTTAAGCCTGGACCAGTCCTCCTCAGCTGTGGCCCCAAGGAAAGTGACCCACGGCTAATCAGCCATGTTTGGTCCAAAGTCTACTCAGTTATGAAAGTATGACTCGATCGTGCTCCATTATAGGTTTCTAGTTGAGAGGGCTTCGAAATAAAGTATTTTCGTTATTGAGGTGGTTTTACCTGTTTGCTGACTCCTTGACATGTCTGGAAAATGACAGCTGGCTATGCAGAGTCTGCTTCTTCTGGACAAGTGTTGGTTTTCCCTAGTTATATGCATTTTGACAGGTTGCTTGATGATGAACTGAAATTCTCCGGTATGAAATTACTAATTGTCTCCTGTCTGTCTCTTTGCAAACACAGACACACATCCTAGCCTCAGGAGTCATGCTCTGCTGGCTCATCTCATGCATTGCTTTATTCCAAATGCTCATAGAATTGGAGGGTTGGAAGGTATCCCAAGGGTCATCTAGTCCAACCCACTTGCAATGCAGGAATCCTAGCTGAATACCGTATTTTTCGCTCTATAACACGCACTCGACCATAACACGCACGTAGTTTTTAGAGGAGGAAAATCCGTAGGCATGCCACCCGTAGGCATTCCCTCCATAACACGCACAGACATTTCCCCTTACTTTTTAGGAGGAAAAAAGTGAGTGTTATGGTGCAAAAAATACGGTAATCCCTGAAAGATGACCATCCAACCTCTGCTTAGAAACCTCCAAGGAAGGAGAGACCAATACCTTCCAAGGGAATCTGTTCTACTGTTGAATGCCTCTCACTGTCAGAAAGTTCTTCCTGATGTTTAATTTCTTGCAATTTGAATCCATTGGTTCGGAGCCTCTCCTCTGGAGCAGGAAAAAACAAACTTGCTCCATCTTCCATGTGACAACCCTTTAGATGTTTGAAGGGTCATTTCTCAGTTTCCTCTTTTCCAGGCTAAACATACGCAGCTCCTTCAACTTTTCCTCATAAGACTTGGTTTCCAGACCCCAGATGATCTTGGTTGCCTTCCTCTGCACATGTTGCAGCTTGCCAATGGTCTTCTTAAATTGTGGTGCAGGACTCCAGGTGTGGTCTGACCAAGGCACGATAGAGCGGTACTATTAATTCCCTTGTCCTGGACACAATACTTCTGTTGCTGTAGCCTAGAATAGCATTAGCTTTTTTTTGCTGTTGCATCACACTGTGGACTCATGTTCAGCTTGAGGTCTACTAAGACCCCTAGATCCTTTTCACATGCACTACTGGCAAGCCAGGTGTCCCCCATCTTCCATTTATTCAGCTGGTTCTTCCTTCCTAAGTTTATAACCTGGCATTTGTCCCTTTTGAAATTCATTTTATTAGTTTGGGCCCAGGGTCTCCAATCTGTTAAGGTCATCTTGAAATCCAATTCTGTATTCTGTGGCATTAGCTACCCCCTCCCAGTTTGTTGTCTTCTGCTAACTTGATGAGCACCCCCTCAATTTCTTCATCCAAGTTGTTTATAAATAATGTTGAAGAACAACAGGCCCAGGACAGAACCCTGTGGCACCCCACTTGTCACTTTATTCCAGGATGATGAGGAACCCTTAGTGAGCACTCCTTGGATTCAGCCAATCACCTACAACAAAACCACTTAACAGTTACTTCGCCCAGGCCACATTTTATTAGCTTCTCTGCAAGAGTATCATGGGGAAATTTGTCAAAAGTCTTATGGAAATCAAGATACACTATGTCCACAACATTCACCTTGTTTTTGAGAAACATATGCTGGGTCTTAGTAATCAAAATATCCTCCCTCAGTGCTGTTTAATTATCTGTTCTGGACTTTTCCTGGTTTTGACGTCAAGCTGACTGGTGGGTAGTTTCCTAGGCCTTCTTTTCCCCTTTTTTTGAAGATGGGGACAACGTTTTTGTCTCCTTGTTCCCGTCTTCTGGTCTGTTATGACCAAGTTTAGGGCTGGGCTCTAAATATTTTGGTACAGGCTCCTGCTTTTAACAGCCATTTTGGAAATATATTTCTGGCTCTGACCAATGACAGAGAACAAAATAAGGCCCTTCTTTCTTTGCTGTCCTCCTTGCCAGAAGCACAGGAAGTTACTCATTCCTCATCTTCCACGCAGACCCTTCCAGGTGACTCTCCTCCCCTTTGACTTTCATGTTTCCCTTTAGGGGTTTGGTGAGGGAGCTCACTCAGTAGGGCGTCTTGCCCTCGGCCTGGTTTGTGGACCACCGTGAGCTCTGCTGTCCATCCGGCTAGTACAGAGGGGTCTCTTTGCAGAATTCCATACATTCCTGGACTCCCAACGCCCGCCATCCCAGTCTGTTGCTAGGTTGCCTGCTGGGAGCTGGAATCCAGCTGTCCCTGAAGGGCCACAGCAAGTTCCCCATCCTTAGAGGGAGAGGGCTGGCATCTCTCAGGGTTGCTACTGGGTGTGCACTGCATTGCTGGGGAAGAGAGACTGCCACATTTCGTGTCTGGAGCCCTTCCCCAGTTTGGAGTCGTTCCAGTCCACACTGTCTTGACTTTTCTGGAGTTCATCAGTTGGCCTTGCCAAACATCAAGCGCTTTGCCAAATATTTAAGTTGTCCTAGTATGGAGATTACTGGCATAGTTGTAAGAAACCCTTGTCTCTTTGTTTTAGTAGAGGTAGGCTTTGGTGACAGCTGCTATTGTGATGCCATCATCATAACGCATTAGATAAAGCAAACATCTTTGCATCTGACGTTAATGTTTAACTAGCCACTGTGTGTGTGTGTGTGTGTGTGTGTGTGAGAGAGAGAGAGAGAGAGAGAGAGAGAGAGAGAGACATTATTGTGGTGTTTGGGTTGGGGTTTACATGTGTCTTCTTTCTTGAAAGTTCCTTGGTGGGGACAGAGTCCATTTTGCTGTTCTAGTTTTCCTGTTTATGGAAGTGACAGGCACATATATTCTCTTTCTGTCTTTCTCTTTCTCCACACAACATTCTGTGAAACGGGAAACTTCATTGCTGTTCTGGGAGGTCCTTGCCTGAGTTGCCCCAGGCTGCAGAAATGAACTCCCCAGCAGAGACAGCATTGGCAATGGGGGTGGCAGACAATAGTGGGGACGGGGACGGGGGGTGTCCTAGCTCCACTGGAACCCCTTGGGCTGCCATCCTCCAGTGGGACTGTGAGTTGTTGTTGACACTGTGCAAGTGATCCTGGTTACTGGACCTTTAGTGAACTTCCTTTTGTCTCTTCTCTTGCAGTCGTGTTCTTTTGCCCGTGTCTGTGGAAGAGGTAAGTGCCAACTTCTCTGCTGCTTCTTTTTCAATACCTGCCTTAAATCTAGTCTCGGTTCCATTTGTGGCCAGTGAGAAGTGTGTTGTGGCTACTTAAAGATTAGCTCATTTCTGCTTTGGTAGGGGCCACTTTGCTGCAAGCGGGGAGGAGGTGGGTGCTTAGTGCTGTGGAGAGGAACTTGTCACCAGTTCTGCAAGGGGTTGAGTGACATTGGACAAGTTTCTGGGACTCTCCTTAAGGTGTGAGGGCCTGGCATTTGTCTGCAAGCTTTCTAATGTTCTTCTCACTGTTTAAACACTCATGGTCAGAGCACCCACAAGTTTCAAGTGTGTGGCAGATCTTTCCACCAACCCAGTTCCCTGCTCCACTCTTGGCATCAGTTATGGATGGAGGAGTCTATAAGATTTATTCCGGCTCCTGGGCTCTGTTGCCTGCGTGCCCTCCTTCTTAAGACTATTTGAATTATTAGGAACAAGCTGCTGACTAAAGAATGTTCCTGCATTTGCAGCAAGATTAGTGAGCGTTGTGTGAGGGCCTAACTCCCACCGTGCCATAAACTTCAGCCTGCCTGCCTGCCAGGGGCTTTTGAATGGAGGTGGAGACATCCCTAGGATGCATAGCTTGTTATTCCCTTTGCTCTCTCTCAGCGCTTTGCGCTCCAGGGAAGTGTCAGGCCCTCACTGGGGGCATTCCTGGGTGCCTGTGGCAAATGTGCGCATTGCACAAAAGTGTGTGTCATTTTCCCCAACTATTTGTTTTGAAGCACAAGTGTGGAGGGGGCCACCAGCTTGAGCAGAGAGCTCTGGTTGACTTTCCTTCCAGGTCCATTTTTCTGCTAAAGTCCCCCACCCCCCTCCCCAACCCTGGTGATGGCAGTAACAAAGGACAATGGAGGCAGAGCTAGGAGAATGTAGGTCAGCCCAAGTGGCCTGAAGCACACACGTGCGTCTTCTGTATCAGCTTCACCCACGGAAGGAGACCCAGCTGGGGAGCCTTGCTGGAAGTGCTGCTCCTTGCTCCTGGCCAGGTCTTTGGGTGCTGCCCTTCCTCCAGCCTGGATTGGACGGGGCTCATCCTGGTCTTCTGACATGGCACTCCTGGGGCACTGACTCGCTCTCTGCTTGGGTTCCCCATGTGGAATATTTGGAGAGTAATGCTGGCCAGCCCTGTACGGTTGCTGCAGAGGTAACTGAGACAATATGTGTGAAGTAAATATGTCTGCTTGAAATCCCCACGGCTGCCTGCTAGCATGCTCTGGCGCCTGGGTGGCTCCTCCTGAGCAAGGGCTGGCCTGGCTGCCTCAGGCTCTGCACCTGCTGGGGTCCTGAGTCCTGTCCGGTGCTGCCTTGTCAGAATTGGGGCAAAGCAGAGTTGGGTTCATGTTTCCCAGAGTTCGGGTTACAGAGTGCCTTGACGGGAGAAGGAGGCTCCTGACACCTTGCAAGTGCAGCTTGGCCTCTTGCCGCTTCCGAGGCTGCACCCCTTGAGCAGCCTGGCTTCCTGTCTCCCTGGACGGGGCCTGACAGGGAGCCCCCTGGGTCAAGCTCTCTTGGAGACTCCCATCCCTGGCTTGCGGCTTTGGCAAGGTCCGGCTGGTCCCAAAGCACAACTCAGCCAATGCAGGCAGGTGCCGTTTCCATTAAAGAGACCAGAAAGCCAGAGGACCTAGGAAGGTGTTGCAGGCGCGAGCTGAGAGTGGGAGCCAAAGCCCTGAGCCTACTGGGACAGGGAAGGGGGTGGGCCTGGGCAGCAGCGGGTTCTCCAGAGCTGTGTAAAGGGACGCCAAGAGGGGGAGCTGCAGAGCAGGATTTGTCCTGAGCGGGCTGGGTGCCAGCTGTGCTCTCTCTTGAGCTTACAGAAGTCCTCAGCATTCCTCCAAAGGAAAGCAATGGCGGCAAAGGGGAGGAAAGCGGGAACCTTCCTCCCAATGAGGCAGCCTAGGCAGATTAAAAATCCAATGCATCACAGTCCTACAGTCCAATGGCCAAGGTTCCATGTGGGGCTTGTAGGTGTCCGTTCTCTGTATTCTGTAGGGGCATCTGCAAGAGCCTCAATGGGGGAGGGGGACCTTTGTAGAATATAAACAAGATGGGCCATCTTTAATATCCAGAGGCGATTTAGGATTGTATCTAACCCCTCCCCCAAATATCAGTTGCTTGGTGTTTTTTGGCAGGATGTGTGGGTGTGTTCTCAGCTGTTACTTCTAACATGGTGCCATCATTTGTACCCACTCTCTGTGTCCCCCCCCCAAACCATCCCCCTTCCTGCTTGTGAGCTGGAGGATCTGCCTTTCCCAGCTGAATGCAAAGCTGCTTCCAGGAGGATGAATGGCCCCCAAGGAGCCTGGCTGAGGGGTGGAAAGGAAGAGGGGTGCTTTCACTACAGGACCGTGTCTCCCTGAGCATGGCACTGAGTCTGAAGTTTTAGCCCCAGCAGAGCACAGGGCCACTGACCGCCAGGCCTCCCAGAGCACTGAGCTGTTCCTGCTGGACTGAGCACCTGAGCTGAGCGGCTCCTTCCAGCCACCCCACCACCCTCCTTCCTGGGCACGGGGCCTCTTGCCCTCTTGGACACTTTCTCTGGCGGATTCCCCCGGGGCCTGCTCTTATTTAACACAGCAATTTATCTGGGCCTGCTTTCTTGTTCCAATGGGATTAGGGGATCAGAAATAACAGGGAAGATTAAGGGGTGAAGATGGCAGTCCAGCAGCCTGATCCTCTTAGTGCCTGAACTCTAACTTGTGGAGCGAGAGGATGCAGGAGAGGGAGAGTGACCGGAGAGTGCGTCAGCGCTGGGGACACGCTGCTCTCTGTCCCCAGGGGACCCCGTCTGGGAGACCCCACCCACCCCTGGGACAAAGCCACTTGTCTGCCCCAGTATTTGCTCTCTCTGCTCTCTCTCTCTGTGTATGTGAATGCCAGCCCTGCACTGGAGGGGCTTCACAACTGTGCTCACAATTATGGGGCAGATGGCCTAAAACGCTTGCACAGCGTGGAGGTTTAGTGTTGGACTAGGACTGGATAGAGCCAGGCTCAAATCCCCCTAAGCACCTAGTGCTGCTTCCTCTTAGCGGCCTAATCCTTTCTAGGGTGAAATGGGGGGCGCTGGGCACTGTGGAGGGCTGGGTCAACCCCTGCTCCAAGGACTCTGCAGAGCAGGCCCTGCTTCTGGCCGGTGGAATGACCCAGGGCTCCCTCACAGGCTCTGCAAAGTCCTGGCAGCAAATGCAGCACATAGGCAGAAAAACAGCTTGGGTGCCCAGCACCCGACCCTGGTTCAGTCCCTGGCAGCATTGCCAGGTAAAAAAGAGGCTAACGGTCTGCACAGTGTAAAGCAGTCAGGAACATAGGAAGCTGCCTGACACAGGCTCAATAATAATAATACTAATTAATAATAATGTTATTATTTATACCCCACCCATCTGGCTGGATTTCCCCAGCCACTCTAGGCAGTTTACAGCATATCTAAAAACATAAAACATCAAGCGTTAAAAGCCTTCCAATACTGGGCTCCCCAGACCTTCCTCTGTCCAGTTTTGGGTTGCCTGTAGGGCTGGGTCTATGCTTATAGCACAGCCAGTGGTCAGGGATGATGGGAGTTGTAGTCCAGCAGCATCTGGGGGCCCACGGCTAAAGAGCAGTGCCCTACGCAGGATCTCTCCAGCGCCTCCGATCATTTGCCGTATCTTTGCATGGTGCTCATGCTCCTGTTGCAAGCCACCTTGGATCATTCCTGACCCACCGGTTGAGACCCAGTGGGGTAGGTGATGCTGAGCTGGCTGGACCAGTGGTCTGCCCCAGTCCAGGGCTGCTGCTTGTGTCCCTGCCTACCTGCTTGCTGAATCTACAGTGATGCTGTGATGTCCCTCCTCCTTCAGTACCAAGTGGGGCAGCTGTACTCGGTGGCAGAAGCCAGCAAGAACGAAACTGGCGGTGGTGAAGGGGTGGAGGTCCTGGTGAACGAGCCCTATGAGCGCGACGGGGAACGTGGGCAGTACACACACAAGATCTACCACTTGCAGAGGTATGTGGCAGAGATGCTGCAGGCAGGGTGGGTGTTGGTCAGCTGAGGCCTTGCTTGGTCTTCCTGGGGAAGGGGTGAACTCCACTGCTTTGCAGTCTCTTTGCCTTTGGGGAGAGGAGGACAGTTGACCCCAGGCTCTGTCTTAGGAAGGCAGACCCTGTCAGAGGAAGGAGCCCTCTGGCCAGAGTTCTGAGCAGCCTTCCAAGTGAGCTTAAGGGGTGGCTGGAGGAAGTGCGTGGGGGGGGGTTGGATCTTGGCCCCTCAAGTGACACACAGATTCATCCCTCCCCCTTGCAGTAAGGAAGCTCTTCTGGGTGTTTGTTCAGCCCTAGTAGTTCTGCTTTTCTGCATGTTGGGCTTGTTGCTGCTTGTGCACAAGAAAAGCAGTGGCTCCCCTTCCTGCTCCAGCTTCTGGGCAGCTGTTCTTGTGGCACTCCTTGCTGCAGCTCCTTTTTGGGTGGGGGGTATTGCTTTGATCCCAGGTGCTGTGACCTGTTCAAGTGACCCTCAGGAAGCCTGCAGGCCCGTTGGAGACGGCCACAGCCAGGCACTTGTTAGCTGAGGTTCCTCATTGACCCTTTCCGGCCTGGTGATGAGCAGACTGGGGAGACAGAGAGGAGGAGTCACAGCTGGGTGGGGGGAGGACGTGGGGAGTCCACAGAGAGGAGCTCCCTCTTGGCCCCTTTACAAAGCAGCTTGCTGTGCAGCGAGCCCTTTGGCTTTACCTGCAACTGTGGAGAGCAGCAGGTGAGTAATGGAGGTGGGGGGTCAGTCTGAGGTCCTGGGCCTGAGCACTGCTGGCTTGGGGGTGGTTTCAAGTCAGTTGCCTTTTTCTGCAGGGCTGGTGGCTCTTCTCAGCTTTGTGTGGCCTTCTGGGTGTTGTTTCAGCCTTTGAGTGCAGGGCATTGTGTTTGTGGCATTTGACACATGTTCGCTGGCTGTTGCAGTAGTCAGTCAGAAGATCAGAGGCCCAAAAGCATCCTGGGCTTGTCTGTCTTTGGAGCTGGGCTGCGTGTGCAAGATGCCGTTCAAAGACAGCTGTCTTCTGTTGCTCGTTTCCTGCAGCAAAGTCCCTCCCTTTGTGAAGATGCTGGCCCCAGAGGGAGCCTTGAATATCCACGAGAAAGCCTGGAATGCCTACCCTTACTGCCGGACTGGTGAGTAGCCTTGCACTCTGTGGGGTGGGCACCCCCCTCATCTGTTTGGAAAAGTGCAGGCAGGGCCAGGCTTTGGGGACCTTTTGCACAGACATTCCTATGCTGCAACTGAGATCACTTTCCCTCCCTGGGATGGGCAGCTGTCTTGTGAGGCCAACCGGAGTTCCAGGGCTTTGGTGCTGGAGAGAAGCAACCGTTCTGCTTCCTTGTGTAAACCACAACAGGGCTTGTCTGATGGATACCTGGGCTGATCCTGCCCGGTTGATCAGCCAGGCAGGACTCTCCCTGCTCCAAATCAGCCGAGAGGAAGATTCCTGGAGATCAGGCAGGGCTGAGTGGAGTGAGCCAGTTTGGAGGAGCTTGCGGAGGGTCCTCTTCGTGCCTTGGCAGGTGAGGGTGAGGCTGGACCCTAGGGCAGCTGCTGGCTCCCTGGTGCCGTGGCCAGGAGGAACATCTGCCTTGGCAGCCCTGGGGGAAGAGCTTAGGCCAGCTGTCCTGGCGAGGATCACAGTTTGTCACTGGCTTATCACATTAGGACTTTGCCTGAGACATCGGGATTCCTGCCAGGGCATGGTCAGTGTGTCCTGGCATTAATTGGTGCCCCTTTCCTGCCCAGCATTTCATGGCTGCCCGACTGGCTTTCCTCTGGGCATGGGTGAGGCTGCAAATGTTCTTGCCCTTGAAAGCTTCGCCGAGTCCCTTGGCCTCAGGTGCTTTCCCCAAACCGTGGACTAATGAGCTTCTCATGAAGGGAAACAGCAACCCTTGTTCCTCTCCAGCAGCTGCCAAGCTGTGCCTCTGGCAGGCCAGCACATAGCTCAGCACTTCTGCTTTCCAGGCCTGCCATGTTAGTGTTTTGGGTGGGAGAACGGTGTAGCCACAAGGCTTGGTTGGTGCAGGAGCTGCTCACGCAGGTCACAGGGGGCCTTGCTGCCTTCGCCTGAGTTTTCCAAGGGCAGAGAAGGCACACTGGGTGGGGGCCCAGGCCGTGGCCTCTTCTGGCCATGAGTCCTTGCATTGCTCAGGCCTCCCTGGGGGAAACATCTATTGCTGCTCCTGCCCTGGACCAGAGTCTGTGGAGGCAGCCTAGTTGGGAGGGGGAGCTGCACCTCCACCTGGACTTGCAGCAGTGCTGCATCCAGGGCAGGCCACACTTTGTGGCAGCTGCGCAGGGCTAGGGATGGCTTAGTGGGGATCTTGGGACACTGCGGTTCTTCATTTCCTGGAAGAAACTAGCAAACTGTGCAAGGCCCATCCTTGAGAGTTGGGCAACAGCGCTCTGATTCAGGAGCCCTGCCCTGTGAACCTCTGCTCTCTCTTCCTTGCTTTAAGTTGGGAACGACACACCCAGCATGCTCTGGGACTGTGCGCCAAGGGAACTGCCATGGCGGCTTCTTGTCCCGGTACATTCCCAGGTGTTCCCTTGTGAAAACTTGTAGGGCCAAGCAACCTGGCCGATCCTGAAAAGGTGGCGTTAATTCCTCAGAAGTCTCTGCGCTTTGAGCAGCCGTCTGACGCGGGGCGTTGAAACCCTGGCATTTGCCCTGTGAGCTTCCGCTCCTCCTCTTCAGAATGGAAAGAGTGGCGGTGGCTGGTGCAGATGCCCGGCCTGTCACCAGATCCACCGAGGCCTGGCTCATGAATAATGGAGCTCTGCTATCAGAAGCATCTGATTACTGGCAGCCAGCGTTGGACTTGGTGTGCTGGTTTTGGTTACCACACGGTGGAATGTGAAGAGCTGGCCTGGCCTGGGAGGCGGCTCTTTCCCCCTGTGCAGGATTGGAGTGGGGAGAGAAGGAGAATGTCCTTATGCACAAAGTGGAGAAGGCCTGGCAGGCAGCAGTCACCTGACCAAACTTATTCCATCTTCTCATCCAGCTGGAAGCAAATGGCAGCAGAGCCTCAAGCCTGGTTCACCAGGCGGCTGGGACATTTCCCCCAGGGTGGTGCGCTGTCTCCTCTAGAGGAAGCCTTTTCCAGCCTGTTTTCTAGGCACAGAAACTCCAGGGCAGCAAAGTCTCCTACACCCCTCTGCCTATGGAGAACACTTCTTCCTCCCCATCCTGCAGGAGTGGGGGGCCCTGTGGTCCTCCAGATGCTGCTGGACTCCCAGTGTCCATCAGCTGCAGCCAGCAGAGGAAAGGAGGAGGAGGGAGCTGGGGATGGCTTTGTGATGCATGTTTGGTTATTGTAAGGGTTGGGTTGAGGAGTTCCTCCACAAGCCGGGGCCACTGTCAGTGCAGACCATGAAGGGCTGTGGTCCACCTTGTTATATGGGAGCTTCCTAGGTGAACCCACAAGGCCCCTCGTGCTCTGAGATGTGACACCCCCACCCCTGTGAACAGCAATAGAGCTGGTGCCCCCTCTGAAAAGGAGGAGCCCCAGGCAGTGCTGTTGATTCAGAGGCAGGCAGGAGCAGAATGACCCAGGAGCAGATCCAGGGCTGTGGGGAGGGTTTGGGGCAGCAGGAGCGCTTCCTGCTGGCAATCCATTTGTGTCCCCCCCCCAGGCACCACTGGGCTACATGCATGGGGATGGAGGAGTGTGGCACAGTTCCTGCTGCATCTCCAAACTTTTCTCTCTCTCATGAAAGCTGTCTTTCTCTTTCCATGTGCCGATTTTTGGAGCAGTTATTACGGTGAGTGTGGCTTCCTCCCTCTTTCAGAGCAGAGGTGTATGAGTGATTGGGGAGGCTACTGGGATGTCCCACAGCCAGGTGGGGTTTGCAGAGGGACTGCACCCTCGTGATGTGGAGCCCCTGCTTTGCACACAGAAGCTCCCAGCTGACAGAAGACCCTTCTCTCTTCAGGGGTGAACTAACCCTAACCCCTCCACAGCCTCCTGCCCCCAGCCCTGTTCTCATCCTGGGCCAGCTGAGATCCTCCTGGGCCACTTGTACCAACCGGCTCTCCCTGTCCTGTGGCCTTTGCCCCTTCCTTCGCTGCTCAGCAGGGGCCATTGGGCCCCCATCCTGGCCACTGAATCCTGTGCCCAGAGTGCTTTGGTTTATAGACTCGGTGTCTAGGCCGGTCCTAGCAGGCCCTCGATCAGCCCCTCTAGGAAGTGGCTGCCCTGGCGATGGATTCCAGGCAGGGCAAAGAAGTTGTGGGTGGGCTGGCTCCCTCCGGCTCTGGCCTGCTAGCCAAACCCCTGGAGAGCCTCTGCCACCCTTTGTCCTGGGGCAGGGGGCCAAGGCTCTGTCAGCTCCAGGCATTCTTTGAGGGTTCTAGTCAACTACACTTTGCCCCCAACAGGGACTGTTTGTCTCTTAGCTGGAAGAGCACTGCAACATCTTTAAAGCTACTCCATTCTCATTTTGTGATATATAAAACAGTACAGGTTAAATGTTAGCAGGCACAGAGTTCTGAGATATTTGCCAAATAATGTAAGAGCAAGTTTTCTCACAATGTTTCTAAGGGCCTGGAATTCCATGGCTGTGATGTGATCCCAGCCTGTGAGAGAAAGTTGCCTGACCCAACTTCAGAAGCCAATGGGGAAAGGAGAGCAAGCAGACAGATCCGCTGCCCCAAGGGTGGAGTCTGGGAAAGGTGTATCTCCCGCTTGCTTTTCCTAATTCCCAGCTGGTAACGGAATCTTCTCTCTTTGGCAGAATGAGTACATGAAAGACGACTTCTTGATCAAAATTGAGACCTGGCACAAACCGGACCTTGGCATGCAGGAGAACGTAAGTGCCCTTGGCAGGAACGGCCCCTGTGGCTGGCTCTGCGTCCCGGAAGCGGGTGGCAAAGAGATGGCTCTGCAGAGCTTGCGTTCTGGAGGTGGCCAAGTGCAAAGAAGGCTCGGGCATGTTGCTGGTTTGGAGCAATTCTAAGCCAGAAGCGCTTGTCCCCAAGTGAAGCCTCCCCAGCCACCTCCCCATGCACTGCTCAGGAGCGCCACAAGACGATACGCCTCCCGTGCGTGTGCTGGGGTTCCCCCAGGAGTTTGTGTGTCCATCTTAAAATGCCTCTCCCTGGACCACACAGGCTGTGGGGTGAAGTGTCCCCTCAGCCTGCTCTTGCGGGCAATGGGGGGATTCTTCACTTATTAGCTTGCTTTTGGACAGGAGCTCTTTCCACCTGGGGCAGAGGAGAGGTTGCTTTTGGGACCCCGGAGGACCTGGCTCTTCATGAGCCACCCCTCAGCTTCTCTCATGTCTTTTCTTGCTGCTGCTGTGTTTATTTGATTTGTCTTACTTAGAAAACTATTAATTCTGAAGTGATGTGCAATGGGGGTTGTACAAAATCATAATGTAACAATAAGAATGTATGAAACTAATGAGCAGTATCCAACATTAGTCGTACTTGGAGCACCAAAGCAAATGGGCATAGTTAACTTGGGTCCATTAATTTCAGTGGGTTTACTCTGAGTAGAACTTAGTTGAATATAGCTTACAGTGTGCCCGGCAAGCGCAGACGAAACCAAAGGGTTTCCGTTTGCATTCATGGGCTCCGCCGCCAGGGGGACCAATGCACGGGGGGAAAGCCCTCCGGCCTTCAGGGTCCAGGCTGGCGGGCCGAAGGCCCCCGCAGCTTTAAGCAGTCGATGCGCCCGCTATCGGACGGTTGGGCAGGAAGGTGCCTGGGCGCTGATCAGCGCGCGCAGGCCGGCGCGAGCTTCCCCGGGCTGTCCGCGCCTGGGCGCGCTGATCTCAGCCGCGCAGGCCGGCACCCTCTGCAGCGGCAGCGCGCGCGCTCGCGGGTCCGCCCTGGCGCTGATTGCGCGAGCCGCTGCCGGCACTCTCCAGCGCGCAGCGCTGCGCTGCTCGAGGTCCGCGGCCTGGCGCGCGATCCAGCGCGCAGGCGCGCAGCTGCTGCTCCTGGCTGACAGCAGGTGGGGACAAGGCCTTCAGAAAGGTCAGGACCTCTAGGCTGCGGGGCAAGTCTTTGTCCCCCTGCCTGCCTTCCCAGGGGCTTTAAGTTGCCCCGGACAGCGGAGAAGTCCTCCGCTGTCCCGGGGCAATTTTAAATTGCCGCCCGCCAGCATTTTAAGATCGCCCCGGACAGCGGAGAAGCCCTCCGCTGTCCCGGGGTTTTTTAAAATGCTGGGGTGGGTGGGAAGAAAAGCCCTTGTCCCCCCCCCCAGCCTTCAGAAGAGGTCGGGGGACAGACTGTCCCCGGACCTGGTCTGAAGTCGGTTTCCCTAGGAACGCATTAATTGATTTTCAATGCATTCCTATGGGAAACCGTGCATCGCAAGACGAAAAACTCGCAAGAAGAAAAAACTTGCGGAACGAATTAATTTCGTCTTGCGAGGCACCACTGTACTTTAAATATTCTGCTCTTTCATAAAAACTGTTTTCATGGTGATGAGTTTCTGTGTGTTTAAAGATCTTTGCTGTTATGTTCTTGTCCTGCGTTGGCTGCCCTGAAAGCTCCAATGGCTGAAGGTGGGGGGAGGAAATCAATTTAAAGAAGAGCCCTAAAACTTGGAAGGGGGGCGCTGAGACATCACGCAAACGCTCCTCCTTTCTGCTGCCTGCAGGTTCACAAACTGGACCCGAATGAATGGAAGAATGTAGAAGCCGTCTATATCGACATTGCAGACCGGAGCCAAGTGCTTTCAAGGGTACGGCAGCCGAGTGCGAGAGCTGGCCTGGGGTGGGTGTTCAGGAGAAGGGCTCCTCTTGGGCTGCAGGCGGGTGGGGGCTTTGCTTGGCTGGAGAAAAGCAGCTGCCTCTGTCGGGGGCTGTTTCCAGTCGGCCGAACTGGGCCCTGGGCATAGCCACAAATAGCCACTTCAGAGTTGTCTGGCTGCCTGTGACCTTGAGTTTTCCCTCAGAGCTCTGCAGCGGCATAGCTTACAAATGAAAGAATTGGCTTAGCCACAAAAACCACTTAAGACTTCTAATTTCTGTGGGCATTTTGTGGAGGCTTCTAGGAGAGTAAGCGGTTCCTTTTTTCTTTTCTTTTTATTTGCGAGCGCTGAGAAGGGACCATAAATCCCAGCATAAATCGCTCTGTTCCCTTGCTCAGGATTGTAATTGGCAGGGCGGCTGTGCCATGCATTGAGTGGAGAGAAAAGAGGGGTGCTGTCCGTCTTCCGTTCCCTGGGGGGCCTTTGGGATTAGGAGCTCAGGCCAAGGTGGAAATGCCCAGGTTGGGTTGGGGCTTCTTCCTCCTGGTCCCCAGTGCAGGGAGCTACAAGGCAGCCTGGGAGCTGCTGCAGCCCTCGATACTACAGCGGACGGGGGGAAATGGAACTCCCCTGAGCTCCTTGCTTTCCAGGAAGCAAAGGAGACTGCTTTGCACCTTTCTTTGGAGGTAGGTGTTACCTTCCTTTGCTGTAACCTGCTCCCTGTTGTATCTGCTCCAGGATTACAAGCCGGAAGAAGACCCATCAAAGTTTAAATCCACCAAAACAGGGCGTGGCCCTTTGGGGCCCAACTGGAGGGTATGTATGGGCATTGGCATATTTCTGGGTGCTGTGCCAAATGGCAGTGGTCCTTGGAGAATAGGGGCTCTGTAGCTGCCAAGTGTTCAGGCTGCTTCATAGCTGGTGGAAGGTGGCTCAGGACTGTCTTTCTTGAGACTTAAATGGGGGGCTTTCTGGCTCACAGCCGATAATCTAGACATACTGGACCTGCTATTGTGGGTTGGGTTGCTTGAAGTATAAACACTGAATGAGCGGAGAGGAGGAAGAGGGGAGGGCTGGCCGTGGGGCTGGTTTGGGGCCAAGGGCTCCATTCTGAGGATTCCTCTCTTACGTCTGCAGAAGGAGCTGGGCAAGCAAACCGACTGTCCATACATGTGTGCTTACAAGCTAGTAACGGTCAAGTTCAAGTGGTGGGGACTGCAGAACAAAGTCGAAAACTTTATACAGAAGGTGAGTGAAAGGTCATCCCCAAAGGCCAACAGGACTTAATTGGGGAAGGCGGGTGAGATGGTGCAGCCCTCAGCCTTCACAAAAGGGCTGGGTGGGGAAACGTCCCTGCCGTCGCTTGGGTGTTGGTGTGCTGGGCTTTGCCAGGCGTGCCTCATTATTCTCTTGGAGGTGGAGCAGCCACGCACCAACTGCAGGCAGGCAAATGAAGCCCTGCCATGTTGCCCTCCTTGTCGTGAGGCCAGAGCAGTCAGCTCTGTCCTGTTCATATCTGGATTGCTGTTGCTTTGCCTTTGGCAAGTGCACACAGCTTTCATTTACAGCCAGCAAAACCTGTGCCTGCCTCAGAATAGTTGCAAGCCAAGGGCTGAGATGGCCTTTTGCGCCCAGCAAGATGAACAGGCACTGTAGAGCCCATCTTCCTTCTGCTTTGTGTATCGGAGCTCTTGCATTCTTGCGCTTGCCTGCCAGAGTTCAGAACAGTCCGTTGCTGAATGAGGCCAAGAATATTGGAACTGACTTCTGGCAGGGAGCAAGGCGGTGCTGCTCCCTTGAGGGGAGTGGGGAGGCATGACTCAGCTGCGTGGGTCAGCATGCCCTGCTGCACGCTGGCTGTGGACGGCTCTCGCGCTGGAGCTCTGAGCTCTTCTTCCTTCTCTTGTAGCAAGAGAGGCGGCTTTTCACAAATTTCCACCGGCAGCTGTTCTGCTGGCTTGATAAATGGGTTGACCTGACCATGGAGGACATTCGCAGGATGGAGGACGAGACGAAGAGGCAGCTGGATGAGGCAAGTGGGAAGGGACTTGGTCTGCTGGGCCTCATGTCCCCCAGAGTGATCAAGGGCCGGGGGCGGGCAAGTGGCCAGCAGCTCTGCTTTCCTTGCCCGAGTGCCTGGAGTTCTTGCTCTTTTTCTCTGTTGGATGCTTTGTGTGTGACACGAGGCTCTGCTGAGGTCTCTCACTTCAGGAGATCTGCCCACTTGGTTGTGCTGTTCCCTGGCCTAATTTTGCAAAAGACCAAAAAATCTCCTTTTCTCCTGCTGCAGATGAGACAGAAGGACCCCTTGAAAGGAACGTCGGCTGCAGATGACTAGCGTGGATTCCTCTCTTTGCACGGTATGTCCACATCTTTGGGGCTGCCTTCAAAGGTTAGAAAAGAGGCGATGCCACAAATATGGGGACAGGGTGCTTCTGACATGAGCTGTGTTGTCCCTTCTTAAGGATCCTGCATTGGCTCCAAGCATAAATATCAAGAGAAACATCTGTGCCCAGTGCAATAAATTCCTGGTGCAAATGTTCTTTGTGGGCTCGGCTGCAGGAGGCTTTTGGTGTGTGTGTGGGGTGTCTGAGCAGGACATGGAATAAATCTTCTGCTGGCTCTCCAGGATTGCACAGTTGACTGTACCCTCACTGTTCAAACCCTGCAATGTCATCCCTGACAGAAAAGGCACTCTGCGTTCCCCCTCCTTCAAAAATGACTGCCATATACTCAGGAGTGTTTAATAAATCCAGCTACCCAGCAGAGTTTCCCCACTTGGAAGATCGCTTTCAAGCCACTGAAGTAACCCAGTTTCTCTCTTTCTTTCCTTAAGTTTGCAAAACAGCCAGCAGGAAGGCCCAGGAACTCCACCCTCTTGACCAACGGACCATCTCTGGATCAAGCCCTCCTCTATCCAGTCAGCAGGCGACTTCCAACCTCCCCTAGCTAACTCTAGTGGCCCTTACTATCGTGAGCAAATAGACAGTCCTCTGGTCCTGAGCGCTCTGGCCTTGGCACCTGGGCTGGAGGCGCTTCCTGGGGGATGGCTGCCCCTGTGACACAGCCGCCTTCCCCAGAAGAGTGTTCAGCCTGATTCCCATGTGGCTCTTTGATTTCCAAGTGACCGTTTTAGCTGAAATAGTCTTGTGATGTGGTGATTTAGATTTCATATGTATGTATATATCTATATTTTTCCTTTGAAACACTGGGATAAACTGCTGCCTTTGTTTCTTCACCTTTCTTTGTCCATTTGTGGAGATGGGAACTCAGTATTAGAGGGTGTCAGGCCAACCTTTTTGCTCCCTGAATATCACGGTGATGGGCAGGGCTCCTGGCAACAAGGAGCAGGGAAGATTGCTGCTAGCAGTGCCCTGGGCTTGAAGTGCACCTGCATCAGCCTCTGCTCCTTGCCCAGGTTCTGCCTGCTGAGCCCCTTCCAGTGTGGTCCTCAAGGTCCACATTGCCGCTTTTGGGGTGGTGGGAGCAGGTGACTTAGTTGGCCTGCTAGGAAAACAGTCCTGGGTCTCCTCCACCTTCCCCTTTACTACAGTAGACGAGCGGAATGGTCTCTTAACCCGACCACCAAACGAATTGCACAAGCAGAATCCCGTTCTTTCATGCTCAGGCGCTGCTTGTGTTGGGCGTTTGTGCTGCTCCTGAGCAATAAGGCCCGTAGCACGGAGCAGTGGCACTGCAGAGGGGATGATCTGTCTCTCTCGGTTGCCAGGAGCTGCAGGGGTCATGGCCAAAAGCTGGCTGAGCTCTTTGCTGCTGAGGAGGGGCTTCTGAAGCCCACTTGCCTGTGGGCTGGCAGCTGCTTAAGACAATCACAGGAGAAAGAGCGGGTTGAACAAACACTGCCGGCTTCACTCAGGAGCTGGTGGAAGCAGAGCTGAGGCCATGCCTTGGTGTGGCAGCCTCTGTAGCCGGGTCTCCTCCCTTTCTCCCTCCAGAGCAAGCTCTGCGCCTGAAGCAGTGGCCCTTGCCAGACAGAGAGGGTGGGAGACAAGCAGGGTGACGACGGGCAGCTTTGCCTTGAGAGGAGGCAGTTTATCCCTCTTGTCCTCTTGTTTTGTCCATTTTTTGCCTTATTGATGTCCAAGTGCAATAAGCAAGCTTGATCCGTTCTGGTCGCGCTCTCTTGACAGATGACTTGAGGGGCTTTGGGGGAAAGGGGCTTTTAGCAGGCTCCCCAGGCGCAGCGGGAGACGTGGCTTAGTACTGGGCCTGCCTTGCCTGCCTGAGAAAGAGAAGCCCAGGGGTTGGGGCAAAGTCTGTTGGGACCAGGAATGTGTCGGGTGCTCCCTCCTCCCTCCCCTCCAGGGCAAGGAGGCCCCCTGGTTAATCTTCCTGTACTGTAAAATACTGAGAATTGGGAATTAAAACACTGAACATTTTTTTCCTTTTGGTAATGAAGTGTAAGAGGATTCTTATGCTTGAATGTGTTAACTGTTTCTATGGCTGTTCTTATCACTCCTGCTGCTTAAAGATTTGTTTTTTAGCTGAGAGGCTTTGTAGCTGGTGACACCACATCTCTATGGAAACAGATGGTGACATTTTGAAGGGCGGGGGAGAAAATCAAGGGAAGATTGTGGTACGAAGGTGAAAGCTCTCATTAAAACACAAAGCTTTCCTGCTTAGCAGTAAGAGCGAGAAAAATGCAGCAAACTTCCACTCTGTGTGTCCTTTGTTCTGCTCTTTGCGTGTTGCGTTTTTTTAGAGTTCGCCTCCTGCCGAACTGTAGCTGAGGCACATCTTCTGAGCCTTCTCTCTGCCTCCCCCCCCCCCCCCCGTGACGACTGACCTCTTTGTTCCTTCTTGGGAGGAGGGGGGAGCCCAGCAATGGGAGCAGAGAGGGTGCTGCGGAGGCACTGCGTAACATGTTGCATTGGCTTCACCACCCAGACCCCACCCCACCCTGTTGGCTTGGAGGAGGAGGGTGGGTATGGTTGCTGAGCTGAGCTGCTTTCTCCCAACACCTGCCCGGGCTTCCATCTTTGGAGCCCAGTGGGGGGAGAGAAGCCCCCCACCCCACCAGCATGCTCTTGCCTTTCTGGGCTCATCCTCTGCTGGCCTCTGCAGGGACTCCCTGATCTGTTTTGGTTGGTTCCTAGTGCAACTCCTTTTTATGGCAAACACTTTGTAGACTTGATTAGATGATCTTATTGTTTCTTTAATGTGAGTTTGTGCCTTTTTTTGTCTCCCAATCTTCCAATACAGGCATATTGGAAACAAATCAAATAAAATCATAGACAGAGCATTGGCCTGCAGTCTGGCTTTTTCTTGGGTGGGTGGGAAGGAGGGAAGGAAGAAAGGGGTTGTTTTGCCTCTCCCCCACCCCTGATATCTTTTAGTATGTGTGTCAGCCAGTGTGAATGACTTCTCTTTAACTGGAGGAGGGAAGCAGGCAGGAAAGCTGTGACAGCTGCTGTGCTTACTGAGCAGCTGGACTCCAGTAACCAGGGGGAAATCTCTAAGGACGACACAGCAGTGCTTGCAGCGGTTCTCAACCTGTGGGTCTCCAGATGTTGCTGGACTACAACTCCCATCATCCCTGAGCTCTTGCCTTGCTAGATAGGGGTGATGGGAGTTGTAATTCAACAACATCTGGGGACCCACAGGTTGAAAGAAGCTGATAGGGAGTGGGTGGGCTTCCCTGGTTGTCCTCTTAGAAGGCTACAGTGGAGACCATGATTTCAGTAGAGTTGGTGACAGCTGGGGATGGGACTTGGGGAGTGAGTGAATGAATCCCCTCCCAGAAGACGCTGGGAAGGCGGCAGGAGCCGAAGGAGCGACGGGAGAAGCGTCTCCTCGCCTGCAGTTTCCCGGAGGCAAGGCAGGAGCCCCTGATGCCTTCCTACCGCAGAAGGGGTGCTCTGCACATGTTCTTGGGTCTCCCTTATTCCGCATTTGCACTCGCGCTTGGGCGTCCGGCCTTTTCTAGTGGAACAGCCCCAATTTATATATAAAGCGAGTACAAGGCGAGGCTCCCTGCATTCTTGTGAGCTCCTCTGCGCTTTGAGGCCGGTCACTTCCGCTCCCGAAAGGGACACATCGAGCTTGTATTTATGAAAGCCCCGCTGCTGCGCTCCTGGGCTGCGGCGCCAGGAAGCGGAGCGCGAAGCCTCCCGGGCCCGAAGCCGACCCGGAAGGCAGCTGCGGGACGTCACGGCCCGCTCTCGAAATGACTCCGTCGGGGCCGCGCTCCCCCAGAGATATGAAATAGATAGAGGGGACCATTTTGCTGCCGGCATGGGCCACTCCCTGGATCCAATTGAGAAACCATGTTTGAATCTTCCTCCCTCAAGTGAGAGCAGCACGCGGAAAACAGCGGCAGCCCGGACCCCCTCCCCGCACAAAACGCCGCAGGCACGTGAAGTGCAGGTTTTTATTTTGCGAGAAATACGTTAATTTTACTGCGCCGGCCATCGCTGCAGCAGAGCGGAGAGTCCTCTGCGCGGAAGACAGCCGCTTGCAACAGCCTTGCAGGGTAACCTCGCGCGGATATTGCGGGTTGGGGTCAGGCCCCATAATAATAATAATAATAATAATAATAATAACAATAATAATAATAATAATTTTATTTATATCCCGCCCTCCCCAGCCGAAGCCGGGCTCAGGACGGCTAACAACAATAAAATAATACAACATCCTAAAATCATTTCATTATAAAATTAATTCAAATCATGAACAGCAGCAGGCACCAGGGTCGCATCTTCCGGCGCAGCGACCCTCAAAACCCCATTGACTTCTCTGGGCAGATGCTTGTTTCTATCTGGAAGCGCAAGGCATATGACACTCTATCCTTTCTGGGTAGCTCTGCGTTCGCTACCCGTTGTTTGCGTCACGTGCTCAGAACGACGCGGCCTCTTGGCATCCCAGCCAATCAGGAGGCGCGCCGACCTCGTCCCCTGCCCCGATTGGCCGCAGCGGTCACAAGAGCGGAGCGAGCTCTTTTCTCCGGTCTCGCTCGTCTCGCCCTCCTCTTCTTTCTCGGGCGGCCGCGATGGAGCCGGAGGAAGGACCGCGGCATCTCAGGTGAGGAAGCGGAGGGGGCCTCCTGCTGCGCCTGCACATGCGCGCGGGGGACCCGTCTTGGGAAAACTCCCCTTTGGCCCACGTGCCCCCGGCGGAGTCAAGGGAGTCCCTGGGCATGTGCAGAGTGCGCCCGAGCCTTCCTGCCCCGCTGTTGGGGAGGCGAGGGCTGCTTCCTCGAGGCTCTTCCGCCCCCTTGGGGTTTCCCGCGAGGAGGCAGCAACCCCTCCCGAAGGATTTCGGGGCCCCGTGACCGGCCTCCGCCCGCGGACAGGCGCTCCTTCTTACAGCAAAGCCCCCGGATGCGGCGCCGCGGCTCCTGAGCGGGAGTTATGCTAATCGCCGCGGGAAGTGCGAAAGCCGATTTCGGCTTGCAAAGCACCGGCTGGGATTTGAGTCCTTCGTGGGCCGCTTATTCAGCAGGTGCTGCGCCTGTTGCCAAAGGGGCTCTCCGGCCCGCACTTGCCACATCCTCCGGGGGCGGTGATCAGGTGCGCCCGCGGAAAGGCAGGCAGGCAGGCAGCCGGGAACACGCCCAGGATCGGGGGCTGCCGGGCTGCCTGCCGGTGGCGCTTCTCCCTCCTCCCGCCGGACGGGGGTCTTGCGCTTAAGTCCCAGCCAGGTCTTCCTAACCGCGGCCCGGCGCGGCACATCCGCTTTCTGCCTTTGCGGGGAACCTCCAGTAGATGTTGGGCTCTAGTTCCCAGCAAGCAGCGGAGTCAGTGCTCAGGGGTGATGGGAGCTGTAGTCTGGCAGCCTTTGGAAGGCCACCTGTCTCTGGGCTACATCCTGTGCCTTGTGGAGGGCTGACTGGGTGGGGAAACAGGCCAAATATGTTTTCCCTTCCCCACACTTCTCTGACCACAAGCTAAGCTCCAACAGCCACCTCTGAACCCCCAAACCCCTTCCTAGCCAGAAGCTGTGTTAATAAAAGCCTCCTGAGGGGGTCACTTGTCAGATTTGGTCCCTGGCTTGGCAATCCCTCCATGTGGGGCACGTGCCTCAAAACCAGTGATTATACCTCAATGACACAGTGGCAGAAACATGTGATTGGCCTCAGTTAACAATAGCTTTTCATAAATCTCCAGGCTCCAGTAGCATTAAATCTTGGCGCGTGGCATGGGTGTGGGGGGTGCACCTTGAGGGCTTGCAAGGAGAGGAAGAGGACCTCCCTTCCTGCCTCAGAGTTGCCTTCTGGTGCGGTTGACGGCTTCCTTGCTTAGCTTGTGCCAGAAGCAAGGCTTAATTCTGCCTCCATTGACCCTTCTCTGGCTGGGGGGCGCCTTGGGTGGGGAGTGGGGCATGCCCCTCTCCTTCTGGCCCCATGGCATCTTTGCAGCCTGAAGAGCCGCTTCAGGACTTGCTCTCCGTCTCCTTGCTGGACCTGGAGGGCACCCCCTCTGCCTTGCGCAGCCGCTCGGCCAGTGTGAGCAGCACGGGCTCCAGCGGGCGGCTGCAGCTGCGGCAGCGAGTGGCACAGCTCATGGCTTGCGTGGAGGACGTCAGCTCCGATGACGAGATCCACGAGGAAGTCTCACGCACCATCGACGAGGCTTTTCTGATCTGTGGGAAGATGCAGAAGCAGAAGATTCTAGGGATCAGGTGCCCTTCCCAGGCAGACAGGCTCTCTCCAGCGGGGCTTTGGTCTTTTTAGGGCAGGATTACAGATAATAAGGCACAAGGAGGGGAGAGATAAATGGGATGACGAGGTAGCCTGTCCCCACCTGTTTGTACTTCAGCTGCACTGCCTTTTGTCTGTCTCTGAAGGTTGCACCTGGTGACTTGGAACGTGGGCACAGCTTCTCCCCCTCCTGATGTCACCTCTTTGCTGCAGCTCAACTTGCAAGACCAGGAAATGGACATGTATGTCATTGGGTAGGTATTTTGGGAACTAGAGCTGGGGCTCTTCTTGGGGATATCATCCTGGTCATGCCATCTGCAGAAGCGAGGGGGCGGCCTTCAAGAGCATGGTGCTTCTTGAGTTCTTTTGCAGAAGGTCTCTGCAGGTCTCTGGACATAGGGGGAATGTGGTACAGGTGAGAGATCTCATTCAAGAAAAGGGGCAGCCATTCAGGATTGTGTGGACTTCAAGAAAGAACGCTCTTGATGTGTGATTTCACTGAGTAGTACTGAGTAGTCAGTACTCAGTGTGCTAAGATGGTATCCAGAATTGTGCCACCTTGTAGTGATGCCCCCTCCCTTCCTCTGCTTTCATGGGGATGCAGGTGATGGGTTAAAAGATTAACAAACATTTTATTGGACAGCAGAGGGACAGCAGCCGCTCCTGCTCTTAGTGTTTCCCAATAGGTCTGGGTACTTTTTGTCAAAATGAGATGTACGATTACCTGGGTTAACCTGGGACTGTTCAGTTTACAGGAGGTGAACTCCAAGATTGTGAATTTCCTATCCGACATGGCCTTTGATGATCCTTGGAGTATTTTCTTCATGAATGTTCTTTCTCCTCTGCGCTATGTCAAGGTAATCATCTTGATTTGTCTATTGGTGGTCTCTGGCTTACATTCTCCTGATGAATATTCTCTCGTGTGAGGTGTCCTGTCATTTGGGCGTGGCCCTGCCTCCTTCCTGACCAGCAGACAGTCCTAGATCTGCTGCAAGTGTTCCAGAGTTTGCATTCAGCATAGGAAGGGAACGTTGGGGAGGCATTCTCAGTGACTACCCGCTCCTCCCAGGGACTCGCCAAAGCAGAAACCATTCAAGGCTGGCTTTTGGAATTAAGTGTTCTAGAATTGTCTCTGATGCAAGAAGTAATGTAGTCACAGTGGCTCTGTGCTCCCTCCACTGGTCTGGAGGCAATAAGTGCCTCTGAATACGGTGAAATACAAGTGTGGAGAGTATTTATGCTGTTTTCAGGTCCTGCTCATGGGGAGCAGGTTGGTCACTATGGGAAACAGGGGAGTGGGCTAGAGGACCCCTTTGGCCTGATCCAGTTGCTGAAGGAACTTCTTATGTTCTTTTGATTTCAAGAATGTTCTAGTCTGGTTTGATTCCAAAAGGCCTACCAACCACCTAGAATTGCAGTGGCTGTGCATTAAATTAAATAAGACAAGGCTACAATTTTGATGTTTCCTGTGCTTGGTCCTCAGACACTACTCCACGGCCAGAGTTCTGTTGAGCATTGCACTGGCTTTGGTCAGATGCTCCCCAGTGCCTTTATCAGGGCTGGGCAGGAAGAGATTCTTGGTACTGCCTGACTTCCATTTATCTCAAATTCCATCAAGAATGGAGGAAGCAGAAGCTTTCCTTGGCCCTCAGAGGAGATGCAGTCGCCTTTCTTTAGCCAATTGAGCAGTGTTTGGACTCCCTTCCCAGGCCTGGGATTTCCTGGGGCATCCTAACCTTTTCTGGGGGGTCGCTAGTGTTTGTTTTTAAAAAATCTCTTCTGCTTGCAGGTGTCTTCCATACGCATGCAGGGCCTCCTCCTCCTGGTCTTTGCAAAGCAGCCTCACGTCCCCTTCATACGGGACATTCAGAGCCAGTTCACTCGCACGGGTCTCTACGGATATTGGGTAAGCAGATCACTGTGTTTTCCAGACATTTTAATGGCTTTTTCAAATTGCAACTTAGTCTTGGCTTCTGCATGTTGTCTGCGGTGGCTTCGGTGAGGAATAAAAGAACGTATAGAATTTTACTCCTTTTAGTAAAGTTTTAAAACATTTTGTCTGAAGTTATAAACTTGCCAAGGGCTACAGAGATTAATCTGTATGATGATGCAGGATTGGACCACATCAGAGCAAAAAGTGCTGCCATCCCTGGTGCTAGCAAATTTGCTCCTCACTTCTGTACCCAAAGTACAGTCTGATTCCTGGCTACCTATTTAACACTCATGGTGGCTTACTTCTCTGTTGTCTTGAGGATTCCAGTCCCTTTCTTGTCTTCAAACAAGTTTGGGATTGACCAGGGCTTTTTTTAGCTGAAACTCACCGGAACTCAGTTCCGACACATCTCAGGTGGGCGCCGTTGCCATTATAAGAGAACAAAGGAGGTATTCCTGATAAGTTCCGACACCTCTTTTTCTAGAAAAATAGCACTGTGTTTGATATTTATGAATGGTAGGTGTTGCTTCCGAAATGTACCTGGACATGGAAACAAGTCCCAAAACAGCCTCAAGCGCTGTTGTTGTGTGATCTGGGGGACCTGGCTTCTTATGTCTTGTAGGGAAACAAGGGGGGTGTCACCACTCGCATGTCTGTCTATGGACATCCCATCTGTTTCCTGAACTGCCACCTGCCAGCCCACATGGAGAATGCAGGACAGCGGTTGGATGACTTTGAGCATATCTTGGAGATGCAGCAGTTTGAAGGCGAAAAGATTCCCAACGTCCTGGATCATGAGTGAGTGGCAACTGAATCTGGTTGAGGCTGCCCTGCTGTCTTGCTTCTAGGAAAAGAGGATCCAGCTTGGCTTGGCCTCTGCTGTATAGGTCATTGTCCATTTAGTTTAGGGAGCCCCTCTGACAGCTTTGAACCCAAAGTGAGAGCATCCGGAAGACGGTTATTTCATGAAGATGGTGGTGGTGATTAATTTGTTGCTGTTTCCACAAAAGCAACTCAAAGTGGTTTACAAAAATGAACATTAAAAACAATCTAAAATACTCATCAATAAAATGTGGATTCAGTTCAACTTATCCTAATAAAAAGCTGAGCAAAAGGCCACAAACTTACTTGACGCTCCAAATTCCCAGGGAAATAACAATTTTTTTGCCCAACTCCTAAAAAGAGATAGCGGTTGTGGAATTTTGTAGTTTAGGGTTTATTCAGAGCTCCGCAGAAGTCCGTTCAGGGGAACAAAATTCCTGGAAGAAGAGGAGGTCCTCAAGCAGAACAGCACTTGGTCTCACTCCCAAGCTTGGAAGTCTTCCCTTTTGCTCTGAAGCACCTGGTTCTGCGAAGGGAGGGAGGTAAGGTGCCTGGACCAGAGAGGGAGGACCATTTTGAGCATTGTTCTGGCAGCTCTTTTGGGAGCCACTGTAAGTAGTGAGCCTGACTCCCCTCTGTTGTGTCACTTTCAAGACTAAGTGATGCTTTCTAATGGGAAAAAAGCATGCCGTTCAAAGCGAGCAAGAGGACAGATAACTTTGCACAGTGGTGAAAGATAATGGAGAACTGCAGAGTAAATGTGCTCCTGAGATCATATGTGCGGATGAATCTGCTATGTCTGATGTCTGCCTTGCAGCTTTCTCCTGTTTTTTCCATAAGCGCTTATTTCTCGTTTCTTCTCTGTGAAGCGTTCTCTTCTGGTTTGGTGACTTGAACTTCCGGATTGAAGATTACGGCCTGCATTTCATTCGAGAATCAATCAATAACAGCCGATTCAGCCTTTTGTGGGAAAAGGACCAGGTACTACCTCCAAGTTCTGTTCTCTTCATTCCTGTGCAGGTGCCACCACCAGGATCTTCTGCTTTCTTCTCTCTTCTGGCTTCCCCTGATGGAAGACCCTACAATTTCTCCTGCTGATTCCACCCACCCATGACTCACCCCCCCAAATGTCACTTGGCAACAAATCTGTGAATGTTTACATTTTGTTCCCATAATGTTTTGCCTTATTCCTGGTCCATATCTATTTCACAATTGGCTCTAAATTTCCTCCTGGGAAGTTGTGAAACTTGCCTGTCCCATTCCATATCGATTTCTGTGGAGTAAAATGACCTTCATGTGGATCTCCTTTCCCAAAGAAAGAAAGAAAGAAAGAAAGAAAGAAAGAAAGAAAGAAGCAAGCAAGCCTTGAGGAGGCTGCAGAACTTCTCATATGTAGGATTCTTTTAGTTGGGCTGGTTGCTGCTTTGCGTTTCTGTTATTCCTTTCTTTTTATTTATGCAGCTTAACATCGCTAAGAAGAAGGAACCCATTCTTCAAGAATTCATGGAGGGGCCCCTGAAGTTCAAACCCACCTACAAGTTTGACCTGTACTCAAATGACTATGACACCAGGTAAATGCTGGTTACCCCCTCCCAACACACCCATCTTGGGTGCATGACCAGGCTGGTGAAGGTGAATAAGCAGCCCACCTGAGAAGAAAGCAGGAGGCAGTTTGGGGAAGGAGAAAGCTGAGCCTGGCCATCTTGGTCTGAGGAGGCTCTTCGTCAGTGTCTGGGCCCAGTCCTCCCAAGGAGGTCCAGTGGAATTGGTGTTTGGGATTTTTGCACTAATGTCTGTTTCTATTTCAGGGGGCCGAAGACGCTCTTTTGGTTTAAGTAAGGAGATTTTGATGCCCTCCTTTCCAAATCTTCAGCATTTTAGACTATTAGCATTTCAAACTGTTGCTGCTCTATTCTCTCCAGCTGCTGGAGGCTTGATCCTAACTTGCTAATTGGCACGATGGACCTGAAATAAAAAAGAGCCTCTTGCACCTGGGCGCAACGGAGAGTTTCCCCCACAGTGATCAATGGGGATGAAGGAAGCAGCTGTTCTCCAGCATGATAGCCCTTGTGGATTCAACTTGGTCAGCTCACTAGGTTTGCTTTCTTGCCTGCCTGCTGGGGCTCCTCAGAAGTCAGGATAGGAAGTGCTTCTGCTGCACTTGCTTCCACAAGGCACAAAAGGGCTCTGCTTGCTGCTATTTCGTCAGCTCAGCAGCTTGAAACGGGATTCGTAGGTTGCTCAGCTGCGCCTTAATCCCTTCAAAGAGACCCAGGTGGGGAATGGAGTGAACAGGTCAGATCTTGAGCTACTGGTAACTCCGGTGGCAATAAGAGTTTAGTGCTGCCGAGCAAACTGTCTTCTTCCCACATCTTTCTATCGTAGAATTATAGAGTTGGAAGGGATCTGAAGGGCCATCTAGCCCACCCCCTTGCAGTGCAGGAATCCTTTGCCCAAAGTGGGCCTCAAATCCATGACCCTGAGATTAAAAGCCTCATGCTCTGAGTCCTCTGAGAAGGACCAGGCAGCCCAGGCTGTATTTGTCTCCTGGGGTTATGACCATTTCACTCTGAAGAGACAGCAGAGTTTTTGAAAAACTACCCAGGATCAGGGCCAGAAATGCAGGTGGCACAAACTTCAATGTGGGCAAACCTCTCCTGAGCACTTGATGGTCTCATGACTTACCACGTGGGCCACTGTAAATGTAGCTGATGCAACCTGGCTAACACTTGGTTGCTGCTAGTTCGTGTTGTTTTCTGATACGAAGTTGATTAACCTCCCTCCTTCTTCGTCTGCCTTTCTTTTAGATCTGCTAACGTACAGATAGACGTTGTTTGATTGAGCTATAAAATGAAGGCGGTGGGGGGCAATGTATGCATTGGTTTGCTTTGTCCCCATAATGCCTCTGCTGCTGCCATGGATAGCAGCTTTGCTTCGTTGGTGTGTCCTCACTGCCTCCCCTTTTGCAGTGGGAAGAAGCGGAAGCCTGCTTGGACGGACCGGATCCTCTGGAGGGTGAAGCACCTTTTGCAGTCGGCCTCGGAGGCAGGAGAGATGCCAGAAGAGGAGGCCATTTCTGTGTCCCTGCAAAGCTACATCAGCCACATGAGTTACGGCATCAGCGACCACAAACCTGTCACCGGGACCTTTGTACTTGAGGTAATGCTCTCCTCTCCCTGAGTGCAGAATTGGCTCTTGGAAAAGGGAACCTGGCCACGACTCCGGTCCCTTCCATCAGAGACAGATGAAGCCCAGCTACAGAAGACCTGGGAAGGCTTTACAAGCTTCCCAGCTACCCAAGGTGTATTTTCTGATGGACGCTTTGCAGTCCTGCTCTGTGTCTCAAAGACAGATCACGAACCATCTTATGGTTGGTGGGGAGAGAGCCCTTGCACCCTAAGTAGATAAACAGGATTGAGTCTGCCTTTGACTTCCAGGCCCGTTTAAACTCTTCTCTCGTGTAGGTGCTTGCAAACTGTAACTGCGTCTGCCTACTGATTTGGGAAGATCTTCTGTGAAGCTGCCGCACCCCCAATTTTTTTTTGAGGGTCACTCTACAACCTTTTTAGGATAGCTTAAGTGGCAGTGTGGGACGCAGGTGGCGCTGTGGGTTAAACCACAGAGCCTAGGACTTGCCGATCAGAAGTTCGGCAGTTCGAATCCCCGTGACAGGGTGAGCTCCCATTGCTCGGTCCCTGCTCCTGCCCACCTAGCAGTTCAAAAGCACCTCAAAGTGCAAGTAGATAAATAGGTACCGCTCCAGCGGGAAGGTAAACGGCGTTTCCGTGCGCTGCTCTGGTCCGCCAGAAGCGGCTTAGTCCTGCTGGCCCACATGATCCGGAAGCTGGACGCCGGCTCCCTCGGCCAGTAAAGTGAGATGAGCGCCGCAACCCCAGAGTTTGCCACGACTGGACCTAACGGTCAGGGGTCCCTTTACCTTTAAGTGGCAGCACTTGAGGATTATTAACATTTTCAGAGTTGGGAGCATGAAGAGCGGCTTTTGACTGCTCTTGATTGGGTGGCTATGGGATACAACTTCTTTCCTTTCTTCCAGATGAAGCCTCTGCCCCCTGTCCCACTGGTCAGGCTGCATCCTGTGGGCAACTGGGATGCTGAGCAAGATGCCACCGTCCGCTACTCCACAGCTCCTGAATTCCCAAGCAGTGCCTGGGATTGGATTGGTCTCTACAAGGTGACATTGCCACAGATGTGTACTGAGGGGGGAAGGATAGTAGCTCAACAGCAGAGACATGCAGAAGAGTCCTCAGTTGAATTCCTGGCCTCTTGAACTGGGAAAGACCCCTGCCTGAAACCCTGGAGAGCTGTTGCAGTGTAGACCAGGCACCCCCAACCTTCGGCCCTCCAGGTGTTTTGGACTACAATTCCCATCGTCCCTGACCACTGGTCCTGTTAGCTAGGGATCATGGGAGTTGTAGGCCAAAACATCTGGAGGGCCGCAGGTTGGAGATGCCTGTTGTAGACAGCACAGAGCCAACATACCAATGGCCTGGCTTCCATTTCCTCTGCTCCTTTGAGGGTGAGGTGTGCTGTGGTCATGAGAAAAACTGTGCCATTTTCTCCTTGTGAAGGAGAGGTTCTCCTGGTCCCTCCTGACAGTGTCAGAGATTTCCTCCTGCTCAGAGTGCCCACAGTTGCAAGAGGATTTTTGGCATCCTGCAGCCAAGGATGACTAAAAGGAGGCAGTGGTGGGTTGTGTGAAGCCGAGGTATCAGGCACTGAGTGACCTGAGCAAAGGGTCTGGTTCCCTTGGGGGAAAGAACAAGCTGCAGACCCTGGCCCAGAAACAAAGGCAAGGCTCAGAGACAAGAGGAGGCTCGTGAGTGGCAAACCTCCTTGCGCCTGAAAAGTCTCATTTTGATGGAAGCAGTCAAAAGACTGATGAGAGACTTGGTCTTTGGTATGGGAATCTTTTGGATTATTTAGGCCAGTTCTTCTGTCTGTGTCTAAGCCTCTAAATACCACATGTGTTGCCATAACTTCCTTAGAGAAAAGGTTACAAACTTTGTGATAAATCATTGTGTGGCCTTGGCTTAATCTTGCTTTTGTCGTCATATTTCCTCATTTCTAAAACCTTGTATCACTCTTAGCAATACTGAAGTGTGAAACAGTTCAGAGTTTGCATCCCATTTCCTTAGCTAACCAGAGCAAATAGCTCTCACATGTTAGACAGGTGTTCACTCCCCTGACAACCAAGTTGTGCTCAAGGCAGCTCTTTCCCCTTGCAGGTGACCTTCAAGCATGCAAATGACTACGTGATGTACGCCTGGGTGCAAGACAACGAGATTTCCTCTGAGGAGGATGCCAAGCAGGTGAGGGGGAAGTAGCCTGAGGTTATCACTGCTGGCTGCTTCGCTCCAGATGTTTTGCTGAATGCTGACTGCCTTTGCTTTATTTCCCCCAGGTCTATCTCAGTGCTGAGGAGCTTCCAGCAACGGGAGGAGAGTTTCTCCTGGGTTATTACAGCAACACAATGCAATCCCTGGTTGGCATCAGCCAGCCCTTCCAGGTATGGGGCTGATGGGCTGACTCAGCACAAGCCAGCTTCCTAGGTTCCTAGAACCCCCAGGGAGCTCTTCCCTATGTTCCTGGAATCACCTGGGGAAATGGTTCTCCTCTTTGGATCACAGGGTTGTTGTGAGGACAAAATAGAGAGGGGAAGAGAACCGTATATGCAGCCCTGAGCTCCTTAAAGGAAAGGTGGGAGAGAACTGTAATAAATAATAAGAAACAAAAACAAAGACTGATCTCTCCTTTCAGATTCAACCAAGGAGAATGTTAGCAGAGAAGGACCTGGCTTGGGACGGAGTCAGCAGGATGCAAGAGCAGCTCTGTGATGAGAAACCACCGTGTGACTTTTGAACTGTGCCACGTGCCCCTGCAGCGGGGTCTGTGAGGAGGGAACCTCCTTCCTCTGCCTTAGAAACAGGCCTCTCTCTGAAGAAGGCAGAAACACAGGTGGGCATGTGAGTTTGAGCAGCCCAGAGCATCATTTCCTAGGAAATAAATAGTTCTATTGCTGTCCCAGGAAGTTGGAACAAGGCTGTGCCTACCTTCAGCAACTAAAGAACCTTGACTAATTGTAGCTTTCCCAAGAGGATCCACCTTCCAGTGGCCTAGCGCAGGGCAGGGGGCACTTATTCCTGAGGCCTGCTGCTGCTTCCTTTTCCTAGGGGTTATTTTAGGACCCAGGCAATACACTGCAATATTAAGTAGTCAACGGTTGGTCTGTTTTTTAAAAACCAGCATTCCAGGATTCAGCTCCCTATTTTTATGAAATGCACTTAGAATTTACTTGGGAGCTGAAATACACTTTCTATCGTAGATGAAGAGAGTATGCCATCAGTTGTGACATTTTGGTTGGTTGGAAATGAGCAGTCTTGACAGAGCAGTGAAGAGGGAGGGACTTGAGCAGCTCATGGCTTCTGTTATCTTTACTTCCAGCTGCCCCACTTCCTGTGGTAGTTTTAATCTCCAAGAGTTCAGTGCTTGAAATTCTTGAAATCCAACCAACCAGCTGACTTTTGCTTGGAATGTGGGAGTTCTTGATGGCCTGTCGCATAAAAAACCCCCAGCCATGCTGGTGATGCCACCTGGGGTTATTTTGAGCTGTACAACAAGGGAAGCCAATGTGGTGCCGTCCAGATGATGTTGGTCCCCCAACTCCCATCAGCCACAGCCAGCATGGCCAAAGGTCAGGAAAGAACAGGGGCAGGTGTTATCTCCCCCTTCCCCTTCTGGATCAAGCTCCACAGCAACACAGCCTTGCTGGCACCTTCCTGGGGCCAGTCCTCATCTGGATGCGGATTTCCTGCACCTTTGCACAATTTCTGTGGACCTGGCCTGTCTCCTTCAGCCCATGTTTCTGCAGTTTCTGGCTCCACTCAGCACTCAAGGCCCCTGTCAGGATGGGCTGCTCTGCTGCGCACTCTGCAGCCCCCAAGCTCATAAAGCAAAGCCGGCTAGTTCTCCTCTGCATGCAAGTGATGTGGAGGCTGCTGTGGGCAGCATGTTGTGTGTGGATATGACTTGGCCGCTGCAGGGATTCCCTTTGCTGCTCATGCCCATCCTTTGCACTCACAAGGGAGGGAGAGGAATATGGATGCACCTGCCCTCTGGGCACTTGTCAGCTGCTCCTGTGACTCAAAGGTTTTCCATGGAGAAAAGGTACCAAACTGCCAAGAGAACAGGAGAAACCTGGGCTGAAATAATTAGTGGTGGGTGTTATCATGGTGGGCAGCCTTTGAACTCTGAGATAAGGCAGAGGCACCCACCAAAATCCTTATGTACAAGCACTTTCACTTTGTCTTATCTGAATTACTCCTGTTGCATCGGGACTAGTTTCCATTTCTCCCAATGGAGTTTCTGTTTCTGAGAAGGTGGCCATCTTGCTCTCTTCTAGACTCAGACCAAGTGGTTTTTGAATGGGGCAGATTTCCCCGTGCCTGTTAGCAGGTGAGCTTCAGTCACTGCCTAATGGATTTAAAGTTAAATTGTGGCAGATGGACAGCAGGATTCTTATGTAAATTGGCCCACAAGAAGGGCGCCCTGTCTGGCAAAGCCTGACTCTTCGCTTGAGCCTTGGCATTCTACCTGGGGCAGGAACTTCCTTGGGAGCCAGTTGTGGCAGGTGCTTTTCTGTATGTCACTTTGTTACATGCGTGAAGATATATTGAGAGCGGTTTTTTATTGTCTTTTCGGTAAACACCCTCGAGATACTGTCTGGGGTCATTGCTCTGATGGACATATTTTTTGTTTTAATCTTTCTGTTTGAGAGCTCTGTCGCACCCTGGGAAAGGACTCTCTTCAGGAAGGGCCATAGCTCAGAGCACCTGCCTTGCATGCAGAAGGCTGCTGGTTCAATCGGCAGGTAGGGCTGGGAGAGTCTGAGACCCAGGCAGTGTAAACAGTACTAAGCTAGATGGACCAGTGGTATAAGGCAGCTTCCTCAGTGGAATTTCATTTTCTCCTCTTTTAAGCATCCTGGCCATCCACTTCCTTTGTTCTTTGCTTTGCGAATTTAAGATAAGCATCGTATTTGTGTCATTGTATCATGACATCATTTTTGTGTGTGAGAGAGATTCACCCCGAAATTTGTTTGGCAGTCAGGTGTGCTCTGTCAACACAGAACAAGATGTGGCAAAGCAGGTGTTCCATCCTTTCACTGTGCCAAAGAGACTTGTGGCATGGGGGGGTCACGCTTCTCCATACCAAACTGGTTCACAGTTAAATCTGCCATTAAATCTAGTCCTGGTGTTGACACCCAAGTGGTAGGAAACACTTCTCGTCAGCTTTGATTGGTTTACCAGCGTGCATCTCCTCTTGAGTAATTACTTGGCCACATCTGCAGTTGATAGCATCCAAGAACTGTGGGGGACTGCCTAGGAAGAATGTCCAAGCTAATGAATATGTATCGGCAATACTTACAAGACTACCACTGGGTTGCTGTTGGTTTCTGGGTGCAGTTCAAGGTGCTTCTCCTACTGTTTTTTAAAGCCTAATTCCTTAAAGGGTACCTGAAGGAGCTCTGCTTCCTCCCATATGAACCTGCTGGTTCCTGGAGACCACTGTCTTAAGGTCCAGCTCCTGGCACCTCACTGTCACGGGTCAGGCAGGTGGTGATTTGGGACAGGGTGTTTTCTGTGCTGGTGCCTTGCTTTTGTGATACACTTTCAAGTGCATCAACTTTTTTTTTTTAATCATGTTTTAGGTACCAAGTAACAACTGTATTTCCCCCAACCCCTCACCTGTTATTTGCTGTATTTTGCTGCTGCTGCTATTTGTCTTCCCTGCTTAGTTTGTATTGTGCTTCTGTACTATTTTATTTTAGATGGTAACTTGTCTTGCAGCCCTTGAGGTGAATCACAAATGGTTTAAAGAAGAAATATTAAAATAAATGTTAACTCTGATAGTTACTCTGCCTCCCAGTTGTTGCTGTTGTCTCTGAGCCACGAGGGGGCACTGCAGAGGACGCAGATTCTGCTGAAACGGTTCCAGCTGTTTTTCGGGCGTGGTCTCTCTGGAAGCTCTTCTGAGTGATGGCAGTGCAGAAGTCTTCACCATTAATAGGGTGCGCCTGCCTTAAAGTGAGGCTTGTGTGTGTCCTGAACCCTGGTGCATGCCGTTGCACAAGGGGGAAGGGGGTTGCTGGGGAGACGTGGAGATTGTTAGCGTGAAAAGAGATGGCCCTGCTCACTGCCATTGGCAGGGGACGCCTATCTGGGAAGGTTCCCCCCACTCCCCGCTTCAAACTTGGGATGCAAAGGAAGTGGGAATATTTTTTCACGAAAAGTTTTTTCACAGCTCAAAAGAGTCTTCTGTTTTGGCTCCTATTGGCAAAGGGAGAACAGATCCTCGAGACCACAAAACAAGACCGGAATTGATCACTTGCTTCAGAAATGCCAGTTCAGAAATGTGCCAGGGAAAACTGCTGACACTTTTGAACTGAGTGGGTGGATCTGTCTTTAGTAAGTTAATCTCTCGGCAGAACAATGCTACTACCACCGGCTGCAGTGGAAAGTCGTCTAATTAAATCTTCCCAGCTTGTGGCTTTTCCATGCCTTTGTGGCAGAGTGCAACATGGGGTGGGAGGAGGAAGAGGGCCTGTGCTGCGGATGGAAGCAGATAACCAGGCAGGGAGCGGCTGGCTCCACAGGGCAGGCGCAGGGAGCCTGAGAGGGAAGAGATGACTGAGCCAGAGGCGGAGGGGAGGGAGACTGGAAAGTATTTGAGGAGAGGCTTGAACATGGAAACAACTAGGCAACTTTTAAAAAATCTGCTAGGCATACAAGAAAACTGGGAGGAGTTCTCACATCTGTCCTTCCCCCTCCCGGCACTGTTGTTCACTGGTTAATGAATTGAAACAATCCTGTTCATGGTGTCCTCCAAAAGCAGTGCTACAATGATAGGAAAGATTTGCTTCGACACAGCCTTCTGTGACCTGGCACCCTCCAGATAGGATGGCCTACAGCTCACAGCACCAGGCATCTGGAGGGCACCAGCTGGCAAGGGTTGCTAAAACAATTTTGTGTTCTTTTGTGATCTAGTAAGATGGCCTGGCTCAGCTCTCCCCCACCCCACTAGCAGCACTGCAGAAGCGCCAATGCAAAGCAAGAAGGAGGGAGGAGAAATCGCCACTGAGGTTCACAATGTAAAGAGGAAGAGTTTTGATGTGTGTGTTTAAAAAAGCTGAACCTGGGTTGCTAGTGAAACGAAGTACAGTAGACTTGAAACAAGCAGAAGCGTCAGGAGATAAAACTTCCGACGGGGGGGGGGGGGGGCGGGCAGGTGGTGGCAGAAGCTGCTGCTTGCTCCTGTCCCATTGCCTTTGGTTGGTCCACCCGACTGCATGGGGGAGCAGCAGGCAGCTCCTCCCTGGCACAATGGGACTTGGGCCTAGCAGGTGGCAGCAGCTCCTTATTGCGCCCCCCCCCACTCAACACACCCTCCAGATAAAGCTGCTTCCACACTGCTTCGCTTCCTCCTTCCTTGCCTGCAGAAATCTTCCTACAAAGCCCTGCCCTAGAAGCCAGTTATGGCTGCCTGCCAAGAAGACGGTTGGCCCCTGACCCGATTGATTGACAGACAACTACACATGCCCTGGAGGCAGCAAAGTGGGCCATCAGTGTTGAGAGCGATGAGACAGTATTTCTGCAAGTTCTCTTCCGCTCCCAATCCTCCTGGTTTCAGAGCCAGAGAAAGATTTTGCAGCGAGGGTGAGGGTTCCTCTGCTCCGTTTCCTGAACTGTCTGTGGGCAGCAGCACAGGTAAAGCTGCCTGGCCTGGCTGCTGCATGTTAGAGGCAGGAGAGCAGTCTATGAGGTGTCTTGTGGGGGTTTTAATTCCCAGCCTGGGCCTGGAAAGAGGCTAGAGGGTTGGGCAGGGGTGCGTGTAGAGGGGGCAGGGGGAGTCTTTCCTCTTGGGACAGAGCAGAATGTCAAGCTGCAGTTCCTCTGTAAACACCCAGCACCGACATCAATCTGCAACTTTTTTGCACAACTGCTTAAGGCCTAGGAGTCCTTTTTCTGGCACTGCATCAGACAGCCACAGACTCATAACTGTCTTTTGTTTAAGTCTTAGGTACCAAGCTGTACTAGGGAAGTAACAAGAAGTCATGGACTGATTGTGTCCAAGGGTTTTCTTTTTTCCAGTTGCCATGGGCTTGCTTTCTGGCTTTGGACCAGCCATTTCTCCTCACTCTGATGGGATGTAGTTGGTGTGGTTTGCTGGGAAGAGTTGGAGCAGGAGCAAGTAGGGAATGGGAGCCTGAGGGTGGGGGCACCAGCCACCATCGGGAATGACTTGCAATAGGAGATTTTGCTAACTTAACTATCAGCTATTTAGTGAAATCCTCAGAACCAAAGACAGCCAAAATCATCATCATGTGGCAGGGTGTGGGGGGAATACACCCATTTTCAGCTAAGAGCAGCAGAAAAACTAGACTCCAAGGGAACTTTTGGGTGACCAAGAAAAGTAATGTGACTTAATTATGTTAGCAGAGTTGGGAGCAACCTTTCTGTTAAAGTGGGTCAAATTTGACGGTGCTGTGCTGGGAGGCTTTCACATGATTGTGGCTGTTCAAACCTTAGTTCGAAATCGGTCCCTGCTCTTTTTACTCCTCTTAGGCAAGGAGGTTGAGTCAACCGTCTTCCACCAATTCAAAATCTGCAGGCTCCTTCAAGCTTCTCCTTGTTAGTGGTAGACAGGCTGGGGTGCTGGAAACTCTGGCTCTACAATTAAGTCCTTGCATTCTGATTGGTGGCTTCCGAAAGTGCATAAAATGCTATGGCAAGGGGACCCCCAGTGTGTGCGTATGTGTGTCCCAAGCAATGGCATGAAAGAATGACAAATACCTGCTGAGGCCAGCATGCTGCAACTGCCAGTGTGGATGAGGAAGGCCAAGCTCTCTCTTGGGCAGGAAGAACTCCTGCCAGATGACCCTTCCCTGCCTCCCCCCCCCCCCGCCCATTTGTCAGATACTTGGCAGCTGCTGGCTCCATCAGTCTTCCATAGGCTGTTTCTCAAAGAAAACATTTGTCTGCTTTCAAGTTGCCTAAGTGAAATCATTTGAGGACAATTCAGCCAGAGGGGTAGCAAGTGAAACATTGCAGGTTTCTTCAGACAGCTTGCTCCCCCCTCTCCATCCCTTAACGCAGGCAGGAGCCATCAATGGTCACCCCCTCTCTTGGGGATAAATAGTGAACCTCTGCATTTACATAGCACAGCTTTATGTAAACAGGAAATGTTTCCAAGATATTTCGCATGTTTTCTGGACCCTAAAATATCCACTGATAAGAGCCATTGTTTCTTTCCCCACTGCTTCCTGCAAACTAAATTATGATTTCCTTGAGACGGCCCAGCCTTAGAGTCCCAGAACATTGTCTCCTGTCTTACCTGATTATCCTGGAACGTGGACCAAGCAAGGCAATTTCTCTGAAGGGCAGGAGACAAAGTTCACGGAGGCTGGCGGGACTCATCACCAAGAGGCAGTTACAGCCCTTGCGGGTGAATTTCCAGAGCACTCCCCATCAGGAAGCAGTTGCAGGGTAACACTGCAGCGTGGGAGGAAATCAGTAGTGTATGTCCACCAGATCATTCCTCCATTCTCTCTTCCTTCAAAACCTGAATGGGGACTGACCAGGCACCCCACCAAGAGGGGGAGGGAGGTTGCAGCATAGTTGTGACACCCTTGCATTCTCAACTGCACTGTCAACAATTGAAGTATATTTAGCTATTTCACTGGATGCCTAACTAACTCTGATTTCTGCAAACAAACCTCTGTATAGGTTTCCTACCTAAGTCCACCAAGTTCAAAACCTTTCCCTTTCGTCCTCCTCCTCACTGTCCCATTGCATTTGGGATTATGCCACACTCTCTTACAGCCAGTGACACACCAGAGCCAAGGTGGCTCCATAAATAAATATAAGATTCATCAGAACTGTGAGACATCTTGGAAAACATGAAGTCTTTGAAAGGACACTGTTATTTTATACTAGAAGGCAACTTTTCTCTTTCAACACAAGTTTGATACCTGGGCAAGGCTGCCTCTTCCCACCCTGGTCTGGGTAGTGTACGTGACAGCTGAGCTTGATACCAGTCTGTTTTTAAGAGAGGTGGGATTTCAATCTCTGATGAAGGATTCAGTTGATTAATCAGACCAATTAACCCTAACTCCACCTTGAACCCTTAGCAGGAGTGATTCTAGCACTAATATAAGCTCAATTTTATCAGCAAAGGCGGCAGATGGGTAGCAAAAGCCAACCGTAACAGCTGAGAGTTTTTCTTTTTCATATACCATATTTACTCAGGTCTAAAGCACCACTGAATCTAATGCACACCTCAATTTTCAGAACCTTGAAATAAAAAAAAGGAATTGCTGGCGAATGTAAATGTGTTGTCAAATCTAATGCACCTTGATTTTTGCAACGTAATTTAGCCAAAAAACGTGAGCATTAGATTCAAGTAAATACGGTACATATGTATTTCTGGGCATGCTCATCACCCCTCAACATTTAAAGTTTCAGCAAATAAATTACTTAAAAGTACATTTTTCCAAACAAAAATAAACTAGTTTTATTTTTGGATTGCTTATCTCGGGGGAATATATTTGGACAGCTGTGTCCCAGCCTCCCTTTCTCCTCAGTGTGCTCTTTGGCTCCTTTCCACCTTCGTTTAGTTCCTGGTCCCCCCCTCCCCCATTTTACATCTATTTCTTAAAACCTGTTCTTATATTTTGTTTCAGCCTGGGTCTTAAGGCACATCCATTAAACCACTTCTGAAGGAAAAGAGAGATTCAAGTCTGCTCCATGTTTTTAGGAATAGGAGAAACTGTTGGCAAGTACTTCCCACCAAGGAATTTGCTTTGGAAATGGGAAACTTATTCTGGAAAAGACATAAGCAGACTCAGAAGCGGTGACACAGCCTGTTCTGGAAGGGGTAGTGTTCCTTCTTTTGAGCCTGCCTGGAGTCAGATGCTGGCAGTAGCTGGGCTTTGGCTGCTGTGTCTGTCCTGGAGAAGGCAAATCTGGCCACTTTCATCACCCATGATGTCTTGGTCACATATTTCAACTACTGTAAACCACTCTATCTTTGACAAGGGCTTTGCAGCTGGTGGAGATTTATAGGATTTCCTCTGTTCCTCTCTATCTGTTTATAGATATCAGTATAATGTCCTCCAGAAGAAATTCCCAAGGTGGTTTACATAAAAACAGGCAGAAATTAAATAAAAAATAAAAAAATCTTAGCATTGAGATGTGGTGGCAGGCAAAATGCGAGCATGTAGAATTTCTGCCTGTCATGGAACGGCTGATGACATAGAAGACCTCTCAGATAAGGAGAGGGCAAATTGTTGTTCCCTCTTAATCAGTTCCTGATTTCTTTCTGAGCCCAGTTCAAAGTGCTGGTTATCATCTCTAGTCCCAAGTGTTGTTAAACCTGGTTATCCCACCTGCCGTTCTGAGAACTGCTGGGGAGGCCCTGCTCCACATCCCACCTTCCCCTCCAGCAGAAACATGGAGGGGGCCAAATTATTATTATTAATTAAATTTGTATATCACCCTTCATCAATAGACCTTGAGGCTGTTCACATGCAGGGAGGGTCTTTTTTGGCTGTGGCACCAGTGCAGACTCTGGTTCTCCTTCCTTTGGGCGCAGCCTCTCTTCTCCCTGGCCATTTCACAGACTGGTAAAGACTGTCACGCAGGTGTTCAGATCGGATTATCACTGCCATGTGTTTGCCTACTGCCAGTGGTGGCCTTTTTTATATATAGTATATGTGTTTGCAGCTCTTTTTATGATGTTTCCACTGTTTTTTATTAATAAAACAGCTTGCTGACTTCAGGAGCCTTTGGGTGAAAAGTTTCACATATAATTTACCAAATTAGCACACAAACAAAGCCTTGCCCCTTAGGAAGAGGTCTGACAGAAAGAAAGACACACCTGGCGCCGGCTGGGCAAGGGGGACCAGGAGGGCTAATGTACCCAGAGAGGAAAAGAGCCCTTCTGCTGCAGCTTCTCAGGGCAGAACAGCCAAGGTCACAAAGGTGGTGCCAAAAATTGCAGACGTCCATCCAGGTCTCCAGAGTCCCCTGGGTCTGAGAGAAGAAACATTGGAGTTAAAAGCAATAAGCAAAGACATAAATTAAAGGCTCCTGGAACAGCTGAAAGGACGTGGAAACAAGTGCTTGAACTGCATTGTTGCTTGAGCTCACACCTAGAGCTTGTACAAACACGGGCCTCCAGTTCTTCCGCTGCTGGGCCAAGGAGGCTGTTTATTGTGCTGCTGCTCCTTCAGAGAATGCCAGGACTCTTTGATGTCCGCCGGCTGCAGAGGGATGGTGAAAACCAGAGACTGAACCCTGGGAGGATGGAGCTGCGGACCAAGTTTATCCCCACCGGAGAAATGATTTGCCAGGTTGGTCAGGATCGAGGGGCTAAGCCTGTAAGCATGGCTCTTCTTGCACTGCCTAAACCTGCTTTCCTTTTCTTGTTTTGGTAACTTGGCACAGACAAACACGAAGAGGGAGGCACAATTCAGGAAGGATTCTATCAGTGCAAGGGAACTGCTGCATTTATGGAAAGGGACATTCCAGCATGGTTTGTGAAGAGAGTGAGGACAATACCCAGTGACAACTTCAAGCTTTGAGAAAACTGGCCCTTGCAAGGCCAGAGGAAGGAGGAGACAACGGTGTCCATATTTCAGACCACTGGACTGATGCTATAGCAAGTTAAAAGGAAACACAGTGAAATCTGTCAAGGTGGTCAAGTATCAGGGGCGGGGGCATAAAGGAAAAGGCTCCAAGAGCTGTGTAAAATTAGCTGGGCTTCAGGCCGTCTCTATGTTGGTGAATGATTGGATCTGGAATACCATACGTGTGAAGAGGAGGCATTTGTTGGTTTGGGCTTTACACATCTCTCCCAATATCTGCTCTGTTGCTTTAAATTAAGGTTGCCTGCAGGTTTCTAACTCTTTGTGCCGGTGACATAGGCAGGATTCCAAATTCAAGAGGTCACAAAGGTTGGAGTGGACGTTTCTGGCTTTATTGGGACTTCCAAAAGCTAACAGCCTGCATTGCCAAAGGATGTTGGCTCTTAGCTTTTTACAGTCCAGATGAATGATTATTGCTCTGCCTGCAGTTGGTCTTCTCCAGTGTCTATTGTGGTGGACCATGGGCTGGGCTGTGGGGCACTAGTGGCTATACCCGTTGTGGGAGCCACAGGGGAGTCTTCCTTGCCCTGTGCTCTCTGGCGACAAGATTTGGCTCTCAAGTTACCCTGGGACTCTTTCCCCACTCTCCAGGATGTTCCTAGTAACTAGTGCTAGGCCCTGTCATAACGGCAGAATTTCTCTTCCCCCCCCCCTTTGGCTCTGCTGTGGTTGTTTATCTCTGCCCTCTCAGACAGCTCCTGTGCCCATGTGGTACCAGCCAATGCGCCAATGTGAAATGACAATGGTTGTGGGGAAGAGGACTCAGAGGGCAGGTAACATTCTGGGCTGCCACAGCCTGCTGATGGAGCTTGTGGTGACAGCAGCAGGGTTGGCTTGCCAGTACTGTACAGTGGTACCTTGGGTTACATACGCTTCAGGTTACAGACTCCGCTAACCCAGAAATAGTACCTCGGGTTAAGTACTTTGTTTCAGGATGAGAACAGAAATCGTGCTCCAGTGGCACAGCAGCAGCAGGAGGCCCCATTAGCTAAAGTGGTGCTTCAGGTTAAGAACAGTTTCAGGTTAAGAACGGACCTCTGGAACGAATTAAGTACTTAACCCGAGGTACCACTGTAGTCCAATGGCAGCAGTTCCACTCATGAAAAGGCTGGAGGCTGCTGCTGGCAGGACACTTGTGGCAACATTGGAAGACTTAATCTGGGAGTAGCTTGGAGAGTGCAATGTAGATCAGACTCCCCACCCCCACATGCTGGAGCCTGTGCATTCTTTTGAGCTCCTGGTTCCCTCTCCCTGCCCCCCCTCTCTCTTATGAATGGAAGGCCATCTTCTATTCTGCCTTCCTCCTCACCCCCCGCCCTGGCTGCCTTTATGGATTGGTTAAATATGAAATTAACTGGGGTAAATGTTTTCTACATGCTTACTTCCTCAGCCTCAGTGCTCCCCATCTATAAAATAGGCACGTTCCCTAGAATGCCTATCTCTCCTTTAGCTGATATACTGCACTAATATGCTGCGCTGCACTGCTGTTTGTGTTATACATGTGATCTTGTGTGTGATGTGACTTGATGTGGTGGGGTTCAGAGTAATGGGGTCTACATGCACTCTTACTTCTTGCTTCATGTGGGACCTAGGTGACAGATCTGTTTTGTGGGTTGGGGGGGCTGGAATTCTCTGCAAAGCTTTGAAGCAGCACAGCTTTTTTGAGTCCATTGTTGTTGTTTAGTCGTTTAGTCGTGTCTGCCTCTTTGTGACCCCATGGACCAGAGCACGCCAGGCACTCCTGTCTTCCACTGCCTCCCGCAGTTTGGTCAAACTCATGCTGGTAGCTTCGAGAACAATGTCCAACCATCTCGTCCTCTGTCATCCCCTTCTCCTTGTGCCCTCCATCTTTTCCAGCATCAGGGTCTTTTCCAGGGAGTCTTCTCTTCTCATGAGGTAGCCAAAGTATTGGAGCCTCAGCTTCACAATCTGTCCTTCCAGTGAGCACTCAGGGCTGATTTCCTTCAGAATGGATCGGTTTGATCTTCTTGCAGTCCATGGGACTCTCAAGTTTCCTCCAGCCCCAGAATTCAAAAGCATCCATTCTTCGGCGATCAGCCTTCTTTATGGTCCAGCTCTCACTTCCATACATCACTACTGGGAAAACCATAGCTTTTACTATACGGACCTTTGTTGGCAAGGTGATGTCTCTACTTTTTAAGAGTCCATTAGGTCCTTCTAAAAATAACAGAAATGTGCAACTGTTGGTGACTTGGGGGGGGGGGGGGGAGAAATCCTTACCAGGTCAGCAACACAGAATTTACCTCTTAGCTGAAGTGCTGCGGATAGCTCTGACATGGATCCACAGACAGTCTTCTACTATTCTGAATACGACACTCGAGATTCTTGGGGAATAAGAGCTGTGTAGTTTGAAGAGCCTGCCATTGTGAGCATAAATGCACTTAGAACTTTTACATGTCCTGTCTCCAGATGCTTCAAAATAAGAAACTTGAAATATTTTATTACTAAAATAACACTCTGCTGCTCTATTAGCTGCCAACAGCTCACTTGGGAACATCTGAAAACAGGCAAGACTCAACCCTATCAGAAGCCTGTCAGCTACCCTTTTGTTGGAAGCTGTCTTATCCTAAGATGGATTGTTAGTCCTTCCAGTGCAGTACTGTCCTTGCCCTCGCTATCCCCCATCATTGTTAGAAATCTGCAGAGCTTCTGGCAAAGTGAGCAAACAGGTGTTACAAGGTGCTCCCTTACAGGCTAAAGCTGCATCTGCCCCAGCACTGGGCACATTAACTGGCAGCAACTCTCCAGACAGGTGTATCTTACACTTCTGTCACCCGAGACCTTTCATTGGAGAAGTCCGAGCCTTAACCCACAACCTTTTACAAACAAACTGTGGACTTGCCAACTGCCAGAGCCTGACACGTTGTAAACTGGTCAGATTTGCAAGCAGGGCTGGGCTCAAATGAACCACAAGGCAAAGGCAAAGACTGCTGGTGGCGGGGAACTGCAAAAGGCAATTTTTGCAAGGGAGTTCACCCTTCCACTTTGCCCCTAAGTATAGTGTATGTGCTGTGCAACCCGCAGCATATGGCTAAATCCCACCGAAAGCCTCCTTGGGGCTTCTGCATGGCAGAGCCCTCATCTATTTTATAGGTGGGAGTTTGCTCTCCTTGCAGTGGGCACCTGGGAAGGGCTGCGGCGAAATGCAATTCTCTCCTGCTTTCTTCATGTGAGCAGAGCAGATCCCAAGCTCTCTTCTTCCTCCTCCAGGAGTTGACAAATGTTAGAACTTGTATTTAAAAGTCCCCGCCAGCATTAAAGGCTTGCCGTGCCCCAGAGGAGGCTCCTCTGGAAAGAGCTGGCCGGCCCAAAGCAGGGCGAGGCAGGCCGGGGCGCACGGAGGGTGAGGAGGCCTTCGCCCGGATCCCTCTCACTGCGCAGGGAGCCGCCTCGGACCCGCTCAGGCCTCGCTCAGCGCTGCCCACTCGGACGGGCAGCAGCGGCGGCTCTGAGGGCGGGTGTCAGGCTGGGCCACCACGGATGGTCCCCCAGGGCCCCTCGAGCGCGACCGAGGCGGAGAAACGCCTCACATAGCGGGGCGGCGGAGAAAGTTCCCTCAGGGACACCGAGACACCCCGTCCTGAGGGCGCTTCTCTCTCGCGCGCGCGCCTTTCGCGCGCAAAGAGGCCCGCGGGGGCGGGGGAGGAGAGAGGGTCGCGCAGGCGCGGAGGGGCGTGGCCAGGCCGCTCTCCTGCCCTCGCCCCCCCCCCACGGGAGGGCCCGAGTCAGGCCGGCCCGCCAGCCCCGCCGCGCAGGCGCATTCCGCCCTTGCCACGGCTCCGCCCGGCCCGTGACAGGAGCCCCAATTGCCGCCGCCGCCGCCGATCCGACCGAGCGGCTGGAGCGAGCGTCGCCGACGGGGCACGAGGAGGGCGCGGCGGAGCGGGAGGGCCAGGCGGCAGCAGCTCACTCAGCAAGGTAGGCCAGGAGGGAGCGGCGAGGCGGAGGACGGACCTCTGAGCATGGGCAGAGCGCCTCTCCCGCCGTCCGCTGGACTGGGTCTCCCCGGGGGCGAAGGCAGACCGGCGGAGCTGCGGGACCTTCTCGCGTGCGGCGGCGACCCCCGAGGGGCCGAGGGGGCGGGGCTGCTCTCCCCCCTCCGCGTCCCGCCCGCAGCCCCGCCTCCTCCGACCCCGAGGAGGTGGTCTCCACGTGTCCCGTGTGAATGCGGCCCCTCCCCGGTGGGCTCCCGGGGGGCGGCGGGTCTCGCTTTCTCCCGAGGAGGCCCCTCCGCTCTGGCCCTGCCGCCAACAACTTCGCTTCGGCGCCGGAGTTGGCTGCGCCGGAGCAGGAGGGAGGCGGCTGCCCCGGGGCGGGGCGGGTCTGCCAGGGCGCCGCCGCCGCCCGAAAGCGGAAGGGCATCTGGGCTGCCCGCGGCGAAGCGTGGCTGTCGCTCCTTAGCCTAATCCGTCTGCTGCCAGCCAGCCGCTGCCTCGCCGAAGACGCTCGCCTTCCCCTGGGGAGAAGACGAGGCAGCAGAGGCTGCTCTCCCGGAGGGAAGGCGGGGAAACTGAGGCACAGGGGGATGGTGGCCCTGGAGAAGCAGGCCATGGCACGGCATGCCCACTTGCTGCCATCCGTTCCACCCCCCACCCCCGTCCTGTATGCCAGGCAGCAGCTACACGTGAACACCCCCCACTCAGAGCTCAGGTGTGAAGCCCACCTCCCTCTTGGGTGCAGCAGGGGCCTCTGGCTGTGTTAAAAGGCAAGGCAACACGGCAGATTCGGCCTCAACTGGACTTTCTCCTGGGTAGCCACTCAGGCTGCCTTCTGGATCAGGCCCATCCGGTCCAGCACCTTCTCCCAACCAGATGCCTGTGGGAAACCGGCAAGCGGCACTCTGCTCCCATACCTATCATATTATACTCCCATGTTTAACTTTCCACTGGGCAAGTCACTTTAATAATATTTCTTTTTAAAGCCTCATTATAAGTGAGTCCAAAGTAACATGCTTTTCAAAAGCCAAGCCATGGACCTCCTACTTTTGAAAACTTTGATATCTCTATGGTAGTTTTTGTTATGTGAATGGAGCCAAGGACCCTCTGGGTGGGTTACATGGATCCGCTGGGGTTCACGAACCACCAGTTGGGAACCACTCATATATAGTATAAATATGTATAAGCAGTATATAACAGTGTATGGGAACATCAAATCCCAGATGCAGGCCAGGAGGATTCCTATACTGTGTTATGTTTTTGTGTTTCTTTGATTATCTTGGGACTCAGCTCCAGGCGAGGTCCCATAATATATCCTGCTGACCAGGCTTGCAGTTGTGTTGTTGAGGGAGTGGAGATTAATCTGCTCGTGTGTGTGTGTGTGTGTGTGTGTGGCTTTCCAAGTGCCTGGTGAGAGTTGGGGTTGCTGTTCAGTGCAGTGGGAGTGAGGGTGAGGGTCGGCCAGAAGGGATGAAACCTCCGGTGACCTTGGAAAGGAAAATGAGTTGGACTCTGCCACCTTTGTATGGGTGTCTTGCAACTTGTGTCTCTGTCAAGGTTGTTAGCAGGCCGAGCCCTTGGAGTGAATTTGGCATTAATTAACAGTGACCTGAGGTCAGCAAATCCACAGCTGCAAGGGCAGGCGGGATGCTTACTTAGTGGACGTCCTGGGAGAGGGGAAGGTATTCTTGCTCTGCTCAGGGTTTAGGCGTGTACATTTTCATATTCCGTTTTGCATTCCAGTGCTTGGTGATTGCAGGGAAACCCCGTGGCCTTAGGAGGAGTCACACAGACACACTCTCCCCCCTTCCCCAGGGTTTTGACCTGGCTTACAGAAGTAGCTGCTGGGTCAGGGAAGCTGGACTCTGAGCGGAAAGTCAAGAACTGCCCCAAAGGGGATTTTTTTGTTCTCAGGGTGGGCTACCTAATCTTTCTGGGCTGAGCTGCTGGGCTCTTATTTCCTGTTGCTTATGAGTGTTATGGAAGCTCTTAGTCACAATCAGCATTGCCAAGAGTGGCTTGATGCAAAGAGGAAAGGAAGCATAGCAGGTGACCTCTGCAGAGGCTGCTTGAAGGTCTCCTGGCTCCCAGTTGCAGCACAGGGGAATGGAGGGTTGGGGGGTCTCAGCCAAGGAGGTGTGATAAGGGCATGGCAGTCTGTGTCTGCATGAGAAACTCTTAGACATGGGCTCTCTCCACCTCCCCCCTGCCCATTTGTGCCTTGGATAAGTGGATGAGATCTGCAGAGTTCCTCCCCCTCCCCTTAGAAATTGGGTGGCATGGAGGAGAGCAGTACTGGTTCCCGATCGCAGCTTTTGAATTCACTGCACTTAAAAAAACCCTTATCTTACATTTGTGAGTTGGGCTGGGGAAAAACCCCATATGTCAGGTTGCCAGAACATTTGCAAATTGGATGCTGGTGCCAGCTTGCAGGTCTGAAGCCTCTGCCAGCCTGATGCAGAGCTGGTACCTAAACTACCATGGCTGGCGTCTCGGGATGTGATGGTGGAGAGCAGAGAGATGGAACTCTTTTCTCAGCGCTGTCCGGAAATGCTGGGAGAAGCGGATTCTGCTTTCTGTGGTGCCTCTGAGGGAGGGGCACCTGGGTGCAGCGCTGCTGCTGCTGCTGAGAGAGGAAGGCCTTGCCCACTTCCGTGGTGCTCATGGATGATCCCAGGAGGACTTTGGAGCTGTGACTCTTTGCTAGTGAGACACAGCGGGAGGGACTGTCTCAGTTGCAGCCTGTTCTGCTGTGGTTCCAGAAGGAAGCCTTTGCTGCTCCAGGAGAGCGGAGTCCTGGCTGGATGTTCTGGGTGGGCTTCCTTCGCCAGCAGTGGCTGATGCTGCTGGTGCGGCGCAGTCAGTTCTGAGCCGTTCTTTGTGCAGGAAAATGCATTTTGTTGGCCAGACTTGGTGTCCCCGAAATCATGCCTGCCGTGCACATTCTGAGCCTTTGTTTCCCCGGCCAGCTTGGTTTAATAACATAAGAGCAAGCTTACAATGCCTCTAACTCGCTTAGCTGCAGCCTGGCTAATTTCCTGGCTTCTGTCGTTTAAACAGGCAGTGCTGGCTGCCGCTGGGGCCAGTTGAGCAGCTTCTGGGTGGAAGCCCTTATCCTGTTGACAGGTAAAGGGCTTCCATGGGGCCTCCCCGCATCCTGGAGCCAGCCCCTCCCCTCGCCTCCCCAGAGGGCCTGGCAGGAGTCCTGCCTGGTGGCTTTTCCAAGGGAGTGGATTATTGGTTTTAGATTGAACTGCCTTTTATATCCTGGGCTGTGTGCTTTGCTCCCACACCACCTGCTGCATCTCAGGTCCTTCTCGGCTTCTTGGTGGCATTTAGCTGGGCCTGGGCAGCGCTTTCACTCCTGAAAAGCACAGGGCATCCTTTCTCCTCCCTCCTGCCCCCTCTCCCCGCCCAGAGCCTCCTGCCCCCTGCCATTTTGTAGGTGGGGGCGGGATGAACACTTTTGGAGCCCTTTGGGTCAATTCTCTTTCCTCTCTTCACTTGCCTAAGTCTCACCCAATGAAGAACCACGGAGAGATCCCTGAGACAATGCAGAATGAAGTGTTAGCCCTTCATACAAGAGGGAGGGTGATGTTCTAATCCTGGAAAGAGGCTGGTGCGTATTCAGATGCGGTTCTGCAGGTCTCTCTGCCCTCCCAGCTTCCCTTCCTCCCCAGGTTAAACAGATGGAGCCTAACATTTATTTGCGTCCTTGTCTAGTGCTTGTCACAACAGAGCCCAAATCTCCCACAAGGAGGGGCAGCCCGCTGGCTGGTTGTACACAAAGCTTGGTGAGCACTCCCTTCCTTGAACTCAGGTGCTTTTTCATTCATCCTGCTCTTCCTTCAGTAAGCGTGTGGGCGAGCAGGCAGAGGCTTATCCTATTCTCACAACAATCCTGTGGAGTAGATTAGACTGAGAGCCTGGTTCATGTTCACCCCAGGATGGCTGCGTGGGGATTCAATTCAGAGTGCTTCAGCCTTCAGGTCCACCACTCTATGCAGGATGTGCAAGGCAGAGTCCTCTCTCCTACTTTTCTTTCCCACTGATTCCGCCCCCCTCCCCGCAACTGGGAAGTAAAATGGGAAAGCAATTCCTTGTAAGCAAGTGGAAGGTGATGCGTGTTGGGGCAAAAAAATAATAATCTAAATTTCACATCTACACTTCCGGCGTCTGAACTGGCAGTGACTGACCAGCAATGAAACCTTGGGACACAGCAAATAGCTCTATGAAGATGTTGACCCTGTGTGCAGCAGCAGCTGTGAACAAGGCAAATGCCATGCCTGGGCCATTAGGAAAGAGATTGAAAATGAAACTCCCGCTTTCACAGTAACATTAGACAAAACGTTTGGAATATGGTGCACATTTCTGGTTGCCCTGCCTTTAAAAGGGTATTTTCAAGCCTGAAAGGGTTCAGAAGAAGGCAGCCAAACATATTTGGTGGAGAATGGTGGAGTTTATTATGGAGAACTTTTATTATGCACACAGTCCTGGAAATGAGGGGCCAAAGGTATCTGCCAACTTGTGGATAGTGCAACAAATGATCACCTGTGTTTTGTTTTTTGCCTTCTGTCACAAAGCAATATGCTCCTGCGGTCAGGGAAGTGCTAGCCTCACATTGGGGTCTCCAAAACTGAAGGCCAGGGGGATGTTTTGTTGTGAAATGCCGTGGGCTCAAACTGCTGTGCAGGACTGCAGGTAATAACAATGAACAGTGATTTTAAAAGGAGAGGGGGCACCAAAATGAACAGGGTGTGTGTGGAGAGACTCCTCTATCAGGTCAGGTTACAACTTTGGGGGGCCTTTTTGGTTTAGGTAAGTGAGTGAGGCAGGACACGATGGGGCGTTTTGCATATTGGCAAAAGAGGTTTTTCTCCCCCCCGTGGTACAAGGGTTTGTGGACATCCAGTGAATTGGAGAAGACAAAAGAAAGTCCTTCACAAGCCACATGGTTAACCTGTGGAATTCGCTCCTGCAGGAGGCAGGGGTAGCCAGCAATGTGGGTGGCTTTAAAAGAGGCTTGGACAGATGCATGGAGGAGGAGGAGGAGGAGGAGGAGGCTATCAATGTCTACTGGCCAGGAGGGCTGTGTTCTTCCTCCACGGTCAGAGGCAGTGATGCTTCTGAATACCAGTTGCTAGAAATTGCGGGAGGGGAGAGGGTTTTGTGCTTGGATCCTGCTTGCGGGCTTCCCACAATGGGCATCTGGTTGGCCCCCTGTGAGAGCAGTTTGTTGGACTAGGTGGGCTCTTGGTGGGCCCAGCAGACTCTTCTGTTCTTATCCTTTGGTGCCTTTGAGAAGCAAAACAAGACATTGTTTATTCCAGGCGATAATCATGAACATGCTGCAAACTGAAGGTGCCTGAATGTGTCTTCTTCTTACGTGAGCCCTCGCCATCAGTATGCCCAGGAAGGTTGCTGGGATCCCTGTGTGCGCTCTGTCAAGAGCAAACCCTCCAGCTGGCTTGAGTGGCTCCTTAGGAAGTCGCCTGTCCCTGGCTGGCCTTGCCCCCCTCTCCCCCCAGCTTGTGGGATGAGAATGCGGCATGTCAGAGAGAGAAGGACCATCTGCCCTCTGGGGTGGGGCTTGGACCCACATCTGTGGGTTGTTTGCTGGGAGTGGCAGCTGAAGGGGGCATGGGAAATTCCTGGGTGGGGTGGGGGTGAGGCTGAAGTCCTCTGGAACAAGACCACTTGAGACACTTTTATATTTGGCAAGGGAGATTCTTCTGCTGAGAGAGAAAGAAGGTTCTTGAGGGGAAAGGCTGCTAAGAATAGAAATCATTTACATACAGGACATAAAACATTCCAAATCCCAGCCTTTTCCAGGCCTGCAACTCAGCGCAGCCCTGGGAATTTGGTCCCACTTACTGCCTTGGAGTTTGAATTGTAGGGATTCAGGGCTTGGGACCTGTGAGGCTGGTGGGTTCCTGTGCTCTTCCTTGGACAAAGGAGGTTTCCAGCTTCCCCCACCCAGGCCCTTCTCCCTGCATGTGGGGATGGCAGGAAGAACCAGCAGCTGTGTCTTGTTCCAGGCACTCAGGGCTCTGGGAGCACGAAAGCCTCCCTCCTGACATTTTGTCCCTGGGTGCTTCCTGCTCTCCTCTCCTTGCCAGCATTGTTGCGGAGGGCCCTGCGCTCTTTCTTTCTTCCCTCCCTTGCTCCTCTCCCCCACTTGGGTCCCGTGCAAGAGAGGAATTTCAGCAAGATTCTCCACAGGCTGGCATTGCCACTCCTCCCCACTGCGGAAAGTAGGACTGAAGTCAGCTCTCTCCCTCTTTCCCACCCTCGCCAGATCTCGACACAAACTGCATTCCATTCATTCCATGGGCTTGACTTGTGCGGAGGGGGGGCTTGCCATGACAGGCTGGAAGCAGAGCTGCCATCTCAGTCTGCAGCCCAGGCAGGGCCTGCCCCCCCGCCTTGCCCCATAACGCTTCCTGGAGAAGGCGCTGCAGGATTGCCCCACGCCCCAGCGCCTCTGCAAGGACAGCGGCAAAAGGTGCAGGTGGCTGTTGCAGTTGTGGGTCCAGCCTCTGGGATCAGAAGTGTCCATAGCTCCCTGAACCTTTCATGTGTGTATATATTGTGGGTGTAAAACAGATCTGTAGTGTCGGGGTGCAGTATTAGGTAGATAAGCTTATCGCCAAATGGCACCTTGAATCCAGGTTACGGTCAGTGTGAGAAACTAGGTTAGGAAAGGTAGGAGCCAAATGGTTTCTGAGACCTGGGTTGTGGGTGTTAAAACAGAATGTCTAGTCACCTCTGGGAGGGGTCAGCAACACTGTTAACACATGTTTAATTTGGTGTTGACGATATAAATATTGGTACCATACTTGAGTTTTCAAAACACTCTACTCTATTGTTAAGCTCCTTAACTTATTGTCTGTTCTTAACGTCCGCTTCAAGGCTTCAAAGCAACTACATTTCAGGAATCCTGGAGTGTCATCCAGGCGCAAAAATGGCACCCAGACTTTTTGAGGTGCTCGCAAATGGAGAATCGTTAGGCGCAAAATGCGCCTGGCGCTCTGCTAATTTCAAACTCTGGTTACAGTCACCACAATGCACTGTCCAGTTGCCTTTTCCCCCAGTGAAGTTTATTATAGCAACAAGACATCGCCACAGATTGGAAGGCTGGCTGGCATGCAGCAACGTCTTTTGATGCGTGAGCATGCAGGAACAGAAAACTGCTGCACACCAGCCAGATGGTGGCAACGTCAGCCATGAGACCTGGCAACAAGGCGTCTTCACTTGCTTGCAATTGGACCTGCGCCAGGCACAAAATGCGCCTTGCGCCTGGGGAATTTTGAACACTGCCTGAGTGGTCCTCCAGATAACGCTGGACTCTGTTAGAAACTCAGATATATACACTAGGCGCCAAATGGCTCTTTAAACCAGGGTTACTGTCACCAAAACTAAATTCCTAGTTGCCATTTGGGCACCAGATGCCTTGAAAGTCATATTTTTCAATATGACTTTTTGGTTCCTGAAAATCATTCTGATTGTGCAGGTAAAATATCACAGATAGAATCTTAACAGGTTGCGTTGCTAGTGTGTGAAAACAGTCCAGATCCAAGGATCCCCAGGCAGGCACCTCCAGAGGGTGGAGACGTCAGGTGTCATCCTGGCACCCAGGCATCTTCACTTCATTGCAAGTGGCCAGTAGCCAGGGGCAAAATGCGCCCAGCGCCTGGCAAGTTTTGAATGCTGGTTGGACTATAGTTCCCATCATCTTTGGCCGTGATGTGAGTTGGAGTCCAGCAACATCTGACAGTCTGCCGATTTCCCATCCCTGATTTAGCAGGGGACGTGTGATGGTTGACTGAGATAATTTTGGTTTCTGCATTTTGTATAATGTGAGATGGGGGGACACACAAGCAGAATCGGAAGGGGACCTGGTTTTATTTGACCAGACAGAGCTGCCAGCAAGGCAACCGAACAGCTCAGCTTGGTTCTTCATCTGGGACTTAAAGTCAAGCAGACGCACAATCTGAAAGGAATGATGGAAAGAGGCTGGCATGGTGGAGCAGAACGGCAGCCACACCCCAGCTGCTGAGTGCAGGAAGCTGCCTTGGTCAGACCTTTGGTCCCTCTGGCTGGCCGCCTGGTGGCTCTCCAGGTTGCTAGCCGCCCTGCCTGGGACGCCACTGGGCCTGGACCTTTTGCACGGCAAGCAGACGCTTCCCGCCGAGCCACGTTGAGTAAGAAAAGCCCCTGCAGGACTTGGTGGTGCTTGTTCTGAGAAGGTTTCAGCATTTCAGAGTTCACGAGACGGCAGGGCGAACCTCGCCTGCCCTTGTCTGGGTAGGGCACTGCCTCGGCACTCTGGTCCCCAGAGACGTGTTTGTTCTGCTCCGTGTGCCTTGGCTGGGATCCTGCAATAAAGAATGAGTCACGAGTGTTTGGCCAGCAGCACCAATAAGGGGAGCCTTCCTAGGAAGAGGAATTTGGAGAGCTCTGGCTTCATGGGCAGGTGCTGAGCAGTCACAGGTTGCGGAGAGAGAGACAGAGGGCGTGCAAACCTCAGGGCGTGCAAAGGTGCCGTCTCCGCAGAGAAGCAGCAGGAAGAGCCAGGAGGGCCTGGGGGAGCCATCCATGTTTGCTTACCGGAAGAGGAAAAGGGGAGGAGGGTGGGATCTGGGCTGTTTCAAGGTGGGTTTTCCACACCCATCTGCTGGGAGAGGTTGGGGGCCTTCTCCTTGGCTCCCCTGACTGTTCCCCGTGGGATGAACATTTCTGTAGCTTATTGTTTATTCACTTTATTACCTGCTCTTTAAAAGAGGATTAGACAGGCAGCCTTAAAGGAGGATTAGAGGAGTACAAGGGGGTAAAGGCTATGGATGGCTGTGCTCTTCCTCCACAGAGGGAGGCAGCAGTGCTTCGCCTGAGTCCTCCTGGCTAGAAACCTTGGCAGGGGAGGGGGGCTCTTGCTCTCAGGGCCTCTTTCCCATTGGGGCATCCAGCTGGATGGGCCGCCGCCTGGTCCAGCAGGCTCTTGTGTTCTTCTTTTCTTCTTCTTCTTTTTTCTTTTTCTTTTTATTTATACAACAAGAAAAAAACACACACACAAAACACAAATACCAAATGACACACAAATTACAAAAATAACCATAGACACATAATTTTCTTGGCAAACAATAAAACATCTATTGGTCTTAACACTAAAGACCCAACTTCCTGTCTATTCCATATTTCAAATTCATATTACGTATTGCCAATACACATTTTTTCCCATAACTAAACTTATTCTCAATAAATCTAATTTCTTCTATCTACCTAGCAACTATCACTGAAGTTCCTCGAATGCTGCAACAGAATTTAAACTACTATATTTATTTTTCAGATATTCTTTGAAAACCTCCCATTTAGAAACAAATTCCTGTTTTGATTTATTCTTTATTTTTTCTGATAAACCATCTAATTTGGCATATTCTGTCAGCTTCTGGGTCCAATCTTGTATAGAGGGGATTTCATTACTCTTCCATTTTGCTGCGATCAAAACTCTTGCTGCCGCCGTCACATATAAAAAGATACCCTTCCTCTTTTGTGGAATATCCAAATCTGTTATTCCCAGGAGGTAGGCCTCTGGTTTTTATTGAAAGAGATCTTTAGCATTTTTGCAGTTCTGCATGTATACTCTCCCAGAATACCTGTATTTTCCTACATATTCACCACATATGGTAGAATGTTCCTGAGTCTCCGCATCTCCAACAATTACTTGACACATTTTTATACATTTTTGAAAGTTTCCATGGTGTTAGATACCATCGATGTCGCATTTTTTGAAAGTTCTCTCTAATTGTGTAACAGTTTGTGAATTTCCAATTGATCTTCCATAAATTTTCCCATTGGGCCATGGTTATTGGATGGCCAAAATCCTGGGACCACCTCACCATTGCCACTGTTACCTCCTCCTCCTTGACTGTCCAGTCAAGGAGGAGTCAGTAAGTTTTGGAAAGAGTTTTTCTTTTAGAGTTTACAAGATCAGATTCGAATCGGGAAATTTCTGCTGAGAACCCCTTTTGTTTGTCAGATTTAAATTTTTCAAATAACTGATGGTATTGGAACCAGTCTGAAATGTGTTCTCTTACCTCCTCAAAGTTTTTAAATTTTATTTGGTTATCCTCATTTTTTAGAAGTATTGTTGGCCAGCTTTCCTGAGTATTTTTCCGTTTTACTGCTATGGCTTCTACTGGAGAAGTCCACCACGGGACTTTAGGATCCATCAGGTCTTTATATTTTTCCCATACAGCAAAGAGTGACTTTCTTATTATATGGTTGGTAAAAATTTTATGAATTTTCGCTTTTCCATATATTAGGTAGGCGTGCCATCCCCAACGGTTGTCAAAACCTTCCAGGTTCAGGAGGTCCGGATCCTGCAACGTGCACCAATCTTTTAGCCAGGTGAAACAGGCAGCCTCGTAGTAAAGTTTTAGATCGGGTAGGGAAAAGCCTCCTCTCTCTTTTATGTCTATTAAGATCAAGTGTTTAATCCTAGGTTTCTTCCCTTCCCACAGGAATTTGGAAATTTCTCTTTGCCATATCTTGAGACAACCTGCTTCACCCAGTATCGGAATCATTTGAAATAAAAAGATTAATTTTGGAAGCACATTCATCTTTATAATGGAAATCCTACCCAGAAATGTTAATTTTAGTTTACTCCAGATTACCAAGTTTTTTCTAATCTCTAACCAAGTTTTGGTGTAATTATCCTGAAATAAGTTTATGTTCTTGGGGGTGATCCAAATACCCAAGTATTTCGCTTTGAAGAGATTTTCAGGCCCAATATTTTTTCTAAGTCGTCCTTTTCTTCTGTGGTTACATTTTTAACAAGCATTTTTGTTTTTGTTATATTCAGTTTAAAGCCTGCCACATCTCCAAATTCTTTAATCAATTCCAACACTCTTTTCAGACTTTCTTTAGGGTTTTCAGTCATAACAAGTAAATCGTCCGCAAAAGCTTTAATTTTATATGTTTTGTTTCCCAGAGTGATGCCTTTAACAAGCTCATCCTTTCTTATCTGATTGTTCAAGACTTCCATCACTAAGATAAATATCCGTGGTTTATTTTGCACTCCTCAGTAATTCTTCCGTTGATGATCAGTTTTGCATATTGTTCCGAATAGATGGCATTTATTCCTTTACAAATATTTTCTCCCAGTCCGATTTCTTCCATTAATTTTTTCATAAACTTCCAGGACACGTTATCAAAAGCTTTTTCAGCGTCCACCAACATAATAGCTGCTGGTTTATCAATTTTAATATCCAAATATTCTAATACATTAATCACACATCTAATATTGGATTGCATAAATCGTCCGGGAAGAAATCCTGTTTGATCTTTATGAATTACCTCGTTCAGCACCATTTTTAATCTATTTGCAAGAATGTCTGCGAATATCTTGTAATCGTTATTTAGCAGTGCAATGGGTCTGTAATTGGCCATGTTTGAGGCATCTGTTCCCTGTTTATGGATAAGAGTAATAAAGCTGTCCTTCCAGGTTTTCGGAAACTTTCCATTTGCCAGAATATTATTCATTAGGTCTTTCATGGGAAGAAATAATGCTTGTTCTAACTTTTTATAGTAATTAGCTGGAAGACCATCTGGGCCCGGTGTCTTTCCTAATTTTGATCTCTGTATAGCTTGTTGCACCTCCATAGCTGTTATTGGTGAGTTCAAGATTTCAGTTTTTTCCTTAGGTATTATTGGTAGTTTATTTTTTCCGAAATAATCAATTATTTTTTCTAGAGTCTCTGGACCTTCTTTATATAGTTTTCCGAAAAAACTAGCAAAGTTTTTACTAATTTCCTTCATTTCTTGAATCCATTTGTCTTCAATTTTAATTTTATTGATAATTCTATCTGCCTTTTTCTTCTTTAATTGCAAGGCCAGAAGTTTGCCAGGTTTATTTGCAAACTCAAAATTTCTATGTCTCAACCATTTTATCTTCCATTCTAGCTCTTCATTTATTATCATGGAGAATTGTGTCTGTAAAATTTTTATACTTTGCTTAATTAGTTCATCATCTGGTTTTTGGAAAAGGATCCTTTCCTTTTTTCTAATTTCCTCCCAGATCTCCATTTTCTTCTTCTCCTTTGTTTTCCTTTGGAATGCGTTTTGTTGTATAAAGAAACCTCTTATGACGGCTTTACCCGCATCCCAAACCGTCTCTAGATCTACTCCTTGATTTAAATTAAACTTAAAATATTCTTCTAAGATTTGTTTGGCCTTCTGTACAATTTTTTCATCGTTTAGCATACTCTCATTAAGTTGCCACCTTTTAACCTTTTCTTTTTTCTCTTTAAAGTTAACCCAGACCGCACTGTGATCTGAAATTGTCCTTGGATGGATTCCTGCTTTTGTAATATTATTTAATAAATCCTTTGTTGTCCAGATCGCGTTGATTCATCCCGCAGATTTATGTGGCTCTGAATAATGTGTAAATTCTTTCTCTGTTGGATTCTTAAACCTCCAAGCGTCGAACAAATTCAGGAGTTCTATTAATTGGAAAAAAGTAGTTGGGAGTTTGTTCTGCCTCTTTTCTTTCTTCTTTATTGTTCTGTCCATGTTTGGATTGACTACTCCATTAAAATCTCCTAATAATACAATTTCCCCCCCTAAATATTCTATGACTTTTTCTTCCAGGAATTGATAGAATTCGGATTTTCTTTCATTTGGTGCATAAATTTGGCTCTTGTGTTCTTCTAAGGTCCCAGGGTGGGTTGCAAGAATTTAAAACACAAGATTAAAAACAGGTTAAAACAAATTACAATCGCAAGAATAGGCCGGGTTCTAAAAATACGCATCTCGAGTGTTAAAGGCCAGGGTGCAGAGGCGCATCTTCAGCACACTGTGCAATGAAGGTGCCAGATATCTGCACCTCTGCGGGAAGGGAGCAAGGGAAGCTGGCCACCCAGCTCAGTATTACCTGCACGGACTGGTAGCCATGACGCCATCACTAGTGCTTCAGGAAGGACTCTCTCTCCCAGCCCTCCCTGGAGATGCCTCTGGGGGCAGAACCTGGTGCCTTCTGCATGCAGGACAGGCCCTCTCCCCCTGGGCCACGCCCCTCCCTAAGGGGGCTGGCACAGAGAATGCCTTTTTCCAGCCCCCCCCCAACATCCAAGGGCAGTGGAGTTACCAAGAAGGCCCCCCTCCCCTGATCTCACTCCTCCCCAAGAGGGTCAGGAGGGCTGGAGGTGGCCTCTCAGATATTTAAGGCCTAAGTCTTTCACCGCTTCAAACGCCATGCAAACCCCTTGAATGGGGCCTGGAAATGACCTGGCAGTCAGGCAATTTGAAGTGTGGCCTTTTTTGGCCTCCTGGTCCCACCCAACCCCCAGTAGAGCCCCTTCTCCCCACGGCTGCTCCTGGGGAAGGAGGTCCTCGGGGGCCACAGGAAGGGGAGTAGGAGCAGCTGCTGCATTTCATCACCACCCTGCCTGCTCCACAGGCTTTCCCGTTCCCTTAATTCCCAGGGGCCTTGTGTGGGAATCGGCAGCAAATCAATAATTGGCCCTAGTCTGCCAGTGGCATCCCCCAGCTGCCTCCCAGCTGCCTGCCTGCCTCTGCTCCTCCAGGAGCCCACAATGGCTCCGGGAGCCCCTTGGAGCAGCAGGATCCGGGCCTCGTTGTCGTTCCTTGCAACAAGTAGCCAGAGAAGCACGAGCCTTCCTGGGGCATGAGGCTGGGGGTGGCACGACCATGCCACCCCCCTCTGTGTTGGGAGAGGCCTGTGTCTGGAGCTGAACAAACAAGCCATTAAGCGCCTCCTGGGGCTCAGCGTCAGGCATCAACAGGGCAGGCGGCGTGCTCAGCGCCTGGGCTCAGAGCTGGGACGCTGTGCCAACCTGCCAGGAGCCACGAGGGACGCCTGATCAGCGCTCTCTGTTCATTGTCAGGGCCCCCCCAGGACGGGTTTGGGCGAGGGCTTTTTCCCTTCCAATTAATTAGTTCTCGCAGACTGGCTCTGAGCAGCAGCTGGGACTGCTCTTTTGTACAGGGTTGCAGGTACTGAGTCCCTGTCAGGGAAAAGGGTGACCTGTTGTTGGGGGGCAACTGGTCCTCCTCCTCTGCCCTGACAGTCTCCTGGGCCCCCAGGAGGACTTCCCTGGCCCCAGTGCTCTGTGGGAGAGGCGTCCTCTTTCAACTTTTGCTGGGAGGGGGGGGTGTGGTGGAGAGGGAGGGCTGGCTCTGCCATTGGGGACCTTTGGCATGTGGAGCAGGTGTGGAAGAGGCCCAAGGGAAAGATGTCAGGAAGCATCCTGGCTTTGCAGGGGGTCAGAGCAAGTTGCTTAGCCCTCGACAAAAGCATTGCTGAGCAGGAGGAAAAGAGAGCTGCTGCCTAAGTGCCCTTGAATATGTGCAAAGTGAAGAGGCTGCTGAAAAGTGGCCAGTTCCTCCCTCCTGGACAGATCCTGCCTCTCTCTCTGTGTGTGTTTGTGTTGCAGCAGCAAATCTGCTCTGCTGCTCTCCTCAGTTCCCCTCCCAAACTGCCAGGCACCCAGTGCAAATCTGCCCTTATACAGTCATTTCCTATTCTTAGAAGCTTTTCCCTGGGATTGTGCTGGGGGAGTCATCCAGAGGAAATCCTGTTTCCTCCGTTAAAAAATGGAGGGCTGCAAGCGGCACTTCTCTCACTTCCTATCTGGTGTCCCCGAGGGGACCCTGGATGGAGGGGGCAGGCCCTGCCCGTCCTCCCCACCTTACCTCCTTTGCAGCAGCCTCCTCAGAGCAGCCAGGTAGCAGACTTGCTTTTTGACTTTGGGCAGAGGAGCAGAGCCTTCTCAACCGTGGGGAGGCCCCGTCTGCAGGGCATTCTTGCCCCATTGCTGCGGCTCAGGACCAGGGCCTGGATCAGCCCAATGCATCAGGTGGGGCAGGGGGGGTGCAGGAGGGGACCCCAGAGTCTTTCCGCTCTCCTGAGCCTCTTGAGGGAGGAGGCATTTCCAGCAGCTGAGGATTCCAGCAACCGCAGGCTCTGGACACTGAACTTTCCCCGTGAAAACATATTTTCTCCTTAAAAGGAAAATGACGGTCTGGCTGCTGGGAGGAGGAGAGGCTTTGGCTGAGCAGAATCCAGCTCTTTCTCCTCAGTGCCACATCTGGCAGGAGAGGGAGAAGCTCCGCAGGCGACTGGGCTGAGCTGGGGGTCTGCGTGGCTGCTGCGCTCTGGGTGCTGGGGGTGGCGAGGGGGATCAAGGCACAACAACAAACAACAAAGCAGGGTCCGGTGCAAGGGGCACCAATGTGACATTTTGTTCTGCATGGGCTCTGGACCCCACCACCCGCCTGTCCCCGGTCTCCCTCACCCTGAATGCCTTTTAGCACCAGATGCTGTGCACCTCTGTTGTATATGGAAGCGGGGCTGACTTTGATCCGGATGTGTATGCCTACCCACAGGCCTCAGGGAACTGGGCAGCTGAGAGCCAGCAAACCCCTTTGACTGGCCTGTTTGGGGCGCTTCTCCTCCCAAAGCTCCCTGTGGAGAGACACTCTGTCTCCACTCACTGCCTGTGCCTGGGAGGGAGGCCCAGGGTGACTGAGGGGCTCCTGCTCACCCTCCTGGGGGCTGCCGGGCTGCTTTTGGCCACGTGGGAGGCTGTCCCGCCCCACCTAAGGGTGCCACCCCTCCCTTCCCTTGTGGCCTCCATTTCTCAAGCAGCTGTGGGGTTAGGATACAAAGGGCTTATCCTGGCAAAGCAGTGGGGGGACGGACAACCAGTTGACCGATTGATCTCTCAGGTGTGAGCGTGGCAGTCCTGCGTTGGGACAGACAGACAGATGAGGATCCCAAGGCCCTTCTGAATCCTGCCCTTTGTGGCCTGCAACATGAGATGCCTGGCTGGTGGTGCAGCTGGCAGAGCCCTGCCCCCTTGCCCAGCCCAGGGAGAGATTCCACCTGGCCCCTTCCAGGCCTGCTGGGAAACAGGTGCTTATCAACTGTGAGTAGAGCAAGTCTGGCCAGGAAGGCCGGGATCCGACCACGGCCAAGGGGAGCCATGCAGCTGTCCGTCACCGTCCCCCCCCCCGGGCAAAGAAGAGACTGCTGAAGAAGACCCCCTCAGTTGCCTTTGCTGCCCTTGCCCCCCCCCCACTGTTTCCCAGAGGCTTGGCCATGTGGAGATCCAGAGGAGGTTGGGCAGAGTGACGGTGCAGGAGAAGAGCCAGCACAGCCCCCCACCTGGAAGCCCCCATGCAAATCCCTGTTGGCAGGGTGGGCCCCAGGTCTCCCCCAGCCTCTCGTGCTTTGTGAGTGTGTGATGCTCACAGGGTGTTGTTGCCCAGAGGGCCAAGATGTAGGAAAGTGTGTGCAGGACATTGTGGACTTTGGGGAAAGAAGGCGGCAAAGGGTCAGTCGTTGCCTCACAGCAGTCTTCGAAATGCGCCAGGCACCTTTTGCTCCTGCTGCGGGTCAGTTTGCGACTATGTGGAGTCTTCTGGGTGCCCAGAATTCAAGGTGCCATTAGCCCCTGGCTTATATATTTGCGTTTCTCACACTGCCCCGTGGATGTGGCCGACTGCTCCTCCCTCCTGGGCTACCTTGGCTGGGCATCTCCCCATTGCCGTCCTCCTCTGGGAGCCAAGCTGGGGCCGCCATCCTCCCTCCCTCCCTCCCCCCTCCTTGTGGCTTTTTATGAGGAGTGCTGGGCTCGGGCCCAACTTTCCCAGCCACTTGGATTCCTTTTCTCTCCCTCTTGCCTGCTGAGAGGGAACTATTCATCCAAGGCAGCCGGCAGAGGCTTTTGCTGCAGCTTGTGATTTAGGGTGTGCCCACTCGCCTGCCCGCCTGCCTCTGCTGCCCATTGCTCACCGTGGAGCCAGGAGGGGGGCTCCTGCGGCGCTGGCTACTGCTGCTGGCGATGAGGGAAGGCCTTCTGGAGGGCCCAGGGCGATGCTGCCGGGAGGAGAGAGGCGGCAGAGAGTAGAGGCAATATCCTTTGGATCCCTGCTTTGAGAAGCGAGGCCCGTGACTCTGGCGAGGGGCAGCCATGAAGTTCAGGGCTGTGGTAAGGCTCTTCTGCGGTGGGGAGAGGGCGAGGAGGGGCAGGAAATCCCTCCGTGGGTCTCCTGGGGGTTGATCCTGGCCTCCAGCTGATGCCCCTCCCTGTGGCCCTGTCCTGCAGGGGCAGACCTGGACTTGGGAGGAGGTGGGGGGGTGTCAATGTGGCCACAAAGCTCAGGAGGTTTTCTCTGTGGGGCTCCTGGATCTGGTGTGGGGAGGGAGCCTATTTCTTGGCTGGATCAGGACATGGGGAGGGGAGCCCACAAGCAGTGAGGCTCTGGAGTTGTCGTCCCCCCAGTCCTGCAGTGACCCAGGGAAGCTAGGCCTGATGTGCCTCAAGGGCCCCTCCTGGGTGGACTGGCGTGGAGGGGGAGCCTTCATCATCCTCAGGTGACCCCCCTCTCTATCCTGGGCCATGGACTCTGCCTCAGGCAATGTTCCTCCTCCAGATTCCCTTATCATAGGAGCCTTGTCAGGGCTGGCTGGCCCCTGAGTCTCCCCAGACACAGCCTACCTCGGAGGAAGCTAGCCCTGCCCTTACAAACAGGGCTGAGCCATTTGTTCCGGGTTGCCCCGTCTCCTTGCTCTGTGTGTGTTGCAAGTGGAGGGGGGGAATTGTGAATCCATTAAACAGTCGAAAAAGCCTTCCGAAGGGTGTTGAAGGAGGACCCTCTGGTGGCACTGGGGCCTTTGGGGGGCTGAGCCAGGCAGGGGAGCAGCTGAGCGACACCCACAGCCCCGCTCCCAAGTCCCAGCCCGAGGGGCAGGGCAGCAAGACAAGGGAAGTTGGGAGCAGAAGCGCTCGCCAGTCAATGGGGAAGCTGGCCTGGAGAAACCTTGCTGCTGCCTTTCCTCTTGTTGCTCCAGGCCTGGGCTTGCGCACCAGGAGGAAGTCGACTCGTGAGACATGCTCAGTCTTGCAGTCGGAAGGGGAGCTTTGCCTAGTGGGCGGCCAGAGCAACAAGCAGGGAGGGAGGGAGCAGGGTGGCCCAAGCACCTTGGAAGGGCTCCCTGGCTGCCCACCTGTCCTCTTGACCCCTGGCCTGGATGCTAGGCTGCCCCAGCCAGGCAAGAGTGACGTGGGGCCTCTTTGCCAGCCAGGGCGGGGACCCCCTGGGGCAATGGTGCCATTGCCACGCCCCGTGAAACTCCTGGCAGCTGAGGAGGGGGTGCCTGCATCTGTCTGGGTGAGGGAGGGGCCCTGTAGAGATTTCCAAAGGCCAGCGAATGGTTTGACTGGAGCAGTGGAGCTGGCCAGCTTATCCTCTGAAGGGGGTTGGGGTCTTCTGGAGTATGGGGAGAGGCTCAGCCTCCTCCATCTCTGTTGTCAATTCTGCCTCTGGAGGAAATTGCCTCTGGGGCTGGTGGAAAGCAGGACCCCTTTCTATGGGGTGTGGAAGGGGGTCGCTGTTGGGGAGCAGGCAAGCTCTCCTCTGCCCGGCATCACTGCTTGTGGTCCAGCAGAGGCAGGGAGGGAAATTCCTGAGGCTGCAGCAGCCTGAACTTCTTCTCTGTATGCCCAAGTTCCTTCTACTTTGGAAAGGGAAACCCGGGTTGTGTGTGTCCAAAAGACCCTCCTTCCTTCCTTCCTTCCTTCCCTCCCCATATCTCTCCACCCCACCCCAACAAAACAATGTGCCTTTGGGTGCCCTTTGGCAGCTCTGCCTCCGATGATGGGAATGTTTATAATTCTTGTTTGAATAAATACTGCAGAATTTACACTTGTATGCTTCAGAAAGACGCCTAACAGTACTATTTTTAAACGTTACGTTTATTTGCTTTTACCCAATCCAAGATGCAAGAAAGGCATGTAAGATCCTGGCACAAAATGTGTGTCTGTGTGTGTGTGTGTGTGTGTGTGAGAGAGAGAGAGAGAGAGAGAGAGAGAGAGAGAGAGGTAAACAGTGAACACGTCTGCATGTTTAGCACCAGAATTGCACCAGAATTTGACTGCCTGCATCACCAGGCAGTCAAAAAACCACCCCACCTGCGTTCCGCTTCCCCTATCTAGCACTTCCCTCCGGTGGACAGAGGCTCAGGACCCTCAGGACCACGGGCAGGTTCAGTTCCGTCTGCAGAGAAGCTGCAGGTGGGCCAGCCATGCCAGCCACGTGTCCTGGAGGTAGGGGAGGCTGCCCACTCCCAGCCAGCCCTGGGGCCTTTGCCTCCACCTCCTCCTCCCAGGGAAGGCAGCCAGCCAGTGCAGAGCATTGCTGGCTGGTCCCAGACAGGCCCATCAGCTGATCTGGCTGGCCAAGGGGGCTGCCTGCCAGGGATGAGCCTTCAGGATTTGTGTGGGGGTGAGGGTCCCGTGAGGGTCCTGCTTCTCCCCTTCTCCCCCTCCTTCCACCCTCCCATGGGGTGGGCATCACTGTGGCCTTGTCTCCCTTGGTTTGTGGTGAGTCCCCTCCCACCTCACACACTGCCCTCTCCTCCAGTGTCCAAAATTCGCCAGGGGCGTTTTGCTACTGACGCAGGTCCAATTGCGATTGTGTGGAGATTTCTGGGCGCCAGGTTGGCAGCGAAGTTTAAAAACCTCTGCCTTAATCCATAGTTTCCCCTGTGTGTGTTTCTCCTCCTTGCATGCTGGGATTAGTGAAGTGTTGTAAGATCAAGTACAATCAGGCAGGGCAGTTGAGATCAGAGGATCGTAGAATTGTAGCGCTGGGAGGGACCCTGGGGGTCATCTAGTCCAACCCCCTGGCGAGCAGACGTTCCGTTGTGGTGACCGTGACCCAGATTCAAGGTGCCATTTGGCACTCCTCCCCCACAGAGCCACCACTTTGTCCCCCAACTGTACCTGTGGCACCTGGGGAGACCGGGTCGGGTCAGTGTCCTTCCCTCAGAGGTCTCTGTGTCCAGCTTGGATGTGACCTCTTGCTTTCCCCTCCTTGGCCAGCCAGTGTTTGGAGGAAGACCTCTGGGCTCCCTCTGCTGCTGGTGCTGAGGGGGCCAGTGGGGTGGGGCTGGCTAGTGCCAGGAGCCCCTGCAGGCATGGGGAGGAGAGAAAGAGATGCTCAGCTGTCTCTGAGGCATCCGCCTTTCTCTCCCCACTCTGCCCCCCAAACTCCAGGTCTTCCCCCCCATGGAAGAGCCCCTCCCAGTAGCCAACCCCCAAAGGCTCCCTGCGGGGCCTGAGCAGGGAGAGTGGCAGGGAGAGGTGAAGAGGGTGCTTGAGGAGCGCAGGTGCGCCTCCTTTCTCCCTCTCTCCTCCTGGGGATTTGCTAGGGGAGGAAATGTTCCTGTTGGCATGGAAAGTTTCCTCCATTGGGGGGGGGCTCTGCGCAGTGCTGGGGAGAGGCCGGCAGGCTCACTCCGCTCCACTCCCAGCAAGCGAAGGACGTGGGGACGCTGTGTTCCCTCTCGCGCCAGCCATGAACGTTGAGGGCTTGTTGGCCCAGATCCAGCAGAAGAGGTCTCTCATCCCCATGGGCTTCCACCTGGCCAACCATGTGGTGAGCCCCCATGGCGTGCGCAGGGTGTTGCTGGCCGAGGGCAGGACCTGGAGGCCTGGACGGGATGCCAGTGGAGCGTGTGTGTGTTGGGGTTGGGGAAAGCCGCTCTCTTCTGCCTCACAGCCTTCCTGGGAAGGATCCTGATTTGCATTGCCATTTGTGGCTTCTGAGACCTGGACTCCTTTACTCTAGGAGATGTTAAAACTTTGGTAGTGAACCAGCTGAGGGGCGTTGGCTGGGCTGGAGTGGGGCGTGTGGACTTCTGCCGGTGGGTCGGGGACTTCTGTCCCCTCCTTGTTGTGGACATGCCTCTCCCTGAGCCCTGCCAGCCCTCGCTCTGGTGTCCGTCCTTTGGCCCTTCCTTGACAGCCAGCCCAGGCACAGCAAGGCTTCCCTCCCTGTTCATCTCTGGCCGCCTGGCTCAACCTCCCCTCTTGTTGCTCCTTGCAGCCTGTCGGCAGTGACGGGATCCGGCTCGCAGCCATGGAGAGCGCCCTGACAGCTCGCGACCGCGTGGGAGTCCAGGACTTTGTCCTGCTGGAGAACTTCACCAGCGAAGCGGCTTTCATCGAGAATCTGCGCAAGCGGTTCAAGGAGAACCTCATCTACGTGAGTGGAGCGGGTGGGGCAGCCCCCTTCATCCAGCAGCTACCTCTTTCCCTGTGGGGCTCTGCCCAACGGGAGCCGTGGCCCCGCAGAGCCCCAGTGCTGGGCGGTCCCACTGCAGATTCTGGAGCAGAGGGTCCAGGAGGGCAGGCTGGGGTGGGGCCTGAGGTGCAGCTGCTCTCAGCCCCGCAGGCAAACATTGAGGGAGGCAGACCATTCTGCCCCCACCCCCAGTTTCTCATGCCATCCAGTAATAACCCCCTGAGAAAGCCTCCCCTCCTAAGCTGAAAGCAAAGTTGTTTGAGGGATGCAGGAAACATATCTTGGAGGAAGATTTCAAGGCAAAGAAGAAGAGTGTCACTATGAGGGATCTCCAGGTGTCCCAGAGGCTGCTCTCTCCCCCTCCCTCTTCCTCCTGACCTCCCCTCCCTCCCTTGCTCTGCAGACGTACATTGGCTCTGTCCTGGTCTCCGTCAATCCCTACAAGGACCTGGAGATCTACACCAAGCAGCACATGGAGCGCTACCGGGGCGTCAGCTTCTACGAGGTCTCTCCTCACCTGTGGGTAACGCCAGGGGTCAAGCCAGCCCCCCTCCCCCCCTTGCTTCTCCTGGGCCTCTGGAGCCGCAGGCCGCCAGCCACACCCAAAGCATAGGAAAATCTGTGTGTGTGTGCACGAGAGGGCAAGGGTGGGATTTTTCCTGCTCCCTCTGCCCAACATTTCCCACGTTGCTAAGAGACCAGGAACCCGCCAGAGTATCTTTGTTTGCATAGCTGGGTGAACACTCCTCATTTAGAGAACGGAGCGCTGATTCTGAGCACAATTTTGGAGGGTTCGTAAGACAAAAGAGCCCTGCGTGCGCGAAACACCCGGCCGCCCTGCTTGCAGGGCGTGTGTGTACAAAATCTAGGGAGTGCCTTTGCTTTGGGAGATGGGAGGGAGGAAGAGAGGGGAGGAGGGGATATCCCAGGTCACATTCTGCCCCCCTACCCATGTTCCCTGGGATTTGGCCCAGCCAAAATGCTGAGTGGGTGGAGCTCTGTCTTTTAGAGGGACAAGCTGCCTCCCAACTTCCCACTTGTTGCATGTGCAAGGCTCTTGATCACAAGCTTCAGCCTCCTTGAGATGAGGGAAAGCAAAGAAGGGAGGGAGTGGGAAAGAATACTCAATTCGGGATTTATTCTCTCCCAAACCCTATCACATTTTATTTATTTATTAAAGTAGTTTGCTCTCCGTATACCACCCAAAACCATGTTGGGATTTCAGGGCAGCATACAGCGAAAAGGTACAAATTCTCAATTATGACCCAGCAGACAAAATCCTTGAAATGTCGATGAGGATTTGTAGCAGCGGAAAGTGCCTCCCTGAGTATCAAAACATTTGCCCTGTGGGCCCTGGGCAAGGCTCCTTGGGGGCATCCTTCCCCAGCTGGGGCGCCACAGCCAAACAGCCCCTCGCGGCTGCATCACGGGAATCAGATGCTGCCACAGCCTTTCCCTGGCCAGAAGGGATCCGACCCTGTAGTTGTCGATATCAGTCTCAGTCCCTGTTTTAACCAGCTTTTACACTCGTTTTACATTTTGTTTTAATGGCAATATGTAATAATAATAATAATAATAAATTTTATTTATATCCCGCCCTCCCCAGCCAAAGCCGGGCTCAGGGCGGCTAACAACAATAAAATAGTGCAGCATTCTGGGTTTATGGTAGACATTTTGGAAATAAAGGAGGAAGGTGCCTGGAGAAAGGGCCTCAGCAGAAGCTCTTTAAGGCACAGGCAGGTGAAGAGAGAAGAAGTAGAAGCAAAACTCTGGCACAGACTCCCCCCTGGCAGGCCTCCTCCCCCCACCCCCTGCAGGCCCCGGGAGCGCTGGATGGTGGCGCTGGCCGGGTGGTGACGACCGTGGCCCTTTGCTTCTCTCCTCCTCCTCCTCAGCTACGCCATTGCAGACAATGCCTACCGCTCTCTGCGCACGGAGAGGAAGGACCAGTGCATCCTCATCTCGGGGGAAAGCGGGGCTGGCAAGACGGAAGCCACCAAGAAGGTGCTGCAGTATTACGCCGTCACCTGCCCAGCCAGCGAGCAGGTGGAGACCATCAAGGACCGGCTCCTGCAGTCCAACCCAGTCCTGGAGGTAAGAGCACGAGGCCCAGTTCAGAAGGCGCTGGGGCTGCGGCTGCTCCTTCTCCTCTGTGGCTTTTGGGCCTGGAAGAGAGCTGGACACAGCACAGCCGCTCCTACCTGGTGGACTTGCCCCATCTTGGTGGCCTGGTTTGCTCTGCTGGGTGCCAACAACCAGGGGAGCCTATATGCCAGCCCCTGGCCCAGGATGCCTGTGTGGAGGCAGGAGAGGCCCTGCAGTGGTCAGCACTTGAGTCCAAGTCGAGGCCAGCTGGGGGCCAGGCTAGAAAGTCAATCCAGGCAAGGCCTGCAGTCCGAGGGGCTGTGCCTGAGCCAGAGTCCCTTCCCCACGGCTGGAGATCAGTTGTCCTCTTCTTACTCTACAGGCGTTTGGAAATGCCAAGACCCTTCGCAACGACAACTCCAGCCGGTTTGGGAAATACATGGATGTCCAGTTCGATTATAAGGTGAGTCCGTAGGAGGGCAAACCGAGTTAGCCTCCTGGTCCGTCCTGCTCTCCCCGCCTTGCCTGGTCATGTCGGGGGCTGAAACTGGACCCTTCTGCATTGCAATGCGCACACTGGGCCACTGAAAACCCCCATCTTCTGAGCTGTGGAGGAGTAGAGGGAGCCCCTCTCTCTGTCCTCATGTGGAGCCAGGTTTCCCCCAGCCCCCAAAGCTTTTCATCATGTCCCCTGTGGAAAATCCACGTGAGCTTCTCTGAGCCACGTCCTTCTGAGCATCTCTCTTTGGAGAGGAGAGACCGGCCTGTCCCGGAAAGGGTGGGCTCCAGTTACTGAGATGAGGAGGAGGACAGCGCTCCAGCAGCAGGGAGCTCCAAGGCGGCTCTGCATGCAGGGCTGACCCCTGGTGGACGGTCTGCAGGCGCTTGGTGGGGAAACCCTGAGAGCTCTGGCAGCAGCCTTCTTGCTTGGCTCCGGGCTCCGTCTGCCCCTCTGCAAAGGGGTCCTGAGCAGCTGGCTCCCTCTCTGCCCTCACCAGCCACACCTGCTGCCTTCTTTGCCTTAGGGGGCTCCCATTGGGGGCCACATCCTGAACTACCTCCTTGAGAAGTCACGGGTGGTGCACCAGAACCACGGCGAGAGGAACTTCCACATCTTCTACCAGCTGCTGGAAGGGGGCGAGGAGGACCTGCTGCGGAGGCTGGGCCTGGAGAAGAGCCCCCACCAGTACCAGTACCTGGTGAAGGTAAAGCGCTGCACCCCACCCCCACCCCCAGCAGAAGCTTTTCTGGGCCTGCAGTGGGGCTGAGCGGACAGCTGCCTGTCCATTTTGGGGGCAGCCACTGCATCCCCCCTCTTCGCTGCTGAGGGTCTCCTCCCCACGTTCCCCATCTCTCTTGCCAGGGTCAGTGTGCAAAAGTCAGCTCCATCAACGACAAGAGCGACTGGAAGGGCGTGCGCAGGGCCCTGTCCGTCATTAACTTCAGCGACAACGAAGTGGAGGTAAGAGGCCCCTTTTGCTCCTGCGGCTGCTGCTGCTGCCTCCCCGTGTTTGGGAGGGAGGGGGCTGGTCCTGCATCCCCTTCTGTGGTGCTCTTCTGCTAGTGACCCTCCCCTCTTCCCTTCCCAGGACCTCCTGAGCATTGTGGCCAGCGTCTTGCACTTGGGCAACGTGCAGTTTGCTGCCGACGAAGAGGGCAGTGCACAAGTGACCACAGAGAACCAGATCAAGTACCTGGCCAGGGTGAGTAGCAGAGCTGGCAGGGAGGGGGCAGTGGGCGCGGGGTGTGGAGAGGAGCGAAAGGCCCCCAGGTACCTTCGGGAATGGGCCTGAGCTGCATCACTTGGAGGCTGTTTTTTAGGGGGGACGTGTGTGCCATAAAGTCTAGAGAAAGGGTTATATTCTAGAAGGGATCAAAGAAAGGAATGAATCTGAGAGATGGCCAAGTAACATTGGGGGAATCAACGTCCAGTGAATACGAAGGCAAGCCACAGTTTTATTCCTGCAGCTCTTGGAGTACTTTGGAGTACTTGAAAAGTGTGAATAAGGCCTTCAGTATATTTTGGGGGTGAGGATTAGTCACAGCTGTTGGACTTCCATTCTCCTCTAAAGTGTGGAGAAATAATGACACCCTTTCTCTGATGCTAAGCAGGGCTGGGGCAGGTTGCACCTTCTCTCTCTCCCGGCTGCACTGCACCCATCACTCCTCCCCCAGTTTGGGTCTCTGCCTTCCTGCTCCTCTCGGGGCTGAGAAGGAGCCTTTTCCTCTGCTGTGGGCAGAGGCTGCTCTGGCTGTGGCTCTTCAGCCGTGGCTCTCCTTTTTCTGCCTTGCAGCTCCTGGGGGTTGAAGGGTCCTTGCTTCGAGAGGCTCTGACCCACAAGAAGATCATCGCCAAGGGGGAAGAGGTAAGAGGGTTGGCCGGCTGACTGCCGCGAGGGGGGGGGAGGCGGCCAGGCCAACCCAGGGGCGTTTCCTGGTGATGGTCACTGTGGCCGTATCCAAGGGAGGTGGTTCGGGTACCTGGTTGCCCCCCCCCAGTCCGCTGGCCGGAGAGAGGCTGATGGCAGCTCCTTCCTTGCAGCTGGTCAGCCCCCTCAACCTGGAGCAGGCGGCTTATGCACGGGACGCCCTCGCCAAGGCCATCTACGGGCGCACCTTCTCCTGGCTCGTGGGCAAGATCAACAAGTCCCTCGCCTACAAGGTCAGCAGGCTGCTCTCCCCATGACGGCCGCTGGGTCCTGGGCGGCACCCTCCATGGAGGAGGCCTTGCTTCGGGAAAGGGGCCCTCAAGGAGCAGGCCTCCTTCTGCAAGGGTGGCTTTGCTGGGACAGAGCAAAGTCCCCGTTTTCCAGGCAGGCAGGGCAGGGGGGCAAGGGGAGGGTGCCGTTCCCAGGGGGGCTCTCACTCCCCTGTGCCTTTTGGCAGGAGACGGAGCGCCTGGGCTGGAGAAGCAGCGCCTCCGTCCTGGGGCTGCTCGACATCTACGGCTTCGAGGTTTTCCAACACAACAGGTGGGTTTTCCTGGCTCCTGCCCAGGGGGAGGAAGAGGAGGGGCTGCCTGTCTTCCAAGGGGCAAGGGGCCGCCTGGCACAGGGCTGGCCTCAGGCTGCTCTCCTCCAGGGTTTGTCTCTGACCTTGTGCTGTGCCACTGAAACTCAGCATCTCCAGTGGCTGTGAGAAGAACCAGCACCAGCAGGGAGGTGGGCCTCCCTCTGCCACCCATGACTGTGGGCCCCCCACTTCAGTGAAAGTGGTTGCTTGGAGGGGGATGGGGGTCAGAGTCTCTGCTGGGGCCAAGAGCTCTTTTCTGCCTTCCCTCCTTTGCAGCTTTGAGCAGTTTTGCATCAATTACTGCAATGAAAAGTTGCAGCAGCTCTTCATCGAGCTCACGCTGAAGTCGGAGCAGGAGGAATACGAGGCTGAGGGAATTGCGGTAAGAGCAGGCAGTGGTGATCGGGGGGGGGGCTCCTCTGCTCTCCCAGTGAGGGAGGGGCTGCCATTTACACCTGAGGAGGCTGACTTACTTAGTCCAGCTCTGCTGAGCCCTTTGCCCTTTGGAGTACTGGCCACGTTTCTGTTGAATGAGAGGTGCCTAAGAACGTGGCAGCCGTCACTTCACCTTTGAAGGGCAAGGAGTTGAGGCCTTAGTGCCTGACTCTTGGCAGTGAGGGGCTTCCCCTTGTGCCCCCTAAGGCCAAAGGGGGAGCCCAGCCTGCTGGTGCCTCCAGCTGCTCCCCCATGCGCCTCTCCTCCCAAGCGGGGCCTATTTCACTCAGACTCTCTCGCTTCCCCTTTGCAGTGGGAACCTGTCCAGTACTTCAACAACAAGATAATCTGTGACTTAGTGGAAGAGAAATTCAAAGGCATCATTTCAGTCTTGGTAAGTCCTCAAGGATGTTTTGAAGAAAAGGGTGTGAGAAGATTGTGGGCAGAGGGCCTTCTCGGTAGTGGCTCCCTCCCTGTGGAACACCCTCCCTTCAAATGTTAAGGAAATAAACAACTATCTGACTTTTAGAAGACATCTGAAGGCAGCTTTACACAGGGAAGTCTTTAACATCTGATGTTTTAGTATGTTTTTATATATGCTGTGAGCCGCCCAGGGTGGCTGGGGAAACCTAGCCAGAGGGTTGCAGTATAAATAAAAGTATTATTTTTATTTATTATTATTTTTATTATTGCTGCTGTTGTTGTTGTTGTTGTTGTTGTTGGGGGGTGGAATAGCATTTCTGTCCCGTCATTCCCCAAAGGTCCCAGGGCTGCAAAAAGGCAAGATTTTAATCGGTGGAAACAATTTACGGTCAAAGGAATAGGGTTCTGAAAACATACATTGTTTGCCTGCAGCTTCACAAGAGAGGCACCTCTGTTGGGAGGGAGCCCCACAACACAGGAAATGCCCTCCTGGGGCCCCCCCCTGCTCTGCTTCCTCCTTTGGGCCCATTAGCCAAGTTGGTCAGCAGGCAGCCTCCTGGGGACACCTGCAAGCCCCCCCCCCGGTCCTATGGAGGCTTCCATCTGCTCTGAAAGGCTCCAGTGATGGTCCTGGGGGGAGGAGGAGGGTGGTGTTGCCTGCTAGACCCCCAAGTCCTTCCATTTCCTCCCTGCAGGATGAGGAGTGCCTGCGGCCTGGAGACGCCACCGACACGACCTTCCTGGTGAAACTGGAGGAGACAATAAAGAACCACCCCCACTTCCTCACGTGAGTCACCTTGGGGGCCGGAGGAGCCCCTCCATCTTCAGCCCAGGACTGGAGGCTCCACTTTGGTTTCAGCAGCTTCTTTGAGAACAGAAGCAGCCAATCTGCTCCTGCTACAGGGACCCAATCCCCTCCAGCTCAACCTTGTCCTCTGGGACCCTGAGCCACTGGTTCTGCCTCCCTCCCTCCCATCTTCTGCCCATTCTGGATTATTGTAACTCGCTCTATGTGGGGCTACCCTTGAGACTGACCCAGAAACTCCAGCGGGTGCAGAATGCCGCAGCGAGACTCCTTACGGGGTCCTTACTGCAAGATTACATTCACCCGGTGCTATACCAGCTGCACTGGCTCCCGGTGGAGTACAGGATCAGGTTTAAGCTGCTGGTTTTAACCTTTAAAGCCCTATACGGCCTAGGACCTCATACCTACGGGACCGCCTCTCATGGTATGTCCCACAGAGGAACTTAAGGTCTTCAGACAAAAACATCTTGAAGGTCCCAGGCCACAGAGAAGTTAGGCTGGCCTCAACTAGAGCCAGGGCTTTTTTGGCTGTGACTCTGATCTGGTGGAACGCTCTGTCACAAGAGACTAGGGCCCTGCAGGACCTGACATCTTTCTGCAGGGCCTGCAAGACAGAGTTGTTCCACCAGACATTTGGTCAGGGCACAGCCTGACTCCATCCTTTGGCAATCTTCACAGAACTCTAGCCCAATGGTTGCCATCAATTTGATTTGAATTAATTTTATAATGAATGATTTTAGAATGTTGTACTATTTTATTGTTGTTAGCCGCCCTGAGCCCGGCTTCACCTGGGGAGGGCAGGATATAAATAAATTATTATTATTATTATTATTTATTTATTTATGGGGTTTCCCTCTCCACAGACACAAGCTGGCAGATGCCAAGACCCGGAAGTCCTTGGGCCGAGAGGAGTTCCGCCTGCAGCACTACGCAGGGGACGTCACCTACAACGTGGCAGGTAGATGGCGGTCGTCTCCAGGCAGCGGTGCTGGGCAGCGGGGGGCGTCTGTGCCTGTGCCCCCCTTCCCATACAGACACTGTTTCAGGAGCAAACCCTCCCTCCAGCTCCTCCTGGCGGGGTCTTTTATGCCACTGGTTTTGTGCTTCCTTCCCCAGGTTTCCTGGACAAGAACAACGACCTCCTCTTCAGGAACCTCAAAGAGGTGAGTCCCGGCTGGAAGTGGGCCTGTGCCCTGGGCAGGAAGGTGCCTGTCCGTGCAAAGGGCTCCTGGGGCTAAGCCAGGCCCACTTTGCCCCAGCGTGACTCCCTCTCGCTGCCTCCACAGGCCATGTGCAACTCAGAGAATCCCATTGTCAACCAGTGCTTTGACCGGGCGGAGCTGACGGACAAGAAGAGGCCAGAGACAGTAAGAGCCCAAAGAGGGTGGGAGGGTGGTGGCCCTGCTGCAAGGCCAGGCGGCCGTGATCCTTCCCTCTGCTCCATTCCTCTCTTCTCCTCCATTGCAGGCAGTGACACAGTTCAAGAACAGCCTCGCAAAGCTCATGGAAATCCTGATGTCCAAGGACCCCTCCTACATCCGCTGCATCAAGCCCAATGACGCCAAGCAGGCGGGTGGGTCTGAGCCTCTGTCCCTGCTTCCTTCCCAGAGGGCGGGGAGGGCTAGTCTGGGGGTCTGGGGGCATTCTGAGCCTTGGCTGGATTCCCCCCTTTCCAGGTTTCTCATCTCTGACGTTTCTCAAAAACTCCCAACTTACAAGCTCTGGCTGCCGCCTAGGCCTCCTCTGATGCTGCTTGGCTTGCACTGCCCTGTTCTTGAAGGGGAGGCACTGTCTGCTGTGGAAGAATAGCTCCATAGACAGCAAGAGGGCAACCCAGGCGCTGGGCAAGGCATTGGCCCGGCTGCCCTTTTTTACGGGTCACTCTCCTTCATTCTGATCATTTTCTAGGCCGTTTTGATGAAGTTTTGATCCGGCATCAGGTGAAGTACTTGGGCTTGATGGAGAACCTGAGAGTGCGTCGGGCTGGCTTTGCTTATCGGCGAAAATACGAAGTCTTCCTCCAGAGGTAGGTGTGCGTGCAAACCCTGTGCAGGAACATTACAGCGCAGGAACGGATTCGGAGGGAGCAGGTGGCTCCTGGGGGCGAAATGAAGAGTGGTCGCTCTGTCTGCAATGTTGCGCCAAGGGAGGGGGGTTGTGGCTGCTTGCTGTGCTGTGGCAGCTCCGGCCCCCTCAGAGGAGAAGGGCAGCAGGATCCTCATACAGCTTCTGGGGGCTTTGGGGCTCTGCCTGGCGTTCCCTTGGTCATGTGACCAGGCTACCATCCCTTCCATGGCCAGGTACAAGTCTCTGTGTCCCGAAACGTGGCCCACCTGGGACGGGAGGCCCCACGACGGCGTGGCTGTGCTTGTGAAACACCTTGGCTACAAGCAGGAGGAGTTCAAGATGGGCAGGTAGGCGGCTGAGTCTTGGGGTGCTGCCCCAGTTGGGGGTAGGGGATAAACGTTCTCTCTCTCTTACGGATAATTTCCTTTCCAGGACAAAAATATTTATTCGTTTCCCCAAGACACTCTTTGCGACAGAAGACAGCCTGGAGATCCGGAAGCAGAGTCTGGGTGAGTTTGCCCATCGGGGAGCCTGGGGGCAGGGAATGCCTGGGGTCCTCCAGGGGTCAAGGAAGGTGGGCGCTGGGCCCCAGCAACCTTTGAGGCCACCTGGGGGGGCATCTCTGTGCTCAATGTGCCTCTTCCCTCCCCGGCTTCAGCCACAAAGCTCCAGGCAGGCTGGAGAGGCTACTACCGGCGGAAGAAGTTTCGGCAGATGAAGCTGTCAGGTAAGAAGCGGCGACGGCTCTTGGCTTCTCCTCTAGGGACAGACCCTCCCTTCCCGTCCATCGCAGGAGCAGTCATGCTCAAGGTGGCCCCAGTTAAGCAGCAGGGCTGGCGCTCCAAGCAGCCCCTGAGGCCAGCAGGGGGGTGGGCAGGGCAAGGACCTCCCTCTCAGGGGCGTTTCTGGGCCCTGTGCTCTGCTTGCTCCAGCAGCCGTTTGCAGGTGGGGCAGGTCGTGGGGGCTGCTTCTGCGCCTTTCCTCAGGGCAGCTCCTGCCAGGGAGGGACAGGGTGGCACACCCACTGCTTTGCCGCCCATGACTGGCCTGTGTTGAAGAGTCCATGCCCAGCCCCGTTGGCTTCTGCATCTGGAACGGCTGGGGAGCGGGGATTCATCTCATTCACCTCAGGAAGCCCAAATGCCTTGGAGCAGACCTACCTTGCGGGTCCAGCAAAGGCCAGCCAGCAACATTTCAGGAGGGAAGGTTGGGAATCGCAAAATGCTCAGAGAGAGAGAGAGAGAGAGAGTGTTGGGTAGCCTCCTGCGTCTCTGGCAAGGACCCCCCCTGGCCATCTCCTGAGGCAGCCTCTTTTCCCACTGAAGAGCCCTTGCTCTTAGGGAGTTTGTCTGCCCTCCCTTTGTGCCAGGCTCCCAGACCGCCCTTTTCCAGGCTCCTTCCACCATTCCTGCCCCCTCACCAACGCTGTCCTGTGCCCCTGACCCCCCGTCTCCCCCTCTTTGCTCCCTCCAGCCATCACTATCCAGTCCTGGTGGCGAGGGACACTGGGGCGGCGCAAGGCAGCCAAGAAGAAGCGGGCCGTGGAGACCGTCCGGCGGTGCGTCTGGGCTCCCTCTTCCCTTCCCTGGGCCGGGGGGGGGTGCACCCTGCCCCTTGCAGGGCTTGTGAGGGGAGGTGGGGGCTGTGGGGGGGGTAAGTGCCACTCTACTCTCCTAAGAGGCCTTTCCCTGGGTCTCCCTGCAGGTTCATCAAGGGGTTTATTTACCGGAATTATGCTCGCTGCCCCGAGAACGAATACTTCCTTGACTACATCCGCTATTCCTTCCTGATGAACTTGAAGCGGAACCTGCCCCGGAACGTTCTGGACAAGTCCTGGCCGGTGCCTCCGCCCTCCCTGAGAGAGGTAGCTCCAGGGGCAGCGCAGTGGGGTGGGGTGGGTGAGAGCCCTGCCTTGCCCAAGGAGCTCCTCCTCCTCCTGCTGCTGCTGTCCCGGGCCTGGATCCAAGCAGGGGTCCCACGTCCTGAAGCTTCGGCCTTTGTCCATCAGCAGTTGCGGGTGACAGCAAAGAGTGTCTAGGCCACCGTCTCCTGGCTGAATGAGATGCTCTGCTTTTGAATGAACGAACCCGGATCATTGTGATAGTGCTTCCCCCTCCTTGCCGTCCGTAGAGATTTTCAAATATTAAGCAGTTTATAAATGTGTTGTTGTTGCTGTTGTTGCTGTTGTTAATGTTCCAAAGGGAGTCAGCAAAACAGACTCTGCAACCCAGTCTGGGAATTGTGGGACATTTGGCAGGGAGAGAAGAGGGAAGATTCTTGACACCTTTGAGCTGGTGCCAGACACCGCCCCTCCCTCCTGTCCCTACCTCAGATGTGATGTACAAGGAGCTGGAGGCCCCACAAGCTGCCCCACAAGTGCCAGGCCCATCTCCTCAAGAGGTGGAGGCCTGCTTTCATTCCCAAAGTGTTATTCAGGCAGGCAAAAGCATGAAGCGTGGAGAAAGCCCCTCTCTGACCTCAAAATAGCTAGCTCAGGAGGAGGAGGAAGAGATGGTCCTCTTGGCAGGGACCTTTTGTCTAAGGAAACCTTTAAGTTTGAAGTTGTGCCATTGCCACCACCTCCTATTCAGGCCGCAAGGCTGCCCTGAACCCCGTGCAAATGTCCAGAGGGGGCCCTCCCAGCTTGGGGCCAGTTAAATCTGTGAGCTGGTGTCTGCGTAGGTCCTGAGAGCTTAAAAGCTGTCCAAATGCTCCTCCTTCCTCGTATGGTGTGCTGAGGAGCAGCCCAGGGGTGATGGGGGGGGCGTGTCTTTGCCCTGCTGCTGCCCCTTGTGGTCTCCCTTTCCATCTGGCAGCTGCGTTTGCTCCTTGTCCTTCAGGCATCTCAGCTGCTGAGAGACCTCTGCATGCAGAACATGGTGTGGAGCTACTGCAAGAGAATCAGCCCCGAGTGGAAGCTGCAGGTGGGTAGCGCTGGGGCTGCCTCCTTCTCTGCCTGTCCCTGGCTCTCTGTGAGCAGCTTCCAAGTGGCTCCTCCTTTCCCTGGGGAGCGCTGTGACTCTGCCTGTCTCTTCCGCAGCTGGAGCAGAAAGTGGTGGCCAGCGAGATCTTCAAGGGGAAGAAGGACAACTATCCTCAGAGTGTCCCTCGCCTCTTCCTTAACACCCGCCTTGGTGAGTGGGGCTTCTCAGGCTGGCCAGGGGTGGGGCTGCCGTCTCCAGCTGGCTGCTTCCAACTGCCCCCCTTCTTTCCTTTTTGCGGCAGGTAGCGAAGAGATTAATGCCAAAATCCTTCAAGTGCTGGGAAATGAGACGCTCAAGGTAAGTGAGCCACGGAGGCTCTTTGGCCCCGGCTCAGGGGCTCTGAAGGAAGGGCGCAAGGAGGCCAAGCTGGCTCAGAAGGGCTGGCCGGGATGGAAGTTGCCGCTCTTCCCTGCTGCCCCCCGTAGCCTCTTGTCTGGAGGCTGCTTCAGGCACTGTGGAAATTTGCTGTTGGGATTCTCGCTGCTCCTTTCAGTATGCCGTTCCCGTGACCAAGTACGACCGCAAAGGCTACAAGGCCCGAGCCCGGCAGCTGCTGCTCACTCAGAATGCAATTCTGCTGGTTGAAGAGGCCAAAGTCAAGCAGCGGATTGACTACGGCAACCTGTCAGGTGCGGAGATGGCGACCAACAAGCGCTCGGCTGGCCTGGAGGCTGGGGGGGGGGGGGGGAGAGAAGCTGCTTTTGGAGCAAGCGTTGCCTGGTCCCCGTTGTTGGGAGCTGTTGTTTGTGACACATGGATGCGGCCAACTCAGAGAACTTTGTTGTCCTCTGAGATTTCCAGAACGTGGCTGGCTGCTGGCATTGTGGGGCCTGTTTGTGGGCCTCTCTCCCCTGCCCAGGTCCCTGGCAGAGCTTCCTAGCTTGGAGCTCTGTAGGTGGCAAGAGGGGCCTGTTCTGCCTAGAGGGCTGGAGCTGCCAGTGTTGCCACAGAAGAGAAAGGTGGCCGTGCTTGGAGTGAGCCCACTTTGCCAAGCAAAATGGCCCTTTCTTGTCTCAACAGGACTCTCCGTCAGCAGCTTGAGTGACAGCCTCTTCGTTCTCCACGTGGTCCGGGAGGATAACAAGCAGAAGGTAGCTTCTCTGCTCTATTAGCTGTGGATTTGGGAGGGGAGGAAATTTGGGCGAGGGACCAGGCACATGCTGGATTTGGGGTTTGGTGGCTCAGTCCAGTGATGAGCAGCCAGATTCCCAACAGATTTGTGGGAATTCGAAAATCTCTCTGAAAGACATTTGGTTTGTTTTCCAGGGAGATGTGGTGCTACAGAGTGATTTTGTGATTGAGACTCTGACCAAAATTGCAATCTGTGCCAACAAAGTAAACAGTGTGAATATCAACCAGGGCAGGTGAGCTTGCTATGCTTTTATTTTAAAATGTGTGCCTGTCTGATGTGGGTCATAGGAGCTACCGCCCTCCTGCTTCTCTTAAGAGCAAAGGCCTCCAGGCCTGCTCCTGCTTTATCAAGGGAAGGGGCAGTCTATAGATCAAGCGGCTTTGCCAGAAGAATGTCCTGTGTATTTTGCGCTGCTGTGGAAAGCCAGGGCCACATCAGGCCACTGGGCAATGCAGACAAAAAGCCCCGATATCAAATCCCAGCTCTTCTCCAAGCTCACAAGAGGCCATTCTCTCAGCCTCAGATTGTTCCTCTGCAGACAGCCATGGCCTGAATTGAAGGGATGTTAGGACTGCAAAAAGAATGTACGAGAAGCATGCTGAAGATTGGGTCACTGTACTTAAGAGACAGTACTAGTGACAAGCCTTGTTTGTTGGTTTTGATTTTAATCCTGCCTTTTATTGTCAAATGATACCAATTTCCACCTATTAATCCCACCCCTGGGTATGTGGTGACATGGATTTGACATGGCTCCGCAAGGTCCCAAGTTCCGCTTTTGTGCTTTGAGCCAAGATGCCCCAGTAGAAGCTGCCCCAACTCTTCTCCTTCCCTTTCTCTACAGCATAAAGTTCACTGTTGGGCAAGGCAAAGAGGGCATCATTGATTTCACATCGGGATCCGAACTGCTGGTCGCCAAAGCCAAGAACGGCCATCTTGCGGTTGTAAGTAGCATTGGGCTGGCCAAGCTGGGAGTGGCTCCACCCTCCTGCCCACCCCCAGGGGTCACTCCATGCGGCTCCTAAGCCAGTCTCTGTGAGGTGCTATGAGGGCAGCTCTCCCCCTCCCCTGTGACCCTGCAGGTGCCATAGGCTTTATGCAGCTGTTCATGCTGCACCAGAAGCCTCTCATCCCTCTTGGCAAAGCCCTGCCTCGGTTCCTGCTCAGTGCTGACCAGGCTCCTTGCCAGCTCACCTTGTTCAGTTCTGAGCAGGAATAGCTGCTTTGGGCTAGCTGTTGCTCTCCTTCCACAGCTGACCTTTGTCTTCTTCTCAGGTGGCTCCTCGTCTGAATTCTCGATGACAAAAGCTGCCCTTCCGCAAGAGACCTCTTCGTCGGACGACATTCTGTAATCCTGGCTGGACACTTTCCCTGCCAACTTTTTTGGGGGTGGGGGCTGCTTTGCAGACCTTCTTTCTAGCTACCAAAGACCTGCAGATCCAAAGAATTATCCTCTAATTATGTCCTTTGGTTTCCATCGTACCAGGCAGGAACCTTTTGTCACAGCAGTGGTGGCTGCTCTGTCCCCTGGGCATCGAACGGCTGTGTGCCACATCAAGGCCAGACCCAGAACAGCAGCAGCAGCAGCAGGGAGAGAACCCGTAGAGCTGCCGGCCAACTAAACGAAATGCCAAATTTTATACTAAAAATATTTTATGAAGATGTTTTCTCCTAGATTTTTTGATGCTTTGTATGAAAATGTAAAAGCCATAATACATGTGTGTAATTCTGTTAGTACGCCCTAGCTCATTGTATGGGATGTTTGCACTTTGAAAACTATTTTCTTATTTTTAATTGGAAGAGCTGTGATAGCAATCTATAATTAATGCCCGTCTGCCTTGCCCTGACCTTCTCATTTCCTCAGTTCAGTCTTGCGGCATCTTGCATCAAAAACTTGGGCTGCTTTTGCTGCAAGAGAGGACTGGCATGCTTGCACCTCTATCCATTTGTGCTGGGAGGGGCTTCTGGTCCTTCGTGGCTATTTGCCTGGAATATCTGTCTGCCCCAGGCCTTATTGCAGCCAGCTTAGTTGGGACAGTTGGCAATGATGGCTTCCTTCCCCCACATGCTACCTCTGGGGTTTCTCCCCCTGCAAGTTACTGCCCTCCCCGCTATGAACTTTCATCCCATCTACCCCCAGCCTTTGCAGGGTATTTTATCATGAAGTGGCAAGCATGGAAACAGAACCAGAGCTTTTTAAAATGCCTTTTCAAATAAAGTGCAGTTTTAAGAATGCAAAGGTGCTTAATTTAGGCTCTAGTGTTTGGCTGCTCCAGTGGGAACCCCTGGGTTTTGGAAGCAAAAGTATTCTTTTTTTACCACCATTAAGACACTAAACCAACCTTTTGGTTTTGGTAAGCTTTTTGTGAAACAGTTCCATCTGGCGTCCAAATATCGTTTTAAATCTGAATGTTCAAATTATATGAAAAGCCCTATTCATTGAGTCAGAATTCTTTTCATTTCTTAATTGCCCTGTGGAGGCATGATTTGTCTTTTACAGGACCCACAAAAGTTTGAGCACTTCTTTAATCCCATAAAACAAAAAAAGGAGGAGCTATGATATCTTTTGAAGGTAGTTACAAGTCATCAGTAACAGCAGCTGCAGTGCTTTCAAGGACAATTACTCAAGATAAAGGAAAAACTTCTTTAGTGTAAAAATGTCAATACGAGTCACTTTTGTGGTTGGACTGGACAAGCTTAAAGGCACTATTTGATTTTGCATTACTGATGGGCAAGATGTAGAACTTGGTGTGCTTGTATCCTTAGCATCCTGCTGCTGCTGCTGACCTTCAGAAGCCCAATTAGATTTTCTTTTCCGACGGGAATAAATGTTGCACCAGGCCTGGAATGCTGTCCATGCTATAGTGTATATAAGATTTAATGCACTATTGCTATATAAATGCCAAATAAATTTTTACTAAAATCAGATTTTCCTTTGCATTACAAACTAGCTTTAAAGTGCACTGGGACATTGTCCATGAATGACAGGGGGCAGACTGTGGCTTTAGCTATGGAGATCTCTTAGCCTGGGTCAGATGTAAAAGCTGCAGCAGGAGGTGTGCATTTGGCCTAGCCTAGAAATTACAGCTCAGTGGAAGCTACTCAATCACAGCACTGTCAGTTTAAAAGGAGCTGAAATCCAGAGAAGCCACTGGTAGGCAGACTGGGCTCTTAGCCCGAGGGTCGGGGCTGGGATCGATGTGCAGATGCAGATCCAGGGGACCATTTTCCTACCCAGCCTCACCTAATAAAGGAAATGACCCTTGCCACCCCTCAGATTGTTCCTCCTTCAGAGTTTGATGATTTTCCTCATCATTGCAGTTTGGGGCCGGGCTGTACTTTGTCCACCTAGCCCAAGGCTGCAGCATCCGCCCCCCCCCCCCGCAAAACCACCATTACCTTGGCTTTGTGGGCCAGAAGCCCACCACCCCTGAAACAGACACTATGCCAAATACTCCAGATGGAGAATTACTCTCACCTTACATAAGGCAGCATCCTGTGTGGCTTTAATTGGCCTGGAAAACCCTTTATTTTGTAAAATATATATACCAGTACACAATACAAGTTCAGAGGGTAGTTGAAGGTGGAAGAGGAGGAATTGGGGTGACTTTCACAGACGACCCATTTTGGGATGGACAGTGGTGGCAAACTCAAATCTTCCCATTAGTGTGCTCAATTCTTGCTTTAAACTGATAACCAAAAAGTGGCAGTGGTCTTTCTTTTCTGGTTTGAGTTTTTGAAAACTGGTCCCATGAAGCAGAATTACCTGTGAAGAAACTAGAACCTCCCAATTCCAACCTCTTCCTAGGGAATAGTTGATGGGGACCCCAAAGATGCAATAGCAGCCAGCAGCTGGGCACTGCCAGACTCCTACAGCACCATTTCCCTTCCTTGTATCCAAAATTCATGTAACAGATTGGTTGCTGCCCAGCACTGAGGGAAGTGGCAGATCGCTAAGTGACGGTGCCTGCAATGGCAGCCAGGGATGGGGTGGATGTTGAGCAGAAAATTTCTTGCCCTTGTCTGCCTCTACTTCACTGCTCCTGGAGCTTGGCGTGCCAGCCTCTCCCTCTATAGATTAGAGTCCAATATGGTTCCAGCTAGCAGCAAAGAAAGATGAAGCAAGCAGCCTCAGAATGAGGCCTAATGGCAAACTACTGCAATCCCCCTTGCTGTGCAGTCCTTGGTAGAAACAGTCTGCTGTCACCTGTTCAGTCAGAAAGGGGAGGGCACAAGTATTATGGGTGTGTGACCTGTTTCTCATCAGAGCTGTAGTACAGTTGGTGCTGCAAAGCGGCTTCCCTCATCTTGCACCCACTAAAGTATAAATAGCTAAAAAGTATGAAGAGTCCATGCAAGTGTAAGGAACCGTTTGTGCAACTGCACACCTTTCACACAACGCTAGTATGATCTGTTCATTGCGTTTCTGTGGACTGGAGGGGGCTGAAGGCCACCGCCCTAGGAACACATGAGGAGGACCAGGCTCCTGGCTCCGATCGCCAAACAAGGCACCCAAGATGGCCACTCCACGGCCAATACAAAGAAAAGGGGTCCTGGGACCAGTCATTTGCTCCAGACTGCATTTCAACGGACGGGTGGTTCTTGTGGCAGGCTAGATGTTCACTCTTTTCAGATACCCCCCTCGGAAAGGGATCCATTAACCTCAGTTCTATGCGCAGGTAGGAGCAGTAGCAGCTGTTAGCACAAGGGCAATGCCAGAACCTCACTTGCCCAAACAAATCCGTTAATGTGCAGACTTGCCATACCACTGGCTCATTTGGCATTTTGAGAAGTGGGGGGTGGGAGAAGGGAACAGCTCTAAAAAATGAAAATGGGCGGCTGCTGAAAGGAATGGGCACTTGAATCAAGCAATCCATTTTACCCCTCCAATACCAACTACAATTCCTGGCATCATTCAAGAGGGAAACACTGTTGAAAGCCCCAAGCCCCTGCCCACTCACCAAGAAGGGTACTGAAAGGCATCACTAAGCATATTACTGCAAGGGATGGAGACTGATGGGGGCCTGGCAGGTGCTGGTTGAGAGCTGAAGCATTTCCCACTTTTGAGAGGGTTCAGAGTAGAGAGCAGTCTGAGGTGCAGAATCTTGACACAGTATTTTATTTATCCAACAGACTCACTGCTCAGCCAGAGGGGAAAGCCCAGATGAAGCTAAAAGGCAAGGAGACAGTTCAGACCAGAAGGAGGGTACAAGGCATTAGCAGAAGGAGGCTGAAGCAGCCAAGGAACAGTTTTTGGGGCCGGAAGGCTTCCCCACAATCCTTTCAGTGTTTTGTCAGCATGTGACCAAAAGGTCTGAGCACAGCTAACAGCGGAGTTGAACTTTGAAAGGAAACAGAGCCGTTAAGAAATGAAAGGGAGCATGGCTTGGTTTTCAAAAAGGTGTTCTAGCTCAACCAGAGTACAAATTTTTGACCCAGTTAGGCAGGCGTCTCTGCCTTGCTGCTTCCCTGATAAAAACTGTTTCCTCGCAATGCAACAATTAAGCAGACTGAACCACCTCAGATTGATTCAGTGCCCAAGTTTGCGCTCTCTGGGCAGCCGCCAATTGAGACCCACAAATTCTGGTGATGGCCCTCTCCATTTTGCTACGGCCAGCCTCTCTTCCATTAAGTAACACTTTTCCTGCTACTTGTTCGGTCTGCAGCTCTTGCTAAACATTTACCAGGGTAAAGTAGCAGTAGTATTTGGCATCATTTTAATTTAGGGTTGTTTTATTTAAGTTTAATGTTAATTCCATGCTGTGTTTCAGTAAGAACAATACAGATCCTGTATCTGTGGCTCCAGTCAGATATCCAGTAGTACAAATTAGCTTCAAGTTACACATACTGAACAAAAGAGGTTGAGCTAGCGAAAAGGGAGGGGGGAGGGAGAGAAAAATATTGAACACACATGCAGGCCTTCAACGCCACCTTCAATGCTAACCTGCTTGGAGGGAAAGTAAAGAGAAGGCAAGAATGAGCAGCCACGGATTGTTGAACCGTTACCAGCACCGTCTGTTGCAGCAACATCATCTCAGCACAGTTGGATATTTTTTTTTGCTTTTTGTTTTTTCTTTTACAGCAAAACCACTACAAGAACTGTCCCAATGAAACCGGTAACTTCAAGCTAAACGCCCAATTCTAAACACTCATATAAAATTGTTTAAACAATTATAAAAAATGAAAAATGCCAACACATGCACTCTACAGTGCAAGCCTCTGCTAGAATTCTAATGGCTTCCAGATGTCACCTCCAACACTGACAGAAGACAACACAGGAATGCAGAAAAAGCCTCTATGCAGCCAGTCCGGTTAGTGTCTTAAAAGAAACTGAAAGCTGGCACCAGTAAAATCCACAGACATTCACTCTTGCCTTTTAAAGAACTTTTCAACTGTGTAAAAAAACCAACAGGGTAGGAACCTAAATTCTGGGGCCCATCACAAACGTCAGATCAGATGGTTCCCAGGGACACTGAGGGGCTTATGGGAGTGGGTGCGGTAGAAGGGGGACAAAGATGGGGGTCTCTTATTGGCCTTGATGTCTCACTGGTTCTCATCTTCCACATCCTGCAGCGCTTCTTTACTCTGTTCTTCACCTAGGAAGGAAAACAACAGAATTAGGCTATGGCTGTAGGACAGCAGATCACCCTGTCGTTGAGACCTCTGCCTGCCAGGATTCACCTACAGAGCTTGGCCCCTCACAGCAGCGGCAGGACAAGTGGGCAGCCCAGCGAGGGGTGCCTGACAGTCACGAGAGCAGCCCCCGCCCCACATTGGTGAAAGCTCAAACGCTGGCCATCAAAACAAGCATCCAAAATAACCAAGTAACTTCTACAGCCAAAAGAAACGCCTTCCTCCTTTCTCCCTAGGACCATGGCTCTTTTCAGTGGCTCACATCTCTACAGCAACACACTGTTAGTCTACCCTGCAAACCTGCTCTGCAGAAGGCAAACACTGTTTTAATGGTTACTTTGCAACTCCAACACAAGCAGCCTTGTGCCAAAGGTTACAGAAAGGGTTGTTTTGACCAAGGCTGTTCACATGCTTGGCGTTAATTTGGAGCCACCTCCTCAGACTGAAGCATGCAATGAACACAGACTGCTCCACTGCCCTCGGCCACTAACCAGTTGGTGCCTGACCTTACACACACAAGCATGAACCCCTACATCCAAAGGAGAACACGCCTAACATGGCATGGATCTAGCCCCAGACATGCAGGACTCGGGTCAACCAGAAGAACAAGGTGGCCAAAATGCCGTCTGTGCCTCTCCCTCCTGGCACTCCTCTTGCAAGAGGTGGAAGGGATGCGTCACTGCACGTCCCAGGCCCTCTCATGGGGGCCACTGAAATGATAAGCTCAGGGGAGCCCTGGCAGTGCAGAAGTTAAGCTTTGCCATTTTGAGAGGCACAGAAACGTGTTGAAAACTGCCTGAAGAGCAAGCACTTAAGGGGGCCTGCCCAGGTCTCCAGAAACCCAACGCCAACGGCCCATATTCAGAACCTATGGGAAGCAGGTGAGCTGGTGCACAGCCCTGAAAGAATCAAGATATGCAAGCAGGACCACGAGCATTAGTGCCAAGGAGGAAAACAGTCACTCCCCAAGTAACCATGAAGACTTACAAAGTAGAGTTTTAGAAAATGAACAGGTGGAGTTCCTTTTAAGAATCTACACAACAGAAAGGGGGGAAAACAGGAGTTAGAGAGAGGCAGCAAATGAGCCCAAGTATAATGTTGACGGAAAGCAGGAGATGGGATTGTGGCAAGCCCAATCTGACTGGTTAGGAAAGGGACTGCAAAGATACCAGCACACACAAAAGTCAGGCACATCTGGGAACTGCCACTGTGCACTGATGCTCCCTTTTCACCCTTTCTCACAACTCGAACCAATAACTTTTGAGGCAGAATCAGTCATCCTGAAGTGGATTCCTAAGCATGCATCTTTTCCCTGGGTGTCATTTTAGCACACAGGCAGTGTCCACTTTAAGCAGGTCTAATTGACACACGATCGCAGACGCACTGGTCCTTTTGGACTTGAAAGAAGACTTGGAGTGGGGCAGAGCATGCTTATATGCCCTCCGCTGACGTGCATAGAGGCTTGCTGCCTGTATTTCACAATACGGATGACTACTGAGTGAAAAACCAATTAACTTCCCCCAAAAGCAGAAAAGGAGGAATGGATTACCCCTTGCTGCTCTTTTGATACTTCCTTGAGCAGCTGAGGTGGGGGCAGGGCCTTCTGGAAGGTGGCAGTCCACAGGATGACCTTTTGAGTACCCAGTGAATACCTTTTCGTCCTCCCAGGCATTTTCACTGTAACGGGTGCATCTATTTTAGTGATTTGAGATCTGTGCACCATGCAACGCTCCATACTGGTTTTAATTTTTTTTTAAGTTGCTGTGCTTGCAGTGGTTTTAACTTTTTGCTTTATTATTGTTTAACTATTCTAATTTGGATTTGTTCTGTTTTGTTTACAGTATTTATAGTCCACTCTTCACTAAAAAAAAAATTCAATTCCAGAGTGGGCAACAACATAGAAAAATTTATGCAAAAATTACAAAACCATATAAACAATGGTATGTACACAATACAAAAAGCATAAATTTTATGTGTTGCATAAATACAAAGATAGGACATATAAAAATTGATTTTAAAAAGCCCTTCTCTCCTGCTGCCGCCTCACACTCCTGACCCAGAAAGGTACTGGACCTTTTAATACTGAGTTGAATGAAAATGAGGGTTGACAGCAACACTTAAGATTTCCCTGAGAGGAGAAATACTGGCTTCACCAGCAAAACCATTTCTGCTAGATGAACCCCACCTTGAATGGTGTGCCTGTGGTAAGACTCGAGGAGTGTTGCAACAGTGAAGAGCTGGGTGGAGAACCAGTCCAGGGTTTTGGAGAGGGGGTCTGTTCTCTAGCTGGGAGGGGGGCGTCCAAGTCTGACAAAACGAAGCCCGAGGCCACCTGTCCTAAAAGCGCTTTTCCTTAATTCTGCCTGGGAAAGGGCCATGTGCTTGCCCCCCCCCCCTTTTAACGTACCGTCTAGAAAAAATAAGTGTTGGAATCTAAATCTGGACAATTTGCTGACTACCTGAGAATGTGTGTGAAAGTATCTGACACCAAATACTACATTTATTGCACTGGCACCTGCAGCATGGAGGGCTCCCTGTTTGTGATGAAAAACATCTAGTCCATTTGGGGGGGGAATGTGGCAGAGCACCTGGCCTTGCATGCAGAAGGCCCCACATTCAATCCTCGGTGTGTTCAAGTAGGGTTGGAAGACTCCCTGCCTGAAACCCTGCTGAGCTTATGCTAGTCAGCGCAGACATTATCAAATTAGGTGGATCAATGGTTTGGCGAAGTATGGAGCTTCTTTTGCTCCTCTCCCCCTCATCACCGGCCTTGGGGATTCTTTTTTTTTTGGGGGGGGGGGGGGTTACCAGCAACAAATACTGCTTTGTACTCTTGAAAACTCCAGGACCCCTCTGAGCATGCTGGGTGCCACATTAGCTCCACCAGGACTAGCACTCCAACTATTAGTGGCTAGGAGGGTCGGTTTCCTGCAGGACCCAAGACAAGGTGCTCAGCTCCATTCCACTTGTTCTGGTTCCATGCGATGCCACCCCACACCTTGTCTGGATCATGTACCAAGCACAGGTGCATTCCCCGCCTTCCAGCCGCCAACATTCTGCACTGTTACCAGTTCTGCATTTACCAGTGCCAAGTCAAGCTACCAGAACACTTTTCCATCTCATGAGATGAAAGATCTGCCTTGTGAATGGTGAATATCATGATGATGCTTCTTTTTCAACAAAGAGGAAACTATCTCATCACTTTTATTTTGTTGCAGGGGACCAAACGAATGATGGCCAGGCATTCCTGAGTTTAAACAGCAGCAAAGTTCCAGCTGGGAAAGTGAATTTTGTCTTTTTCAAAAGACCGATCATAATTCTGAAACTAAAGGTCAGCCCCTATAAACAAACACACCCCGTTATGATGCTGGTGGTCTCAACAGAAACATCTCATGCGATCATGACCATCGTTTTCTTTTCCTCACTTCACTTCACGCTTTGCAACTAGTCTGGGACTGAACAAGTTTCTTCCAGCATTCACAGCTAAACTGAGGGAATCAAACTGCCCGCTATGTGGAACCAAGGCTTCTCCGTGGGACCCCAGCTGACAGGCAAAGTTCATGATGGCAACTGGCTACTTTCTGCCCTCATGGCCTTTTGAACTCTTTTTATCTGTGATGTATTTTGTGGCTTGTCCTTGTTTGCTTTTTAATGCTAGGCCTGGATTCAATATTGAAGTGACTGCATTTCTGCTGCCTTAACATTGTTTTGTACCCAATGTATTTTTGCTTAGAGAAATGTTTTTCTGAGGCAATCAGCAATATGCATAATACAGGCACCCCACCCGTTTACACGTGCTAAATGTGTGTGCAATAGTGGAGCACGCCGAACCCAGAAGTGACTCAAAAGCATCACGGGCGGGGGGGGAGGGGTGTTTGCAGGCTTTTTCAATGGTGCTTCAAATATATGCAATTTTGCAGATGAGTGCAGTGCCTCGGAACATTATCTTCTGCGTAAGTGGGGGAGTGGGTTGTTTGTAATGAATTTTAAAATTGTGATTCTCAAACTAAATGCTTGAGGTACATAAGAAACACCCTCCTCCTGCCTGTCACCCAGAGATGACAACTCACTGCAGTAGCAAATGCGGTCACTGAATGAGCCCAAAACAAGGCCACAGAAGAAGAATGAGAACAAGGCTCACAGGAGTGTAGCTGAAAGGAAAAAGCAAATGCAACCCCAGAAAAACAGTCTCATGAGCACATTGAAGAGCTGGAAAAGAAAATGAGGAGTGCTGAGGAAAAGCCCTGCTTGGGCTCCTGACAGTTCCTAGTAACTTGGAGGGCGGAGTAGATGTCTGGCACCCTGAACAAGAGCTGCCCTGCTAGAAGGGGAGGCCACAGCAGTCACCCCTCCAACAGCAAATTCAAGTGGCTGAGCATCTATCAATGCAGAGGCTTATACATACTACAGAGATCCTTGGGTACACATAAGTACGCAAGTATGCAATTAAAAAACTGTGGAAAAACTAAAAGGAAAAGGTAGTTTTAAAAAATGCTTGCAGCTGAGCCCATGGGAAAGGGAAAAGGGTCAACATAAACTGGAAGCCAGACTGTGTCCGTTTATCAATCAATCAATCAATCAATCAATCATTTATGGTTGAAACCTGGAAAAAGACAAGAGACTATCCATGTGTCAGTTGGAAATATGGAGAAGAAGAACTGGAGCATTTCTGGTGTCATGCCAGTAAGAATCCTAGATGGGGAATCAGAACTGCACGTCCTCCAAAATATAAGCATTAAAAGACTCAGCTTTGAGGCTGACAGTCCCAAGGTGCTCAGCTGGGAGAGAGAAAAAGTGTCCCCTATCTCTTCCCTACTTCTTAAATACCGTGCCCCCCACAACGGCCTAACCAATGTGACAGACTTCCTGTTCCAGGCTATCTGGAACCATGGGGACGCACTGCAACCTTCTGCCCCACTTGCTCTCTCCCATGTTAAGATTAAGGCTGGAGAATCATCAGCTACTCACCGTCACCCTGCATGTCTGAAGTCCATAGTGTCAGGTTATCACGTAACAACTGCATGATAAGTGTAGAATCCTTATAGCTTTCTTCACTCAGCGTATCCAGTTCTGCAATAGCATCATCAAAAGCTGCTTTTGCCAACCTACAAGGAGACAGATGACAGAGTGTTCCAAGATACCAGATCTAACAAATCAAAACAAATTCATGGAGGACAAGGCTAGCAATGGCTCCTAGCCACAATGGTCGGAAGCAGTTCCTGGTAACTGTGCGAGGGGAGAGCTGTTGCACTCAAGTCCTACTCGTGGGCTTCCATTGGGCCACTGTGAGAACAGGAGGCTAGAATAGGTGGCCTCCCTTTGGCTGCAGGGCTCTTATGCAAAACCGCCACGGAGATGCCACTGCCCACTTCTACAGCACTCTCAGGATTCTCTCCACCTTTTGTCTCACACCAGGGGAGGAAAGTTTTAACCCACAAAGATGACCAGGGGTGTATGGGTGGGCACACAAGGGCGACCCTTTTGCATGCCTACCTGGCTGCACACTCCAACAGGCCCAGAGACCCAGAAGCAGTGGCAGCTGCTGCAACACCCACCCACCTGCCCCTCTGCCCTGACGACATCTGCTTCTCACCCCTGCTCAGAGCTGCTGGAGAGAACCTTGAGAACTCTGCTTAGCAGGCAGCACCTCCCCCAAACCCTCCCATGCGGGGGGCTGCTCCTCACCTGCAGGCGCGGTCAGGAGAATTAAGGATTTCATAGTAGAAAACAGAGAAGTTGAGGGCAAGTCCTAGGCGGATGGGATGTGTTGGAGGAAGTTCTGTCATTGCAATGTCACTAGCAGCTTTGTAAGCCACCAGGCTGTTCTCAGCAGCTTCCTTCCTGTCGTTTCCTGTGGCAAACTCTGCAAGATACCTGTGGTAGTCCCCTTTCCTGGGGGCAGGTGGAAGGAAAGAAGAAAACATTGCTTACTTCAACAGCTTACCAGCTGGCATAGCATTCCATATAGAACATTTAAGCAGAAATTTAAATATATAAGTTAAATAAATAAATAACCAGCTATGCAAGCTGTTGACTATAGAGACAGAGTTGTTTCTAAGCTCAAATAATACAATTTCCTTTTCTTTACTGATAGTTTTCTGCCTTAAACATAATCCCCCCCCCAAGAAAAAAGCATGAAATGTTTGTTACATTATGGTGAAGTAGCTAGTTTACTGTCTGAATAAAGGCAAGGCGTTCATTCATGTCAAATTTAATAAATATAGGAGTATAATTTTATGTGCTAAATAATGCTTGCTATGTTGTTCACAATACATTTTATGTTCTTAACAATATTATACAAGAACTGATGAAAAATATTACAAACACTTCCATTTCTCTCCGAACTTCTGCTTCCTTCTGGAGGGGGCAGGAGGAGAACTGTTCACCCCCTCCTGCCCCTGCCTCCCAACACGTTATACCACTAGGGAGGAGCCCATCATCTTTGAGAAGAACCCATTCTTCCCACAAGCATCATAGTTAAGGCACCTTCCCCATTTCACACCTACATTTTATAATAGAAAACCTTGGATTCGCCAGTGTTGGCTGCTGGAATGAGGTGTTTGTCCAGTACGTCCAGAATATCACAACAGATTAGTTTCAATTCAGTCTCAACCTTGAGGGAGAGAGGAAAAAAGAATGGCCAATTCAGAAAACCTGCTGCCAATGAATAAACAAACAGAACTTTAACAGAATTTTTGAATAATCACCAGTCTCACTCCTGTGGAAAAGTGTGCTGCTTTGCCTTCCAATCCCTGCCTCCAGCCCAGGTAAAGTTTCTGACTCAAGGATTTACCTCCCTCCCCTACAAAGGAGGAGCAGAGAAGCCACAATGCGCCCTGTGCCCCACTTAAATGCCCCAGGGGGCAGAATGGAGGGTCTGAAGGAAGAGGCCTGCTGGGCTAGCTGTTGTTTTGCAATCCAAGGCAGGGATTGGGTGGGGAGATGCAAAAATTTCATCAGGTGTCCCACAGATCTCAACATGGGAGCCTGTAGGGAATTCTTTTTGCCCACTTTTCCCCCAGCTGTTGTTCACAGGGACATCCTTCCACCTCACCCTGATCCCAAAATCTTCGGCTTTCAGAAACAATACCCCCTTATCTGTGTATTCACTGTAGTGCAAATGCATGCCCAACTGATCACTGCAATAGGGTGATCTAAGTTATTCCTAATTTCCCAGTGAACACTGAATGATTTGCTATTTGATCCAGCAACTCCTAAACTCTTATTTGAATCCAAGGTTGAGACACTACAGTGGTACCTTGGGGGTTAAGAACTTAATTCCTTCCAGAGGCCCGTTCTTAACCTGAAACTGTTCTTAACTTGAGGTACCACTTTAGCTAATGGGGCCTCCCGCTGCTGCGCAATTTCTGTTCTCATCCTGAAGCAAAGTTCTTAACCCAAGGTACTATTTCTGGGTTAGCGGAGTCTGTAACCTGAAGCGTCTATAACCCGAGGTACCAATGTATCTACTATTATGAACTGAATACAACACACAAAGCCCTTTAAAGATCCAGGGAACTTTCCAGAGCTTGGTTTGCCTAAGATGCAAATTCTTCACTGTGCTCCAGTGCAGACTTATGGGTACCCATTGTTAGACAGCTTCATTTCCACAGCACAGAGGCACCACCATTATTCCCTTACAATTCCAGTTCAAGCGATTCCCATCATCTTTATGCAAAGGACAGCGTGCTCGATTGTAGGTATGGGTGCCAAACAAAGGATCCCCCACCCCAAAGATTGTCCACTTGGAACAAAATGAGACCATTCGGACCTGGTGATGTGGTGGAATCCACCGGGGGGGTGCTATTGTGTTCATGTCCTGCTTGCAGGCTTTCCATGGTTGGCCAAACTCTATGCTGCAGCAGTCAGTGACAAACTGAATATTTGGCATTATGAGGAAAGGGATGTATATAATAAATGCCTTATATATAAATAGATGATTTGTCTGTGCTTGAAATGCAGGTACAGGGCTGGTTGTCTGGTTTCAAAAAGGATATCAAAGCACTGGAGAAGTGGGCAGATCTTCACAAGGAGGAAAGGTTCACACTCCAAGGTTGGTTAACCATTTGTGCTTTTTTACACTTGGCTCCCACAGGGGTTTCCATGATCAGGAGCCAACTGTTGCAATTCCCCCCTTCTCCTGCATGCCCCATGAATACTGCCCCTCTGGAGCCAATGTGAGAAGGAGGGTGCAGAGGAAAAGGGAACCACCCATTCCCTCCAATTCATAGAAGCCTCCATGTGCAAAGACACCATGGGATGCAGCCTTAGAAAGCTGAAAAGATAAGGAGAAATGTAACAAGTGCTGTGAAGGGAGCGGATACTTTTCTCTCCTCCACATAATTCCAGAGCCATGATTTGCTCTTTGCTTTGACTTTTATATTGCCCATGGTTTTCATACAATCATAGACACAGAGCTGAAAGGGGCCCTGAGCATCACCTAGTCCAACACCCTGCAATGCAGGAATATGCAGTTGTCCCATATGGAGACTGAACCTGCAAGCTTGGTATTATCAGTACCTTGCTCCAACCAACTGAGCTATCCCTGGAGCTTATTAAAGACTTATTTTATTGTATCAGATGCAACACAATGTCTTTCTTTCTTTCTTATTTATTTATTTATTTATTTAATGACACACCATGTGACCTTGTTACAGGGCTGCAAATATAAAGAATTAAATTCACAGCCACCCCATAAAACTGGCAGTTGTATTCAGAAAATGTATGCTTAACTGGAAGAGGATAAGTCATGGGTTTGCTTGTTTGTCCGTTAGATTTCAGAAGGTCTTTTTTATTCCTGGTCGAATGAACGCTTGCCTTGCAGCTGCCCTGTGCTCTGAGAATCCCATTTCCTGAATCTACTGGGGCTCCTAGAGAAGCATCCAAGGCCTTTGAGGGCCAGAAGCCCAACAACCAAATCCACTGTCTTCTAAAAGCAGAAAAGGCATTTCACAAGCAGAGATAGCCTTATTGTTACAGGATTCAGTCTAAGCAAGTAGGATGGGCAGCAACACTCTCCAAGGTGAAGCGATTCTAGTTTCGGGTTCTAGCCCTTTTCTAAGAAGGTCCTTTCTGCCCACCCCTGTACCTGAGCATCACTTTTCCATCTTTCCCATCCCTTGAAAAAGGTAAACAGCGACTGGGAAGTTTTTGTTCCCAATGGGCTCTTTCAGGGCTTTTTACCCTCTTTGATAGTTCTGTAAATCTTAGGGTTCCCTCAAACCAGCTGATTATGTCCCTTCTGTGAAAGCTGCAGTTGTTAGTATAAACGCCAGCAACCCTGGTTGATTTGCTACAAAGCGGAGGATGAAATGTGTGCCTGTGATGTAACCAGCAGCCCTGAAGACAGCTCCTCATTCCTTATTCACATTTATACCCAGCACCTTGACTGGAACAGGCAGAGACCAGGAAGAGAGCAGGTGCCTCAAGAAGCAGCTGCCCAGGTCAAGGAAAGGTCCAAGTGAAGAGCGCAAGCAAAACACCAGTGCAAGGTACACACAGTTTTGCTGGCAAAGAGCCCAACAGAACAATGCAGCTGGGATGTTGGGGAGGGAGGGGAATCCCCAAGCTCACCCATGCCTCAGTCTACACTGGGAAAAGTCTTGCTTAATCCCAAACACAGCCATCACAGAGAAATCATGAAGCAACCCTTACCTGGGGGCCACCCTAAACAGCATGGCTGTGCAGCTGGAGAAGTTATGTTCCACAATCCGAAACTCACACACTGATGCTTGGAACAACAACAGAGTCTGTGAGCCCCCCCACCCACTGGTCTGTGTTGCATGTAGGGTTGCAAAACCCGCCAGCTGCCCCTCAAGCGTCCCAGGGGTCCCTTCTCTCCTGGGCACTCACCATTTGCCGATACTCCCGGATCATCTTCAATTTGTCTTCTCCACCTTTGTTTTCCTCTTTCTGTTCAATGCTGCTGATTATTCTCCAAGAAGCTCTTCTAGCGCCAATTACATTTTTGTATGCAACAGACAGCAGGTTCCTTTCTTCGACGGTCAGTTCAACATCCATCCCAGCTACTTTCTTCATTGACTCAACCATTTCTAAAGAGAGAATAGGTGTGTCTGTGTGTGCTTGAGCCGAGTTGCTCTCCATGCCCTTCCATTTAAAACCATCACCAAACCAGACACGAGCCTGGCTTTGAATTAATGTCAGTCTGGACAAACCTGAGCAGGGGAGGCAGGAGGCAGACAGCCACTTGCACAACCCAGGACAGTTTCACAGACCTTCAAGAACTCAAGTGGTGTGATTGTTATCACCAAAGCACTTTCATTTTGCATCCATTATGCTATTCCAAGGAGCCAGGAAAGGGCCCTGATGAGCTGCACCATTGACGTGCTGAGCTACAAACCACCAGGGCTGTGATTTCAGGTCAGCTACTCAGATTAGATGTACATCGTACAACTTTTTCATCCCTCAAGTGTTCTCCTGTTCATGCACATGTAGCATGAAAACAAAAGATGCCTTCACTACAGTGGATTTATAGACACTGTAGCAAAGAACAATAATCAGAAATGGAGCACAAATATATCAACCAACTCCAAATTGTATCCATATTAAAAGGGAAGCCCAGTTTTTTATGTAAAGCTGCTTTGGGGCAACCATCACATATCACTGGGCACCAGCTGCAGTCAAGATCTGCTATATGATAGAAGATGAGGCATTCCAAGCTATGCTGAGCCAGATGTGTGCTGGAGAACAGTGATGAAAATGACCGGATTGTATTCTGATATCTGTTGTCACATGTTTACACTGCATAATTCCTTCTGCTTCCAAAATATAGGTTTCTAAATTTGGAGGGGAAGAGGGCAGAAACAGAAGCATTGGAAAGGCTAAGAAGCAGGGGACAAGAGGTGTTACCTGGCTGCTTTAGCAGAGGAAAGATGAAGAGGTAACAAATGCAGGAACCAAAAGGGGAGAGAGAGACACTAAGAATGCTCAGCAGACATTTACCCAAAAGAATTTAAAGCAATACTGTTATTCAGGCGGGAGTCTTAAAAATATGCTAATAAATTATGCATGTATCATGTTTCTAGAGTTGAGTACAGGTTTTAACCTGAAACACATTGGGCAATAAAGTATATTCGGTGCACCTTCATGCTCTCATGCCCATTTATGCTTAGAAGTCACCCAAACATCTGGGGTTGCCAGGCCACTGCCAAGCAGGGAGTGCCTTTGACCTTATACTGCACTTCTGAAGCTGTTTTCAAAATCAGGAAAGGCCTCCTGCTCTGGGAGAACCTCTTGCCTCTTGTTGTTAAGGAAGGAGAGCAGCTGTAACCTGGAAGGGGCAGGGGGAGGGAGAAGAGCACCTGTGATGTTCAGCTCCTGGGGTCTGCAGGGAGCCTTTGAAAGGCAGCCTACCATGCTTTAGATGTACCACGTGAGGTGAAATAAGAAGTCAGCTCAGCCTTAACATTTCAAGCAGACAGGTGAAACGGAACCAGGTCATCACAAAAAACACACAGGCATGCCCAAGAGTGGTAGTCACAAGCTGTTCAGCACTCTGAGCCATTGCCACTTTCCTTTGCCCAAGACGATGCTACCCAGGCCAGGGATAACCTACAAAGGTGGCGGCTTCCATGGTCTACAAGGAGCTAAAAGGCACTTTATGTGAAGACTGCAAAAAGCCGGCTGGGTCAAGCGTTTACAACTCCCAGAGTGTCCACACGTCACTGCAAATAGCCCAGCTCCTTTTCAATAAATACAGCCTTCCTTGTATTGTAAGCTCAGCCCTCATGGCCAGGATGGGATGGAAACAGGCCACCTAATAGTAAGTGGCTTTCTGCCTTGGACAGCTCCACCCTCCCCTGCTTTAGAGAGGACCTCCCTGCACTGCGATCAATGTGTGCTACCCACAGCAACAAGGGCACCACCCCACACTCTCTGCCCCGTCAAACCTCCCTGCCCCTCAGCATGGAGAAAGGATACGGGCCAGTGTCACACGAACCCAGGTAAATGCTTACTCCCTACAGGTTGTAAAGCTTAAGGAGAAATTGAGTGAAGCGGACAGTGTACTTTTGCTTCCGGGTTTCACAGCAGCAGATGCTTTTAAATACTAGAGCAAACGGACCTAAGCAATCCCCACATCTTCAGTTCCCCAGCAAGGGACAGTGATGGCAGCTAAGCAAGCATGCTATTTTCCAGTACCCCCCCCCCCCGAGATTATCTTCCTGCGAGCCTCAGAATGGTTGTTGCCCCTGCCCAATAACGGGCAGTGGTATTCTAGAAGCTGGTCCCTCTGCTTTCAACGAGGCTTAGCCCCAGGAGAGGAAAAGAGGCTGGCGAAGACCCAACAATTCTGCCGGTCTTTTCCAAGGGAACACGTTGGGGGGGGGGGGAGTGTTCGCTTCAACTAACCAGCTTGGGGCAAAAAAAGACCCATCTCGGGATCCTGTCCCCAGTGCGAGGCGCGAAACTGACAGTGAACACACACACACACCCCGCCAGGCGTTCGGGGGCTGCGGGAACCGGGGAAATGGGTGGACGGAAGAGGGGGAGCCCATTTGCCCGCCCGGAACAAGGAGCCGCGTCGCCCTCCGGCTGGCTCTCCGCCTCCGTCCGCCACGCCCCTCTGCGCCGCCGAGACCTCCGGGAGCCGCCCAGGCCCAGCGTGGGGCTTTTGTCCTCCCCGGCAGCCCCCCTCCCCGCCCAGCAGACCCTCGCGCCGCCTGCCCGCCGCCCGCCCCGCTCCCCCGCCGGCGTCTTCAGCGCCTGTCGCGCGCGGCAGCCATTTTGTGTGCGCCCCCCCACGCCCCGTCGCTTCTCCCTCTGTCGCCGCCGCCGCCTCCCCGCCCGCCCCGTCTTGCCGGCCTGCGCCGCCATTTTGTGCCCGGCGCTCTCCTCCGCCAGCCAGCGAGGCAGCTGCCCGCCCCTCCCTCCGCTGGCCCTTGGTCGCCGCCGCTGCCGCCGCCCTGTTCTGGCTCCCCGGCTGGCCGGCCTGCTGCCTCTTTCCCTCCCTCCGTCTCTCCCTCCCTCCCTTCCGTCCCTCTCCGCCTCCGCCGGCCAGAGGGTCGGCGTCGTCGTCGCCCCCCGCGCGCACCATCGTAGCGTTCGGCCTGCTCGGCGAGCTTGGCCTGGTAGACGAGGTCCTCCCGGTCGTCCATGTCCGTCGGGCGAGGGCGGCGGGGGCTGCGCGGGGCGGATGGAGACCGATGGTCCGGCGGGGGGGGCTCAACCACGATCAGCTCTCGCTGCTCTCCGGGCAAAGATGGCGGCGGCGCCTCCTCCCGCTACATCCGGGCACTCCGGGCCGCGCGCGCAGGCGCACCGCTCCGCTATGCACGCGCGCTCTCCCTCCCTCCCCCTCCCGTCCATAGCAACAGCGGCTCCCTAGCAACCGCGAGAGCCGCGGCGTCCGCTTCCGCCCTGGCCTCCAGCGGTTGTCCGGCGGGCGGGGCGGGCGGCCTCTTCGCGCCACGCAGCGGCTGGCCTGTGGCGCAACGGTTAGAGGGTCGGACTAGGACCTGGGAGAGCAGGGTTCGAATCCGTCCCTCAACCCTGCAGCTCATTGCGCCACCTCGGGCCACTCACTGCCTCTCAGCCTAACCTACCTCACAGGGCTGTTGTGTGCTATATAAATACAATAAATAAAATAAAGCCCGCAGGTGTGTCCTGGGGAAGAGCACTCCATTCGGGAGGGGGGCAGCATCTGAGAAGGGGCTCTGCCTGCATTCTGCATCACTGGTGCGCCTCACAATCCCGCTTGCATCCTTCCCAGGCACACGACTGCTGGCCGGACCCTTGTCACCCTGCGCAGCCTCCTCCCCATCCTCCCTGCTCAAATGGCAATGCAATGTCAGGGGGGAGGCTTGCCCCTGCTATTCTCAAAAGGACTCACACTTTTTCTGCTGGATGCAGGGAGGTATACAAATATATACTTTGGCAAAGTAGCAAATAATTATTTCTCAAAAGATCTGCTGCCCAGATCTGGGGACACCTTTGTAATAAATTAAGAATTTTTAAATAAAAATAACCAGTTGACTTAATATTGGCAGTCTGGCTTGAAACCTGGTTGGCAGGATAAGTGCGATGGAGAAAGCTTTCCACAAGATTTGATTTCTGTACTACCCTTCATCTGAGGATCACAGGGTGATTTACACAACATAAAGAGCTCAAGAGGGTGGAGAGCCCAATGGCACAAATTTTCAGACTTCCCCGATGTGTATCTTTATAATCCTCATCTGTAAGGCACTCAATGCCAACAGGCCCATAGAAACTTTGGAGTAGCCCAGTGCACAAGTAGGCTGCAAACAGGCAGAAATAGCTCAGTGAACAGTGAATATTCGGTACCGTGAGCAGCTGGTGTGTCCACATGGAGAAGTTGGTTTGAACTAGTTTATTTGTCAGCTATAGTCTCAATAGCCACAGTGCAATCTAAATTTCCAAGCACATCAAAGCGGTGTCAAAACTCTTGTATGCCATGTGAGTTATATATAATTTAAACTGGCAGGAAAACTGAAACTCATCAACTTTGGGGACACATAATGTCCTTTTAATAGTAATTCAATTTGCATCCTACATCTACCCAGAAATTGATCCTAATGTGCAACGCACGTAAGAAAATATTGAGGTACCTTTTCAGTTTTGTTACAATCATCCTAGGTATCTCACATATCCATATGTCTATATTTTTAAAGTAATGAGTCACAAATACGGTTTTTGCAATTTTTATTTACTTCACGTATTATGCACATGTCAATTACATACTACAAAAAGTAACTGTCAAGAAAGTGTGTAGTGTTATATAATACAGTGGCACATTTTTACATGTTTTTGATTCTTGTTCGCTTACTTAGTATCTTTCATCCAAATGGCATGTTATTAAAGATGATTAAAATACTTGCAGTATTAGGAATTCCAACAGATTAACAAGATTAAACCACAGCAAGTTTTAGTATGAAAGGCTGGGTTTGACTTAGATGGAAGACAGGATACACAGCAGCCCATTCAAAGAGAGTTCAGTATACCGGTGCAAAACTGCACCAAAGAGAATGAAAATAGGGCAGCCGATGGCGGTGCTGTAGTTAGAAACCTTTATGAGTTACGCTAGCTGTAGCACAAGTTAACCACCCAACACTGACCAAGTGATGAAGTCTTAAATCTCTGAAGTAACTATGAAGGAAGGAGCTTCACTGTGGCAAAGAAAAAATAGCCTCCAATCTTTTCCAGGAGTTTAATGTCATCCATGCATCCCTGCCTTCCAGCCTTACTCAGCACAAACATTGAAGCAAATGGAAGTTTGTTTTTTCTGTTCCGTCTCATTCACTGTTGCATTCTTAAACACAGGGACTTTCCCCACACAACTTAAGAGAAGGGGTTGAGGGTCTTCCAGATGTTGTTGGATGACAACTCCCACCACCTCCGCACTACTGGGTGGGTTTGCTGGGCTTGACTGGAACTGAACGCCAGCAACATCCGGAGGACTGTTGACTTAGGCACAAAAGCTGGCTCCCTTCCTTCTGCCAAGCTGATCAGTTCCAAACTGAAATGGACTGTAATACCTATATTTTTTATTTAAAAATGCAGCACATCAAGGTTTAATTAAAAATATTGCATTTCTCTGTAAAATACAGTTCCATGGCAAAATTTAAAAGTGTGAAAGAGGAACTACTAAAATCAACAAAAGCAAAGAAAGGTCTATGGATTTTAAGACTGTAGCATGTACTAAAGCTGTTTAATAAGGAGTTATGTTATCTTACAGGAAATGCTGTAAAAAGAAAAGGGAGGAACTTGCTGAGGAATTGGTCAACTTTACAGAGACAGTCAGGTAGGTCTCAACTATCAAATTCCAGTTAAGGAGCAGAATTAAATAATAATAATCTGCGTTCCCCATAGAAATCCAAGAAGGTTCATGAAGGCAACTGATTGTGTTCACGGCTTGCCCAAGAATTTGGAAGCATGATCTAGATAAAACATGCAACAAGCACCATCAGAAGGAATATTACCTGCCAACCTGAATTATCAGCAAGAGCATTTTGCTAAAACCTGTCTGATGCTGTCACACATCTACAGCCAATTTGCATTACTCTGTAGGCACTGCCCTTTCAACATAAAGCAATCGCACTTAAGCAGAAGTGAAGAACATGACCACTGCAGTGTTCCAGCCCCAAGGGCCTAACACACGGTGGTGTATTCTGCACATGGTCTCTATACTGGGATCCAGTTACTCCACTGCAATGTGTAACAAGACAACGCCCCACTTGTATGGGATCATCCAAAGGACATTTCAGTTCTTTATCCTTTAGGAAGAAAAGCCTTCTTTACAATTGCTGCATCTGGGTGGATGGTTGGATTGTTTAAAAAAGGATTTGGGGGGAAAGCAGCCTGGGAAATATTAGCACAAAAGTTGGATGTTTAAGTAGTGAAAAAGTGAAGGGATAAAAATTAATTTTGTGAATTCTGAATGTATTAGAATCAATCCCAAAGCGTTTAAGTATTTCCATTAGTTTATTAAAAATAAGATCTTCATGGAGCCATCATGTGAATGCTTTACAAATGGAAACAAACAGACCTAAATAGCAGGTTTTAAAAAAAGGTTTTGGCATTTTGATTTCTGATGGCAATATTCAGTGCTTATTTTCTGGGGGTACGCAGGGGTACGCACACCCCTAAACATTTTGTGAATCTAACAGGAAAAGAAAGTTTTTTTAAAAAATCGTTTCTTCTCTAGCACGGTGAATCATCCGTTCCGTTGCTACCCCCGATGGCGGCCTCAATTCCTGTCACGGTGTTTCCTGAGTCTCAGACGGAATGAGAGTACCCCAAACCTTTTTTTTTTTTAGAAAAAAAGCACTGGCAATACTTATCTTACTATACTGAATGAATAAAAGCACGCAAAGACTTTGAGGCACTTCCATTCCTTCCTGCAGCGCATCAAAGGTTACATCTGGAGTGTAGTGCTCAGATCTGTAACAGATTCAGCAACTTGTATCGTTACCCATATTAGTGAATAAAGTGCAACAAACATAGTTCTCTGCACTTAGAAGAAGGCCAAACAGTCTACCTAATTTTTTAGGTTTTAATCTCTACTTCTGGAATTAAATCTAACTTGCTATGCCTGTACTGGAGACTGATTTCTGAAACCCCCTTTCTTGGCAACTCTGGGGAATAGCCAAAACGTAGAATAGTTATACAATAGCTAACCCATTCAAATGATGGTAGTTATGCAACAGCTACCCCAGTATCAAAATAGTATGTTTAAACAGTCACCTGCAATGTGCAAATTGTACTTATTATGCAACAAGCAGTTATGATGCAGGAGTTGCAAGTCAAATCCAAAGAGAGGAAATTTTCTTGGCTTAGCAAGTTGTGAGCTTCCTACTTAACCATTCAGGTTTGCTGCCTACAGACAAAGCAATGGGACTGGTAAAGCCATACACAAGAACCCTCTTGAGGTGGCCAAATCCTACTTCCAGCAGGGAGGAGGGGAGGGGAGAGGGGAAGTGATGTTTCTGATTTACCTATCCTTATGTGCCACTTTTGGCACAGAAGCCATTGAGTTTCGTACCCTGAAAACACAAGCCTCTTTTAAGTGTCGGGTCCCAGGGATATTTCAACAATATCAGTGCCTTGCAGAAGCGACACTGCTTTTGACATCTAGGAACAGTCTATGGCAGCTGCAGTGAAACACAGTGTGTTTGTTCCCATCTGTAAGCAGAACCGTTGAGCCATACTCAGCTGAAGTCTTCCTCGGGATTCTGTTGATCGAGCAGCCGGACATGCGTGAACGGGAAGTGTCCTCTCCTGCCATTGCACTCTCCTTCCCACTGGCCACTCATGTTAATCTTGGTGACCTTTACCAGCTCACCGACCTGCAGCCAATAATGAAAGCACCACTGTTAACAACTCCTTGGACAAGCAGAGTCCACAATTATTTGGTCAAAGTAGTCAGTCACAACAGTATACTGAGCCAATAACCCCTTTCCAAAAGCACCAAGGAGAATGGGAAGCAGTGAAATTAAGACACACAACCAGCAAAGCATCAGTGGAGACTCTTGGCTTGACTCTTTCAGGACCACAGAACGGCCTTCCTGGTGCAGCCTGCACAGCTGCTTGCATATTTCCGTTCCACTGTGTCCAGGAGAAAACACAAAGCGGCACCATCTCAGGTGCTGCTCAAAAGCAAGTGAAGTCACTTGGGAAAAATTAAGCTCATTTAACAGGCAGCCTACAATCACAAAAGGTTTCAGGTTTGAACTGGCCCATTTTATTGCTTTCATAAAATCAAGGACCGCTCAGTCAAATGATTAACTATATGCAAAGAGCAGAAGGCAAATCCCGCTTGCTGCAGAAACTGAAGATCCCAGTGGGGCTTGGATTTAGCGCCAAATTTATGATCAAGATGAAAACTACCTGGTGAGCCTAAGGAAACAGTGTAGCCTCCCAATAATATTAAGGAAGTGGAAACAGTAACACTCCCATCAGGCAGGCCTCTCTACGGTCAGACTCCTCCCTGGAAGCAGGACAAAGCCTTGCAAATCACCTGGGTCACCTGAAAGACGGAGTAAAGAGCCTCTCCCAAAGCAGCTGCCCTACAAAAGTCTGCTTTGCCATTTACTGCTCCAACCTCTTGCTCTTGAACAACTGAAGTTAGGGTTTTATCTACTCACATAAGGGAAATACAGTGGAAACCGTTCTTAACCTGAGGTACCACTTTAGCTAATGGGGCCTGCCACTACACGATTTCTGTTCTCATCCTGAAGTAAAGTTCTTAACCCGAGGTACTACTTCCAGGTTCGCGGAGTCTGTAACCCAAAGTGTTTGTAATCCGAGGTACCACTGTAGTATGAAAGCATAAACCTCTAAGGAGACAGTAGACCTTATTGAACTGCATAGCAGTGTGCTACCCACAACATTTAGCATAGCAATCTATTTGCCAAAGCAATGTCTCTAATCAGGCCTTTCAGAAAAGTGCATGGATGTAGAGAATCCCCTTGTCTCTGAACAACACAGAATCCTCATTCTTTTGGATGCACAAGCATACAGAATGAAACAATTCTAAAGTTCAGTATAGGCTGCTCCCAGATTTCAGCATAATTAAACCTTTAAGGAAAAAACAAAAGTGGCAATCGCATGCACTAGAGACAGCAGGCAAGCACACCCTGCCTGCCCAGGGGTCCAACATTAGACACGTGTCACATTTTGTAAAGGACCCCTGGATGGTTAAGTGCAGTCGAATTTGACTATGGGGCATGGCGCTCATCTCTGCTTTCAGGCCTACGGAGGCAGTGTTTGTCTGCAGACAGCTTTTCCAGGTCATGTGGCCAGCATGACTAAACCACTTCTAGCGCGTGGGGCACCGTGACAAGTGCCAGAGACACGGAAACGCCATTTACATTTAGTACTGTAGATGCATAGGGATACAGGACAACATATTCCTGCAAGGTGAGGACTGGCCCCTTAATGGTATGTTTTCACTGCCGCTTTCATATATTTTAAACAAAGAATGCATGAAAAGCATGACTACTTTTGATTAACAGCAAAAGGATTCTAAACCTCTTAGGATGCAAGGCTATTTGAAAGAGAAATTGCTTGAACCGATCTCTTTTTGCCCATTATGTACCTCCAAAGCCAAGGCTGTCTTGTCGTAGGCATTAGGGACCCGCTTCTGGATAACCCGGGCAAAAATGGGGCCATTCTGGAGGTTGGGGAGCGGAGTGTTGATGCTGGGCTGGGCATAGGGACCTGGCTCCGGCCCACCCAGTGGCTGTGGGAGCGCACTATCCTGGTTACCTCCAATCGGAGCAGATACTGAAGCAGAGGCAGGTCTATACTTCTCGACGTACGGAACAGGGATCATCCCTCGCTTGCCTTCGCTGTCTTCTGCATTCCACCACTGCTCTTCAGGCTTTTCCCGGATTCTCAGTATGTCTCCTTTTTTAAATGGAAGATCTTCCTCATCATTGCCATTAAAGTCAAAGAGAGCACGCACATACTCAGCCTCTTCCTGCCTCAGCTGCACATCACTGTTATGTTTGGATTTTGAAACAGGTTCTATCAAGGTTGTAGTGTCCAAGTAGTGTATTTTGTAGAACTCCAGTAAAGCTGGCAGGGAGTCAAACTCTTGGTCCCCTATTCGAAACCTAGGAGGATTATTTGACCCTGGGAGTAGGAGGGGAGAAAGAAAACTACAGATTACTTACTCCAGAAACTATGAGCATGGCCAAACAGATAACTCTGACTGTAACTAGCTTTCTTTCAGTACAATCAACTTTTCAATTTGTGACCGTCTTAAATATTTAGTTTATATGCAACCATCTAAAAGCACTCTTTTTTACTAAGGCAGTATTTTAAAATATCTAATACCTCATTGTAAAAGCAAACAGAAAAACTCTCCAGTGTTATGGAGGGTCACCACACAAATCCTGCATCCTCAAAGCAAGCATCACTTGGGCAATCTTCTCTCCATAATGGAATGCATTATGGAGAGGATGCATGCATAAAGTTGTGCATTCAATTTACAGGGCACCATCTGAGGCCCAACCACCAAAGTAACCAAGCCAAGCGGTTTTACAGCACTGTCAACAAACACTTGATTGCAAACTCGGCAACTGCTGCTCTTCCAAAAGATTTCAAAGGCGCTTCATGCCTTTAAAGCAGGTGCAGGTGAACCTAGCAAGCAGCAACAAACCCAACACTGGAACTTTGAAGCAATTATAAAAAGCCAAGCGTAGGAGCAGCGCACATCTTTTCGGGGGCCAATCGCAACAGCAGGAAGTTCCCAGCAGAAAGCAAGGAATCAGAAACATTGCTGGCTGGAGCGAGGCAGGATCCTTTCGCGGACCGTCTGGTCGCTCCTAATTTTTTTTTGGGGGGGGGGTAGAGAAGAGCGAAGGTGGAGTCAGGAAGGCTAAAGTTCCCTCTCTCCCAGTATACAGCTAATCGAGGACTGGGGTCCACCCCGCCTCAGGCCAAACGCAGGCGCGGCCTAGCCCGCCTGGAAAGCGAGGAGGCTTGGGTCTGCCGAACCAGCCTCGTGCTGGGGCAGCCCCGCCCAAGGCAGCGCCCGAAAAGGCCTCCCTCCGCGCCCGCCGGAGCTGCAGGCCCCTCGCCCGCATAAAGGGGCGGAGGCGGGGGAGGCGGCGAGGCCGACCCGGGCCCCCGCTCCTCCCTGGGCGCACCTTGGCTGTTGACGATGTAGTGGGAGACGCGGGAGCTCTCGGAGACGGAGAGGACGAAGTCTCCGGGGATGCTGCTGGAGTCCCGCACCAGGAAGGTGCCGTGGCGCTGCCCCTGCAGGAGCCCCACCGCCTCCACCCGGTTCAGGCGGCCCCAGTACCAGCTCGCCTGGTCCTCCGCGTCGAACTGCCCGGCCATGGGCGCCGCCTCGGGCCGCCGCCGCACCAGCAGGAGCAGGAGGGGCCCCAAGCCCGGCCGCCGCCGCCGCCGCTTCCCTCCCCCCGCCCTCCAGCCGCCCAAGATGGCCGCCGCCGCGCCTCACCGCCCGGAAGTGACGGTGGGCTCGACCGGAAGCCCTTTGAGCGTAGGGGGGGAAGGGGAGAGAGAGAAAGAAGATCCTGTTGAAGCGTCATAGCTCTGCGTCACCGCCGGGGGCTTAGAGCTAGGCAGGGAAAAGAAGGGTATCTGTCAACCCGGAGAAGGAACTTCCGGAAGCAGAGAGTCTGGCAACTTACGTCCCGAAAGCTCCTCCCCCGGCGCGCGGGGGCAGTAGATCTTTCCAAGGGGGCGACTCTGAGGGCCCGAGGGAGCCGCGGTCCCCTCCAATAAAACATTTTGGGGGGCCGCCCCCAAGTTGATGGGCATTACTATTCAAATAGTGTGCGTGCACCACGTCCTGTGATTGAGTATGCGGGACAGTGCTTACCAGCCCCCCCCCAATATTTTATTCACGTTGGCATAATAATAATAATAAATTTTTATTTATATCCCGCCCTCCCCAGCCGAAGCCGGGCTCAGGGCGGCTCACAACAATAAAATAATACAACATTCTGAAATCATTTCATTATAAAATGAATTCAAATCAAATTGAATAATAATAAATCCCTAAGATCTTTATGACGTACCTGTCAACTATGATAGCGGAAAGTGGTACCTCCATGGCCAGGAGCAGCCTATCTCCTTCTGCCTGAGACAAGCTTTTTAGTTGCCCCTTTGTGAATAGGGTTTTATGGATTGTAAATGTTTTATTGATGATTTGTTAAATTTTAGGTATGATTTATGCTGTATTTCTAATGCTCTATTATGCTTTATCACGCTACTGTTATTTATTGCGTGTAAGCTGCAATGGATAACAGCATAGAAATGCAATCAAACCAAGCTTCTAAGGAGGCCTTTTGCTACGGGGTCCTGCCGCTGCACATCTTTCCAGGCACTTCTGTGGGAAGCAGACCGGAGGGCTCGATTGGGGTAGGCACCCCCACCCCACATTCTAGTCCAGCAGAAGCGAGTCTCTTCTCCTGTTTTGCTGCTTGGAATCTGCTGTGGCTGCAGCAGCTTTAAATGAAGCCACTTAATATTGTTTGCACTGGCTGGCAGCCTGCCCCCCGGGATTGGATGCTGGGGACATTGCCACCTCTACTGGTAGATGCTGCCTGGGACAACATGGGTCTTCTGTATGCCAAGCATGGGCCCTTCCCTAGAAGTTGGTATGGAAAAATTGAGGGGAATAGGGCTGTAAAAGCCAACCCCAAGTTCTATGGGTCAGAAAAGCTAGAGTGGAGGCAGGAAGCAATGGAAAGCAAGGAATATCTTTATTTTTCTGTTGCAGCAGAGTCCTCACCATCACCTTGCAAGGAGGTGATGCCCCAGGATAAAGGTGTGTAAGTGCTTTTGAAGACTTTAGAAGTCGCCCCTTAGCCCAGAGGCTTTCAACTTTTTTGAGTCCACGGCTCCCTTGTCCAACTACAATCTTTCTGTGTCTCCCCTGAGGGGAAACACTCCAAGCCTCAGAAGCCCAGCTATGTCACCCCTTGTCTGCAAAACTGACAACCCCTCAGCGTTCCCTCAGGCTCCTCTGCTTTCCCATCTCCTTGGGAGTCTTCTGGACAGCAGCCACCACTCCACCCCAAAGAGAGGTGTCTCCTAATGCCGCCGCCCCCCGGGGGGGGGAAAGGATGCCCCCAGCCTTAGTGGCCTGATGGAGAAAGAGATGTGAGTGGGCATCAGAGGAGGGAGAAAAGGAAGGAAAGAGGGACAGAGGCCAGAGTTGCCTGCGGCATCCCATCATTCAAAGCACTCCAGGGTGCCATGCTGAAAACCCCTGGACGAGGGGTCAGACATGGCTGCAGTCTTGCTCTCTGTCCTATTTTAGATCACTTTTATTTGGTGGTATAATTGGCATTCCAGAAAACAGGGCAGGTGCTGTTTGTTTTGTACGCCCTTGAAGAGACTGAATAAAAATCATTTTTTTAAAAAAAGTATAAAAATTAAAAACTCAGCCAGATGGGCGGGGTATAAATAATAAATTATTATTAATTATTATAATTAACATACATCCATAAATGACAAGTGTCATGGTTAAAGCAATTAAAGTGTTAAAATACTGATTTTTGTTTTATACTTTGGTGTTTTATGCAATGTTGTTCAGCTGTGGG